ATTAATAGACTTACATCAAAGAAAGAAGCCACTGACCGAAAAAACACATGTGATGTATGAGGAAGTCAGCAGGAAAAGCAGGCGTGATAGATGCTATGTCAAACATAAGGTAACTGTGTGTGCGGTGGAGGAAACTTGATGACCTGGTGGACATCTGTTACCTCTGAAGACACTGTAAAAAAAAAGATTCACCCTGTCATGACCTGACGACATTCACAGACACAACGTTGCATCATTCACATCAGGCGGCCGGTGATTGCTGTTTCCTGTCAGACGGTACTGTAGATTTATCACATCAAACCCTGATGGCCTCCTGAGCTGATCATTAAGCAGCACAACAAAGTCTTTGCTTGAGTGCCGGTGTTTGGCGCTCTGTAGTACGACTTCAAAGATGTGGATGTACTCTGTCAATTTTATTCATGTTTCCCAGTATTTTCTCTGTAAATCCTGGAGAACAGATCTCGATCCTGACATTAAAAACTGGGAAAATTACGGAAGACAAGTCGGAGCAAGACCAATAAACTGAATGTTTCAAGCTGTTTGAGTTAATTGCAATTGTGACAATTCAGGAGTTTAATTGGGTTGATACTGAAATAATACAGACAACTTTTAACAAATCTAGAACCTCCCTCCACTGTTGCAGAACAGCACGTTTGCGAATATCAAGTTATTAAGGGAGTACAGACAGAAAACTACATCAGCTTTAACCTTTTTGGAATGGTGTTCCACAAGGTACCGTTCTCAGCCCCTTCTTATTTATCATACTACAATAAATGTAAGACCTAATGTAGGGAGTGAGGGGTTATGGGAATTAGAATACTGACAGGGTGAGCTGGACAGCGACCTAAATTATTGTACATTATTTCATTTGTTACCTAGTGTTAAATAAAGACCTAAACAAGCTGTCACAAAATATTGATTTAGAGATGTTCTTATCTTATTAAAGGGGGGCTAATCAGAAAAATGTTGCGGGTGATGCTTCTATGGCAACAGATTGAACACGTCATAGTTAAAACATTAGCCTGCCTATTTGTTATTATTCATATTTGAGTCAAACTTTCCAATGAAGTTAATGTTAAATGTGAACGGGCTATGTGAGGCAAAGGTCACAACTTTCAGCATTATTCCTGTCATCACTTCCTCTTATGGTTCCGGTTACAAACAACAACTTAGAGATGCTCTCACCAGTTCTGCGTGACCTGGATTGCAGGACAGCATGTAGCTTTATTTTCCAAATCAGAGGTGGTTCCTCCGTTTTCAGAGTCCTACATACAGCCTGAGACAGAAACTGATCTTATTCTTATTTTGCCACAGTGTCAACAGGCTGACCTTTATTTTGTAAACAAAGCGCCCTTTCTTCAGCTGCACCCATATTCAGCCTCTTAAAGTTGCAGCATAAAAACAGCTGATATTTTCACTAATGGTTTTCTTCTTTTTTTTCTATATCATAAAAAGCATCAGTATGAATGTCAGCCTATTTCACCAAACATCAAAGAGTTCCTCACAGGAGCTTTAATGAATGGTAATGTGTTATTATTTCTACCATCAAAACCAAGCCTCACAGTCTTGCTTCTGAGATGTGGTCCATTAAACATTAATATAATGGTTGTATATGCATACATTTGCTTTGTGTTGATATAATGTCAGAGCCGGAACCAAACACTCTTAATATTGTGTCATGGATTTTAGCCTTGGGGTCTACTCCCTGCTAAATGACTTCCCATATAAATAATGTAGTTTATTACTGAACTTGGCTGGAGGGCTCACATTGCTGAAGAAGTTAATCACTGTGCTGCTGAAATCCACTCCACTGCAGTGTGGCCGTGTGTTACGAGCTGCTGGGGAACATACTGTACACAAGGGACAGTCAGATCAATACCAAAGTAGTCAATAAATATCTTTAAACATTGCTCATTTGATATTGCTTCCTGTTAAAGTTACTGATGATAAATTATGTAAAACTGATTATATCAAAGGTTCTCTGAAAAAAAAAAAAAAGTCTGTATGGATTTCTGTTTTCATGCTTGTGGAAATAATCTTCATGGTGATCACTCATAATGGGATTTACTTGATCTGGACTTTCTGTTGGTATAATTTAATAATAGGAGAGTTATATGAACAGCGTGTGTATAAATATGATTTATTCGGTACTGAAGGGCTCAGATCTCTCACTTAAATATCAGCATAAATTTGAAAATTAAAACTCCTGTGGGGAGTATTTTGGTGTTTATAGAATACACTCAAATTCCTATCAATGCTTATTTATGATATACAAAAGCAAACGAGACCAACAGCTTCTTTACAGTAGTTTTTAAGGCCTGAAACAGGTCAAAGTTTTCACATAAAATATTCACAATAAATTGTAAGTTCAAATTTCATGCATACAAAAGACAAGATAGGCAATGACTGCTTTGTCCACAGGTGGCTTTAAATATAGTCCATCAAGAGAAAAAAAAACCTGCATCCAGTGCTTTGTGCAATTATTTTTTTGGCAAGTCATAATAATTAAACTTTTGTTTAATGATTGTCCTCTCTACTTCTCCGAGTCTGGCCTGCATAGCAGAGCTCGGGGGCGGAGCTTGGATTTGTGATGTAAGAAATCCCATTGTATCTGAACCTGCCATTTGGGTCTGCCATTTGAATGCAGAAACACTCAGAAATGCAATGATATGTCCTGTTGCATCAGAAAACGCCATATGAGCATGTAGACTAAAAGAAAAACATAATTTTCATCAGAGTGGGTCTTTAAATGCACAACAGTACAGCACAGTATAGTGGAATAATTTGTTTTGCATATTTCTCTGCCTCATTTTGCAGCAATTCAGGTCCACTGTGACTGCAAAAGTAACAAAACTCAGACAGTATCTTGCAGTAACTTTCTTTTATCCAATCATCCATCAGGTCCTGGACCTTACAGCTCCATATCCATCAGCTGAGCCTAAAATAAAACTACAAATCAGAATGCAAACTCCAGCACTGACATGGACTCTGAGTGCAATAATGAGGTTTGTTAGTCGATCTCTTTGTCAAATTGACATGATTTGAATTAGTCATGCTTAATTTAGCCTCTTTATGGATTAATCAGGAGCTTTTCTGCTTTTTCAATAATAAGCTGAATGTACAAAATATCACTGACTGTTTTTGGATGCTGACAGCTCTCGCTGCTCCTGGTCAGTCCTGTAGGGGCTGCTACTGCCATCATGTGGTCAAACTTCTTCTCAGTTTCTTCATGGAGAAAAGCTTCACCTGTAAGGAGCAGGTTTGTACATAAACACTGCAGGGATTTAGATGACAGAATTAGTGTTGGAGGTTGTGTTAAAGCCTTTAAGAACAGACACGGAGAGGGTGTGACAAAAAAAAAGGATTTCTGTTACATAAAAAAAGAAAAGATGGAAGTAAATGGGTCACTTCATGTGAAACAAATGAGCTGATACTGATCTGGATCTAAATCTACGGCTTATATGCAAATTAAAAGAGTCTCCCTACTTTGCACTCATGCGTCTCCCTTATCTCTGTTATTATACTGTCAGAAGTACTGATTACAAAATGGCATGCGGCTTTTTCTGTGAAGCTTTTGTAAACAATATGAATAAATAAATAGCTTAAATCACACTATATTGTTTGCAAGAGCAGATATAACTAGTTGCAAATTTGTTCTTTTATAAAGTAACTCCTGCAGAAAAGTGATGCTAAGGCTTTGATTGACAGTAATGTAAAACACAGCTATTATAATGTCTATGCACTTATGGTTATAATGTCTGCATCAACAAGCATCTAAAATGTCTTTATTATAGCATTACAGCATTAAAAATTCAGTTTTGAGTCTTGTTTTTGAGTTGTAGATTAACAAAGAAAGACTGAAGTAAACGGCATTATCTTCTTACAGCGTTACCCGTCAGTGGTTGGGATGTTTTGGACTGTAAGAGAACATTTTGAGATCTTTAAAACAGTGGAAAAGGACGAGCTGGAGATTTAAGCATATTTGACTTGATCTGGACCAAATCAGGATGGATAGATGACCCGGTAAGATCATCTCCGGGAGGTCTTGTGGGCTGTCTCCAGTCTGCAGTGGTCATCTACCAGGTCACATGCGGCCAAGCCTCATTGATACACCTGAGGAACAAGGGTCTGATCTAACAGGAGAGCCACTGGAGCTCAAAGTGAAGCCAAAGTTAATGCTGGATTGAAGAGGAAGGTGTCAGAAGACGGACTGCAACACAATTTGTGCAGCTGCAGAGTAGTCAGGGTGCCCATGGTGACCCCGGTCCATGATGAGCTCCTACTACTGGAGAGAAAAACTATGGAGCAATAGAAGAAGGTGGCCTGGAGAAACAACAGCATTGACTTGCATTTGTGGGACGAGTTGGACAATCAAGTCATTAAGACCCCAGGAGTTATAGGATCTGCAGGTGACACTTTGTTTTCTGATACCACAGCATTCAAATCGGTGTGGATCTCTGGCAGACCCAAACGGCAGGCTCAGACACGGTGAGATTTCTTACATCACAAATCCAAGCTCCGCCCCCGGAGCCCCACTTTGCAGGCACGACTCAGAGGTGAATTGCTAATGAGCTACTAGAGCTCTACAGAAGAAAAGTCCTTGAAAATGACACAGGTAACACGACTTTGGCTAAAAACTTAATAGTCACAATTTAAAGACCGCTAAGAACACTTTAAGTAGTAAAAAAAAAATGATCGGAGTGGGGCTTCAACCCATCTTTGAGTCAAGTCTTTGCAAACATAACCAAAGAGTTTGGTCTAAAGGTCTACTGGACCATAATGTTGCTCATAGATGTAAACATTTCTGCGTATTAGTGAGCTGGAGTTTGCGTTTTTCATCGTCACACCTGTCCTGGAATAAATGTGCAAACCTTCCTCTACTCCAAAAACCAACTGGGGAAAACTTCAGATATTTGTTCAAGTGGCCAACCTGCAGGATGTTACAGGAAATAATGAGTTTTTAAATGACTGACGGACCAAAGAGAAGCACACAGAGCTGGTTGTTTTTGACAGATGGCGTTTATTCTCACCAGGCATCTGACATTAGAATCGCTACAGAGTCCGCCACTCGGGGAATGGCTTCTAAAACTCCAGAGAGGGAGGGACGCCCGGGAAATGTGGAGCAGGGAGAGCATAACAAACAGAACAGAAAAATGAAAAAACAAAACAAAAAAAAACTAAGTGTAGGCCACTAAAAACAACCTGCCAGCACACCAGAGGAAAATCTCCACTTCAGCTCACCAAATCTGGTCCTCTGGGCTCTCTGCGTTCAGGTACGTGGTCCCACAAAAACTAACATTCAGTCTGATTCTTTTTAAATACATAGTTTACATACATTAGATATGATGCCAACAGCTGCTGTTTCACCAAACATTCAGAAGTGACAGCACACAATCGCAACAATTACATCAGGAGGGCGGGGGAGGGAAGACCGTGAGGGTCTCCAGGAAGGCCTCACAGGGAGACGAGATGAGGGCGAGGCTCACAACACAAGGCCTCTCCTCTCCAAACAAACGAAAAGATACCATTACATTTCTATACAAACACACTGCTCAGTTATGGCTGGACCTCACCTGGAGTCCACGACGATAGAGAGAGAGGCCTCTTATAGGGTTAAAGGTGAGCACATGACTTAGCAGCACGGGAGTCAGATCACATCTCAGTAGTGAAGGTTCAGTGAGCGCCAACTGCGACACGTGAAGAGTGAATATACGTTTATACACACTATGAAACATGGACAATGAGTGTAGGATATATTCAAGGCTGAACCTGCTTGTATTTATCGAGGATTAAGAGTTTCTCAAAGAATAACTGTGTCAGATTTCACAAGTGCTCGAAGAGTGTGAGGAAAGTTTGACGTTTCATGAGGAGGAAATATTTGCTTTCCTGCAGAGTTCAGTTTTAAGACTGCAGATGATTAGCTTAGCTTAGCATAAAGACTGGAAGTGAAGGGAAACAGATAGCCTGGCTTTAGTTTAAGGTTGTAAAATCTGCATGTATTGTTGATTTCTATCATTTTTCTTCAGTTTAATGCCTTTCCATCCTTGTTCTCTCGGTTCGTAGTGAAGGTTTCGACCCGCTCTAAATATAACCGCTCTGTGTCATTTCAACCAGCCGTGGGATTGAAACAGTCTTGGCCGGGTGACTCTGCTACAAGCTGACGGTTGTTGAAACAGACCATATGTTCGAAAAAACCAGCAACTGGTGACTTGACAAGCTTCTTCACGGGCGACGTTGTCAGCTGCTCCGCTCGTCAGCTCACAAAGATGCTGCGATCTCTGTCAGGACTCTGCTTACAGTCAGGCTTTTGTCTTTTTTGATTCATCTGAACTGCTGTGACAAAATAACACTTTATGTCACCATGGAAATCATAAAATTCTTCATTTAAAGGAACAAATGTTCATTTTTAAATTTGTTTTATGACAGGATTGAACATATAAGTTAACTTTAAAGGAGCTAACTGTCCAGATTTTGCAACATTATGGAGCAGCATCCAACTGCAACTTCACGTACCAAAGCTTCTAGTGTGCAGGAAGTGACAAATATGGTATTTTTAATGTTTTTAAATCTAGAAAATACTGCACAATACCAATTCTGAAAATGACGTTTTAAAATCGCAAAAAAACTCAAATCTTGTGACAGTTTTGATGGGAGCAAACGTACTGGACATACCAGAGGCTCTATCACTTCAGTTTTCCTGTAGAGTGATGTTTTTAATTCTTAATTTTTTCATCAAAGATGTAAGATAATTTTATGCTTTAACTGGCTGTTAGTTAAATTCTTTAATTAAAAAGTAACTTAGACATTATTTTGTAGTAATATCATCATTTTGGGGAATTGGTGGCATTGTTAATGGTCTTGTTAACGCTCAGAAATAAACTTTTTTATTTACATCACCGTCAGCTTTGCTCAGATTTATTGTTATTTTATTATCTTTTAAGAGTTTGTACCAATTAGACTTTTGAATTATCATCACTTCCAGCATGCTAAAGGTGCAGCTCAGTAGTTCTGACCTTTCAGCAAAGCCACGGCAGTCCCTACTTTCCCCTCTTCAGTCTCCATGATAAGCTTTTTATGCCGAACCCTCATATTTCTCAGTCCGTCAGGAGAGCAGGAAAAACACCCCTTATAAAATGTCAAACCTCTGCTGTAAGTGAGACCGCTACTGTAAAAGGTGACGTGTTCAAGAGTGCAGTGCAGGACAGCAAAGACGACAAATTTGCACAATTTTGGTCGCTGATTTTAAACAGCTGCATAATCAGAGGAGGAGGAGGAGCAAGAGGAAGAGGAGGAGCACAAAAGCAGGAGAAAGGAGTTAAGGGGAACGATGATTTGTCTTCTACAAGTACAGTAAAGCCACTTTAGTTAATCATAAGGGGAAAGGAGCGCGGGGACATTGGTTCTGCTTTAAGTGCAGAGAAACAATCTCAACAATCCCTTCAAACCGGAGAACTGGGTTTAGGAAGACCAGCTACCAACCCGTGAGCTCGGCCACCTTTTCTCCTCAAACTTAACTCTTTTTTTAAAGTTTTTTTTTATTCAGGCAAAGCGCCGAATAGAGCTCACCAGCCCAGATATTTTCCGTTTAACTCTCAAGTTATCAAATCACCTACAGCGCAGAAGAGAAAAATGCTGCAGTTAGTCCAGTATTAACAGTACACCAAACTTTAACGTCCTAGCACGAGTCTAAGAGAAGAAAAATAGAAAAGTGCTAGATTTCAGGATGACATGAAATGACTCTCCGGTTTGGCTCAGTCTCAAAGGTTTACGGCGTGGATGCTGTGTGTGTTCAAGGAGTCAGGACTGGGCTTTAGTAGTTAGGGGTCAAAGTGCAGGGAGGCAGCACGAAAGGGTGCTGTCGGTGTCCTTTTAGAGTCACACTCAGCAGGTGGCGCTGGTTTCAGTTACTGGCCACCTCGTCCACGTTGTCAACCGTCTCCAGGTTGCTGTCCAGTCCTCCGCGCGCACGCCAGATCTTCACGGTCCGGTCACTGGAAGACAGGAACAGTAAAGAGTAAGAAACAAGGTCATTATGAGGTCTTCATAACGAGCACTGATTGATAATTTTAAAACATAATTAACGTGTTTATTACAGGCTCTCATCTGAAACCTGTTGACAGATTATAAATCTGTTATAAACATCAAAAGGATGTTTACTATCATTTATTAGACTTTGACAGCATTGATTATAGATTAATGAATATATATGACGTCTGAATTATAAAGAGTTTAATAAGATAACATTAATGTAGCATTCATATTGCTTATGAGTTCGAACCATCTTTAGAACACCTTTTGACTTTGATTTAATGAGATTCACCAAGAATCAGACAATTAAAGGTCAAGATTAATGCTTTGTAAGCTGGTTTCTCAAACCAGCCTCCTGTAACGTGATCATCTTGCCCCCCCAACACTCACACTCTCTCCCCACAGCTGCCTCCCTCTGTTTGTCTCTCTCTCTCTCTCCTCATCAGCAGATTGATTCGTTCGTCAAAAAAAGTGGAGTTTTTTTCTCCTCTCCAATCAGTTTTCACAGCGTGTGAGCTGCATGTGGTGGATGGATGTTGTTAATGATGGAGCGTTTCTGGCTTTTTTAACAAGTTTTTAGTTCCTTTTTTTTTCAAATCATGAAAAGCCGAAGCTGCTGCGTTGTAACATAAATAATAAAAAATGTGAGTTTATTTGCTGTTAGACTCACTCAGAGGCGGTAAACAGGTGGTTGCTGTTCGTAGAGATGCTGTTGATGGGACTCTCATGACCCTTCAGCTCCCCCAGAGTCCCCAGAGTGTCCGTGTGCCACAGCTTAAGCACCCCACCTCTGCAGCCACTCAGGAGGGCGGGCGACCCGGGGACGACCCCCAGCGCACAAACCCAGTCACGGTGGGCGTTTGGGACTTGCTGTCAATCAAAGAAAGATGGAAGTTTTAGCTTCATTTTCTTTTGTAATGCATTCAGATATTTGCCATTTGACTATTTTTAGTACCTGCAGCAGGTCTTTGCGGTCCAGGTCCCACTTCTTGATGCCGTTATCTCGAGAGCCGCTGAAGAAGATGTCCCCCTGGACCACCAGAGACTCGATACCATCGTAGTGCGGCGGCTCAAAGTTGTGTGTGGGGCTGATGCTCCCCAGAGAGCCTTCAGTAACATCAAACAGCTGCAGCGAGCCAAAAAAACAGCGTGTTTTAATACAGCTTACACTGAAAATCTAGAGAGTTGCAGATCATTAACACACTCACCTTGATGTAGTGATCCTTGGACCCGGTGATCACCATGTCTTGGTTGTTTCCAGACCGATCCACAGTCAGGCACATTACAGGCCCGAGGTGACCGGTGAGCTTCCCGGTGGACGCAAATCTGACAAACAGACAAAAACGATTAAAAACCCTCAAGCGTCAGAGTAAATCTCAGGACGCCCGGGGAGGTAATATCAATTAATTACCTGACATTTAATCCCAGAGCTAGTCTTTGAAGTGCCGTGGTTAATACGCCCATACTCATGATAAAAAGTGACGAGTTGGTAAACAGGTTTCTGGAAGTTTAATCTCAGCGCATGTTGATCTAAAGTTATTTCAATTACCCAGACTGGCCGTCCTTTCCTAAAACAAGAGGCGGCGATTCATCAAAGCTTGTACAGGTTTTCAGTGACAGCTTTAGATTGGATACCTGTCAGCTTTATAATGAATCGGATCCTCGGAGTGTGAAGCCACGAGAAACTGGGCTTTGATTGAACAGGTGTGTGTTATTAGGAGTGATATTAGGAGGAGTGGATGATGAACACACAGACGGAGCGGTGTAAAACCTCCGATTTCGGGTTTTTATGAAGGCGTGGTGGGCTGTCGTTTTTTTATAAGTAGAAAATAAAAAGTAATTTGACTGCAAACTAAAAAAAATCAACATGCTTCGTCAGAATAAATGAAGATTAGATGATGCTAATAAATCAGCATGTACCACCAGACAGCTGTTACTTGACTCTGATTCATAACAGGACTGAGGATCTACTCTAATCGCGCTTACCTTCGCAGATCCCAGACTCTGACGGAGTTTCCGGCGGCGGCGTAAAGCACAGAGCCGTTGGGGTTCAGGGCGATCTGGTTGATCTGGTTCTCTCCTGCAGGGATGGTGACTGTCCGGCTGGTGTTGGCCGCACAGGCATCCCCGACATTAACCTGACCGGAAGACCTGAAAACACATGGATGAGACGTTTATGCATCTGCACATAAAAATACGGGCACTCCTTCTTTCAAAGTGTAAAATATAACGTATCAGTTAAGATATATAACAAGTTAAATTCTCCCTTTTTATTCCTGATTGTAGGTGAACCTCTTGCCAAAGCCTAAAGGTAACAACTTCGATCAAAGGGATACAGTGTGCAGGATCAGAGCATAAATTATCATTTTATGCAGATGATATGTTACTGTACATATCACAATTATCTCCCAATATGGATTCAATAGTTTTTTGACTCTCTCTTAATTTCTTTTAAACTCACGTTAGTGTCCTGATGCACTTCGCAGAGTCCCGAATGTCCCAGACTTTGATGTAGGAGGTGGAGACAGTGAAGACCAAACTGGAGCTGTAGCGGACTGACACCACGTTGTTGGGGTGACCGGCCAGGGACATTATCTCCTGACCCGTCACCAGATTCCACACCTTACAGGTCCGATCTGCAGGTAGAGACACAGTCAGCTTCCTGTGTTTGACGTTAGAGCTGCAAGTCATTACTAAAGGTGTGTGCATACCACCATTTCAAGGTTGGATGTTTACGCCTCATCTGCAATATGTAACACACCAAGGACTAATGGCGGAGTTAAGACGTTTAGCCTTAGGATGGGGAGCGAGGAGATCGTGATGTACGGTGGAAAATGACACAGTATGTGCATGTCTGATTGTACATATGTGGAGCTGCCTCTTGTGATATAATGTGAAGACTAATCACACCAATATGATAACGTGTTAGGGTGAAATGTATCAGAGCTGCAGTGGCGATATCGACTATCGAGGCTGTATTTTGATTTATGAGTGAACGGTAATAAAACTAAACAAAAGAGGCTGAACGAGTGAGATTAATGTGTCTTTAATGTAACCTGAGAAGGAGACTGCATGGCTGAGTCCACTTTGAGTGTGATGGACCTCCAGATTATTTACAGCTGATGTGTTTTCAGCTCCTGACTGAACAAAAGACACTGGTTTTCCAGATTGTGTATTTACAGGCCATGGTGGGACTATATCAGCTGGAGCAGACAGATATTTTGACCACGTCTGGACACGGCCGTCTCCACCAAAGAGGCGTTAAATTAACAGCTCCAGGGGGATAAATGAACAATTCACTCCAGTTGATTGCCAATGCATCAACTGCCGTTTATAATGATAGAAAGCTTCTCCACTTTCACTGTATGTGCGATGTCGATTTCACTTCCACTTCTCGTTTATCTACACACGGTGCACATGCCAATCTCCATTAATCCTGTCAGGTTTGATCTGCTGTTAACAGCATAAGAGCATGTCAAAGTGGAATAAATTACCATCGCCGGTGAAACAGGCCGACACGTGAGGAATACTGATGAGGGAGAGCGGAGGATGGATGGATGGAGGGGTGATTGTGGGTGTTATTAACCTTTGGATCCGGTGAAGAGGAGGTCATCAGTGCAGTCCACACACAGCACAGCTTTACTGTGACCCTCTGCCACGTGGACGCACTGCAGCGTGGCTGAGCGGCTGCTCTTGGTGGCCGGCACAGGGTTGATGACGCCCCTAGAAAACACACACGAGTAACACTGTGAATAGAAGCAGCGTAGACACAAGACTGCCTAATAATCAGAGCGCAGCACAGAAATAAATCACACCCACACCACCAGAATCATGCACAGCATGCAGCTTTCGTGGCTGATTAGCACGATGCTGCAAACCGAGAATAGAAAGAGATGTCAGCGAAGAAAAATGAGGAGACAGCTGTTTTAAAAGTCAGAGTCATTGTTCCAAAGAAAAGAAACCACAGTCTAAAAATAACCTCTTTAAAAAGCTTCTCCGGCCTTCAACGGATTAAAAAAAACAACCAACAAGACAAAGACAGGTGATCGTTGAAACAAGTGCTGTCCGATCTTTAGGGACCGGCAGCCAATAAGCACCACATTAACCTTGATCGATCACTGATTGGCTGCGCTTGCTGACAAATTGACGTCAGGTAGTGTAAATGTCAAACGCCTTTTCTCCACCGCAGTTGTAGCTATCAGTATCAGAGCAGAAGGACGAGCTGACGGCGAACAGCAGATCGAGACGCCGATAATGAAAATGAGCTCTCAAAGGCTTGTGTGTGCAGAATAGAGGAGTCAGAGGGATAATAAAAAAAGGGCTAATGAGACGAGAGGATTACGAATAAATATCTGTCAATCCCTGATTACAAATCCATTCACTGTTTTAATCAAGTCTGTTAAGAGGAAATCAGCTTCAAGTGTTCAGATGTGTTAGGCAGAGATGTTAAAGCCACACCTGGAGTGTCTGGGTTAAGATCCACCCTCTTCCCTGCACACCAAAGTGACATTTTAGTGACCCTGAGAGAGAGAGGTTAAAAAAACATTTAGAGTTGTACTTGGGAGGGTCGGCAAGAGGAGGAGTAGCGGCGCGGAGGGTGTGGTTTGAAGACAGGTGACAGCATCCATCTGTACTGAAGGAGGAAGAGAGTATCAGAGACCCACTATTTACTCCTTTCTTCTTTTTTAACACTCACACCTTAGTTCAACCCGAGGCAGAAACTCGCTCCCCTTGGAGAAAGACTAGTGTCCATGATTCTCGGATCAATATGAGAGGGATTTTAGCTGGTTATCAGACTCCAAACCATCAGGAAACACTTTGACCTTTTTTGAGTGTTTTTTTAAATCTCTTTGTTATCAGCCCCAATCCTCTGCAACAACCTTTCTGAGAAGATCAGAATTAAACCTCTTTATCTTCTTTTAAAAACACATTTGTCTTTTCAAATATACTCAAGTGTGTTTTAATCCTTCAGACAATTCCTCCAATCCACTTAAAGGCAGTACTCACTAATAACATTTTGTTTTTTAATCATCTGATTGTTATGACTTTTACTGTTTTTCCTAATTTTCCAGGTGGATTTAAGTCTTTTTAACCAGTTTCATGGTTAAGCGTTTTTTTTAAATTTTTTTTACAATGTTTTACCCCCATTTCTGTCTCTGATATTTCCTCTTCATTATTATTGATGCAAAAATAGAAAATATTGCCTCAACCGCCGCTCCAGCTGCTCCAACCTTTGAACCATCCTCCATCTCCTCACCTGTCTCCTCCTCTTTGTTTTGGACTGGATGGGGTGGAGTCACGTCTCTGATGTAGGACAGCCTCTTAAAGGGACATGAGACCATAGCCTACCTACACACATCCAAAACCAACTTTTATTTATTTGTTTGTTTGACACTGAATATATTCACATCGGTAAAATGACGTTGGTTATTGTTGTAAATTTCAGTATCTGTAAATTTCCGGTTTATCGCCCAGCCCTATAAGACATGTTACTGAAAGTTAACCATGTGTATTCTTTGTTAGAGCACTAAAATCGCTCTCAGCTATCATTCTGCACTCATGTGGAGTCGGTCAGTGCGCGTTAAGCCTGCTCATGTTGGAAAAATAACTCCCAAACTTGGTCATGAATTCTGCGGCTGATTTAGAATCATATTTTTCATCAACATGGCGGAAAAATGATGTTTCGTTGATGCCGAGTGTGACGGCTGAAGCCGCCCCGCCTGAACTCTCATCTTACTAGTTTCCAAAAACAACCATTAGTTGTCACACTAGTTTTATTTTGCAGGTAATCACACAGTTAACATAGCTTGTTTAATATTAAGCGTTTTTATATTTTAAACCACATTTTTACGCAGTAACATTATACATATAGTTCTTTTAGTCTGATCTTTGTTTCCCTCTCTTTCTGTTGTTAAATGTGGATAAAACAAAAACTCCGCTCCTGCCTCTTGTGTCTTACTGCTTGTTGTTTAGAAATCCTTTTACATATTTACAAATCACTTCCTTGGTGCTCTTAATCATCAAGCTGCTAAAGTCTTGATTTATAAGCTGTCTGTCAATAAAAATTTGCATCTACGGCCGGTGTCTCATCAGGAAATCAAATCCAGAAGCGCACGAGGATTTAATGAGGAGGGGGGATTTATATTTCTTGGATTAAAGATCCTCCCTGTCGGCTGACTTTTAAAGAAGTGTACGCAACAACAGGAAGAAAAGTATGTTATTGTGATGGATAATCCAATATCAAGTTCTAGTTTATACTGGTGTTTGGTTTCAATTCATAGATCTGAAATAATGCAAAGACTGCATGTGCAGATCAGTGTGTATCATACCACTAGTTGGATACACACTGTCAATCTTCCTCTGAAGCCTGTATCAGTATCAAAGTTCCTGCTCACCCTCACCCTCTCTCCTTGACTCTTATCTGCTTCTCTCCCAGGTTTTTGAGAGTTTTAACTCATCGCCTCTTCTTCTTTCACCTGCAGGATGTTCGCTCCACACACCCTGTCTTACGGCTAAACATGGCTGCCGTATGGTTTGGTTCCTGGGACAGGCAGAGGGGGAGGTGGGCTGCAGCTCAGGTTCCTGATGGCTGGACTGTGAAGGGAGACAGTAGGGCTGCCAATTAAGCAGCGGGATAATTAACGTGAGTGTGCGGAGCTGTTTACACACTGGTGGCAGGAGTGTGGGAGGACTGCATGAGGGCAGAAGGGAGACGCATATGCTGCGTTTACGTGGTACGGGGGAAACTGTGAGGACAGCTTGACGGGGAAATTGTCACGTGTTCAAACCCACGTGAAGCCATAGAAGCGGTTTTAGTGAGGTTTGCTGATCTGTGTGGTTTATAAATACCATCTACTCATTTATAACCCAAGAGGTAATTTCTCTAAAATAAAAATCAAATCTGGAACCAGTAAATTTGTTTTAAGGAGAGCATTCAGTCCACCTAAATAAACAAACCGTCCATTTTTCAGTCAATAAACATCCTCTGCTCCAAAATCTCAGACTGCTCTTTAGTTTAATCCATCGACTGCATTTAATTAGCAGTTTTTTCCCCTTTAACTAGGGAGAAAAGAGAAGCAAAAAGCCGAGCACTCTTGAGACAAATCCTGATTTTCTGTTTCAAGTTCTCAGATCTTAAATTTGGCTTCAATACGGTTAATTTCAAATGCTGCCCTCCTCACACACAGAAAATTGCCAGCCTTTTTTTAGCTATTTGGGTGATAGTTTAAAATCATAAACAAATAAAATAAACACATAGTACTGCCATTTTTATATTTAATTCCTTTCCAGTTTTTTTCCTCTTTCAGTCAGTGTGTCACATCAAACCGGTGCACACCTGCAGGTCTCTACAGTGAGGGATAAATGAGGAAAAATCTGGGAATAAAGAACAGCAATCACAAAAAAAAGCTGTGATCATTTGTTCTGTATGCAGATTTTTTTGAACTCCCACCAGGAACTTTGAGTTTGTGTTGAATTTGGACCCCCTTCCTGACAAAACCGAACCTCTCATCTCTCTGAGGGGTCCTGATCAGCATGCATTTCAAGTGTTTTCTGATAAATGATCTCATCCTGGCTGTTTACAGAGTTTTTGCAGAGAGGAATATAAAAAAAGCTGTTTTCTGAAGTGCGCTGTAAATCACTTTTTCTGATCCGCTCTGGTTTGCTTCTGTCGCTCATATGGAAACATCTGTTTTGTCTTCCTTTTTACAACCTGCTAGAAGCACCTCAGAGGAGCGTGAAACCACACCACACATCCTTTTGGAGACCAGAAAATCTAAACTGGCGGCTGGCTTTTCCATGCGACATTAAATGCAGCATTATTCAGCATCCATGCCGTCACACACCGACCATGCATGTTGCAGTAAAGTGAACGTTTTAAGGTTGTAAATTTATACTTTAACGGGACAGGTTTAAACAGAGAATGCAAAGTATATGGGAAGAGTTAACTCAGCATGTTTTTCCATTTCAGTCTCACTCACATGAATCGACTGATAAGACATGGAAAGGGAAAGAACAGGGGCTACCTCTGTGTGTTTAGGTGAGCGGCAGAGGGTCGAGGCTGATTAGCAGGTTGAACACTGAATTCGAGTCAAAACTACAAGGAATTAAAAGAAAGCATCCCCATTATGCCTCAAAAGAGAGACATAATACTCTGGTTTGTTAGTAAGGATATAACTCGAAATTCAGCGTAAAACTTTGCAGATCAAAGGTCATCACACCAGGCGCAGAGCACTTTTGATTTAGCTGAGATTACATGCGTCTCCAAAGCAGGAAACTAAGAGGAGGAGGAGGAGGAGTATTAGTGATGCTGAATCAAAGTTATTCTGCTTTTTGTCCGGCCTTGCAGCCACAATGTCGGCAGCAAGCTCTTACTGTTTTATCTCCTTGACCTTTGCCCTGTCGGACGCCGCTTGCGACTTGTCATAGGTCTTCCTGCGAGAGAGCGGGGAGGGCTCCGGAGCTCGCTTCTCCAGCCCCGGCGAAGTTCTGGAGCCAGAACTGATCGTTCAGTTACAAACATTTATACACAGACGACACAGAAATAAAAATGAAACAACAGAAGGATGTGAAACAAACACAATGAGAAGATGGAGCGCACACGGAAACACAGTTACCTGACGTTTCAAGTCCCAAAACTGAGGTGGTTCTCCGCCAAGCTCATGTTTAAATACTACAGACACTGAGTCGATTTTTTTTGCTATACTAAAATACATTTCTGAAGGATAACTGGAAGCCAAGGCACTTTTTACAAACAGGTCAGTATGCACCTAGACTGTCTTTCACAGGCCAGTTAATGGGATGTAGTTCTCTGCTGCATAAGCTGGTTTAAGGAGATAAAAAAGCAGCCATTGCGGGAAGGAGGTAATACATAAGCAATACAAGTGTTTACGGTGGCTCGTCTCTACATGCTTCTCTTCAAAGGACTCATCAGGAGAAGAAAGGCAGGACCGATAGATGTCAGGATGCTCATGAATAATGTGAAATAAAAATTAACTACAGCCGAGGATGGAGCAGCAACATCAAACATGCAGGACGGAAGAAAGGAATTAATTATTGTGTTAGGAAAAGAGTGTCAGCCCTGGACTTACATGCTGCCCATTTTAGAGGAAAAGCCGGGGGAGAGAGCTGTGAAGTCCCTGACTGATGAGCCTGATGAGTCCATGTCACCGCCACCATCAGGTGTTTCAGCCAACGGCAGCATCGGACTGGAGAAGTCTGCAGTGGGGGCATCGGGGGCGGAGTCACTGTTGGCATACAGCAACTCCATCTGGGTGGTGGTCCTCCTACGGGCCTGTACAGCGACATAAGTCATCATTTAGATACTAGAGTTTGCCGAGAAACAAGACCATCCAACATGATAAGACACTTTCATACCTTGCTTCTTGTTTTGGTCTCCCCACAGAGTTTCATGAGATCTGTTGCCAAGGTGCTGTAGTGGATGAATAAATTCATGAGTGGAATTGAAAGTAACTTAACCTTCCCAACCAAAAGACAGTATACCACAGTATATACAGTTCTGACCAATAGTTCTTGACATGTAACAACTCAGATTGATGAAACACAACCAAATAAAAACAAGACTCTGCGTAAAATAAAAAGTAAACAAATTATATCATGGCATATCAGGGCATACCAAGACATTGCACAAAATACTGTAACATAACATCAACTTTCATGACACCATAGCAACATATCATAAAATAACATCACACAATAATCCAAAGAATGGTATTATATGTCATGACATGAAAGACATAACATGACAAGACATATGATAATGTGATGATACATGACATATCATGACATAATAAACCATATCATGACATGTCATGACTCAACACATGCAACTTATGGTGTAGCACAACATTTAAAATTATACTATATCATGACATACATGTAAGATATGACACAATAGGTCATGACATGTGACATAACACAACATATCACAAACATTTCGTGATATGCCATATCATGACATTACATACGATGACCTAGCATACAATATCATGACAGACCCTGCTATGACATATCATATAATCACATTACCTATCATGACATTGCATATCATGACCTAACGTACCATAACATAAAATAAATATAACATAATAACATAAATGAAATAACCTGTTGTAATATGACATCACATGACATGACATATCGCTGGATAGTCATATGTGAAACATTATATTTTTGTGACATATCATGGCATGACCTACAATGATATATTTCATCATGACACTTAATATCATATAATATATCATCACATCACTTTACATGTCGTATGTGAAACTAAATTGTACTATATATCATGACATGAAATGACATAATGGCCCGATATAAGATATAGAAATTTTACCTAACATACTGTAACATCACAAATCATGATACATTTACGACTGACATAAGATGAAACATTGAGACATAACCCAAAAATAACTTAAACTTACTTTCCCTCCGCAGACGGGCTCTGTGCTGACTCATCACTGCTGCTGTCATCCCCATTCTCTGTCAAATGAGACCAATAATAGTATCAGACCAGAGAGAAAACCATGTCAGCCAACAGTGCTAGATCACACTTATGTCACTTTTAATTCTTTCTAAATACAGCTTGTCTGATTACACTGTAACTCATTGTTTTGTCGTCTCTCACTGAGGCGATTATTTAACTTTATCTTTGAAAAGCTGCGCAAAATGGACATGAAAAGATGAATAACTGCAGCAGACGAGGGTGGTGTCAGCGCAGCGCCATGCTGTTTTATCCACAAACAAAAACTTGGTCCTCACTGAGCTCAATGGGATCAGATGGATTGAAAAAAGTCAGAGGTCAGACAGCGGCTGGGTGGTGAAGGTTATAAAGAGAGATGTGTGGACAAGTTTGGGACAGGTAGAGGAGTCCAATATGAGACAACAAGGTGGGGAGGTGTAAAGAATCATTAGTCCGTTGCTCCAGATGGGGTCAGCTGACCTACAGGGTCGGACAGAGCTAAAACATCCACGTTGTATGGCTCCTGTGGAAGGGTCAGGAGTTAGCAGGGTGCTAAAGCATGAAGGCTGTAGCACAAAGTGAGCAGGTAGGAGGAGGTAAAGTGTATCCAGATGAGGGGGTGGGAGGAGGGAGGTCAGCGGACAGATGGAGGAAAGCCTGGTTGCATTGCACCTCATGCACCTGTTAACGTTCAGTTAGTTTTCAAAGTGCAAAGGGAAGGAACCATGCATCCAGATAAGAGTCTAATGTGGTTTCACTTACCGGCTGGGATGTTACCTAGCTCTGTAAAAACATAAGAAAACAAAAAAAGAAAAACGTGGGGGAACAGAAAAGAGGCAATGCACAAATCAAAAACACAGTCCCCCAAAATACTGAAATGAAACACACAAAGGAAAATAAAGTGAAGCTACTGTAAACAAGAGCATCCTACTGAGCAGAAGCTGGCACAAACATGAGACAGGGATGACATTTAGTCGTACAAATTTGGTGAAATTCTCCACCTTCACTGAGAAAATTGCATTTTTTTTTCTACATAAGGTTCACGATCTTTGTACCAGACTTTGTTTGCTGTCTCATTTTTAGTTTTTTTAGTAGCTTGGCCAGCCTTTATTCAGCAGAAGGCAACAGGCAAGAGCATCTCCAAAGGCCCCATCATGCATCTGACCAGTAACCCAGTCCACCTCCTCAAAGGCGTGAAAAGACATCCAGCTAAATTCAAATAAGCCAGAATCAGAAGAATTACTGACACCTAAGGAGGTGGTCTGGGTTAAATCAGGGGTCTGGTTCGTGTTTTGGGTCCTCATCTCCACATCTTCACACCGTAACCCAAACAATTAGCGCCGTTACCTTGCAGAGCGTTCCCCAGCAGCGCGTCCAGCTCCGGGTTGAACTCGGCCTTCTCCTTCAGCATGTGGAACAGCAGCTGGTTCTGCGTGGCGCTGGTGATCTCTGTCTGCTTCAGCCGGCCCTCCATCACCTTCACCTGAGACTCTCTCTGAGCTGCCTGGAGACCCTGAAGAATTTAGACCACAGATGTTAAAGATCGGGTCACTCAAAGACCTGAGGTTTTAGTTTTCTGCGGTCCCTGATAAGGAGTATGATGCTGAAAAAGAGTCAGTCACAGAGTTACAGACTGCTTTAAGTGCTGGTACCTTGTTGATAGCCATGGACATAAAGTGATCCAGCAGAAAACGAGCTTCAGTCAGGGTGCAGGAACCGACCACAGCAGAGACGTCCATGGTGTCGCCTTCCTCCTGGAAAAGAAACAGAGTCAGCGACCTGGTGTGAAGAAAATAATGCCATTATCTAGATATGTGACTTCTCCTGTCTCACCTTTGTTTCCTCCATCTGCATTATGTTGGCCTGACAGTCTGCGATGCTGTCGTTGATGTAGTCGATGTTGGCCGTCAGCGCGTCCACCTCCTCGTTTAAAGGAAGCATCGCCTTCTCCGCCTCTGACCCCTCCTTCACCAGCCGGTCCCTCTTCCTGATCACCTTCTCTTTACGCTTGGTCAGCTCCTCTCGTTGCTGTTGACACAAACACACCGACGCTGGCGTGATAATCGAGCCGAGACGTTGAGTTGGTTTATTCAAAAGGAGGACTGAATAGACTCCTTCGTTCAGGTTATATTTAGGTTGCCCTCTGATGATGATTCACACAACAGATGCATGACATAGCAGCGATTAAAACCTCCTCCGATCTCCGATGTCAGGGTTTGGTAGCGTTTTCTCTCTCACTTCTCAGAGGCCAAAAATCTGACTCAAACATTTTACAGCCTCTTCACAGACACCTGCCAAAAATATCCTCTCAAGTGCCTCCGATGTCGTTTCAACTTGAACCAATAACATCATCTCTGTGCGCTCTGGTGTATCTCTTTTTTAATATCTAACTGTGCAGGCTTAGCAGGAAAAAACTGAATAAATTTGAGCAAAACAATTACAGAATATAAAGTGCAAATTTGTTCTTTTTCTGTATCAACCAAAACATCAGGCGATTTTTCTGAAGAGGACCAAACTAGTTTTTTGAACAGAGAGCAAGTTTGATTTAAAATAATAATAGCTTCATTAAAAAAAATAAAGCACCCATGTTTGGTATGCAGAAAGAGCGCAGATGGATCTTTTTAAAAGTTTTTAAAAGTTTATTGTTTCTTGTCTAATACTGAGAACAAACTATGGCCTCTGTTTTAGGCTGTCTTCATTTCTGATTGGACCTTTACAGGTCAGCTGATCACTGTGCAGCCTCTGATTGGTCAACGGACCAAAACAAAGATGTTAGCTTCCATGTAGCGCAGTAAGCTAGCAACAGAAATGACACTATTTCATTAAAAGTCACACCTTTATTATCACAGATTACACACCAATCTTTTAAGTGAGACGGTGTGTTTCACCCAGGGTTCTTGCACCGTTTTAAAAGTCAAATTTAATGTTTTACTTTTATGACTTTGAAGATGTAATTAAAGACCCAAAAATGTCAAAACAAGTTTCATGGTAAAAAATACATTTATTTTATTGTTAACTTAATCAAAGCTCACAGTCACGCTGAAGGCTGCCTGTCTCACACATCGAGTGGATTTTACAGCAAACTGCTACATTCTATTGCTTTTCTTTTATAGCTGATATTGTAAATACATTAACACCATGTCATCAATAATCTCAATGTTTACCAAACCCCATATGTAAGAAAATCCCACTTTTTATTTAAAAAAAAAAACTATTCTATTTGGGTCATTACGGTATTGGGGTTTTGGTAATTCTGGTGTTATATGTTCAAAATCAAGTCCTTATAAAAAGTAACGTTTCTGGCTGTTTTCTCCAAACACACTTTCTCCAAACTTTAAGGCAGTTTAGGCGATCGCCGTGATTGAGTCGTTATGTTGGCTCTACCGGCTGCTCATAAATGACAAAAGTCGTGCCTCTAAATCAGAAAAACACGCCTCATTTTATCATTGGTACCAGAGAACAGAATAGGGTGACCATACTCTGACTTCCCAAAAAGGGGACATGACTACGTGGGGGCAGAGTCACGGAGACGCACAAAGTTTATTTCAAGAGTTTTTCAGGTTGGATCAAGCGTCTTTTACGTGCTTCTGACTCAGTAAGTCCACGTGACCACGGACATTTGAAGGATTTTATAAACTTTATCTGACAAAGCCGCCCAAAAAGAGGACATGTCCAGGTAAAAGAGGACATATAGTCACCCTCGAATAGAACCATAGCTTTACCTTGAGGAGGCGGTTCATGTCGGCCTCCATGTTGGAGATGGTCATCCGCTGCATGATGATGTCAGAGACTCGCCGCTCCAGAGACTGCCATTTATTACGAGCTACTCTGGTGGAGTAAATGCCTGCCGTGCGCCTGTAGGACAACCTGCACACAAGGTATCAACAACAGGAGTGAAGTTTGATTGACTCCTGCGAGGTCAAACATTTAGAGAGGAGTTCACAAAAGGGTCTGTAAAGGATTATGTAAGAAAAGAGACCCATGTGAGCCTCCCTCATTTGCATATGCAGTAACATTAATGCAGACTGACCGAGTGCCGTTGGGAGCAGCGTTGCCGGAGGAGTACATGCGCCCAGATGGAGGTCTGTGGGGCGAGTCCTGGACTGGATCTGGCAGATTGACCTTCCTGACGACTTTTCCTGAGGTGGGTCTGACCTGCCTCCTCAGAGCCGTCACCTGACACACATGGCAAACGGAGGAGTAGGAGGTTTAGCGCTGAGTGAAGACCACGGGTATTTCTGCATACATAATGCAGATCTGCATGCATAATGCATCAACACAATTTCACATCCATCTGCTGCTGCTCACCTCCTCGGTCTTTCTGCGCAGAATGAGCTCCTGCTGTCGTTTCTGAGCCTCCAGCAGCTTCAGCTGGTGCTGTGACGCGGGAAAGAGTAATTTAACAAGATTGAAAACAGGGTATTAAAACTTCTCAGTCTGTGCATGAGAAGAAAAGACTTGAAGAGACAAGGTGATTAGATTTCTGAACCATTACCCACAACAGACTCAAACCTGGGACTTTCCTTTTGTGCAGTCCGAGCAAGAATGAAGTCAAACAACCAGTTTTTTCGCCAGATTTTTGAACAAAAATATTGTTATCTTATTATATGTGATAAGGTAATTTGCAAAAAATCAATTAACTAAACACAGGAGTCGGTTAGAGACTATTTTTTTTCTGGTGAAAGAAGAGAATTACCCCTTTCCTTTGAGATACTGCACATAATTTTAGTCCAGGTACAAGATATTCTGTGGGTCCTGAAAAATACTGAAATTTCTATTGCGGTCAATGGCGGCACTGGGCGAAAATTGCACAAATGAACCTGGCACTGAATGAGTTAACCTCAACCTTTATTTAAAAGTATCAGGATATGAGATCTGGGTCACCTTGCACAGCCCTATAGACAGATTAGGATGTTAAATCGTTCATCAGGCTGAAGCAGACTTCAGGGGGTCACTGACCTCCTGTTTGCGCTGGTCTTTCTTCAAAGAGGCGATCTCTCTGTTCCTGCGAGACTCGTTCATCCTGTTCTTCTCCTGCTGCTCCTTCATCTGCTTCATGAGGCGGACCTGGAAAAAAAAAAAACATAGACAATATTTCTATTAAAGCTACACATATCCAGGAGGAGTGGTAGTGATTGGTGATGGATTCTCTTCCTGTCGTATCAAAACGTTTTTGCTTTCATTGGTCGTAGGAGTGAAAAAGGTCAGTAATATTGGAAGAGGTGAGTGACTAATGATAATGACTACTGACTAATGATACGTAATAAAAGGCCAAGAGGGTCAGAGTCCAAACTGGGTCACTGTTGAGGACTGTGACCTCTATCTAGGAGAGGATTATGACACACACTGATTATACCACGTCACAAAACGCACCTTCGTCTTCTTCATTTCCGCCACGTCCATCTGGAGCTTCTTCAGCTGCTTCTCGTACTGTGATTGGTTCTTCAGCAGGCGGGCGTGCTCCTTCTGCGCAGACTGGAGCTTCTGCATCTCCTTGTTCATGACGCTCAGCTTCTTCTCGTACTCCGCCTTGATTTTACGAGACCTGTCTTCTGTCCCGCTCTCGACTGACGCTGAGAGTTAACAAGGACAGAAAACAAACATTTAAATAAAGACGTATGATGAAGCTCAAACGTCTCTTCCTCTCAAAGTCAGAGACCCTGATCTGCAGCTGTCAAAAAGCCTCTTTTATTCTTCTAAAAACTCTTCCATGCTTTTAACTCTGCTCCAGCTTTCATCCATTAGTGCTGATCAACATAAATGCAGCTGTCGTACTCTGTCTGCTGGAGAAGATAACTTTAAAGGACCCTCTGAAGAACATTAACTCAGTCTGGGCTTTTGTTTGAGTTTCTTTTATGTCATGTGGCTGAGATATAAATTCTTCAGAATAAAAATAGGACATAAACTAAAATATACTTTACTTTTAAGACTGAGTAAAATGTTTAAAGTGATCTCATACATGACCATGTCCTCGCTGTGACCCCGTTCTTACTCATGTTTTGGAGGACGCGGTCCCGCTCCAGCTGCGTGTCCCTGATCTTGCACTGCAGCATCATCAGCTTCTGTTCGTACTGCTGTTTGAGCGTGTGCAGACGCCGCTGGCTGTTCTCCAGCTCGTCGATCAGCTTCTGCTTGATGGCGATCTCGCAGGTGATGTTGGCCAGGTCGGCCTGGAAGTTCTCTGTTTGACAAACACAGTTCAGACTGATGTTAACTGTGATGCTGCGGACGCAAAATGAGGATTATTTTTGGCCTTACGATGGCACCATTAAAAATAATTATGTCTCTGTAGTGGAAATCACTGCATGGGCTTAAAATTGCTTTTCAAGATGGACTGATACAAAGTAGAAAAACTGTCCTCTGGTCTAATGGATTTATGGAAATCCTCCACTTCAGTTCAGAGACCAGAATCCCTGCGCACATGCTATTAGTTGCTGTGAAACATCACTGTAGTTCAGGATGGCATTATGAAGTGTTGGCTTGTGTTTGTGACTGAACAGCTCCCCCTTGTGGACATTTAAAATCCACAAAATCTACAGAAATAAATCATGAGTAATGGAGAGGACAATAAAGATTCACAAAAGATGAAAAAAAAAAGAAAATGACAAGAGAAAGAAAGGTAAAAAGGAAAAAGGGTAGACGACATCACATCAGAGTGAAAAGAGATTAGAGGATGAGGGGCAGTGAGGTACAAATAAATGAACAAATTAATGTGATCAAAAGACAGACAGTAGGGGATTAAATGAAGGTGGGCAAACAGATGCCTCAAACCAAAACATTAAAATATGAGTTTTCAGAATAAATGAACTTAAAGTTGAAAAGTAGCTTAAAGGTAAATTCACATAAAAACAAGTCTGTTAAAGTGAGCTTTCAGAAAAGATTTCAAAGATGTCTCTGATTCTGCACGTCTCATTTCCTCAGGGAGGTGGTCCCAGAGTTGAGGGGTTCTGATGGAAAAAAGCTCGATCTGCTTTAGATTTCAGCCTCCACTTTCAAACGACCAGCAGGGCATCACCTAAGGATCTCATATGGCGTCAGCATCACTATGTCCGACGAGCTTTAAAAGTGATCAGAGGTGGGCGTTACAGTAAACTAACGGAGAGAAGAAGAGAGCATAAAGAACTTTCTCCAGGTTTGCTTGGTACTGGATTGATTAATTCTTGGGGATGGATCTTAACTGAATAAAAAAAGGCTGTTTTTTTTTTTTTTTTTCCATTGGCAGGTATATCTGTGTGTCATCTGCATAACAATGTAAAGGTACATTGTGATGATGAATGGTGCTATCGAGGGGGAGCAAGTAAACAGAGAATAAAAGTGGGCCTAAAATTGACCCCTGTGGCACACCACAGGTAATATTCGAGGAGGAGGAAGAGTGGTTACCTGTGGTGATTGAAAAGGTTCTGTTTAAAAGGTAGGAGTGAATAACAGCGACTTCATGCCGGCTTTAATTCCAACCTTTCTCATCTGACTCTGAGTCAGAGTCATCTGAGCTCTCCTCCACATCCATCTCCTCTTCCTCCTCCTCCTCTTCCTCCTCGGCTTCTTCATGGTCACTGCCTTCCTGGACCTCCTAGGATAAAAAAAACACCAATGATTCATTATCTTAGAAATTAAGTTCAATCTGTAGTTTGTGGTCTCCGCTTCGTACCATTTCCGCCTCCTCGTTGACCCGCTCCGTCATCTCCTTCTCCGTGCCCTTTTCTTGCTCGTTGTCGGGAATTTCCTCCTTGTTGGCACTAAAATAAAGAGACATGACCACAAATCAGAGGTGTAATTTATCTCCACTGCAGTTTTAACTCACATTTAAACACACTCCAAAAAACATCTGTGGGAAATAAAGACATAGTTTAACATCTTTTAGTAGGCACAGCTCTCTACTTTAAATAAAAGCATAGCAGAGTTACCATCAAGGAATCACACTGTCTTTTTGACAAACAAGCCTTTTGAAAACACTTTGGGTAATTGAGAAAATATATCATTTACATGTTTCCAAACTCTTTAAACTGGTGAACTTCACAGCTAAACACAGATATTAACTGCTTTGACTTGTTTGTTAAAAAAACAGGGTTTGAGGGAGTTTTTATTTGGAGGGGAAGGGACTCGTCTCAGGGTCTGAACAAAACCAGTAAGAGCAAAAAAAGCATGGGAGGGTTATGCAAAACATGAGTAACTTTGTTGGATAAATATTTTATCCAAGCATACGGGGGTTAGCGACATTGAAGTGGTGTTTTTCTGGCATAAAGGCATCAGGAGGAACTGAACGAAATAAAACAGAAAAGAAGGAGAAGGATTTATCATCCTAGGCACAACTTTTAAACATCTTTAGGTTAAGTTTGTCATGAATAAAGGATTAGACTCGTGCACTTCTTTTTACACTCATTATTTTAGAAATGAGGGAAATCTTCATCATCCTGAAATAGATACAGCTCAAATGCAGTCTCAGCAGATGAGTCTGGTCCTGCTCGAGGTTTCTGCCTGATAAATGCTGCAAAGTGTTTCACTCTTGTGGTTGGAGATGGGATAGGAGCAGGTCTGATGTTATAGGATGGGACTCTGTTATCCCAGAGTCTGGTCTAGACCAACAGGCTGGAGCAACAGGACCAGCACAGGGCTGTGGGTGTTAAACCTGCAAGGAGAATCAAAATCTGGTGGGGCTCTCAGTCTCACTCGGATGTAAGACGTTTTTATTTTGGTTTCATACTCCTGAGGTTATCTTTTTAATCACATAAGAGCTGGTTTTATCCTCTCACACTTTGGATTTCATCAGTGGAGGTTAAAGTATTTTTTATTCTGTTTGGAGTGTTTCAGTCGTTTGATTTACTCTGCTTGTTTTTTGTAGTTTGATATTATGCTTACTGCAAAATAAATCTACCTCTGGGTACAAATAAGAAACCTTAACCTGAAGAGAATTAAAGATTCAGAGATCCCTTTTTTGCTTTTTGACTTTTCACTTTCTTAAAATCTACAGTTTAATAAAAAGTTTCTTTTAAACATCTCAAAGTTACTTCATGCCCAGAAAGCAGGCGGCAAAGTTCGTTCAAAACACCCAAAACATTTGATTAAAATTTTCTTCTTGTGTGCTGAGGGTCACATTTATGGTCTGATTACCTCATTTTAAAAAACTGATATATTTATTAAAGTTTTTTCTTATTTTCCAAACCCATGTAAAACATTTTAACATGCCTTTAATCTGAAAAGCTGTGATAAAAGTTAACTTTCCTTGACCTCAGCAAACGTATTTTTGTAGCTCCATATTCAACATCCATAAAAAAGGTGATTAGCTTTTAAAGGAAGCAAAAAAAAAAAAGGCAGGAATGTGGCGTGAGGGGTCATTAAATATGCTGGAGGGCGGTCCAAAAAAGAAAAATCAAGCTTTAAAATGTCGAATAAAACAGTGTTCATGGAAGAAAGGTGCTTCTATGAGCCAGTTTCACTCCAGGTGAGGAAACATCTGCTCAAAATAATCCAAACGTCAAATAAAAAGCTGAATTAGGGGGAAGCAAAGGAAACGGGGATGGCCGACAGGAGGGTGGATGCTCTGACAAACCTGGCGTCCTCAACCTCTTCCACCACCTTCTCCCTTTCCTCCCTCTCTCTCTCCTCCAACAGCTGCTGGAGTCTTCGGGGGGGGTGAAGGGTGGGCAAACGAGAGAAGGAAGCAAGAGATGAACGAGGAAAGGAAGGAAGGAAGGAAGGAAGAATGGAGGGAAGAGTGGTCAGAGGATGCTCTGCACTGAAAACACCACCTTTCATCCACCTGTGAAGTGCCCCCCAAAGCACCACTCAACCAGACTGGACTTAACGAAGGTCCACCAGGATCGAATCACTGAAGCTCGGTGAGGCGTTTTTGTCCTGATACAAACGCATGTATAACAATATGACATTTGTATGCGATCAGCCGATTCCTGTCTGTGAATGAGGTCATAAAACCACATTTATTCAGTTTCTCAGGGTCTGCAGATATTTAGATAAAACATCTACTCATGCACAACATCTAGAACTCTCAGCTAAGGTTTGAGCTGAGTGTCAAATCCATGCATGTGATTGGCGAAGGGAAAAGACGAGTCGAGTTTATGAGGTTAAAAACAACTACACACGAATGAATAACCGATTTAAAGCAAAAGTTTGAATGAATTCAAGATCAGATCTGCCCTTTAACGTCTACATGAGGGGACATTTTGACCACAAACACTTCATCTCCTGCAGGTCGTTCAGTTATTTTGCGGCACTTCTGGATTTTTCTTTAACACATAAGAGGCTGATTTGATTTAGTGAAATTTAAGTGTTGAAGTCATTCGGACGGACAGTATGCACACCGACACCCTCAACACCAATCGGACAATCGAAGCTCTGTCAGTAAAGTAACTACAGTTTGTTTTAAACACTCTTTGTACCTTTTCTTTTTCTTCTTCTCTCGTTTCTTCAGTCTCTCCAGGTCTTTCTTGGCCAGTTCGATGATATCCGACGTCTCCTTCTCCGGGGCCATCATGGTGGAGGAGAAGGAACCGGGTCCTCCGTAGAAAGACTGACGGCTGGAGGCTCGTGACAAATTCTTCCTTAAGTTCTCGTTCACGGCCTCGCTCTCCAGGAGTTTGGCTCTGCGGGGGAAAATTTCCACAAAATTTTAGACTTTTCCTCATCTCTGGTTGAGGTAAATATTCTGATTTGAAAAATTACAGAAATTCTGTGGAGCTGAAAATCATAAACAGTCAGACTTATTCACCTGAGGTCCTCGATCTCTTTGATGTAACCCTGAATCATGTTTCCGATTTCTTCAGTTCCTCCTTCACCTTAAGGAGGAGAAAACAGATTTTAACATCAGTGAACTTCTTATCTAATAAAAACACAACAAACTATGAAAAAGGGAGTTAAAAATGAAGTCAAAGCAGAGAAACCAAACTGAACATGTCCATCTCTTTAAAGTGTGCAGACTCAGGATTTGTCCTCACCTGCTCTGGCGAGGGCCTGGTTGGCCTGGTCACTGAGCAGCTGAGTGAGTCTGGCTCTCTGGGCGTCGATGGTCTCCTGCATGGCCTTCACCCTCACCCTCAGATTGCTGTTCTCCGTCTGCAGCATCGAATTCTCGTGGAACATGTCGCTGAAGCTCTCCACGCCGTCCTCGCCCATCAGACGTTTGCCCTGCAAAAAGGAGGAGAAATGAAGAGGTGCTCGTTTGTTTGCATTTAGGAAACTAGTTGAAGTTTATTCTAACAACTCCCCCTGTGTCCTCACCGTTTTGTACTCCATCAGCTCCATCTGCAGACGAGCGATCTCCGTCCTCAGAGCGCTGATCTGCTGGCTGGCCTTGTCCTGGTTCACCATCACCTTGTTCTTGATGTTTCGGGCTCTGTTGGCGTACTTTAAGGTGTTCAGCGTCTCCATGAAGTCTCGATCAGACGGGCTGATGCACGCGATCATCACTGTTTGGCTGAAAGGCGAACAAAGTATATATCTGTTAGGTCTGGGAAGGATCTGCAGAGAATGACACAGATGTACTGGAGGAGATAAATCAGACGTCATGCACCGACCTGTTTCCTCCTAATGAGTCCTGCAGGAGTCGGGTCAGTTTGGAGTCTCTGTAAGGCACATGTGAGCTCCTCTTGCTACGGTCACCCAGAGCGCTGATTACATTCCCCAGAGCGAGCTGCAGCAAGAAAGACAAGTACAAGATGATGCCAAGATAATGAAACTGGAAACTATAAAAACTTTAAAGTAGGAACAAAAACAAACCACACACGTGTCCAAATCATCTCAGCTGTGACTTTTATTTTGGACGTTTGACCAGGTAGAAGTCAGTTTCTCAGTCTGATATGGTTTATTGTTGGAAGTTTATGGTTTAAGGGTAGAGAGATAGTTTTCATAGTTTTCACCTTGGATGGGCATGCAGAAGTAGACCAGTAGAAGAAACTGAACATTATCAGTGAAGATAAGTGTTTGTCTCTCTCATGTTTTTCAGTATTTATTAAATCAATCAGCCCACTAGCAGTCGTAAAGATCCGTCTACAGGTTTTCAGTGTTTTCCAGCTGAACAGAGCTTCACAAACTCTACCACTAGATGGCAGTAGACTCCTGTGTTTCTATTGGTGTATGTGACAGAGCGCTGCAGGAGTGAAGGACTCTCACCAGTCCACAGTTGATGGAGATGCCCTCTTTGGCTCGGTCTCCCGTCGCTCCGGTTCTCTTCAGCCTCTCAGAACCGGCCAGGTCCACAAAGTGAAACTTGGCTGTCAGCGTCTCGTACTCGTCCATCTCGGAGTTTCCATTGGAGACTCTGTTATCAGTCTCACCTTCTTGCTGAGGGACAACGACAAACACAAACACTGTCAGTCATCCTTTGCTTTACTTTGTTATTTTTTTGGGTCGTACTGAAACTGGACTGACATTGTCGGAGGCACAGACGCGAACTTGGCACAGGTGGATGGTGAAGATGGCGTGGGATCGAGAACTCTGGACGTTCATCTGGGTGCTGGCTGTGGTACGGGACAGAGCGCCCAGCTTCAGGCACTGCATCATCTAAAACCCAAAGCACAGGAAAATACCAACACAGTCATAACTTCTTATAACCAATGGATGAGCCTGTTTGTACTTATCATGCACATGTGTCACAATATTAATAATACAGTTTTGAAGGTCACTCCTTTACCTCAGCCGCAGAGGATACAGTCCGTGTGGTCACGCCGACCGTGTAGATTCCCCCAGTGGCGTCCTCGTGGATCTTTATGTGTGATTTCTGCTTCATGTCTCGAGCAGAGTCGAACAGGTCCAGAACTTCCTCATTATAAAGCTACACAGAGAAACACAAACATACAGAAATTAAGTCAAAACGTGGATTTAATCAGTGAATTTTACATCCTCTTTAGTCAGCAGAAATCTGGGGAAATGCGAGATAACCAGAGTAAGAGGAAATATGTAGATAATCTGAGAAGTGATGTCTGACATTAACCCTATCTGCTCATCTCCTCCACTTCCAGGTCGGCTGCAGGAATTCGAACTCTGTCACTCTCTGACGGACCAGAACAACTGTCTGCCACTTCACTCCTGCTAACCTCCTGTCCGGGCTGAGATTCCTGCACCGTCCCCTCCACCTCCTAACCCCCCGATGACAGCTGCTGCAGTTCAATTGTCACTGTGGATGTTTTTAAAATGATGGAGCGCCGCTGTCAAAGCTTGTTAAACGAGTGGTGTCAACAATATAAGCCTGACCTCTGACCTCTCTGTAGAATCGGTCTTAACACTTCTTAGAGATAGAAGTTTTCAGCTCATAATTAAAGATCAAAAAAGTCACTTAAATGCTAAAGAACATGTTAATTATTCTGCTCTGAAGCTCGTTGTTTACCTCGAGGAACTGGGCGTTGATTTTGAACTCAGGTACAGGACGTCCCTGCTCCTGGGCGGCCTGGCGCCGCTCCTCGATGCCCTTGAAGAGATGCTGGACAGCGCGGGGGATGATACCCAGCTCCTCCTCCATGATGTTGACATCAAAGCCTGTCCCCATCGTGTACGTCTTTCCTGAACCCGTCTGAATGAGAAGAAGCAAAAGAACTCATTAACGGATTAATTCAGCGGCGTGTCTGGAGTTTCTTTGACCAGGGGGCCTAGACTGAGGCACAGGGGTGGCCGGGGGAAAACTGTGACTTCAAAAGGATTTTCCCAGGTTGATTCATTAAAGCAACCGTAAGGAACTTGCGCCCCCTGTAGACAAAGGTGATCTCTCCTTCATATTAGCTTTATCACGTCCTGCACATGGGTAAGCCGTATTTATTGACCAAAAATCTCACCCTGGGTCATAAATAAATGCCATGGAGCACAGTTTCTTCACTGGGCTGTCGCGCTGCTTGATTGAGTTTTCTAAAATCTGCATCACACCCATTTAGGCAACTTAAAACCTTTAAATCTTAAAAAACGCAAAGTGGAAAAAGTCTAACTTTTTTTTCTCATGTCTGATTGTCTAATTGGATGATCTAAAAAGTCACATCTACTACTATTGAAAGGGACCGTGCCTCAATTATTCACTTCACTTTGAGAGCTTACTCGCCTAATTAAATGCAAATTTAATCAGATCTAACAAATCACTCAGCCTTTACAAGCTTTTATACGACGTCTTTTATAACATTAAAACCTGGGCTTGTATTTAATTATGATTTAGAACGATGCCTCTTTTTTTTTTTTAGTCTTGCACTCGTTAGCTCGTGATCGCTCTCTCCGGGGAGGATGCACTTCATGTAATGTATAGGACATAACAGTCCTGATTATCATGTAATTAGGATCATGAGGAGCCGTAATTATGATCCTAATTGAGATCCAATTAATCGCCCAGCTATAGTGGGCTGTAAATCGTCCTACCATCTTCACTCTTGCAGCATTTATGGCCATTAAATGTTACAATAAAGATTTGTCAATATGTCTACAGATGGTCCAGTTTAGGGATGTATATTGTGAGGCTCATTTGGACATATCCCACCCAGCAAAAAGTGGTTGAAAAGACATTTAAGAAATGTCTTCACCGAATGTCTAAACAACGTCTATCATCTAATGAAGCCCAGTTTTCAACGTCTTTTTTTGGGCTAAGTTACGACCATGATGGGCCGAAGTGATTTACCCTGAAAAAAGATGTCTAAATGACATTGGGTGTTTGGTGGAATACTCTGATTGATTTTGATTTTTGTAAAAAGGGGCAAAGTTACTTTTTGTTTTCTCTACTTTTTGAACTATTTTCGGTTGATACTGACACCGACCACACCAAACACTCTTAGTCTAGTTTGCGTTTATGGGCCATTTCGAGACATCACCTTCCTAACCAAGGTAAAACTTCTCACAGGAGCTTTAGAGGGCTCTAAAAGATGCTTACCCAAAGTTACGACTAACAGTGAGCTTGATTTAAGCCTTTTCAAACACAGCCCAAACAGCTGATTTATCATCCTAAGTCCCGACTCTAACAGGGCAAATATCCAGTAAAAGCTTAGATTTACAGGCTGTGCCCTCGGTGGCTGATTAGACTTTCTGAGAGGTTAAAAAATAAAAAGTTTCTTTCTATTTTTACTGCACTATATCAAAGATGAACAATGATTCACATCGAATACCAAAGTCCTTTAACGAGACAGTGAAATTACTCTCCTCTCTACATCATTGCTGTCTGTTTATATCCGCAACCCAACCAGGCTGAGTTCTTGTGATGCAGCCCAGTGGGTCGATCTAAATCTAGATTAGTCCCCTTTAAAGCCAGGGAGGCAACCAGGTCTGATCCAGGCCAGAGCGACCAACCGCTGCCTCTGCCTGACGAAGAAGAAGTAGGCCAGCACTGACAGCAGCGGTAACTGGGGAGATATGGGTTAATATGGGCACACATTAAAGATGTATGACCGTCTAAAATAGGTGTTTGTGCACTTCACTTTGAATCCTGTGCGAGCCTTGCAGCGGGAGCCATGTCGCCACGGCAACCCAAGCAGTAGGGGAGGCAAAAAAAGGGGGAGGAATGAGGCCTAACTTGCATGTTATTTCCATGTGGTTAACTTGGTGATAGAAGAAACGAAGGGAAAGAGGAGGAAATCTAAAGAGGAGCTTCGAATGATTATCATTTTCAGGATTTGTTGATTTGTTCTTCTCCTCTGAGACAGACAAATAAACAGTTTCAAACTTTCAAACAGCACACACTCTCCTCATCTAACTCTCATATTTTCCTAAAATGTCCTACAGTTCTTTTAAAACAAAGGTCACAGAGGTTCAAATTCCACAACAGCAGTGTCCTCTGGTTTCCTTTTGCCAAAATGTCAACACTTTCCACCTCGCAAACACTAAACCCTTCTCCTTCTGTCCTCAAACACACAAATTCACAGAGCGGTTTCCCCACATCCACCCAGCTATAAAGCACCGCCAGCGCCGCAGCTGTGACACCGAGGACAAAGACTCGCCTGTCCGTATGCAAACACGGTGGCGTTGTAGCCTTCGAAGCAGCCGTCGATCAGCTTCTCGGTGCAGGTGGTGTAGATGGAGTCCTGCTGGGAGTCCATGTCGAACATGTAGTCGTAGGTGAAGGACTTGTCTTTGCCCAGGATCACCTGAGGCTCCCCGGGCATCACATACGTGCAGATGTGACATCCTTCGATTTTCTCCCGGGCCAGCTGAGGACGAATCCTGCAGAAAACAGACGAAAACAAGAAAGATGAAAGTTTGTTGAGGTGACGATGAGGAATTACTTAAAAATACTCTCATAGGAATGATTTTACATTGATCCACTGCAACACTGTTCAGTTTTTTATTCTATTTTCTTTATAAAGGCGAGAAAGCACAAAATTTGACCATCATTTTACACAAAAGTAATGACAAATTAATTCTGCTGATGAAATGAAAAGGTTCAGTGTATCTAATCTGAGAGGGATTACTGCATAAGATATGACATGTATCAGTGTTCATCATGTGAAGTTTTATTGCACATGACATGAAAAGTAATGTGCATAATATCAAGAGTATCACTGCATGTGATGGTACCCTATATTCATGGTTTCATTACCCTTATTAAGCATGACATAAAAAGTGGGATTGCACATGATTTTATTTTACATGATAATTATTGTTGCGCATAATGTAAAAACTAAAACTGTATTGCTCTAGACAACACGACATGTATCAGTTCATCATGTGAGAAGTTTTATTACACATGACATGGTATGAAAAGTAATACTGTCAATGATATTTAAGTACCATTGCACACGTTAAGCTGGCACATGGTTTGAAAAGTGTTATTGCACATGACATAAGTACTTCTGCATTATGATGATTGCACATGACATAAGTACTTCTGCAAATGCTATAAAGGATTATTGCGTATGATATGTAAGTCTAACTGCAAATGATGTGCTACATATTTTTGCATATGATGTGGTGAAGATAGTTGCGCATGATCTGAAAACTGTTATTGCACATGTTGTTGAAAGTTTTATTGCACATGATATGAAAATTATTGTTGAAAACTGCAGATAAAATGAGAGGTTAAGTGCACCTGAAATGGAAAATATTGCTTAAACGACATGAAATGATGTGAAAAGTTTTATTACACGACATGGTATGAAAAGTTATACCATATTTTTCACACTATAAGGCGCACCATCGATGAGGATTTTCGAGAAAATTAAAGGATTTTAAGTGCGCCTTATAGTGTGAAAAATACAATAATTGTACATATGAGCGTTACTGCACATGGGGTTAAAGGTAATATTGTACTTCAAATTATTAGCTTTAATGCAAATGATGTATATGACATAAGTACCCTTGCAAATCACATGATGATTATTGCACATGATGTGAAATGATCTGCTCAGTATTACTGTTTGTGGTGCAAGGATCATTCCACATTATGTGTGAAGTATTGTTGCAAGTATTGGGAAGAGTATTATTGCATGATCAGAAAGTTTTCTTGCACATCATATGCAAAGTATGATTTCACATTTTTGAGAGTTTTATTGCACATGTTTGGACAAGAATCATTGTTCTAAAGTGAAAATTGTAACTGCACAGTTCTGGTTTTAACTAGCTGGGACGATATGCTTTTATCCCGATGTGATTCTTCTACGTTTTTTTGGATGCCGATTCAATTTTAATTGCAATTCCACGATGTTGTCGATTTTCAGTCTGCCTTTTTAACACCAGTGAAACAGTTGAATGATAATGACTGTCTACTGACTATTCCAGGAACCATATTTCCTAAAAAATACACATCATATGTCAGTCAAAAAAGTATTATTAAAATTTTTTATGTGCATTGATTTTTTCTCCCACCCCTAGTTTTATCTGTCTTTTTATTGTAGGGATTTGTTGGTATTGATTGTTGAAAAGTAGTCATATTAAAGCCTTTTTTTATTAGCTTACTCATATTGTCATTTTCAAACCTTGAATAATCCACAATCCCTGCCCTTTCCAGAAAACCACAGTTCATCAGTGACAGATTAGATTTTTTTGTTGTGTTCAAATACTGGAGATGAGGGGAGGATAAAAAAAAGAGCTTCAGGCAGTGAAAAATGTTGGCGTAACAACAAGTATTAAAAAGAGAAATCCTACCGCACCCAAACCGCTCACTTAAATCAGAACTAACACCAAAGAATCAACAGGTTTCAAGTTTGTTGCCAAATCTGATTAAGTGCAAATAGAAAGGTGAATAATAGCGCAGCCTCACATCAGGAAAGAAGATAAGCCTCAAAGGCAAACACTTAAGACTCATGGCATGAGCACGTTTTAGTGAGGATTACCACAGTCAGTCAGTTAAGCAGAGAAATAAACAGACACGCTGAGTTTGATGGATCTCTACCAGTTTAGATGCTTTATCTGTATTTGTCTGACTCAGCCTGCTGCTGCTGAGGCACTTGTCAAGGATTTTGCTCGTTATGAGAGTGAAAGAGAGTGTGAAGTTTTCTGGCACACTGAAGAGAGTGCATGTGAGGCCAAGTTTGGGTTGCAAGTCCAAATCCTTTTTGGGCATTTATCCAGATTAACTTTTTTTTTGTTTCATGTTGAGCAGCCTTAATCTCGAGGCATGTGTTGATTTTCCAACCTTTGAAAAGATCCTGATGACAAAAACAGCTGTGTCTGCAGCAAACCCAGTTTCGATTATTTACATCCAAAACATATTTAATAATTGTAATATTTGATTGGCTAAATATTAGAGAAAAAAAAAAAAAAAAAGTTCAGTGCATCACTTTTTGTAACTTTTGCCACCATTAAAAGTTATGAAATAGTGCCGTTCTTAAAGGCACTGTGAGGAAAATTACATGTTGTGTTGATTCTGGTGATTTAAATTTGGTAGTGTTTCTGCAGACTGAAGACTACATTTCCCATGAGCACCGTTACCCACTATAGTAAATCTGCAGCTCTTTCCAAAGCATCCACTTGCTGTGGAAACAAACAATTGGGAAACAGATCTTTGTAAAACTGCTTTCCTTTGTTTTGGACAACTTTTTGCAGGATGCACTTCAACAGAAAGACCCATCTTTTTGCTGATTATGCTCCAGCACAATCTCACTCTCTCCTCCCATTTCCTGCTCTATTAAAATAATTAAAATCAATTAAGTAAATATTTCTGTAGCTCCATGTTACCTTAATATCATGAGGACAATCAATACCATAACAATGTTTTGCCCCAACAGCCAATCAGAGTGATGGCCAATCAAATTTTAAAGTCCAACCCTCCGAGTGTGCCCCTTACAAACATGTCATACTATTAACAACAATGCAAACACATCCATTTTAACACCATGTGATTTAGACTGAATTAAGCCTGAGCTTATTTATGATATAAGGGCAGGTTGAACAGGATGCATAATTTCTGTGGATGCTGACACAAGCGCAACAGCTGCTGTGGGGATCATAGTTGTGTCATACAGTAGAGTGGTAATTACACTACATTAGTAATTATGCCTCCGAGTTTCTATGGATAAAGGCGACTTAATTAAGCAGGAAACTGGACATGTGAAACAGACACAGAAATACTGTAAAAGTAAGAAAGTAAAACTACATTTATATGTCTGTGATCGACAGAACCAAAGCTGTTTTTACATTTTTGTACTGCTGCAGATGTGACGTTCTGATACGAAACCAGTCCAGGGTCGACATCCTGCTCTGACCCAATACTTTGTCCCATAAAAACCTGCCAGCTGGGTTAATATGTACTGATTTAGTGGGTCTGTCTGTGCATGAGTGTGCGACAAAGCTGATATGTTGGTGCTCATGTCCTGAATGTTGTCCAACTGTCTTAATCGAGCGGGGATTATCCAGTTTAGTCTGGATGGAAAGGAAAGAAGAGAGATTGTTCCGTTTGTGTTCCCTCTTTTTGCAATGAAAGTGAAATAAAACGATTAAAAAATCATTTAAAGAGACACATTTGAGAAGTGCTAAACTCCTGATGCAACAAAAATGATCTCTTATGAATGTCAATATATCATTTTCAGCAAACTGTCCACTCTGGGTCAGCTCATAAACACGCTCAGAGGAAAAGCACCTGAAAGAAAAAGCGAGCCTGCTTCTCTCTCTTTCTTTCTTTCTCTCTCTCTCTCTCCCTCTCTATCCTGCATGGAAAAATAAAAGCCTCATTGTGCCTCCAAGTTCAGAGGAGAACAATGCAGTGAGGGGAGTACAGTGCAGGCATTGTGTCCGCCTGTGCGACACTGGATCCCGGTGCTGACACCAATGTTACGGCTGCAGGATTACACGGCCGGACGATGGCGAGGGAGGAGAGGGAACGTCCTGCCTGGATGACATGATGACTCATCAATAGTTAAAAACCATCAATTAGCAGGACAGCATATGAAAAGTGCTGCAAAGGTGGACTCGAGCTTTATTTCTTTTATTTTCCAGCCATTGTAGCTCAACATCTGTCTCAGTTTGAACCCATGCCTTTGCAGGAGTCTGCGAAAACTGAGACTTTTATTGTGAAGGAGTTGCAAAAAGATGCCTTGAGCTGAGTCAGCTAGTTTGACCTTAAATTGCAAAGTTGAATCTTTAAATCTTAGTCAGCAGAGTAGTTTTACACGAGCAGAGCAGGAGCGGTTGATTCTTCGATAGGTGGATCCACAGAATCACTACAGGAAACTTTTGGACGGTTTATCGACGTTTTTGTGGATTTATAAGGACAAACTCTGAATATTTGTTAGTTTCTGCTTCTCAAATGTGACGATAATTAAGGTTTAAGTTGTTTCTTACGTCCTTTACACACCTAATTAAATATTGATGAATGCTGCAACATACAGCTGGACATCTGAGGATTAAAACAAGCTCTGCAAACTGTTGGCTCGGCTATCTGTTCACAACACATACAGCTAATATTTAAGATGTATTTCGCACAAGCAGAGCGACAAATGCTGGAACAAGGTGTGCATTTCGAGTCTATAATCATAAAAATATTGATAATTAGCTCTACCAAATGCTAATTCTGATGCAGACTGGTGACAGTGACATAATCTAATGATCATTTAACATTAAACAGCTAAAGTTCAACAGTTAAGTCGAGTTAAAGCTCAATTAGGCAATTTAACTGGACCGCTGGTGCGATTTTAGTCGGACTGATGTGGTTACGTGTAAATTAAAGTTCACATTCAGTCAAACCAACGCAGTATATTGATCTGTGTTTTTAGCAGAGCCTTCCCAGCATCCTGAATGTAAGTACAGCTGCATGTACTGAATGGAAAAGTCTACCTAGTAACCGTTTTGTCCTTGAGATTCTCAGCTGAGCCGAAACAGGACAAAACAAAGACTCCACAAACCTCCTAATCTGCGTCAGTCATGCGCTCTATTGTTTGTGGATCTCTGTTGTTGTAATGAAACGAATGACGTGATCCTCAATCGGAAAATCAATTATCCCGCATGTCAAATCGCCGTATTCAATCGATTCCACATTTCTTCGGCTTATGAGAGTGTCCCAGAAATCTAATCCTTCCAGAAACCACATGGGGGTCTTTGTTTCAGACACTTTAGCTCACTAATTGGGTGTGTAATCCTGTCTGTTTCAACACTCCCCCCACAGCACTCTCACACCCGGGAAATCTGCTGCCATTTTAGGAATTTACTCTCTTTTCATCTGCATGTATAAAAAATGAGACATCTTGGTTTACCATTGGGGATTTTTGACGGGGGATTCATCCGTGGAAAAGTAAATATTAATAAAGTCTGAGACAATGAGAGGGGAATCAGTCAGGGGTGTGTTTGTTTAAAACTGTATGCAAAGAGAAGACACAATTAGATACGCAAAAAAGCACACGGAAAAATCACAGTAACCTGAGAGTTGCTGTATCGACGCCGCAGCCGTTAAAAGCAGCTGTGGGGACTCGTCTGTGGATTTTGAGAGTTAAAGGAAGGGGAGGAGCCGAGGTCAAAGGTCAGAAGTCAGGAGAGGGTGAGGGTCAGAGTCAAGGGTCGTGACGTCTCCTCACTAGAGACTTGTTGTCTAGATATCAGCAGCCAGAAACAGATACAAGACGGTCCAATCAGGTAGGGTCGTTTCTTCAAACTCTCCTCCTGGACCGAAGAGGAAACACTAAAAAAAACGAACATTTCAGATTCAGGAGCACGATTTAAAACACAGTAACGCTCAGTTTATCATTTACTTCTCTGCTCTCTGTGTGTGTCTGAGCTGTTGGCTCACGAGAGCGCGCCCAAACCTGCTACAACAACCCCGCTTACTCCCTCCAACCACCAAACCTCCTCCTCACTGCATCCAATAAATCATTACGGGTGCAGCGCTCACTGCAAAGGGGGTGTGGCAGAGAGGTGTGTGAGAGTGTGTGTGTGTGTGTGTGTAACACTGCAGTCAATGAAATCCCTTAGCAAAAAAAGGAAACGCTGAGGTGCTGCATTAACACCAGCACATGTACAGTCTGAGTCTTATTCGCTGTCTTTGGACTGTGCTTGTGTTTGCTTTGATTTATCGGACATGCCCTAAACTTATCATCTTTTGTGCTCTGCTGTAACTCTTGTCTGTTTTGTTTTAGTATCTAGTGAGTCCTTTGAGTTTGGCATCTTTTTATAGAAATTTTACAGCAACAGCAGCCATTATTACATCTAGCGTTTCTAATATTAAATAAATGCTGTAAAGAAACAACTCTTGAACTCTGTTACTGAAACTTCTCTGCAGGAAATGTTCCCTGAGAAACGGCATTTACGATTTTATTATGGTATTTTCTCCCGTCTTGTGTTTGAAAGTTCGATACTACACTTTTATTTTGGAGTATCCTACCTTCAAGAGACTTTTGGAACTGAAAGAAAACAGTAGCAAAAACAGGAAACAAATTTTTTTAAGTGTTCAATCATCTCTCAGAAATCTGCTATAGTTAATTTGTGAGCAATCCACTACTTCTTAATTTCTCTTCCATTTGATGACGCGTGATAACCAGCATAGCAGAGTTCAGCTGTGGAGTTTGAGTATTACCATTTGTTCATTTTAAGCACAAAATTAATATTTCTTAATAGTTTTTAAGAAAACAGTTACTATCAATACAGATATATTGCAAGGGACTATGATATGATACAATGGGATATGATACAATTGTATTTGATGCAATTCGTTACACTACATTACAATACGATATGATACAATATGACACAAAGCGATGCCATACAATACAGTGGGATATGACGCGATACAATGCGATAAAATACAATATGATCTTACAATATGCAATATGTTCCGTTACATTACAATATGACACGCCGCGATGCAATACAATGGGATATGATGGGATATGACATATGATATGATATGATGGTATTTAATGCAATAGGATACACTACATTACAATATGTTATGATACAATATGACACAAAGTGATGTCATATAATACAATGGGATATGATGCAATATGATACAATGCGGTACAATATGATGGGAAATTATGCAATATGATACGTTACACTACAATATGACATGCTGCGATGCGATGGTATATGCCGCAATATGATGGGATATGATACCATATCATATGATGCAATATGACACGATACAATGTGATATAATGGAATATGATATAATACACCTACTTGTCTCCTTTGGGAAATCTGTCTCAGACTTAAATGCTGCGTACACTCAATGACCGCCACAATACCAGTGATAAATAAAAACACTAAAAATCAAAGAGTCTACTTGCAACCAAAGACACATGTCGAAGAAAAAACACCAACGGCATACTGAACATATTGCACATTAACCATACTGCACAAAATCTGCACAAAACAGCATAATTTAGAGAAAAAATTAGACAATATGACCGGGATGAAACTTTTGTACAAACCATACAGGCATGAGAGACATTAATATTTCAAGTGAAGTGTGGTCTGCACAAAAAGTGAAATGCAAAGAAGTGAGCAGTGGTCAGATATGTCTTTGTTCTGATAAAGTCTGGTGTGAGGGTTTCTATCTTATTTAGCTACTTAATAACAAAGCTGTACACGTCTGAGTGGAAAAAACAACAACAGTTGAAGACAACATCCCGGGTTTTACTAACAATTTATGAATAATGTAAACTGTTTTTAAGATTTGCAGACAAAGAGCCGTGCTGCAGAGACTCAGAACAGCCTGTTTTTTTTCTCCCACACGCAAAAAAAAAAGTCAAAGCCAGGCGCACAAAAGCTGCACTCCCAGTGATCGCTGCAGACAGGGGGAAGTAAACAGGCCGGACCTTTCTGTGGAGATTTGCTGAGAGCAGCAGTGCGGCTGTCTTGGGATGATGTCACCTGCTGCTGGGCTGCCCACTCCACTTCAAGCATAACGCCTCACTGTCCTCCACAGAGGAGACGATTACAGGCTGCATGAAGGGCGGAGAGGACGGGAAGGTAATAAAAGAGAAAGTGGGTCTTTGTCACACTCTTGGCTCGACACCAGAGACTCTGCAGGCCGTTGCGTACGTGCCTCATTGTGGTTGTAAATCGTTGACAGGCTGCATGTGAAAGACGAGCTTTCACACGAGACAGCGTCAGATAATCATTTTTACAAGACATAATGTGCCAGAAGGGCGAGGTTTGCCTTTTCAGTTTGAGACTCCAGGACAGTTCAGAACTGGTCAGGCAGGTAGAGAATTACAGAAACATGTACCAGATTGCTCTCAGAGCAGCTCAGTGCTCTTCTGCATAATCTCTCTGTCAGTCACAGACGAAAATAAAGAGACGAATCCCAGTATAAGGAGATGCTTTGGACCTTGAGTGAAACTATAAACCATATAAAAAGACACCAAAACATTTAGAGCTCCCCTACTGACCGGCTGCAGTATTTTCAATAAAGTACACTTCCTCCATGTAAACAGATGGGGCATAGGTCAAGCTATAAAATCAAACTGCAGGTGAAATAAGTCATTCTCTGGCACAGTTTCTCCTTCATTGGTTCATTCTTTTTAAAGATGATTTATGTCCAAGAGCTCATTTTTCTGTGAAGTTCAGCTAAACTTGTTTTTTTACACTCTAATAGGAGGCGTTACTCTGTGATTGGCAGCTCTGTAAAGTGTCATGTGCACTAGATCAGCAGAAAATAAGAAACAGGGAGAGGAACAATAACAGAGGAGTCACTGACAGAACTCTCCATAACCAAACTGTTTCCTGCACTGACCTCCAGGATCTTTGCTCTCTGTTAGTTATACGTCTGCTTTGGTTAGTAGAGAGAGACCGGGACGTCAGAAAGGCAGTTGATCACTCCAAAATCCTCACAGCACAATGTCAGGAGACTCTCTGCAAAGTCTTGAACTTTACAGTCAATAGGTGAGACTGGAAATGTCTAACATCCCTGTATTTTTAGATATTTATACTCTCAAAGAAAGGAGAGGTCAGACAAGAGGAGGAAGGAAAGAGTGTTTTTTTTTCTTTTAACTTGTCAGAAATCTTACTCTTACATCTGTTTCATTTTTATGTTTAATCAAAACTGAAACCCAGTCACCAATAAAATTGTCTCACCTCGTGTACCGCCCACAACACAAAGAAAACAGACCCAGAGAGAGACACACACACAAGCAGCAGAGCCAAAGTTGAGCACTTTTTGATCTACTGACTTTATCGGCTACTCAGAAAATAAAAGGCCAATACAGATAATCGGCAAAATGCAAAATATTGGCCCCAATAATCAAAGACAATCATAAGTCTACACCTAATATCAGGATACTGTCAACATTTTATGAAGGTTGTTGATTGAAAAAAAAAACAATAAATCAATTCAAAACAAATATATATATATATTTTGTTATGATATATCTAAATCCTCAATTATGATGAATGGGCCTCTTACAGACACTTCGTGTGCTGCTCTATCCCCTCTGATTAAAGCATTAAAAACCAAAACTAACAAGAAGAATACAAAGAAAATATCCGTCTCTACCCTACCCTACCCTACCCTTCTCCTAAAAACTGAACAAATTAATGTGGTTTAAGTCAGTCATATATTGGCAGAGCTCTCCACTACAACAGTGTATAACTTTTAGGCGATAAATTCCATCACAGACTCAAAAGATGAATAATTTTTCAACCTGGTTAACATCTTTTTTCTTCTTACTTTATTTACAGAATAGGTGATTTTTTTTCTATACTTTTTGTCTCTAATATTTTGTCGATAATTTTTGTCGATAATGTCATATGTCAGCCACCAAAAAGTCCCTTTTAGCAACTAAAAGTGCACTATATGGATGTTTGAAAAAGGGTTATTTTCTATTGAAACAGAAACTTAATGATTGTAATTATGACAGCTGACGAGTCTTAAGGTCAAAAAACTGCCAGGAAACATACAAAATTGAGCACAATGCATTTAACCCAGCTGAACGCAGGATGAGAGATTCTGGGAGTGAATTTAGACGAATTGATTTGTTGGATATGAGAGAGGGAGAGCAGAGCCCGCAGCACCAGCCTCGGGTCCTTCTTACGAGTTAACTTGCACATGTCTGTGCTGGTCGAACGTCTGCTGTGTGTCTACTGCCATTGTAAAAAGAAATTACTTGCTGCCAGTTGTTATATGCAAGAAATCACCTCTGTCTGCAGTTTGGGGATTAGTGCAACAGAGCTAAGCTGGTGTGTGTGTGTGCATGTGTGTGGATGTGTGTGTCGATGGGGGGTTGCATGCAGGTTTAGAGAGACAGACTTAACACTATCAGAGCTGGAAATGATATAAGGCTTTCAAAAATCTGTGCAAGACTCAGAGCTTGTCTGTATTTTGCAGGATACTCAAATAAAAAGTAAATATCAGAAGTGAATATAATAAAGCTGCAGATGCAACTGCTAAGCTTGTGTTCTTCCCAGAAGTTAAAATAAAACTGTCTGCAGTCACACTGCAGAATAAACAGACGACAGAGATCCTATTCTGCTTTAGAAGGATGCTTCAAAAGTGTGTTTAAGAACAATGAGACCGCTCATTTTTAGTATCACACACCCTGCTAGCAGTGGTTTCATGCTCTGCACACTCAGCCAGACAGGACCACCTACTGTAGCAGACAAAAAGTACAATCTAATAAAACATGAAGAGCAGTGAAAAACACACTTAAACAGGCTTCAGTGCTTTAGACGAAAACCAAATCCATGACACAGTTTCATATGTTCTTTTGAGATGTGCTTATTCTCCAGTACTGTACCAATATGTCTGAAAACACTCTGTACTCTGCGTGACACAGAGGATGGGGTTGTCATGGTGACCAGCAATGGAAGCCAAGAATTAAAGTCATAATCCGATCCCAGCAGGATATAATGCCGGTCTGGTCGAATAAAAAATACCAGAAGGAGGGGCAGCAGAGGCAGACAGACAGCTAGAGGGGGAGAGAGAGAGAGACAGAGAGAGAAAGAGAGAGAGAAAGAGGGAGAGAGAGAAAGAGAGAGAGAGAGAGAGAGAGAGAGAGAGAGAGAGAGAGAGAGAGAGAGAGAGAGAGAGAGAGAGAGAGAGAGAGCAGCTCAGCGTCCAGACATCCGTCACAGTCTGCAGCAGGAGGTTAATTCACTGCCAACCTAAGCGAAGAATTAGGAACAAATTTTTCAAGCATGAGCCTCTGAAATGGTTTATCATTTAATTAGTTTATACCCACGGGGAGAATTTGCAACCACTTAGTCGGGCTTTAATGTAAGCTTAGACGCATGTGGGGCTATTTCAATATGTACAGTGGAAAATATAACTTTAAATCAACAGCTGAGTAGACTCCTGTGAGCAACAGTATGACTTTGAAATGTAAATGAAGCTGCTCGACTGTTTTAATATTAATATGGCTAAAGAGCCGCTATTCAGGTATGTTTAAATGCAGCATTTTGTGACATCGTTTTAATCTAAGAAGTGATGATACCGTAATATAAAGGCTGTGTCTTATGTATGATCAAAAGCAGACTGAAGAAGAGACTTAAAGGGATATTCTGGCGTAAATTTAAGTTATGATCAAACACACTGTAACACCGAGTTAGACCCCCCCTCGAGAGATGAATGTTGCCGACCGCTTGCTTCTCTAGTTATACCAACTTTAGTAATGATAGCACGATAGCAATACACAGTGGTCTGTGTCTCCATGACCAAAACGCCACTCTATAGCCACAAATAATGCTCAGAACAGCACCTAATTTCATCAACAGTACATATAGGGTCCCAGCCATAGTACTAGCCACCAAACATCTTTTAGCTTTGCCTGATTTCTTTAGCAAAGAGACTAAACACAACTCACCCACTCTCCTCCAGCAGCCACTTGTTTGTGGGGGAGCCCTGACAAATCAATCACTGTGTGCAGTGGAGTTTAGCAGCTCAAGGAAGAACAGTTATGATTATAACTTCATGGAAATGCAATCAGACCAAGATGCTAAGGCAGGAGAACTACCGTATCTGCAGTGCACATACAAGAGACACAAGAACTCTGATTGCATTTCCATTAAGTAATAATCATAAATGTTCTTGAGCTGTGAAATTCTGCAGTACTCAGTGATCGACTCGTCAGGGCTCCCCCACAAACTGCTGTGTATTGCTATCGCGCAGTCGTTGCTGAAATTGGAAAACTAGAGAAGCAAGCGGTCAGCAACATTCATCTCTCGAAGGGGTGTCTAACTCTGTGTTACAGTGTGTTTGACCATGACTTAAATTACGCTGGAATATCCCTTTAATGCTGAACTCGAGGTTGAGAGGACCCTTTTTTACCAATTTATGATTTGGGTCAAATCTATGAATTCTTGGTGAAGGAGCTCATGTTTTTGCTTCAGTTTGATTTGCTTGATTATAAATAAAAGTTCTGGCCTGATTGTTGAGAAATGTTTTGGAAGTGCTCAACGTGGGCAAATGAAAAACATATTTCATCAAGAATTTATATTTTTTTAATGCAAATACATTTTATATTTACACTGTTGGGCAGTCCTATTATTAAAGGTGGATTATCTTCCTTTTGAATTTACTCAGATGTGTCTTTAAAAAGGTTCAATCATTACAGTCTTGTCAATTCATGTGCAACAGAGTAACAGCTAATAGAGAGAGAGCAAATCTATCACATATTTTAATATATGAGGTCAGAGCTGGCAGGAATAAGACACACACCCCGGCCTCTGCTGGGACACATTAGCTGTGTTTTATAACCTGCACACTCGGTTCATGGACACTCACACACCGATCCGAGCTCACTTGTTCATCTTCCTCTCGATATGCATGAAAATCCCACTGATCCCAGACCTCGTGAGCCTTTCGGAAAATGTGCTTTGAAAAACAAACAAGGCTGCGCCGAGTCCCCGTGGCACGCTGATAACGACTTTACTGCTTCCTGCGGGTCAAAGGTCAGGGAGCAGACCACCCCATCATTATCAGGGGGGCGGGGAAGCCGGGGGGAGGTTAGGCAACAGGAGGTGTCAGCGAGGGATCATCTGTAGCTGTCAACATGGAGAGGAAGGACCATGAGGCGGGCTGGGGTCATGGTTTGAGGGAACGTAGACCTTTTTCTTCCTCTCACATGCTCTCCAGATTTTCACTACAGGTTTCCAGCTGCTGGAAAGATCTCCTAGTGTCCTTTTTAGAAGAGAGAGTAGGATAAGAAGACCACTAACAAAAAGTGGTCTCATATCAGATGCAGCAATAGGGTGTATTTTTGTTTTTTTAAAGATGTTTCAATGCAAACCAACAGAGATGCTCAGCGAAGGGTTGCAGCTTTACATCACAAATCTGGAGGCTCTATTTGGTCCGATGCACAAGCTTTTTTTTCAATAAGAACAAGTATGCAGAAACCTGAACGCTCCAGGGTTAGAGATACTTTTGTTCAATATAGTTTTTTCTATATTTTGACGAGCCTGCTTTGGACTTTGATACCGTAATACTGTCTGTTATACCCATAAACATGTGATTTCAGGAAAATACGCATCTGTTATTTTTTGTAATGGAAAAATCTGATATCAAAATATCAAAACAGGCCTTTAGAGTCCACGCGCAGATGATCCAGCCAAGTGGGACAGACTACTACACGTGCAGAGTCCGCATATCTCAACAAGCCGGGGTTGGAAACCAGCCACGCATCAGATGTTGATGTTTTAGTATGTTGTCAGGTGAATTTGCTGAAACTCTATTTGGTTTAAATGTAAACAGATTGAAGTTTAATTCATACTCAGGTTCAATATACTGAATTATTCAACAAAATAAAGTCCTCAGGCCACGTCTATTTAAAACAGCTGCACTCACACACCACAACAAATCTGGTGCTTGATTCAAAATCCACCTGCTGTGAACACGGCAACATAACAGATAATAGATCTGACATTTTAAATATCACTACCATGAAAACTGATGGTAGAGCAATATTTACAAGCCTCCATATTTTATTATCATTCTATTTGTAGAGACATATCACTGTACTATGAATGACGCATCCTTTTCAGGAGTGGAAACACTCGACTAAACAAACACACACACACACACACACACACGTTAAACCTGATACAAGAGATGCTTAATTAAACTCGGATCATCTGGCACAACAAATAAACAGCATCATTAAATCAGGGCTGGAGAGACGATGTCAAGCAGCTAAAATAGCAGTAGAGTCTAAGCCGTGATACTGATCATTTATAGTAGTCTCAGGAGTCCACAGGCCGCTCTGCCAAACATAAATAAACTTTACATTTTCAAATTTACCGAGGAGCAGGAGAGGAACACAAAAGCTTCCTCCCTACAGCAGGTCTGTGGTTTGTTTGTAATTTCCTCTTGGACTCTTCTTCAACGTCAGAGTGCAGACTCTGGGCCGTCGTGTCATTCAACCATGTGCTGTTGACACAGGAGTCCCATCTCTGTGTCAACCACCGACCACAGACACAAAAGCTCACCCTGGAAATGTGCAGAGACTGTGTGTGTGTTTGCGTGTGTGTGTGTGTGTGTGTGTGAGCCAGCCGCCATCTGCAGCTTTCAAGGCAGTCAGATAGCAGATAATGGGTTAGGCAAACACAGCAGTGGAGGTCGAGTGGAAGTCAGTCTGGCTTCACGGTTAACCATTTTGCATCTCTGTCAAATAAATTTGATTCCAGTTTTTTTCTGACATTATTCCTCAGCGGGCCACCAATCAACACCAAGCATTTAACAAAGACACCACCCACGACGAGCGTTCACACCTGCAGCAAAACTCCCAATTACACACGCCTCATGAATATGCAGATTTACAGCTGCTGCACCATGCCAGCAGGTGTCCGTGCTTCATTTGCATATCATGCCTTCAGCAGCATTTTCATCACTGTAGGTGCGATACAGTCTGACACAGGACTATTTCTGACAACCTCGGTGTGAAAGGTGTGAGACAACTTCAGTGTTGTTAAAATTTTATTCTCTTTCCTCTTTTAGTCGCTCTCATTAAAAAAAAAGCAGCTTGTAAATTTGTCAGATGTTTAATATCGATCTCAGGTGGGTTCAGCAACACAATCATTTATCTTCAGCTAACTTTGCCTTTTCAACATCGAATCTGTATTTGTGTCATTAATTTAATCGTCCTTCAGTCTGATGGATGAAATTTTGACGCTCTTTTTGGAATCACAGACCTCCTCTTTGCCTATTGGTGTTATTTTTAATATTTAATAAACTTTATTTTCACACAATTACATTTAATTTGGTTTTCAACTATAATGTTGTATTTCTGTACCATTAATTTAATTGTCCTGTGGTCTAACAAATCGAATTTTCACCTTCCCCTTTTGATGTTATGTTTAAATATTTTGCAACTCAATTTTTAATCTGTAACATTAACTGGATTTTTCTACAATCATAATGTATTTCTGTTATTTATTTAACCCGCCTCTGGTATGGCAAATAAAAATTTGACGGTTTTTTTGGAGATCATGGACCACACCTTTCCCTCCTTATGCTATGTTTAGTTTTTTTGGACCTTTATTTGATTTAATTTGAATGAGTTTTTAACGATAAGGATAGATTTCTGTTTTTAATTCAATTATCTTGTGGTCTCATGGATTGGGATTTGACACTCCATATTTCTGTTGTCCTTTGGTCTGACGAATTAAAATTTGACACTCTTCTTGAAAATCACAGACTGTACCTTTACCTCTTAATTTAGCTTAATTAACCTTTTTTTTGTAGCATTTAATTGTCCATCAAAATGTGATTTAAATCCTATCAAGCCAATATTTCTCCAAAACAAAAGACATGAATACCAAAGATAAGTGATGCACCAAGTAGCTTAACAACAAAAAAAGTAATTGAGAGCAATTTTTGTTAACAAAGGTAATTTTGTATCTCCCCTCACTTTATTTTATCAATCATCACATTCAAATAAGTTTGTAGACCATTTATGACAATTCAAGGTTAAAGAGTCAGGCTAAAGAAAACTGAAACTGTCATCTTCCACATTTTTCTGCCAGTTTAAGGTCTTAACAATAATGAACATGATGAATAATTGATGATATAAACAGTACTGAACATATTATTGGTTGTAACCCTCTGAGACTCGACACTGCAATAAAGATTTTAATCATTTTTACAACCGACTTACACGCAGTTTAAAAACCAATCATTCACTGTAATAAAACCACAGACAGTAGCTCAGATATCACTTTTTAATGGACAGACAGACTCATCCTTTCAGTTTTATATAGCACACCAGCTCACTTCACGTAGAAAATAACGTCCCTCTTTATTAAGAGCAGGGATGACCTCCTGACATAAATAACGAGGTGGCAGCTCGCTGTGCAAACACGGCTATTTGTGACCGTCTGAGGACTATTTCTGAGGCTCTGCTGGCAGTTTGATGATGGAAGTTAAGTTACATCCACATCCTATTTACAGGTCCAGTTTCACATTTAGACCTCATCTGTTTTAGCTGAGGCCTTAACTGGACAAAGTGCTGATAAAATACGCTGGAGCGAAGAGGAAGAAGAAAAGAGAGAGGAGGAAAATCAACATGCAGCAGCTGAAAGATCAACATATTTGCATGGGGTGTGGCTGACGTGTAAGCTACTCTACAATTACAACCAATTATTCTGCATGACCAGCTTGTTTCTTAAGAGTTCCACAATGAGGAAGGAAAGAGAATGAGAATGAGGAGGAGAAGGAGGAGGGGAAGGAAATCCACTCCTTGTCATAAATAAACGCGTCCACATGTGGCGTGGCTCCCCGGATTGAAGACTCTCTGCAGTGGTGATGCGTCTGGCAGAAATGCGCTGACTCCTTAGAGGTTGTGATATAGATAACTGAGGTCTGTCAGAAATGCTGCGGCCGGACCGGAGTCTATTTCGAGGCAAGTCCGGTTTAAGTGAAGGCTATGCTTAGAGCCGTCTTGGAAGGGAAGAGCCTTCTGTCTAGAAAGAGGGTCATGACGCTTTAAACACTGGAGACGTTTGAGGACTTTGCTCAAATTACAGTGTCACAGAGCGGCCTGTCACCATGACAGAGTCGGCTCCTAAAGATAATCTGAATATCCGTTAATTAGGGCTCTCTTTGCTGCAGAGGGAAGCCTGTAATCCTGAGACAGAGCTTTCCCCAGATCTGTTTGTTTAGGAGAAATCTTCATCCACGATAGTGCGATCTAAAGACATCAGCGATTATTTTCTGATGAGGCCTGTAAATGAAGTTATTTAAAGATTTTGATCACAGCACATCCATCAGCTCTATAAATAAAATACAGAGTGAGTTTACTTTACACTTTAATGAGCCGAGTCTATTCAGAAACACACACTCCTCCTTAGACTACTGCTGCAGGCAAAGTAGGTGTTATTCATAGCTTCAGAGCGGCTAACTCGGCTAACACTTTAACACTTTGGCTAACACTTAAAAAGACATATGACATGTGTGCGGCCGTAGTACAGCACGGCGCAAACTCCCCTCAGGCGTGTTTCTCTAATAAAAGCATGTGGATCATAGCATGGAGACTCGGAGCGGAGTGGAAACAACAAAAGGTCAGAGGCAACGATCATCATCGCTGCAGCAGACACAAAGAGAAACCCAGACTCCCCGGAGGCAACGTGGAGGATTTAAAGCAAAGAAATCCAGTTTTATTGACAGCAGAGTCAGGGCCAGACCCGGAGCACTACTTCTGCAGTTTGTTGTTTTAAATAAGCTGGGGTTGGAGGGTTTGAAATCCACATAAAACAAAGAGGAGCATGGACCGCTGCTGCAGATGCTTGACATGAGGGTTTGGTGAAATGAAACGATTACAATCCTGAGTTTTAAATCATCTACTTCTCTTTCTGACTCTTCTTCTTTGTGTCTCTCTCAGCTCATCCCGTCAGATTTGATAGCTGTCCAACAATCAGTCTGGTTTTGCTCAAGGCTTCTGCCTGATAAAAACAAAACATGCTATCCTTGACACACTCGCCAACAGCATGATTTTGATTCAGTCTGCATTGTGAGTTTTTAAATCTGGTTTGAAGCAGCACTGTCCCCCTTGAGAAGACCACACTGCTGCATAAAATCTGAAGCTAAAAGCCTCTCCCTTTTTATGTGTGTTTATGCAGCACCTGTGAGATTTGCATTGGTATTCATACAGTCTTTACCATCAAACATTACAGTAGTATTTGATGTGCAGAGCGTGCAAAGGATAGTAACAGTGCAACCATTAAAGATTTAAATCCTTTGGGAGAGCTCTTTCTTTCTACAACAGCACTGTGTTAAAAAATATAGATATAAAGTACTCCTAACATGATATACTCAGGTGTAGAGGTGGTGTCGTCACACACCCCCTGTAAGGATTCAAAGATTATATGCAGCATTTTGTTTTGGTGCTTTCTCCCTGTGTTTTTGTCAGCGCGACAATAAGGCGCCGCTGACCTTTGTTGTCCTGAAACTGGGTGAAAGACTGAAGCAAGAGCCAAAAAAAGAACTCATCAAATTTTGGTCCATATCCAACAAACAAAATAGGTCTTGGCTGAGGTCAACACTCTTTCTCAAATCACCCAGTTAAACAACAGAAAGTAACACAACGTCACAGTTTCCTTAAGCGTGAGGTTAAACTCTGACATTTTTGTAAAAGACCTCCAGTTAGACGCAGTGATACAGGGACTTTGTGTGATAGATTTGTGCCTCCTAGACAGATACAAGTACTAAACTTTATACTGGCTGTAACAATGTGAGGAAACAGAGACCACTACACACTCACACTCACACACACACAGATCCACAGGACCATGGGTCAGTGGCCGCTCCTGACAGGCAGACTTGGCTCAGTGGATGTGAACAAAGCTCGAGGTCTGGAGAGGCTTTACGCTCACAGGGGCTTTTGTGTTTGCATAGTGATGCCATGGGTAACCAACGTCACTCATCTGAGCTCCCATGGTCCTCTGCCAGTCCTCCACGGGGCCTGCCTACTTTTAGAGATCCCTCTGCCTACATGAGTATCCTTCTGCTTCACTTGGTGAAAAACAACAACCACGCTTCAGTTTTGGGATGTGAGTTCTATCAAAAACAGGTCGAGTGGTTCCATTTATTGGACTTTCTCTCAATGCTAGTCTACGGAAGAGGTTTAAGGGCCACTAGAAAAAAAAAAAAGGTCTGATATTTTTTTATTATTCTGAGGACAAAAAGTCAGAATTCTGAGTTTAAAGACAGGACTCTGACTTTGAACTCAGACTAATAATAATAATAATAAAAATTATATTGGACCTTTTTTTTTTTCCAGTGGCCCTAATCCTCTTCCGTACTAGTCTCTGTTTATTATGTGACTGATATATTTTTGATGACAGATGTCCAAGTGTACGCCTTTACGCTTGACCAAAACTCCAAACTCATGATAGTTCATGATACTTTTTCTCACAAGGAAAAACTTTTCATGGACAGGCAGAAACTCTAAACAAAACTGAACTAATTGGTGTACAGCTATCTGCCACATCAGGCGTGTTACACACTAAAACACAATATTTCATTGCGTAAAATTAAAAAAGTATCATTCATAGAGAATTATTTATGTGGAGACTGTAAAATTCATGAGATTGTCTTTGTGTTTACACCACAGACTGTATATACTATGGACAACTTGGCTCCGCCTTCCGTCACTATACGAATTCGAAGCCCTCACTTGCTAAGTAGCGTTGTACGCATTTAGCGGGAGAGTCGCTGTGATGATGCTCGACTAAAACAGCATATCCCCTGGATGACCTACGCAATCTTCGTACGCCTATAGGCATGAACATGAAGCCTCTAATAACTTTTAAAAATGGAGCTGCACAGAAAAAAAGAGGACTTGAGCACAAACCAGTCTTACTGTAACTACATGTCACCATCGAAACCAGGGGGGAGAAAATTTTATATTCTGTGTAATAAATTTCTAAAGTTTGTCCACAGCTCCATAGGGATTGCTGGAGGAGTCGGGATTCATGACCTTTACTGCAGCCTGTCACCAGAGGGTGCTGTTCTTTGGTGCTTTGGAGGCAGACGGCGTCAATTCTATATACAGTCTATGATACTACACCATGAGTGTAACAGCTACAGAAAGTGCATTAACGTTTGAGCGTAATGCTGCGATGGATGACGACAGAGTGTGCAATAATGCATCCCACCATTCAGGCACCTCTGGTGCTTTTTTTTCTGCAAGCATAAAAAAAAAAAAAGTGTCTAGGAGTCACCTTCACATAGCACAGAGTTAATGGAGAGCGTAAATGGTTTTCCCCTCTGGTGTGGGCGGGAAGTAATTTCCTTCTATCTCAGAGGAATCCTCTGGGGTTAAAACAAGGATACGGAATCTAAAGACCCCGTGAGTTAACTTTTTCCTTAAAACACTTATCGAACAGAAATTTTCACTGCTCTTCCTGTTTTCCAAGTTTTCATTCTGCACCCCATGTTTCCTCTGCGTTCAGAGGAGCCTCTCCTCCCACAGCCATTGTCAGCTGCTGTCTCTTGTCATGTGAGTTAAGGCCTGGCCTGGTCCGTTCATTAAGTAATAGCAGATATCTGCTTAATCGTGCAGCTCCATTTAACAAGCTTTTTCTCACAAGGTTAACCCTGCCTCCACAGTTGGCTCATGAGCCTCAACCTGGAGCTTAGACTTAGCCACTTACACCAGTCGCTGCATGCCTCTGTGTCATTACATTAAAGCAGGCCTGTAACTTAAGCCTTAAGAGGTTTAAGGACAGGTTTAATTTCATTATCGTCATTGTTACGCCCTTCAGCTGAGCGTCAAAATTCCACGCGGGGGCAAAACAAAAAGCAGCAGACTGATTTTCATGATGTAACACGTCAATGCCTTGTTTTCACAGCCTAATGAGCTTGGCAACAGGCGCTAAACTACAGCACACACAGTTGTTACAGCAGATACAAACAGTCTAGGCCACGCCCTCCTGCTTTGATCGTCTGTCACCGCTCTGACAATAAATGATAGCTACGTTATGTTTGCTGTAGTGAAGTAATCTCCCCTAGCAGGCAGGTTCAACAAGTCCCCAGCTCCACCTGAGCCCTTCCCCTCAAAGTACACCGACCACTTAAGGCAAACTTTTGTGACATCTTGCACTCTGCAAATAAGCCGGTACAGTATATAAACTATAGGCAGGGCTGTGTGAGCCTTTCTCAAAGCCCGCCCTTTCTGTGCATGTGTAAATACTTACTATGGATGCAAACATATGTAGAAATGTTTGAGCCGTGCTTTCCTTTGCAGGTATTTGTAAGAACAGGACGGCCTCTGTTGAGAAAAGCTGGGGTCCTAAACCGATTAAACAAGTCTTAGTCTTTCAGAAAAACCCAGTTCCAGGTAGTATGCAATCTGGGATCAGGCATTGTGGCTTACACACTCTTCAAGTGTGCATTGAAATGGTAAAGAGTCTTGCATAACACAGGAACCTGAGCAAATTTGAGCGCAAATAAATGTTAGTTATAAACAAGTGTGCAGGGGGGTGTGGCCAGGCAGATTTCGACTGGCATGAGGCCGGCTCTGCAAACCAAAAACACAGCATGTGACACTCAGCGCTCCAGCCAAAGACAGCCTGTTTGAGTCATCTGAGAGCAAGGCGGAGGAGAGAGAAAGCCCTGCCATCTGATAACTGTTCATTTTAAACCATCACTGAATAACAAGCGACAACAAAAAGCCTCCGTACATCTTTTTACAGAGACCAGCAAAAGCATGGACATGGTCTCTATAACAGCCTGGACAGTGTGCATCATGGTGCACTGAAATCTATCACAAACTCTAGCTTATTCATAATCACCAGTGTGCCAAATATCATGTACTTAAACATGGAAGGATGTCATTCACAAACTTTCCTCTGTGGGAAATTGTGAAATTTGTCCAAATGGAGTTGGGAGAGAAAGCTCTAAGGATATTCTGCATCTTTAACATGAGCAAATAAAGATATTACCACAAATATAATTAAACCTTTATGAAAAATTTAACTCAGTTTCCGAGAATAAAGACCTCACACACAGAAACTACAACCATCTTTTGTTCTGGGCTGCTAACATGTCCGAATTTGCTCTACAAATAAGCATTTTGGTGTGGTCTCTACTGGAGCTTCCTTGGATATTTGGAGCCTGAAAGTGCCCAAAGTGGACACTAGAGGAACTCCAAGTTTTTACAGTTAGATTTGCCACTTTTTCAGCACAGGAGATTGCTGCTTGGTTTCCTAACTGTTGGTACACACAGGCAAAGACAGCAAGGTTAATGCTTCACGATTCAGGGTTAATTGAAATGCTAATAAAATCAACCGGTTTTTCATTTTTACAGTCCACTCAGATTCGTTCCTTTTATTGGTCTCACTAATGTCTTATCATCAAGATCGATATCAGCCCTGTAAAACCAATCCATCTACTTATCCACTGATGTAAACAGACCTCATTTAAGTCCATAGATAAACAGCCATAGTCAACATTTAACTGAAGCAGCCATTAACACCCGGCCCAAGGAAGATCAGGTGACTTCTTCTTGGGATTACTTCAGGAAAATCAAACAAAAGTTTACAAGAACTGAAATGACTATATCACAGATTCAGATTCAAACTTTGTCGTCATGCCGATCATTATGCACCCAAACTTACAGAGTGTAGTAGACTCAGGTTTCCAAAGATCTTCAACCACATGAAGAATAACAAAAACGTTTTTTTAATTATAACAACTCAGAAAAGTGCTGACAGATATTCCTGCAGAGAATATTAGCAGCATAATCCAGAGCTATACTCGTGTTTATTTGGATTCGAGGCAGCTGACAGAATGAACAGTCACGCCCCATTTGAAGAGTTCAAACACGTGCACCACGGTGAGACTTGTCAACAACAGTCTTCTTGACAAACTATTTTGCCAGTTGGTAGCAGTTACAACATGTCAGAGGAGCTTACTGTCACAGAGGGAGGAAGAGCAGAGTGTGAAAGCCATTGTACTAATTACAGTCCTGCTTTAACAGGTACCATTATTATATCCCATAAACCCAAAATTAAAGATCATTAGTGAGTTTAACACTAAAAATAGTCCAAAAAGGTTTTACTGAGACTGATTTACTGTGCTCTTTGGGTGTGTTCCAGGAAATTAACTGGTTTGACACATGAACTTTAGCATGCTTAAATCAGGGATCTGTTATTTTAGTTCCTGGACCAGAGCGCAAAACACCCTCCGCTTACAGGATGAATGGTGTCCAAAGTTAAACAGCTAGATTACAATTATTTTAGACTGGACTTGTTTAGACTGCACAAGACATTTTTCCATATTGGTGCGGTAACTCAAAATTTGAGTCAGCTGGATAAACCCAGGATCTATATCATCAGGACTACTTTAAAGAGCATTATATCTAAGAGTAACAAAAGCCCACGAGACAATTATCTCATTAATAGCTAATCTGTGTCACTAAACAGTTTTTTGGCTTAAAGAAAACTACGAAAAATTTGCTGTATTGCCTGCTTTACTTGGCAAAAATGCAAAATACAGTGCCTACAGGCTTCTGGAAAAGCAAGATGTGCAATTATCCTCTATATCCAGCTGCAATTAAGGTGCATTATGAAAAACACACGCACTTGGACTGCTAGAGTATAAATTTGCATTCCTGATCTTGCAAATCTTGAATATTAGATTATTTCCTTTCCTGTTTTATTGGATTTAATAAAATATGTCTTTTTGTGCCAAAAACACAAAAAGGACACATCTCCAGCTGCATGAATCACTGGATCAAAACACTCCACACACACAATGATAATGCACTTCTGTGATCAGGTGCACAGGGGTCAGTGTTAGGCACAAACATGGAGAAGACAGTTGAACGGTCCACATCTATGCGAAAATGCAGCCATTATCTATGATTTCATAACCATAGGAGGGTCTCTGAATGAGAGGTACAGAGAGAGAGGCTGGTCTGTCTCCCATTATGCCACTGTCACTGTGCCACCTCACCAGCTGGGTGGGAGCGGCCTACTTTTAGCACAATGGCACCTCCAATGTGCGCACTTTGGAGATGGAAGTGTGATTCTGTCTCAAACAGGATGAAACACTCGAGCTGTGGCTGGATGTCTGCAAACAAAGAGCAGACCTGTCAGTGTTAGAGCTGCACTGAACGCTCTGCTGTCCTTTCACTTAAAACCTGGCTGTCAGTGAAGCTCCTCTTCCATTGATTATCTGTCTCTCTGCAGGAGGCTTTGAAAGAGGAGAGGCTTTCTTAGATACACGAGCTGATTGTTCCTGCAGCACCCCCCTTTCTCTGCTTCAAAAGATGATATCATCCCTCCTCATGCACAGCCAGGGTGTGCTGCTGAAGACAACCCATGCATGTACCTGCGAAATGGGTGTGATGCTTTACTGGTGCTGTGCAGAGACAGAAATAGCAAAGCATCACACTCTGTCAAAGTGCAAATCCCAGGGAGGGTGTCAACCACACACAGTCCACGAATCTGGCGTCAAAAGCCGGTAGGAAGTGGGAACCAGAGGCTGGAACTGGGTCACCGGGCTCAAAATGAAACGAGGTTGATAGTTTGTAGAGAGTGTACATGAATCAGCAGATGCTGGTGTTGACCTGCAGGTGTTTGCTGGGCCCGCGGCGCAGGCTGACAGGTGGCACCGGGCAATTAAGACACGAACTACGCATTTGCAAAATTAAAAAGACATTTCAGGGACTTACCTCAGCGCCACACGGACTGAGCTTTCATCCTGCCCCGTCGTCATGATTCCGTAGTCAGTAGTCGATGAAAAAAAGCAACAAAAATATCTGTCAACGCAGCTTGTCCTTTCCAAAGAACGACAGAAAAGTGCGCACAGTCTCCTCAGGCAGGCGAGCTGACCGAGCAACGGAGCTGCTGCTCACCTCGACTTCAGCGCCGCCATTTCAAACAAACATATAAAAAATTATCTTAACGGTGTTTCAACCATGATATTAGCGTGGAGGTGAGGCGGTGCCGTCCACATGTCGCGTCTACGTGCGCCGCATCTCTGCGCAGTCCGGCCCGGATGCTTCAGCTCCTCCGCTGGCTCGAGCCCACATGCAGACTCACCACCTCTGCCGCTGCCGCCGCTGCTGCTAGGTGAGACATTGCCGCGCGCGTGCACACGCAAACACTGATTAAAAAAGGGGGGGAACACGCGCGCGCTGCCGTCGCCTCTCTTGAACAGTGTACGCACCGGGGAGGGAACCGCAATGCGTCAGCAAGCCACGCCCTCGCCGGAGAACTTGCCTGCGGGGTGACGTCATGACAAGGTTAGAAATTCTTATAAAAAAGTCAGAAAACAAAACAAAAAACAATACAAACAAGCAAACAAGCAAACAACAATAACAAAACAAAACAAACAAACAAAAAACAATAACAAAACAAAACAAACAAACAAAAAAAGTCAGAAAATATTTTAGATTTAAGAAAAACAGAGATTATTTAGGTTTAATAATTAAAAGCATCGTTTGAGTGACTTTTTACGGTAAAATTATGATGTGGAACTCCTAATGATCAAAATTTTTAAGGCTGTTACAACTAAATATATCCCAAAATTTTGGACAAGCTGAGGATTCTACTGTCTAATATTACACAAAATCCTGCTGACAAGCTTTTTAGTGTGTTGATTCATTTTGAGTTTTGTGGGTTTTATTATTTTGTCTTGTATCGATACTTATAATTAACCATAATCGTGTTTTCTTACAGTTATGGAATAAAAGTTTCATATACATCTACTTATTAGACTATCCATATCCCACACATTAGTTTTTGAGGGATAAAATTGGCATTTAGGGGTCCAAGACTGAGCTAATGATAAAAATACTATGAATACAAGGACACATATTTCTTTAATTGATGGCACACTGTTGTGTTCTGAAAATAAAATAAAATCTGGTAATTAAAGAAAATGTGCATTAACTCTTAGTGTTTAAGTTTTGTTGAATAAAGAGAATATATGTTCAGAATGCTGTGTTGTAAAGTGCTTTTAAGCCTGTCAACCTTTATCTTATTTCATAACAAAGGGGTTTGGTTTACTTCTTCATCATAAATAAAATGTAAATAGACATGCTTGGATTTTGCATATTTGCATATAAAGTCACTGTGAAACCTTAAAAAGTGTCCTGCTTTGTTTTGATTAAATATGTTCCTACATGTCAGTCCAATTAAAAAGAAAGTAGCAGGTACACCAGTTGTTACTGATGTGAACTATTAGCGCCTCCCTGTGGCCATACATATCATGACACCGTGGAATTGCTCGTGAAATGACAGACCTTCATCCTATTACTTTTTTAAAATTATTTTAGACGTATGGCCAGATATGAAACAGTGGCCCAAATAAACTCATTATAAATTATCGGCTAATAGTTTTCTCATATTTTATTTTCCCCTTGTGGACAAACTGATTTAAACTGAAATTGTGCAGCATTTACATAATTGATTTTTTTGTTTGTCAAAAGTTTTGATTGGACTTTTTGAAAACAAATTGTCCTTCTAACACAATGATCCACCACAATGATATATTCTTGAGTGTTTATTTGAGACATATGAGATTATGATTATTTTCCATCACCCTCTGTACCCAGCCTATTCCCACTGTGAATCACCTCCACATCCTTGAGACCATCATTACCCAGGACCTCATGAGGAAGCTGAACATCATTAAAAAAAGCACAGTGAAGGATGACCTCCTGGAGAAATTCAACCTAATGGTGCACCTCTGCACCACCATCACTATGTCCCCCCTCACCTTCTCTTTCAGTCTAACACACTGCGGCAACTGACAAGGACAAAAGCTCTGCAGAAAGCAGGATTGAGCGTAATCCGTCATCTCCTCAAGGCCCGTGCGCCCCCAGGATCCTGAGGTGTGCAGGTAAGATTGTGGCTGACCTCTATTACCAAGGATTTCCCAGACTCATGCCTTCATGCATGAGGCCACAGTCCCATGAGAACAGTTTCTACCCATCTGCTACCAGCTTCGTTAATGATGCCCCAACTCCCCACCTCCCCAAATACCACACTATCATCCAGTTAACATCACTACTATTCCAATGCTTTTTTTGACCTTTTATTTGCTCTGATTCTTCTCACAGCTTTTCCTCCATAACCCTTGTACATATTGTTGTGAATATTTGGGGAACTGAGAGTGTTTTAGTTGAAAATACTGTTTCACTGCTGAGTTCTGCAACACTACAAAAAAACTAATTCTTCAAGTTTTGCAGTTAAAGTGTGTTAATATTCACTTTCTAAATAACGTATTGAACATATTTGATCAGTCATACATGGAATTGAACTGTTAAAACATTGTTGAAATTAAAATGAACACACTTCATTTCTTGTTGGGCAAAATAAATCTGACCTTTAAAAATATCGCGATTGTCCTACTGAAGAAGCATCAGTATTTAAAACATCTGAACAGTTTACAATACAAAGTGCCGCTTCTTGTACAATAGTGAATAATTACACACATAAAAATTAACGTGATTAGAAGCTAATAAATATCACTGTTATTATTCTGTTCATGAGATTACATGATGGAGTCACAGATCTTGATGTTTGCACATTTTTTTTTTCGTCCCAGATTTACTTTACTCATTCCCTAATGACTGTAGGAAACCTGTTCTCCAAAAGCAACAAAAACAAAAGCTGTGCCTCATGACTTGGTCAGTCTTTAGGATGGCAAATTTGCAAGGCAAGGTTGCATAAAGGTCAAAAAGGAAACTATGCATAGCTCTAAGAAGAATAAATATTTCAAAGATTATTTGCAGAGGCTTTCAGTAGGAAGCAGGAGTAATAGCATTCTGTGCATCCTTTTTGTGGCCACATACGATAACTAGTTTCCTGCTTACCCTCTGCAATAGCACAGCAGGTTCAAAGCTGCAAAGACTTTTCTGAAAGCAACAAATGAGGCTGACTGTTCCTCAATAAAACATTCTGCAGGTTGCCGATAAATAGCATAAAAACGAGACCACATCAAAAGAAGACTTTAAATAAGAAACCTGTTGTAGGGTTTGAAGGAGCAACAAAAAAAAGTTGATTCTGTGTTAAGTGAGTAAGACGGATGAAGCTCTGTGAGGAAGTTGTTCAGGGGTCGACATCATTTCAGCTGCGAAGACAAATGTATAAAAAAATAAAGAATGCATATGAAACATGACTGAAGCATGACAGGAAGAGATATTAGTGCATTTTTCACCTTGATGCTGTACTTACAGATATATAGGATATATCACTCTCTGTCTCCATCGCTCCGTACTGTGTTGATCTGACTTCTGAAGAGTTCTAAAAAATTGTAGATTTGAGCAACTTATTCTAGTTATCTATAAAATATTTATCTTAAAAAAGAAACAAAGACACTTTTTTGGTTTTTAAAGTGCAATACCTTCACCCTTTCACACTATAGCAGCAACCCACGTTTAAAGTTATCAGTCCACACCAGCCCAGATTGAAGATTCAACCTTTGAATGGAAGTTTTTTTTAACAGGAATGTGTTTGAACAGAGTCTATAACACTCCGGAATTAGATATGTCTAATCTGGTCACAAAAATGTGAAATCTTCTTGAATCTAAAACTACGGGTCATTAAAGAGATAGTCCTGATTATCTTTAAGTGAGTTTGTTAGAGGTAATTCCCTTAGTATTGATATGTACCTCATACACACTTCCAAAACAGAAAAGAAAGATGCGGACTATCCCTTTAATTTATGTCTACAAACACATTCTTGCTGCTTTTACTAGTTTTGTTGTGCAATTTTAGAGTACCTTATAAAAGTGAATGTTCAGAAGGCAATCATGCAAAATAAATCCTCATTACACATAAAAATATAAAATCTCATAGTGTTAAAAATAAGGAAATGGAGAGAGAGAGAGAGAGAGAGAGAGAGAGAGAGAGAGAGAGAGAGAGAGAGAGAGAGAGAGAGAGAGAGAGAGAGCAGAATTCACAGACAAAAATAGAAACTTGTTTATAGAAAACTTCAGCTAGGAAAATAAAACTCAATCCCGATTGTTCATGTTGATTGTTTTTAAAAATATGGTAGAAGATCTTTCTGGCTGGATTATTAATTAATCATTTAGCTCTGTACATGACCCCTTCTCCCAAATTCCACCCTGGAATGTTTTAGTTCAATATTCCTGTTTTGTGATGACGAGGGAATGACAGAAGACAGGAGAAAAAAGACACAAAAGAATAAAACTCCCAGGTGAGGCAAAGAAACGCTGAGATGAAGTCACCTGAGTGAGGGGAAAGAGTCTTTTTTGTTCATGTTCACCACAGCCACCAGGGGGCAGCGAGAGCCCCTCTCCTCCCCGTAACACCAAAAGGACAGAGAGCAGAGAGAAATGTTCCCAGACTACTCTACGTCAGACGCCTCGTTGTCAGAGGGGAGGTAGTTGTTTCCTTTTACCCGGATGTACTGGACGTGGCGGTGATCGTTGGGCGAGGAGGTTCCACAGGAGCAGAGTGGACCCATGAACAGGTTCTCAATGTCCTCCAGCTGCAGGCCCTTGGTCTCTGGGAGGCAGCCGTAGACAAAGACGATACCTAATACCACCAGGCCGGTGTACATGAAGAACGCCCCTGAGGGAGACATTCACATATTGGACAATACTGTAGCCAAACTTACACTCTATTTCATGCTCTAAAAAGGAAAGCAGACTTCCTGGTGAAGTCTTACCATAATAGGTGAGAAACTCAGCAACATGAAGGAACGTCAGAGACACCAGGACATTAAAGATCCAGTTGACCCCGGCTGAACAGGCGTTTCCGGTGCTGCGCGCCCACAGTGGGAAGATCTCGGAGTTTACTGTCCAAGGCATGGTGCCCATTCCTGACACAGAAAGAGGCGTTATCTAACATTTCCACAAATAACACGTGTTTTTCTTTCCTCTGGTCAAATCCATCAGGTATTCCTTATTTGTCGTGATCAGCTGTTGGTTTGGGCAGCTTAACGCAAAAGCATAAAGGACAAGTACAGGTTTTTCTTTATCATTGAAATGATTTTTTTCTATGTCCCAACATCTTTTATCAAAGTGGCCACCCTTGACGTCATTTAGTTTGTCATACTGCCCCCTCCTGGTCATTTAACAGCACTCACAGATAGAGTCAGGTGAACAGATCACTGCTGCTTCCCCTGCTGGAACTATTATTCTATATTGCTGCCATGGGAACTTTTCTTGATAAAAACCTCTTTTTCGACTTCTTAAATCTTTGAGGCAGAAAAAAACTGTAATAATTAAGTTTTGTTTAGTTATGAACATTTTAAATTTTTAAAAAAGTGGACAGACATACTTCCTGCTTGAGATTGATTGGGGGACTGCTTAAAAATTTTTTTTTTTTTTTGTACCTGGAGCGAAGAATGCAAGGTAGAGCATGAGGCCCATCAGGATGACCCAGGAATACGATGTGGGACAGTAGTTGTAGGCCCAAATCGGACTGGCAGTCTCCTCTGTCTGGTTGGAACACCTGAATTTAAGACAAGTTGCATCTGGAGATTTAATTGATAGTTGTTGTTAAAAATCTAGCTGAAAACACCGAGTCTGAATAACTTGTGGAAGACCTGTTTTAAAGAAAGATAATAGCAACCCTCTCTAAAATTACAAACACCTTTTTTTCTGAGTTTTAGGGACTTTATCTGTTATGGATCTATACCACAAATACTGCTCAACGTCTCATGTGAGAGTCTGACCTTCCCCAGGCGGCGCGGTCTTTGGACGTTTCATTGACGGGGACGCAGGAGGAGTCGTACACTGTGGTGCCGTTCTCCAGAAAACAAAATCCACAACCTGGATCCAACATGCAGGGCTCGCAAAACCTGCAGGACAGAAGTGGATTTACAGCATCTCATTATCTAAACATACACGCACAAACAAAGCAAACTGAGGATTTCAGTGTGAAACAGAGTCAGGTATGTGTACCGCTGTGTCAGCAGTGATAACAATAAAGATACTGAGATTTTACATCAGTGTGTGGAAAGGCAGCAGAGCAAAGACATAGAAAAACACTAAGGGATCTTCAGTAGAATCATTACAGGAGTGAAATTTAAGGTTAAATTGACCCTGATTATGTCAAAGTCCAGTATTTTGCTTTGATTAATAATTATGTCTCTTGAAAAGAAGGACTGGTTATTGTGTTAAATTTAGCTTGCTGTTGTAAAAAATAAATAATGTTCTTGTTTTTGTTCATGCATTTTAAAACAACTAAATAAAAAGTTTAAAAATACAACAAATACCTAAAAATATTTATTAGTTTGTGATTTTTATCTAAAAAATGCTATTTAGCTTCAGTGTGTTCTCTTACTCGTAATGTCCGCAGGTCGAGTTCAGAGGGACGGCCGGGTGGAGGGTGACAGGAGAAGAACTTTGAGCAGCGAGTAAGAACCCGACCGCCAGTAAAGTCAGACTCAGACCAGTACCTGCATCGGAGAGAATTAAGACACTGAAAACTCTAAGACTCAATTGTCTTTTGTTTACACAATAAAAACTACAACAGAAATTTGGGTCTCAATAAACAAACAAAACACAGAGCAGAAATAACTCAATTAAAAACGTATCTTTTGTTGTGAATGTTAAATATAAATCACTGCCTAAAATAATCACAGTCATGTAAAATGGTTCAGTCATTTACAAGCAGGATTGTTCAGTGGAGTTGCACAGTAGTGGGGGCTCATGGGAGTTGTAGTCATCCTCTTTTGGTAATCATGATACTAATATGTTGCATTTGAAGAAGTGCTGATTCGCTAATGATGCAGACAGCAGCAATCAGAGAAGAGCACTCTGACCAGCATCATCTCTTGGAGATCAGAGTCTGCAGATACGCTCACTCATGGGAAGAGTGCATGTGGGGCTCAAAAAGTCTGAAAAGTTCCCTCACTCACTTTTAGATCTGACAGTGGGGCGGCCCAAAGCTCTGACAGACTCAGAGGAAATGTCATACACACACACACAGAGGGCTTTAGGACCCTTTGATGTAGAGCTAAGAGAAGTCATCGCTCACTTATTAATGAAGTAATGCCTTCAATTACAAACCGAAAAGGCTGCCCAGGGTCAGCTTCCTGCGGCCCACGCGCTCCACAAGCCACACTCCAAGCATGGTGAACACAAAGTTGCTGGCAGAAGTTGCAGCGGCCAACCAGATAGCCTGTTTCACATCTCGTACCCCTCCCATCTGCAGGATGGTTGCACTGTAGTACCTAGATAAGACAAGAGGAATCAATTTACATTCCCTGAAACCAAATCAGAGGTATTTTGAATAGATAGGTCAGGTTTGGATTCACCGTTTTAGCTATCACTTCAGAATGCAGGAGATAACCATGCGGGAGCCATAATGAGATCAAATGAGGACCTACATGACTGTGTTAATTCCAGATAACTGCTGGAACATTTGAAGCCCACAGCCGACAATTAGAGCCCTGCGAGTTGGACCGTGGTTGAGGATCCGCATTAAAATAAAGCCATCTACAAAACGAAAACAGAAGATACTGTTGAAAACGTAAACTTTTACTCATATTTCTGATTTGGGTTTGAATATTTGTCCTTTTGTGTCACACCAATGAAGCTTCGTCACCTCCACCCGCCTCTCTCTCCTCCTCCTCAATACTGGCTTTGATGGTATCGAACTCCTCATCAACGGCGTGGTCGCCTCGGATCTGACTGAGGATTTGACGAGCCTCTTCCCTCTGGCCTTTCTGGAGGAGCCAGCGTGGACTCTCGGGCAGGAAGCAGAAACCTACAAACTGGAGGATGGCGGGGACGACGGACAAACCCAACATATACCTAACGTATGGAGGAAAGGAGGAGATAAGAATATGTGAAGGAAAAAAAAGGGAGATTGTTTAACCGCAATTTTGAGTCACTTGGTTTGTTTTAGACAGAAGCTGATTTCACCAGATAAATATCTTGTATAATCTTGTGGGAACTAATCAAGAAACATGAGAAATCAACCAAAGAACAAAGGTGGATTTTTATACTTTAGGTCTGTTTTTACCAGAGATTTCATGCATTGGTGGTTTTCCAAACATTCACATGACTCAGCAGCACCTTAATTCACTGTATGTAGGGAGTAAAAGAACTGAAGCTGCATAATGGACAGACTATGAACACTATGAGTGATCTGTTGGTTTGCTATAAGGTAAAAACTGTTGCATACCTCCAGCCGTCATGTTTCATGAAGCTGAAAGCTCCATCAACCACACTGGCTATAAACTGACCACCAGTGATGAAGAGCGAGTTGACAGTGACGAGCTGGCCTCTCTGGTGAGGAGGGGAAACTTCAGCGATGTAAACCGGAACTGTCATGGAGGCGATGCCTGATGAGGAACAAATTAAGGGTATAATTACATAAAACACGATAAGGCTGCAAATGTTCAATAGGGACCAAGAGATTGTGTGGCAGGAGAACCTTTCAGAGCTTTATCACATGATGTGCTAGAAAAACAGGTAAGGCAGAGTTTGTATTCATAAACCAGCTACACAGGTTAAAATTCAGAGCCAAGATCAGACAGCTCCATATACAGCAGAATATTTGAATAGAACTGATGGAAATGGTGGTATTTGGGGGCGGCACCTCTGTAATGAGGGTGGAAGTTTAAAAAAATGTCCCCCTTTTTACCAATGGCCTTTTTTTCTGTCCTTAATTTTGAAAGTTTTCAACAGGTCTCAGTGTAATCACCTGGAGTTTACATGTCAGAGCCAGATCAGGTCATTATGAGACTAGAGCTGACTGACTTCACTGCAGAGTTTGATGCTTTCCTGACTGGATGAATTCAAAAGTCAAGTTCGCAGGAGCCAGACACTAATGGCTTGTATTATCCATAGACTCTATATACAGTCTATGGTATTATTTGAAAAAATACTGCAGTCTAGCATATGGTTTGTCTAAGTTATGTTGATGGACCTGTATCTAGCTCCATACTTGAACACAGGGCAAGCACAGGACAAAAGTCACTCATATAAGACAGTCTATAACATGTAAGTGTAAATATTATGTAAATAAATCCAATAAAAGAGTCGAGGCACAACTGGGCTCATGCACTGTGATTTTTTTTTTTACGCAGTGACTTCAGAACATTTAAAAGAAAGTAGTCAGTCCTTTGCCTAAAGTACTGATTTGACTGGATAACTTTCTTTTGTAATGAAGGAACACTTGACCAAGTTTACTAAACTTTGACTCGAGTGATGAAGGTGTGCACCTTGTCCTCAATTGCTTTAATAACGAATTTCTTCATTATAAGTGATAAAGCTTTGTGAGTATGGGGAATTTAAACACAGTTGACACGGTTCTGTTTATCTGCATAAAAAAAACTCATTATGTTATGTTTGAAAGTTTCCAGGTGAACCACTTACGGGGATCATCACTGAGGGGTGTGGTTTTGGGATGTTTGGCAGGTTATTTAGATCTCACCGGTCAGACAATGGTTGCCGCAAGCTCAGATAATTTTCTGTTGACCGTTTTTCACCGTTCCACTCATCCTGTTTTAACATCATTTCAGCATGTCACCTTTTTTTCATTTCAAGGCAAAGGTTTTGGACCTGGATCAGCATGTTTTCTTTCCTTTTTTGAACAATAAATTACTTTTTTAACACTCAAACTAGACTGATAATTGAACGAGTCACAGATGCAAGCGAACCTAAACACCAGTGGCCTTTTTTGTTGAAGGAAAGCAGTCGCTACATTGTCATTAGATTGGTTTATACTCATTTTTTAAACAATGTATGCATACTCTATCGCTCTGCTTGACTTGGGTAAATATGTAATAAAAAAAACCTTTTCATAACTCCCAGATGTCAACTTACCTATGCCCAAACCAACTGTGATTCTTCCCACAAGAAGTACCTCCTTATTTGGGGCTACACCCATGGTGACACCACCGACAGTGAAGATGAAACTGGCCAGAAGGATGCAGATTCTGCGCCCAAACCATCCATTCAGGAATCCTCCACTCAGGGCAGAGATAGCTGCAGCCCCTACAGTACTTGAAACCAGCAGCTCCTGCCACAGGGTGTCCAAGTTCATCTCCTTCTTGAGGAGCAGCATAGCCCCTGACACCACACCGGTGTCATACCCGAAGAGGAATCCTCCCAGGGCAGAGAAAAAGGCCAGCAGGTAGACAAACTTGGGTGTGGGGGAGGCATTTTGGTCCAGGAGATCCCCAGGAGTGATGGAGTGTCCAGATGGAGGATCAGTGAGACTTTGCTGTCCATCTTCAGCTCCTTTATCGTGCCTGCTGCCCATACGGATGTTTATGCTCTTTAGACTGTGATCATTGCTGCTGAAGGACATACGGGAAAAGAGGACTTAAGCACACTGTAAATGCTAAAATGCATTTAACTCTCAAAAAACGTAGCACAGAGGAGCAAAACAGAGCCAAAAACTGAGCGCAAGAATAATGCAGCATTCTCCACGTTATCAGGTGTCCCTTTAATCCAAAATGAAAGTTAAAGACCTCAGCTGCTCCAGAGGAAAACAAGGAAGTGGGCGACGCGTCTGGACTCTGGACGATGACAGTTTGACAGTTAACAAGGATAGCGTTACCTTGTTTCTGCAAGTCCAGCAGATTTCAGTATTAAGTCATGTGAGAGTTTGCAAATCTATATCCTTACAGCGTGACTTTAAGCGTTATTTTCTCCACTTACTGTGCTACAACTCCTCTCTGTGCGCCGCCATGTTTACGTGACGTCATCTACCTCAACAGCCATCGACCCAAACGGGAGGACGTTTTAGCTAATTACAAACATATGAAATACAAATAAAATAGGTAATACAAGTGATTTTTAGTAATTTAAGTATATAAAAGAATACAAAAAATGTTAGTTTTAAAAACTAAGACATAGAAACTTGAAAACATTGGATAAAAGAAAAAATACTCGCTTCTGTCAGTCCTTACTATTAAAATTTTGGACCTGCCACTAATCCGTCAAAACTGCCAAATCCTTTTTTTAATCTCAACTGAAAAAATGTCCCGTTATGAAGCATATTCGTGACTAGAATTTCGTCAATAGAGAAAGAAAAATTCAGTACCTGTTGATATAATGTGCTACAATATATGCCATCTCAAAACGTTACTATTTTCAGAAAAAAACTTAAAGGATAATCAATTAGTAGAGCCAAAGTCCATTCATTTTTTTTATTTTAGTGAATCCTCGTTTATGGGGACATTTTAGAGAAGTGAAAATTGATGAGTACATCATCATTTAGACAAGACTAAAATTCGGCTGATCACTTTCAGTTCAATGAAACTGCTATAAGTGGAAAAAGTGACATTTTTCCTTTATAAAAATATTATTTCTGCATTTTAATTGCAGCATTTATATAGTCAATGGCTATAAAAAAAACTTTTTTTATGATCACATGTGATTCAAAATTTAATTAAAAAAAATCAAATTAACTCTAAAGCAGTTGGGATTAGGCTAGTTTAGACTCTACCACACATTGGAATGACCAATTTCTCAGATAGGCTTTTCAGTAATGAATTTAATGCGCAGCATATGAAATTTGACACATGGACAAAAACAGAGACAGTCCTAAATACTCTTCGGGCTCTGTTATCAGATAGCTGCACATGAAACTTGCCTATATTCTAAAGCTCACCAACATCTATCAGCATCTAAGCCTACTGAAAAGTTGACAGCTGAGCTCAACCAGACGAATATATAGCTTTATGCACCGTGTCTCGACACGGTGAACCAAACGTGAGACATCTACGACAAATTTAACCTTTATTTTTAAACAAAAATTTAAGTATCTCTGCAAAAATAGTTTTCAATTTTACCTTCTTAAGTTTTTTGTTGTACAGCCGTCTGCAGCTGCTGTCCTGTTTAGCTGAAGGGAAGTTTGTACTGCAGCTCCAGATCACATGATGTGGCTGGAGGAGAAGGGTGGACACACCCCCTTGTGTAGTAAACATTAACACACCTGTGCTTCAAGTGATCCTCACGTAGACCCATGAGACAGCTTTTTTTTTTACATTTATTATTTTTTTATTTTATCAGCCTTGTCAAACAGGGACGAGTTGCACAATTCAAATTAAATGCCTTCATAAGGCTGCACAATAATCTTAAGGTAGGCAATAAAATATAGTTTGCAACTCAGTTTAGCAAACTATGCTGTTTATTACTCAACTTTAAAGACTAAACAGTAGCATATTATACATATTGACAAACTCAAATGTATTAAACATTTAGAAATTAAAAAATGTGTGTCATCATTTTTCACTAATACCTATTTTTCAATTAAAGATATCAATTCTGTAAAGGCTTTTTCAGCTAGATTTTAAATCCACTTTTAAATATCTGCAGAGTATATTTCAGGACTATTGCTCTGAGCCCGTATAGCTACAGTAAAAGCATTACTAGCATTACTGAAGATGTATTCCTTTAGTGTGCTTGATGGGTACCATCTCAAACGACAGGGGTCTTACCATTGCTGTCAGAAATGGGTCCTCATGATTCTACACAACAGCTCCCAGCTCTGCAGACAGTGTAAATACCGTAATTACTCTGTTGATGCGCAAGACGAAGCGAGGCGATCGATATGGTTGCAACAACTCGGCAAAAGTTTGATTATTTTTGGATAATTCGCAAATTTCTGTGAAATTATGTTTGCCGAATTGAGTTATATCTAGCAGGAAAGTGTAAGAGGTTTAAAATCCGTCTTGACATGCCGGGTATTCCCTCCAATTTGCATACGAGAATTAAAATATGGAAATTTTCATGTGAAGTACGGCGCAAATCAGTAACAACTCCTTGTCACCTGCTTCTAATCAGTAGACGACATCTGACACCGGCGTAGGAGGCGTTATCTGGGGTTTCTCCGTTTTTGAAGTGAAGCTGTTGACAACAATCGGTCAACTTTGAGCTTAAAACAACTCGGTGCTCTTGGGAAGTTTTACCGGCTGTTTAACCGTAACGACAGGCTCTCCGTGACTCCCCTCCTCCTTTCCCCCGGTGCGGCTTGCTGCTGCGCGGTGACCGTTTCCAATTTCCTCTTTGACAAACGGGAAGTTTTTTTCTCTGGCTGGAGTCATATGATGTGACTGTAAAGAGGGACAACCACGCCTGCTAGAGAGACTTATTCTGGACGGAAACAACCCCAATAACGTGTCCAGCTTCACAAAGAGGAACACGCTGCTCTGCTAGGGGAAAGTTAGCCGAAGACGCTGATTCTAACGTGGGAAGTGAAACTACGAGCACTGACAGCTTCTCGAGCTCTGTCAGTCGCTTAGCTAATGTTATATGATGTAATATAGCTAATATTGAGTCAAGTGATGTAATAATATTAGTGGCTACAGTGGCACTTATCTTCTTATGCTACTGTAGCAATGCTGCGACAGTGTGGTCGCCACTTGAAGCCTCTAACTGTTATTGTTGGGCTGAACTGATCGACCTAAATGCACCTCAACCCGTCAACTGGAGAGCAGCATTTCAAGGACCATGGTTAACCAAGAGGAATTGGAAGAAAGATTAAAGAAGCTGTTGGTGAGGTTGAAAATCCCACAAGAAGACCGACAACTGGAGACACTGATTCAGATCATCAAGGATCTGCTTTTTCTGGCGCACACTGACAATGGTAGGAAACATAACCTTCCTGCAAAGGCTCATCATGCTGCCTTCTTATAAACAGGCATATTTCCTCTGGGACATGTTAACATAAGAGCAGAGGTGATTCATGTCCGCAGATCATTTACTGGAAACTTAAGGTGCCTATCTTTAGTTTAGGTGTGAACTTATGAAACTTGCTCTGCATCTTTTATATGCAGTTGTAGTTTCATTGTGACTGGGCTGCATATACTGTATATTGTATTTTCTAATCTAGGATGTAAGTTTGGTTAGTAGTGGTTCAATGCTACAGAGCAAATGCAGGTTTTGAATACTTGTAAGAAAGCATAAGAGCTCATTGCAACATTAGTTTGCTGTTTGTGCACAAGTAAATGTTTTATTATAACTTGTTTTGAAGTCATGATAAAACAGTAAGCAGTTGCTAGACTCTCCTTTTAAGTCCATCTTTAATGTCCCTAGAAAATGTCCAATAAACTGCGTATAGCTCATCTTTCTCACTGACCATGTAATACCTCCATACTGCACACACCTTCTTTAATGTTTAACCAATATAGATGATTTTAAATTCCTATGATGGATAAAGATAAGATGCTACCAGATACAGATGAATATTGGTTACCGAGTGCACTACTCTTTATTTATTGGTGTGTTGATGTGTGCTTGTTGTTGATGCACGGATCCAGTTTTTCATCTCCGATACCGATACAGATATCTACAGTTTAGTATCGGCCGATACCGATCCAATTCCGATACAGAAAAGTCCCACTGAATTACCTTTTGTTTTAATTTACCACTGCCCCTCAGAACGTTTACTGCGCAGGTGTTGCAAGTGGCAGTCAAGCTTGTAGGCAGAGGTATTGTGATAAAGTTCAAGATAGCAGACCCCTTTGCTCGCTCCATTTTGAAAACAATGTGAGCATCTGCTCAGCGTGTTTACTTGTGGATGCCACTGGCATAGAGTTAGACTGAATAGATCCGCCCCTATGCATCAGGCCCATTGCCACAATACCCGATCTAGAACTATCAAATATCAGATCTGCATCCCTAATACACATCACTAAAGATATGGTGATGCCTTTACCATACAAACTCGATAACAGCTTATGCACACCAACAGCAGTATAAGGCTGTGTACTTTCTTTTAAAGCTAACTGGTTTCATCCTGTCTTCTTATATGTTTTTCTTTTTATACAGCAGCTGAACTGTTCAAGGACAAAGACGTCCATGTGCCCCTCATGGTGGTGTTGTCATCCTACATGAGCACCCTAAGAGTCCAGCAGGTACTGTAAGACATCACAAATAATGTAGAAGAAATGCTAACTTGATGCATCAATCTGTGTTGTTGCTGATGTTTGTACTGTCAAAGTCACCCACATCTGCCATGCCTATGTCTGATCTGGCATGTGTATGGCGTCCCATGTCTGCTGTGTATTTCAGCTTATCAGGAGTGAGAGTGCAGCCTGACACAAAGTGAAAGTCAGATTGTAAGAGTCATGTTCAGCTAAGTCATAACCACAGACTCATTTAAGGATCAGACAGGATCTGAGAGTCAGTTTACAGGTAGTTTTGTGGTGTATGAATCACTCAGACACTCAATTATAGTGATTTCATGTTCAAATTATATCTCATTAGGACAGCATCCAGATCACATACACACCCTGTACCACCTTGTTATCTCTGATATAATTAACCATGGTTTATTTAGTAAAGCAAGTATCGAGATAGATATCTCTGCAGTTGAAAGCTGCTGCCTTTAGTGACAGCTGATGTCTTGAGCATATTCTTATTTATCAGTTTATTTACTTACAATGGTGATGGTTTATTTGCTGCTGATATAACAGGATAGGCCTCAGTGTTGGTCATGGATGAATCAGAATCTGGGTTTATTGCCAAGTCGATTTTCACATCAGAGGAATTCCTTGTGCTGTTTTGCTGCATAAGCGAAGCAAAGTAATCAAACAGCAATACTTGTACTAAGAAGAAACTTCACAAAAACATACTAAACAACAAAATATATTGCCAATGCTGTACATAATTGCAATGAATGTAGAATGCAGAGGAATTTAAAAGATAAGAGGGTGCAAAAAGAGAACAAGAGTGTGCAAGAAGAGACAAACAAAATCTCTCTGTGTGATATCAGGCTCAGAAGAACAATGAAATCGATCAGCATCACTATTGAATCTGATCAGATATTGTGCTACTTAACCTTGGGACTATCTCTGATGAATAATTACAAGCCAAAGCAGTGTTTTACACACGCAGTTCAGCTGTTCAACAAGTTCAAGCTTAGCATCTAAGTGTTTGATCTGCACTCAATCTGTGCAATATCTAATCCTCATCAATTGCAGTTATTTTGATTATTAGTGCAGCTTGTTAACCTGACATTCCCAGACCTATCAGCCATCAGATCATTTTTACAGTCAGGTGGGTCTAGAGTCACTGTTATTCTAAACGGTTTCAGTAACCATGTCAACCCCCTTATTTAAATAGGAAGCAGACTGTATGGTTAGACTCTGGTGGAAACTTACCAGTTCTCATATCTGGCTGGAATTTTGGTGGACGTGTTTTTACAAGTTTCTTTTATAACACCAAAACAGAAAGTATATTTAACAGGAAGGACTTTGAAATTCTGGCAGTTGTGGGGATGTGAAGAAGGAAATCACTGGCATGATTTCTGGGAATACACCTGCAGTTTACAGCACTTTTTTAAAGAGATGTAGATTTTCAGGCATCAACATTTTGATTTATACTCATAACAAAGCCATTAAGAGATGTTGGCTGCTCCCCTAGGATCACAGCCAACACATGAGAGGATTGATATAGTAAATCATATTTACACTGTGAAAACCTTTTGTCTACATCTTCAGATGGATGTGTGCAAAAAAAAACTTCAGTCTTAGTTAAATATGTAAAACCTCCACAGACAGAGTTTTTTGGAAGTTACCAGTCAAGGGCTCTACAATGCTGTCCTGTCTTAGCCAATCTCGTTCACTTTTTGGTCTCAGTTTCTGCCTTATAAAGTGACAATGCTGGAGCGCTGCTTGAGTGTATTTGTAAACAACCAAGATGGCAGCCTCATTTGCTTGAAGGTTCGTTGAATCAGCTCTTTTAAACAAACTGGATGTTATATTCTGGTGTAACTACCACACACACAGCCTTCAAGGTGTGTTTCTTTCCTCTGTATGCTGTTTCCTCTTTTCTTGCATCTATCTTACTGTCCCTCTGCTTATTTATCCTTTGTTTGAGAAACTCTGAAGCTGGTCTTACGGGGAAATTCTGAGAAATGTTTTGATTCTCAGAATTTTCAGAGTTACGTCAATGGGAATGTTCTGTGTTAATGTAAACAGGATGCAAGCCTAATGTGATAATGCTTCATTAATAGCTAGATTAAACAAGAGGGTCTTATGTTATGAGGTCTTGGTCTTGGTGAACCTTGGTGCCTTAAAACAGAAATACAGATAATCTAATATTTACCACAGCATCTGTCCTGATTGAAATAACTGTCTCCTAATCCTGTTTGTTTTTTCCTCTCATCTGTCCAGGATTTTGTATTCTTAAATTTTTACTGTTTGATCAGCCAGTAAATTCACACGTTACCATGTTCCTCATACAGGTAGGCTGGTCACTGCTGTGTCGGTTGATTGAAATATGCCCGGGTACTCTGGAGGGGCTGACCAGACCTCTGCAGGCAGCCAAAGAGTGGGAGGTACTGGGAGTGCACCAGTAAGTGAAGACACTCTTATAAGATGCTGTACTGTGTATCACTATCAGTGCAGGTGTAGATTTTCTTGTATATGTAAGCAGTCTTTGCAGAAGTGGAAATTCCCAGTGACAGCAGTCTTAGTTTCTTTTTACATCTGGTTTTTCTGAAGTGACTTGCCCTTTGTCTGCTCTCAGAGGTTTCAGATCTGAAGTTCCACCGATGTTATTTTCAGTTCCTGGTCGTTGTACTGAAGCAGCCCTGCTCTGCTTTTGTACCACATAATGTCATTTTTTACTTCTTATCAGCCTTGTAGCTTTTTCAGTTCCACTCTACTGACATCCAACAACTTCTTCAAATCAAGTTATTTTCCACTTCACTGTTTTTCTTCAGCCTTTTTTTCTCTCTTCTTCTTGCATTATACAATTGTTCTCAATTGTTCTCTGCATCATGTTTGGAAGTTTGATTTTAAAAGTGCTGAAAGCACAACTTTGAAAGTCTGACTTGTGCCTGGAATCCTGTTATTTCCTCTTCTACTCTGGTTCATGTCTTCCTGTGACGGTGTGTTCTCCAGGCAGCTCCTGCAGGCGCTCTTTCAGTACAGCGCCGACCGTAAAGTGGCCATGGTTGGACTCAGAGCGCTGGCTCTCCTGCTCAGAGCAGGTATATGACTTCACTACACTCCATCACACTCCTGCTACATGTGATTCCAGCATGAGTGGAAATAGTCTCCTTTTGTAATTATGTAGTGACGAATGAATCTATGGTGGAAGTTTTTGTCTGTATCTAAAAGCTGCTTCAAGGCCCTACAGTTTCCGGCTTTGATTGATGGTCCTGGTAGTGTGTATTATTTACCTAGTGTGCTCTGACCAAAATGGAGTTCTCCTTTAAGACTTTTGGTTTTCTGTCTTTAAAGCTACCATGAGGAACTTTCAATCTGTGGTCATTTTTGCGCCTCCTGTGGACAAGAGAGTCTCCTGCATGCTTGAATAGCATCTTAAGACAAACCAAAATCTCATCCTCCTGACTTTTACTCGTCAAATGTTTCATTTATTGTGAACATTTAAGCTGAAAAACATAAAAACAGGATTCTTTAGCTCCTCTGCTGACACCTTCCTCCTTGCACTGGTTTTCAGTTATGAAAAATATAAATGTATAAAAGTAACAGTCACTGTCTTGTCACTGATGGTCTTGTTTGCTAGTATAAAAAAGGGCATCAATATGAAATTTACTGGATTTAATAAATGTCATAAACTCCACACAAGAGCTTTAAGTGACACATTTGTGAAAAAAAAAGAGAAAATTCTGCGTCTTGGATGTCCTAGGTAAATGTCACTGTTGATCTAAAAGAGTGAATGCATCACATTGTCAGGCACCAGCACAGAAAGTTCCCATTTCCTTCAAAAAAAGTTTTACTTATACTTTTATACTTTACTTATCCCGAACTGTCTTTGAACTTTTTTATTTAAATCTATTTTTCATGTGTCACACTTTGTTTTTACTTCTTGAATCATCAGATTTGATCTGTTTTTAGGTGTCAGTTGAAATTTGCTGTTTGCTTGGTGTTACAGACTTGATTCCTCTGCTGGTGCTGGAGGAGGATGAGGATGTGTTTGGCCTGGTCGTGCAGGCCATGAAGAAATTTCCTACCAGTGAAGAGGTTCAGCTGCAAGGCTGTGCAGCTCTGCAGCTGCTTCTGGAGAGAGGTGAGCTCAGCACTAGCATGTAGAGAAACATATATTTCTGATATTTATGTTGATAATCTTAGCCTGATGCCAAGTCTGTCATCTACCACAGAAAACAAATCATGGATTAATGAAGTATATCTGTATCTGATATTGACATCAGCGTACTAACCCGTATACTTGCTTACATGAGAAAGTTGTTGTGCTCACTGCATGCTCAGAGCTGCGTGTCATTTTTTTAGTTTTATAACAACCACATAACAGTCCAGTCAACAGAAGACAAACAAGGCCGTCATGAGCGAGGTCCTCTTAAATCACATGTTCTCTTCAGCAGCTGTGTCTGTGTTTTTAGTGAGTGACGAGCATCTCATGGAGTTTGTGGAGAACCAGGATCATGTTGTGGTCCTGGCGGCCCTTCAGACTTTCCTGGACAGCCCAGAGCTGCTCCACCAGGCCATGAAGGTGCTGCTCCCACTGGCTCGTCCTGGTAAGTCCTCATTACATGGAGTTATCTTTGTGCGGGGAGGTGTTAGGAATGTGTCTTTCCCTCTGCTAATGTAATACGTAATGCATTAAACCACATGACTTTATCGATCATCATCAACTCAACACTTATCAACCTTTTTCTTGCTTTATTTCACGCTGTCTATTTGCAGCCTCAGGCTGGCCCATGACGTCACAGTCATGTTTTAAATCCGATTATACCTCCAGCTCGAGTAAACATGTGTGGTGTTATGCTGCTGTGTCAGAACAAATGTTTGTTGTTAACAGTGGAGACTTGTAAATGGTTAAATATTTGTGGAAACTCCCTGTGAGTGATGACTGTAAGTGTTTACCATTAAAAAATGCATAGCTATATCTAAAAGGATTTGTTTGGACTTCATGTGGACCGGCAAATCCACGGAAGAGAATTTCTGGTAGCCTGACTTCATCAATTTGCAATTCAAATGAACAGGAGGATGGTGAGAAAGAAAGAAAAACATGTCATTGTCATTTAAGATCAGTTTGAAGCTGCACAGCTGGGACTAAGTGTTGTTTTTCTGCACAAATGCACTTAACAAGATTTTGTTGTGCTGCATTTATTGAGAGGACAGGACAGAGCAGGAAACTGGGAGGGTGGGTGGAGTTAATTTCAGAGATGCCTGAAATGCTGAATCATGCAAGGGCAGCTCTCCGTCCGTACTGAAAGGTTGTCACACAACAGTCATCTTGACCCATATTTTCACTTTGACACAAACCAAAAGCAGCTGATGACACGCTGCACTCTTTTGATTGTTGTGCTGAGATTTTAGTCGCTGGGTTAGTTGAAGCTTGAAAAGGTCAAACTTTTTCTTCTGTGAGATTATCATGGTCCTGGGCAGATTACAGCAAACTCTCTTTTGTTGTTAAAACCCCTCTGTAACTTCTTGTCTGTCTTTTCTTTGTTTACAATTTCTCTGTTTAAGTCTTGAAGGACGCAAAAGCTACTATATTGTCAATTTAAGATATGTTGTGCAGTGCAGTATTACCCTGAAGCAACACTGTATATATCCCGGCAGTCATGTCAGAGTTGAAAATGAACTTAAAGGTTACTACATGAGTGCAAAAAGCAGGTTTAGTCTGAAAGCTCAGCTGCTGATCTAGGTGCTTTTGTTCTTCTCTTCCAGGCAGTAACGTGGAGGTGTTGATGTCCGGAGGTGCTCGGTGCTACAGCCTGATCATGGCCGCCATGGATGCGTTTCCTAAGGTGGAGGAGCTGCAGGAGACGGCCTGCTGTTTGTTTAGGAAGTTAACATCAGGTACGAACACAGGGTTAAATGCTCAACATTATCTTAGGAGTGTTTATTTAATAAAGATGTCAGTCTCATTTTGTTTGTTCCTCTCTTCTTGGAAGCGATTAAGTTTGAGAAAACACACGAGCAAACACTTTCAAAGACAGAAGAATCGTGAAAAAGGTTTCTTACAGACTCACAACACTTGGAAAGTTGTGTTGTTGGAAAATCAGCTGATTTCTTTGCCCTATTTTAAATCTTTGGTCACATGACGCACATTTTGAAGGATAACTAAGGATCAGCCTTTTGCACTTTTGCTCAGTTTGATGAGGATGATGTTATTTTTTTCTGTCTGTTTGTTGTAGCATGTTTATCCTACAGGACCACCATCTTTTATTGTGTTTAATTTCACTATTCATTATATGTTTTATATGTTTTTGTTACATCAATTTAGTGCAAATGTCCCTTCAAGTTTAGAGGATGAAAAAGGAACAAATTACCGAAGAATCACAGCCACCCAGTCGTAGTTTTCAACCTCGTCAAAGATTTCTCTGAGTCTTTTGACTGAAGAAACATGATTTTACTTCTTAATATTAGCCCCTCTGTTCCAACTTTTTAAAAATGTGTTGCAGGCATCAAACTGAAAACCAAGAGGTCTCAAATTCTCCTTCAATAAGTAACCACTAAGTACCTCATGTGTTTTCAGTCAGTGACGATAACACTCAATAAATCACTGTAGCAGTATTCGTACTGTATTCACCCAGATGAGCGAATGCTTTTGCGAGTAGACAGATTAAGATTCAAGTGTCCTGTGGAGTCATCTTGTTAATCCAGGGTGTGTGTGTTTTGTCCTCTGTCTTTTAGAGAGCTACTTCAACATCCTGGTCCTGAACGGTGTCCAGAGGGTCGCGGTCAGAGCCTGTCAGACTTTCCCAGACAACCCAAAGCTGCAAGCTGCTGCTCTCTCCTGCCTGGCTGACCTCAGTGAGGATACACACTCTCTCTATCGTACTATATTTAAGTCCTTTATTTATATAACCACAGACGGATTAGAGGAGGAGACAGCAGAACAATGGCCTCACCTCATAATGGCAGAGTGCTATAGAAGATAAATTATCTGAGGGTATAAAAACAGCCCAGTCTCTACTTGTTGGGACTGTGCTGATTGATTCCCTAAAGTTCTCTGTCATGCAGCGCCAACTTGTGTTTTCCAGGTTTCTAAATTTAAACATCAGTACCCTCTGGCTATTTCAAGTCCAGCTTGGTTGTGCAAGTGCCTGAAAGAACAGAAACAGATTCAGTCAACCTTAAAAAAAAGGGCTCAGAAGACATTAGAGAGTAGAGTTTCTTTTTCTGATCGAAGACAAAGCTTTTCATTTTGGGTGAGACCACATTGAAAAAGTATCGCTGCTTAGTCATTTGCATAGTGAGACTCTAAGTGTATCATGAGTCTGCAAAAGCCTACATCTTTAAAAAAACACTGGTCACAGAGAGCTGTGGATTCAGTGGTTTTCTTGATGGGTGTCTTTAAATCCAAGTACTCGCTGTTAAAGCTTTTTCTTTCTTACTTTCCAGGAACAGCTTAGTGCTTTCCAGGATGACTGCTTTTTTTACAGCAATGGTTCCCAATCTACTCCCTCCTCTTGTATTATAGAAACTCAAGGCCCTGAAAGAAAAAAATTATGCAATACCTAAACTTAAATGTTTTTAGTGTGGAGAAAAAAGGATTTTTAAAACAGTTTTATCCAAACTCTCCAGTAAGTGTGTTCAAGATTTCAGTTAAAATGAGAAAACTTGATTTTGACAACCTCAAGGCAGACAAAACCTTGCAGCCCCTGAGATCTCTGGCGGCCGAATTCGAAACACTTTCATACAGCCGACGTACTGAAGCTCACTGCTGATGTGTCACAGCCGTCATTGTGTGCACATAATTTATTCACCACTTTAACAGCTGTAAATACTGACAGAGGTTTTCAAATCGTTTCACTCTCTGTCAGTCCTGTGGTATATGTATGAAGGGCTAATTTAGGACGTTCCTGAATTTGACTAAAGACTGTCAGGAGCTCATGTGAGAAAACCTCAGTCTTTTCAGATTTCGATTTCCCCTCGTGTTTTGCTTTGACGACAGAACAGTATCTTGACCTGTCTTTTAAACAGAAAACAGTTTGTCTGCAGCTCATGACGTCTATCCCAAAACACAAGCCTGAGGCCCATTTAAACCAAACACAACTCCAGTTTCTGCTTCAAAGCAAAAGTATAGTCAGTTTTTGGAACCATGACGTTATCTGCTGTTTGGAAAATCAAGCTGAAAACGAGGTCAGTTACAGAGATGAGTGGGTCTACAGTCAGCATAAAAAGAGCTTCTGTCTGTCCGTGTGTTGAAATGGTTTGGTTACATGTTTTTAAAATCTGAGTCCTCGTTATTTAAAGGTCATGTATATGAATTCAGATCGTGTCATAATCTCCTCTTTTTAGCTGCTACCATCGTGCAGAACAAGGCGGTGGCCGCACAGGGTCCAGAAGAAGGCGAGGAGGAGGAGAACCGGGGTCGGGAGAAGGTGGAGGACATGGGTCTGGGCTGGATGGAGGCTTGCTGTATGGCGCTGGAGCTTCACGCCGAGGAACCGGATGTTCAGGTCAGTCCTCCGGCCTTTTTGAGCTTCTCAAATATTGAACATTGAATTAATTCAATAACCAGTCTTTGTGAACATCCTGCACTGACACAGGAAGCTGCAAGTTGGGCCATTCACAACCTGTTACTGCATGGAGCTGGACTGAACCAGACAGAAGAGGAGCAGGATGAGAGGTAGCAGCTCAGTACCACACGTATACATCCTGTTATAAACCCTGAAAACAAAAGGCTGAAATGTAAAGATTCAGATTTGAGCAGTCAGTCTTATAAGGCATCTACATTTTTGCATTCAATTTCAAGAGGAATTCGAAATTGCTGCATCAAAATCCACTTTGGATATTGCTGGTTTGCTTTTAGGACTCCGGTTCACAGACAGTTGATGGCGGCCATGCTGGTCCACTCCTCCTCTCCCAGCGTGTTTGAAGCTGCTACCAGTGCTATTGCCACACTCATCACACACAATGGTGAGTCCTGAAGTGAACACCAACTTGCTACAAGCATCATTGTGCGACATATTGATATAAAAACAATGTAAAAAGGGTACGACAAAGAGTTTAACTGTGAATTTGCAGATCTACAGATAAACTACAGATAAACGAAAACCCAACTGGACGAGTTCAAATACTTACTTAACGTTTGTGTCTGTGAACGTCTTCTTTGCTCCGCTTTTAGGGAAAATGCGCTCCTTGCTGCTTTCCAGCGGCTTGCACGTCAACTTAGTCGAGATGATGAAGAGACATTCGACTTCAGAGGAAGTTTCCATCAGCGCCTGCAAACTGCTGAACCTGCTCTTCCAGGGAAGGTGAGGAAAATATCAACTTGTTTCAGACACTTGGCTAAGAAAAAACAGGCACAATGAGCATTAAGAAGAGGAAAATTAATTGTTAAATGATGTTTTCAGTGATTTCCTTATATAATCGTACGTTTATTAACCTGTCTCTTTCTCTCCGTCTGCAGGACAGCCAGTCTGGATGAGCTGAACATGGCCATGAGTCAAATCCTCAGCACCATGAAAGTCCACAACTTCCACCCTGAGGTTCAGCTGGAGGCTCTGCAGGCCAGTCTGGTCTTCCTCTGTCCAGGTATACTGATGTCCTGCTTCAGACCATTGCTCTGTGCTGTCAGTTTATTGTAGCTCCTTAAATCGTTGTGTATATTCTGCTTCTCGTAAGAAAGTATCCTGTTTTTTTTCTGTAAGTGATGCATCAAAGTTTGTTTTATGTTATATATTATGGCTCCTTTATATATTGTACTCCTCCTCTTAGCTCCACACTCCACAGTGTTCCTCTAATTCAGTTAGTTACTGAGCAGCTGTGTCTGATTGTACATGTTAGCCTGCTTCTTTGTCCTCACTTGCTTCTTTGGTTTGTATGAATTCCTAGACAGGAGTTTGAGGGAGCACGGCGTCTCCGTCTCAGATCCCGACATGGCTGATGTGTCGCTGAAGGTCCTGAAAAACCAGTGTGTGGTGGAAGGAGCTCACACTCTGTACCTGGAGGTTCTCAACAGGGTAAAACACACTTAAGTATCTCTCAAATACTCTGTTTGTCTTTCTGAAAATGACAAATGATTCCAAGAAAATCCACAAGATGAGCGGTAAATGCCGCCACTGTAATTGGATTTTGATTTGAACATAAAGAGACATGGTGTACAAATACTCAGTAATTGTACATATTGTTCTCCTCATGCATTATAGATCAAACTTCAGTTCATCTATTCATCACTTAAGTTTAACAGAACATTGAACATTAGAAGGGTGTAATTACATTTCTTAAAAGGACTTTCTGGTCAGTGTGTTGGTATGAATGAACAGCTAGCATACATTTTGTTCTTATGTGCCTTTGTCTGTGCCTCAGGACAGCATGTGAACAGATGATTCGTCATGCTCACACACACGGCTCATTACTGACAGCATGTCTTTATGTAGAGATCTTTAATTTGTTATGAGTGAAGGGTGGTGGAACTCATTCTTAAGTCGATAGTGATTTGAAAATGTATAAATTGTTAAAAGTGGAAAGTTGGTCTTTACACATTCTCTGAAATAGCAAGTTTTTATTGTCCTTTTTCGTCATGTCATGCTAGGACACCAACAGAGTAGTTTGGCATGATTTGCTGCGGATAGAAAACTCCTTATGTATCTAATACTGGCACTGATCAATCACCTCTTCTTGAAACAGTTTGTTTTGGCTGCTTCTCCACTCATGTAAAGTTGGACGCGGTTTGTGAATGTTATTTTTTACACAGCTGTGTTTTTATGAACACACTGAAAGTTATACTTGTTATACTATACTGAAAGTTATACTATATGTCTTCAGTGAAGGGACGAGTACAAACTAAACACAATTCTCTGGTGCTTAGGTTTTTGGTAAAGGCTCATTTATGCTCAACGTTACTTACGGATCCGGATCCGGACGCGTACGCGCTTTACGTTCTTTCGTGCGTGTTTCTGCACGTATCCTTTAAATTTACGGATACGGGCCAGATGGTGCAGTACCACCGGAAACTGTGGGGGCAGTGTTGCTGTTGTCACTGCCCGATACGCATCTCTAGAAAGAAACGAAGAAGACAATGGCGGGCTTTTTGAGAATCGTCGTCAACTTTTCTCTTATCGGTACTACAAGAGAAAATAAGTCTCTGTCCTCCAACTGAGAGGCATTTAGTGTCCTGACCAACCTCCGCCGCCGTTTCTTTCTCTTATGCAAAATATACATTATCACTATCTCCTCCACAGTCGCCATGTTTGTTTTTGTTTGTTGTTGTCAGAAACTTTTGACTTCGGCCGACGCGAACATTTTCATACGGCAGCCATAAAGGAGCCTCCAGAGTAAAACGCTGAAGTGCAAAGTGGAGGAAAAGCTGAATGTTGAGACGGACTTTCAAGGCAGAGAAAATGTTGAACAAGCTTTGAGGCGGGTGTTTCCTTGAAAGAGCCGATTAGTCATGTCAGCTGGGCATGGTTTTTGATATTAACCTCATAGAGCGTCAAAGTCTCTCACAAAGTTATGAAAACGAGTCATACAGACCGATATCTATACGCCGAGGTTTAGATCGGAAATCCCTTTCGATACAAGTTGATGTAAAAGGAGGGGGTAGAGGGACTAACGAGTACAGTATCGAGTTTTGTTTCAGGTTTTGTTTGTGTCTGTGTTCAGTTCATCAGCAACTCCATCATCCAGAGGTGCGGCCTGAAGGTGCTCTCTGCTTTGGCTGACTGCACCGGTGCGGTGGACCTGCTCTGCCAGCAGGGGGCGATAGACACGGTCCTGCATACACTACTGATGTTCCCAGAGCAACGAGGTACAGGATATTACTGTCATTACCAGAAATTACTACATGAAAAAAGGGTCTTTGTGATTACAGAATTGGGTGTTGTAGATATTGAGAGAGCTCTAAAGGGAAATGGAAAGCCAGAGTTTTCCGAAACATGCCTGTCCCATTATCTGAATATGATCATTTCCTTTTCAAAAATGACTCATCTGGATTTCCAGAGATACACTACTGGGGTCTGACCCTGCTCAACTACCTTGTATCCAAGAAGAAGCTGTCGAGGATGATTGTACCTGTTCTGGCGTCTGTTGTCGTGGCTTCACTCAGGCAGTACAGAGAAGACTCTGAGATGCTCCTGAAGGTGAACTGATGGATATAATTAGCTTATCTAAAAATAAATAAAAGTGTCTCTAGAAAATGTTCAAGTTTTGTTTCCACTTCATGTACTTCAAATTTGTCTTAATTCTTGGAGTTAAAACAAGTTGCCACACAGTCCTCTCTCGTCGTGTGCTCTGCAGGGTTTTCAGGTGTCTCTGAGGATGCTCGACGCCTGTTCGGGAGCAGCTGCTGAACTGCAGAGAGAGGACTTGGACCGACTGATCTTCCAGCACCTCAGAGAGGAGACTCCAGACCAGAGCACCAACCCAGTGAGTTGGATTTAAAGAGCTTTCATTTTTCCTCTCTGAATCACTCTCATCACACGTTGCGACCTGAAAACCTGACTTCAGGGGTCAGGCTTTCGATGAACAGATAAAGTCCTAAAAGTCTTACTTGGAAGGATTTCCTGTCTCGATCTTTATCACATCTTTCTTATGAGCCGGGAGTCAAACACAGGCCAAACTGTACATGTACAGACACTTGCACTACCACAGACAGTGCAGGACATACCAGAGATGGTTGATTGCATGAACTTCTGTATGACTTGCTCTTTAGAAAAAGGAAAAGCCTTAATAGAGAGACCAGAGACCTCCACTTTGATGGAGTAAATAGATTCACAGAAACTTCACCCTCTTGAACTTTCTGTTTTATCTCTCTATCAGCTCCGTAAGTCGGTCTGCCTGGCTCTGTCCAAGATGTGGTGTGACCCGGAGCTGCACTACAGCATGCTGGAAAAGGCGTGCGAGGACGGGGACACCACGTTAGCCGAGTGTCTGATCGAGCTGGGCGCAGACGTCAACAGGAAGACGAAAACAGAGTCTCTAATCTACCAGGTCAGAGGTCACAAAGAAGAACACAGACATGCATTAAGGGGGATAACCCAGGAAGTCGCTCGTTAAGTGAGGTCATGAGGAGTTAGTTAAGGAAAGTTATGCTTTCATTCATGTCAGATATGAACAGGAAGTTGTGAATGGTGTGTGTTACCAGAAAGCAAGTTTCTGGCCTCAGATTTGCCTCTTTGTTTGTAGACTAGATGGAAGTTATTTGGAGTAATCATGTCTGTTTCATAAAAAGTACAAGTCCATAATTTAATACCAGTCTTGGCTTCTCTAGGTGTGCGAGAGAGGTGGACCCCTCGAGCTTGTGGAGCTCCTGCTCAGCCGTGGCGCCCATGAGCAGTACCTCCGCAGGGCTCTAGCTGTCAGTGTAAAGCGGGGCGATGGACCAACGGTCATCCAGCTGCTGGGCCGCTTGGGTCTGGACCTCAACAACAGCGCCCTCTGCCTCGGAGGCTTCAGGCTGGGCCGCCTGGACTCCTCTTGGCTTAGCCCCCTGCTGGCAGAAAGGGGCAGAGCGTTTAGTCTCCGTTACAACAACAGTGAGGATATAACCGTCACTTCTACCGTACTTTTTCGAACAGTTGATTGGTTGTTCTAAACTCTCTCTTCTGTCTTTCAGGTAAAGGTATGAGTTTAGCGAGGTACATTCTGTCTCTGCAGAAGTCCAAGAGTAGCAGTGGACCTTTCAGATCTCTGGCCGACCCGTGTCTGACCTCAGGCTACATCTCTGAGGAGAGCGACGACTCAAACTTCAGCTTCGTCTCCACAGAAGACAGCCTGTTTTTCAACGACGACATGGAGAGTGACGGTAAAGTTTCACTTTGATAATTTACCCACTTTTGGGTACAAAACCTGTAAAACTGTTTCTTATCAATCTACGTGTGTGTTTTTTCCTCCTTCTTTTATTTTAGGGAGTGATTCACTGTCGGGGGTTCTGTCTCCAAAGCCTCATAACAAATCAGCAGAGGAGTTGACTGGAGGGTCTTTCAAAAGGAAACATGTGCGTCGTCGACACGCCAGTGCAGAGGTAACACTACCAACACTGCAGCCGGGATTCACTCTGAATGAATAGCAGCCTCTGATAGCATCCTCATCCCAAGGTCTAATTCACACCTGGGTACCTCGGACAGAGTTCTGCAGCTCTGTGCAGTCTACTCCACTTTTGCCTCTTATGTGACTGAGATGAGCTCAAAGTGTCTCCACTCCCTGCTCCACAGATCTGTGCTGTGCCCTCTCATCCTGACGACACTAGATAATATGATTATTAGCAGACATGCACGTCCCCGATTGTTTTCACCTCTCATTGTTATTATTTTGTTTTTTCTTCCATTTCCAGAGCGGACTAACTGAGACGGAGCACAGCGAGCCTGCACAGCGCAGGAACGGAAAGATAGGCTCAGTCCAGAAAGGTACATCTCTACCGAACTCCACAGTTTTTGAGGGACTTTTATATGGAGGCATCAGTATTGAGTCTAGTCTCTCTAGTCTAAAAATGTCCTCACCAGATCTTCTGTTTGCAAGAAACTCTTTTAAAAGTCTCCTGTTGTTGCAGTGTTTTCATTTTATTGTGCATCATTCATCGGAGTTGAAATAAAATTTGTTTTAGCTTAAATGCAATTTATCCCAAATGAACTCTTTTCACTAAACACAGTTTTTCTAATTAGATGATTGAATCTTGTGTGGCCTCCTCAGTGCTCGGATCTGCTGAGAACTCTGCTGCTCTGCCTAAAGAGAAGGAGAGGATCCGCCTGCTGGACTTGTCCGGTAATGAGCTGGACTCTCTGTCCTGTCTGATGGATGACGGCTTCGTGCAGCAGCAGCTGTGTCATCTCCACCGTCTGGACCTGAGCCACAACAACCTGCTGGAGTTTCCCTCAGCTCTTTGCCAGGTAATGTATCAGATCTGTGCTTGAATATCGAACACCTAAAGGACGCTGAACTCTAAGGTTTGCTTTTTAAATTTTTTTTACAGAGTCTAAAGAGTCTGACTCGACTGGACCTGCAGGGGAACCAGCTGCGGTCGCTGCCAGTAGAGCTGCTGTCTCTCCTCTCGCTGAACACGCTGAACGTCTCTCGTAACTGCGTGGGTCCCGTCCTCACCTTTGACCCTTCTGTCACCTGCCCATCCCTGCGTCAGCTCAATCTGTCCTTCAACAAAATCACAGCGTTCCCTCATGACCTGGGTCGGGCTGTGGAGAACTTGGAGGAGCTGTTCTTGGAAGGGTAGACTTTTTTTTATGATGACAATTTCCAAGAATGAATCCACGAGTAAAACTGACGTACACATCCTTCTTTTAAGTCATCATCTTATTTTTTTTTTTCTATTAAAACACCAAAAATAGAATATTTCTCCGGATTTTTGATTTTCAGATACAAAGAAACATTGGAAAGTTATATAATCCTGTAAATCAAGTTAAGCAGATAACCCAGTGATTTAAGGGGTCATTTCATGTCATGTGTGTGCTGGGTTTGAAATTCTAGCTTTAACTACCGTATCAGTGAAACAATGTCATTAAACTGTTGGCTGAAGTCAGTCTTCATCCTTTTCGTAGAAAACGACTTTCAAAACAAACATCAGCTGTTTTGTTGAATAGCTGTGACCAATGAGTTTACTAAAAAGCTGCACAGTCCTCTTAAACTTCTATTCATTTAATTTAATGAAGACATGTTTCATTAAATGTCTGTCATGGGAAACATTCAAAGGATTTTTTTTAAGCAGCTGTAATACTTTATGAAAAAAACTACAGACGTGATCATCTGATTTCAGATTCAGCTTTTTAAAAGTTGTGTTAGTGATGAGTAAAGCTGAGGGTAACACTCATGGTGTATGATAATATTAAGAAAGGACAAATATCAGGTTTGTCAGGTATTCAGCTGTTTTTTCAGTGATGCATCTTGTGATCTCTCAAGCTCTCACACTGTTATGGTGCAGAAAGGATGTAAACCCTTCATTCAGTTTGTTTGGATCCTGACGGTTTATGTCCTCATGTCTTCTCAGATGTTTTCAATATGATACTTTACTCAGTGGCTGACCCATTTTCTCTCATACATGGGTCTCTGCAGTCTGACAGCGTCTTCATCACGGGAGGATATTTAGTATTCGTTACTGTGTGCAAAGAAATGAATCAAAATAAGAGAGAAATGGACATTTATGTGCAAATTGCACCTCAACAGGTTTGTAAATAGAACCACTCAACAGTGACGCTGAAGCATCTGCAAAGTCCTGTTACAAAACAAAAGCAAATCATGTGATTCAAAAGAAGTCAACAAGCAGGAAGAGAAGACAAAGACAATTTTATTCCTTTTCACACAGTTGGACTCGTCACTTGAATGTGCTGAATAAGTGAAACCAATTCACGCAATTTTCCACATCAAATAGAGAAAATAAATCAAGGTCATTTTCTGCTTGTCGATATAATTGAAGACAGCGACTATCTTTCCTCTTGTTTTCAGTAACACAATAACTGAGCTGTGCACGCCTCTGTGTCTGACCGAGATCAAGCTGGTGGATGTGAGCAAGAACAGCGTGGAGAATATTTCTACAGACTTTCTGACAGGCTGCCCCAAACTGGAAACTTTCAACGCTTCCATGAACAAAGTCTGTGAGTACTTTACCCTCTGAGTGACGATGCATTTATATTATCGTGTTATACTCTGTGAAATAAGTTTGCAGCATGTGACAGAAAATAAAAATGTGACTTACTCACTTATGTAAAACTTAATTTCCTTTTTACTGCATTTGTGACCCTAAAAATCACATTAGAATCAGAGTGTAAAGCTGTGAAATTGACATTGAAACAACTCACTCTAAAACGAGACATGAGGCCTTCAGCTTGTGTTAAAGTTGTCAGAAATGTCAAAGTGTGGCGTTTAAGCTCCTGTGAGAAGGTTTTTTTGGGATCATGAAACGTACAGAAATTAGTCTTAATACATCTTTATTAGGGCTGTAATCAAACAAAGAAATTCTTGGTCGACTAAAACCCTGAAATTTTCAACCAATAATCGACTCTGACTGCAAACCCGGTGTGGGACATTGACTCGGAAAAATTGAGTCGACCAATCAGAATTTAGGCCGGTACGTGCTGAGTCGATCAAAAATCTGATCCGTCAACTCAATAAGTTGACCGGTTGACTAGGACTTTACAGCCCTTTGTAAGCCCTAATCTTTGTGACTTACAAAAGCAAAAATGAGTGCATTTTCTATATTGTCTCTATTATTGTTATTCTGTAAGACCTAAAACTTGTGCAGAGGGGGGTCGGTATCAGCCAAGCAGCGTAAGAAACAGCCTCTTTTCTACACTGTTCATCCTAAAACTATGACAATCACAATGAATGAAACATCTCATGGACAGATTTCAGCAACTTGTGGTTGTCACTTGTAGAGAGCTGTTTTGTCCACAGGGGGTGCCAGAATTCACACAACGCAAAAGTTGCTCACAGGAGCTTTAAAGTTCAGCAGTTTGAATGTAAGACTCGAGTTATTCAGGGTTGAGTTTTTTCATTTTCAGGTTCTCTGTCCAGTCTCCCCTCCAAGATCACAGCGCTGAAACTAGCAAACAACTGCTTCTCTCTGGTTCCTGAGGCCATACTGAATCTTCCAAAGTCAGTTTCACGCTCTTGGTTGTCCTCTTTCTCCGCCTGTTGTTTCTTTACTTAGTTACTCATTGATTTTTTTTTACTCCAGCTTGCGGTCAGTTGACATGAGAACCAACCAAATCGCTGCTCTGCCCGGTCCTGGTTCCTGGGAGTCCGGCAACCTCAGAGAGCTGATGTTCAGTCAGAACTGTATCACAGCTCTGGATCTGGGTGGACCCATCTACAAGTGGGCCAGACTGGAGAAGCTTCACCTTAGTGACAATAAGCTCACAGAGGTACAGAGAGGAGACCTTAGCAAAAATACTTTTCTTATGCCATTATGAATCCTTGAGTGATCGTACCGCCTCTGTTCAGATCCCCCCACAGATCGGCCTGCTGGAGGGTCTGACCTCCCTGGATGTGAGTCGTAACGATAACCTGCGGTCCTTCCCTGATGAGATGGGGAAACTCAGCCGACTGTGGGATCTGCCGCTGGACGGGCTCCGACTCCAACTGGACCTCAAACTCATCGGCAACAAGACAAAAGACATAGTCAGGTCAGGATCAGGTTTGGTGTGATATCCACTCTTTGATTTATTCTCCTGATCATGACGCGTGTTTTTCCCTCCACCGTCTCCTCTCAGGTTCCTGCAGCAGCGTCTAAAGAAGGCGGTGCCGTACAACAGGATGAAGCTCATCGTAGTGGGGAACGTAGGCAGTGGGAAAACCACTCTGATTCATCAGCTGATGAAGCTGAAACGCTCGCAGGTGAACCCCAAGGTGACTGCTGTCGGCATTGACGTTCGGGACTGGACCATCAGGGAGCGGGACAAGAGGATGGTGCTGAACGTCTGGGACTTTTCAGGTCTGGGTCTTGTTGACATGGATAAAAAGAAAAACTCTGCACACACCACAACGTTTTCAGAAAGTTTTCGTTTACACTTAACCGTGTATATATGCCGTCAAGAGCATGCCAAACCTGTAGGTGGCGGTGCAGTGAGAAGCTCAAGCCCATGTTCGCCATTCAGAATCCTGCATAGCAGCAACAACATCTCTTCCTTCTCTTTGGCGCACAATCTGCCATCGGCTACCCAAATCTCTGTTTTTCTCTGTTTACATGCAAATGTGCAAATGGAGTTTTCCGAAATCTCCACCCTGGCTGGAGTTTTTAAAAAGCATCGTTTTCAGGGGCGAATTCTCTGTTTGCGTCTAAACGATGGTTAGTGCCTGTAAAAATAACCAGGTACATATAAACAGGGCCTGATCCTTAAGAACAAGCACAGAGATGGTTTTAGTGTTCCCCTTATTGGTTAAATCAGTCAGTGGGCCAGATGGGAGTACAACATTTCACCACTAGATGTCAGTCTTGACTCAAATGCAGCTCCAGATGTGAATCGTTCTGCCAGAATGTTTATAAACCAGAAAAATGGAAATAAATCCTGTGTTATTGTGTAAATAGTAAATGTAATAAAAGCCAGATTCAGTTATGTGACATTGGATTATTTAGGTCCAAAGTGTCGGTGTTAAACTAGGAGCAGTACAAAAAAAAAGAGTTGATTACATCAAGTCACTTCAGTTCTCAGGTTTTGTAAAGCTCTGATCGTCTCATGCAGAACAAACCGTCCAGACTGTTCAGGGACGAGTCTGCTCACCGTCCCAGGAGTCAGGACCAGACAGGAGATGTTTTTTATGCTTCAAATATCTGGAACAAACTCCCAGAAAACACCAGGTCCACCGAAACTCTCAGTTCTTTTAAATCCGTGCCTAAGATTTGCTCATTTTCTTTCCTTGCCTTCTCACAGATTAAAGAGATATCTGATCTGGATGTAGTTTCACACCCTGTTTGTTTTTTTTAATCTCACAGGTGAGGAGGAGTTCAGCGGCTCTCACCCTCACTTCCTAACGTCCAGAGCTCTGTACCTGGTGGTTTACAACCTCAGCAAAGGAGCCAGTCAGGTGGACGCCCTCAAACCCTGGCTCTTCAACATCAAAGTGAGTCACTATAAACCATCAGTTCACCTGGTTCCAGGATCAAGTTTGAAAAAGTTTTAGTGATAAGAACCTTTTCTTGATTAAAGTTGATCGTCTTGGTGTTTATCTTCAGGCTGTAGCTCCTTTGTCTCCGGTCATCCTGGTGGGAACCCACACAGACGTGAGCGACGAACTTCAGCTTCAGTCCTGCCTCACCAAGATCAGAGAGGAGCTGCTGAACCACCAGGGCTTCCCCGCCATCAGAGACTACCGCATCGTGTCTGCCTGCGAGGACTCGGACTCTCTGACCAAGCTCCGCAAAGCCATCGTCAGAGAAGTCGAGAACTTTAAAGTAAAGGACGTTTAAAGCAGACTGAGCTTTTATTTTCTCTGTCCCCTCCTCTCATCCATCCTCACCTTCTCCGCTTTCACAGATCCAGGGTCAGCCCGTCATGGGGCAGCTGATTCCAGACAGCTACGTGGAGCTGGAGCGCCGTATTCTAGTTGAGAGAGTCAGGGTTCCTCCAGAGTTCCCGGTTCTCAGGCACCATGAGCTGCTGCAGCTCATCCAGGAGAGTCAGCTGCAGCTGGACGACGCTGAGCTGCCGCACGCCGTTCACTTCCTCAGTGAAGCTGGTCAGTCGGCTACAAATTCAAGATCACTCGGGCTGTTCAAAAACTACACAGATGACTTTGAGAGAGTCCCGAGTCACAGCTTTGTTGAATTAGTCTGCGGTTCATGATACTCTGATATAAATCCGTGCAGGTCACATGACATATCCCGGATTGTTTTAACGTTTGTCTCTCCATGTCTGCAGGCGTTTTACTGCACTTTGACGATCCTGCACTTCAGCTGGACGACCTCTACTTCATCAACCCACAGTGGCTGTGCAACATCATCTCTCAGGTGCAGCATCATCTGCACATTTAAAAAACAATCACAAAAGCTTTGCCTGAAATAAAGTGAGCAGATAAACTCTGGTGGACGGAAGCTGAAAAACAGATCGGATATTTTAGATAGGGGTTTCCCGATACGATATTGATACCGGATATCAGTCTGATGGCAGCAAAAAAACAAATATTAGATTATATCAGTCTGCATCTAAAATGTCCGATACAAGCAGCCCATTCCAGACTCCGCTCCAGCACCTCTATCTAGCAGCACTTGGATCCAGCAAGCTGAGCCCACAAAATGACAACAACAGTGTGTACTTAGGTTCTAACAAAGTAGTCAGTAATGAAGGCTATGATATTGGTATCGTATCGGAAGTCAATAATTGTATCGGGACACCCCAAATTTTAGGAATGATGTTGGCGTGAAAACCACCTTATTTATCTCGCACTGACGCAGTTTTTGTCTGATCTCTGTTTAGAAACTGACTTTGAGGAGCTGTGGCTTCAGGGAACATCCCAAAGGAGTAGTTCAGCACTCAGTGGTGGAAAAGTTTCTGTCTGAGACCAAATGTTTCCCCAAAAGCCACCTGACGCACTTCTTCAAACTGCTGGAGAAGTTTCAGATCGCTCTGCCCTTCGGTGAGGACCAGCTGTTGGTGCCCAGCAGGTATGTTTGAAAGCTGCAGGTATGAAGGTGCTCACCAGGACAGAATAGATAAACACCAACATTAAACTTGTCATCTTTCTTTGACAGTTTGCCACAACACAGGCCAATGATCGATTTGCCTCACTGTGAGAACTCTGAGGTGATCGTGCGTCTCTATGAGATGCCGTACTTCCCCATGGATTACTGGTCCCGTCAGATCACCCGCCTGCTGGAGTTTTCTTCTTATTTGCTCGGTGGAAGAGGTGAGGATAAAGGTCCTGCGTTTCAGCAGATATGAAGCCAGAGACAAAACTCAGTGATTTCAAACATGAACGATTCGATCCATTTGTCTAGAAAAAGTGTTACGTCCAAACCGGATCTACTGGAGGAGAGGCGTGTACCTGAGCTGGTCCCCTGAGGCCTACTGTCTGGTGGAGGCGGCTTCAGAGGAAGACAGCCCCTCCAGCTTCGTCAGGATAACTGTGCCCTGTTCACGCAAAGGTGCAGCTGCTTCAGACTTTCTTATTCAACCGTCAAATTTTCACCCTCGTTGCAAAATTTTAGAGGTTTTTTTTTTGTTAGTTTAGTCATCTTTGAATCTGAATGTAAACATTCGATTGTGAACTGTCGTCTCTGGTTCCTTCAGGCCGGGTGCTGCTGGGTCAGGTTGTGGATCACATCGACTCCCTCCTGGAGGAGTGGTTTCCTGGCCTGCTGAACACGGACATGCACGGTAACGGCGAGGCTCTGCTGAAGAGGTGGGCTCTGTACAGCTTCGAGGACGGGCGGGAGTGGAGCAAGATCCTGCTGGAGGACCTCTTTGCGTACTTTGACAATGGCTAGTGCTTTAAAAACCATTAAAACAACATGATTCTCAATCTTTCCCTGCTCCTTTTCCATCCTTTAAAAATTCCCCTTCATTTCTGCACATGATGACATTTTCGAACATCTTTTAGCACGATGATGATGATGAGGATTATGTTCTGTGTTACAGATTTCCTCCTTCCTAGCCCAGTGGATCCACGCTGCACTCTTCCCATCTCACAGATCGCTCCTGACTTGGTGCTGAGTGACCAGCCTGCCGGGACAATCCTGGACAGTGAAGAGCTGCATGTGGACGGGTCTAAAGAGAACCGACTGGGTACCTTTTTCTCTTTGCCTAAAAACTGGGATTATGATCTAGATTGTTTCCTCTTCTGTTTGACTTAGTTCTATGACTTTACTCTCTTTTCCAGCTTTCTTGGAAATATTTATCTGAACATGCTTGTGTCATTTCATGTCGTTATTCACAGGAGATGGCGGCTTTGGGACTGTCTACCGAGGTCTCTACAAAAATGAGGAAGTTGCTGTGAAAATATTCAACAAGCACGCATCTGAGCTTTACATCTCCAGACTCCTCAGACAGGTACTTTTGAAAAACAAAAACCACTCTGAGCGATCATTTCCACCGCGTTTCCACAGTTGTGTTCAGCCGCCATCTCTGACTTTTTTTCTCTGCAGGAGTTGACTGTGTTGGGTCGTCTCCGTCATCCCAGCCTGGTGGGTCTTCTTGCAGCCGGTTCAGCTCCTCAGGTTCTGGTGATGGAGCTGGCTCTGAGAGGCTCACTGGACTCCCTGTTTGAACACGAGAACAGCAGCCTCAACCAAAAGCTGCAGCACAGAATCGCCCTGCAGGTGGCTGACGGACTCAGGTAGAGAGTACTAAATGAAACCGTTAAACTCCGTATTACTTAATAATTGCAACTGAACCCACATTTGAAAGTGAGTCTCAGTTTAGACCGACTGTATGTGAATTTTACTGTCAAATATTTTTGGTCCTTATTGTTAAATCTGTGAAATCAGGTACCTCCACTCGGTCATGATCATCTACCGGGATCTCAAGCCCCACAACGTGCTTCTTTTCAACCTGAAGACCGACTCTGAGATAATCGCCAAGATCACGGATTACGGCATCGCTCAGTACTGCTGCAGCATGGGAGTGAGGAGCTCAGAGGGCACGCCAGGTTAGACCACACACCTCTGCAAAATCTCTTAAAATCGCTAATATCAATGTTTTTCACAGTCTGATTCATCAATAAAGTGTGAAGTGTTTTAAAAGTTGATGGCTGTGTTTTTATCTGGCAGGTTTCAGAGCTCCTGAGGTAGCTCGAGGTAATGTGATCTATAACCAGCAGGCGGATGTGTTCTCATTTGGCCTGCTGCTCTACGACCTGATGACCTGCGGTGAACGGATCTGTGACGGCATGAAGTTCCCCAGTGAGTTTGACGAGATCGCAGTGCAAGGAAAACTGCCAGGTAAGGAGTCTATTAAAATCCACGTATCATATTTGATTTTCAAAATAAAACCAAAAAAAGTAATTATTTTCTAAATACTCGGCTCTTAAAATAAAATTAAAAAAAGATAACGGCTCATTTTCCGATTTCCGTTTTCTTAAGCTCAAATGAAAAGGGGATAAATGGATAACAACAGTTTTATCTGATTCGGACTTCTTCATCTGTAGAAAGTTTCATGACCCGGAAAAGAACCTTTGGCGTCATTTTTTTGTCTTTATCAGGTAAACTTCATGAATAGAATGAATGTTTTGTCTTTTCCGCGCACACAGATCCAGTGAAAATGTACGGTTGCTCACCGTGGCCGGGCTTCCAGGCCCTGATGAAGGACTGTTTAAAGGAGAGTCCTCAGAGCAGACCAACATCCGCTCAGGTGAGAGAACTGGTGTTTCATTTATACAGAGAGAAGCAAAGAAACGCCGTGTACCGCACAGCTGACGGGTTTGTGTCCTCTGTGATGGCTGCAGGTGTTTGACAGGCTGAACTCCGGGGAGATGTTGTGCCTGATGAGGGAGCTGGTGGTTCCTCAAGCGTTTAATGCCGAGTGCTTCACAGTGAGCGCTGACAGCAGTGACGGCTCCTCCAGCAGCCACAGAGTCTGGCTGGGTGGAGGCAGCAGCGCCCAGAAACTGGGCTCTGTCACAGCTGTGGACCTGGACACTAACAGAACCACCACACAGGTACCAGCAGGACAATCAGAACTTTCGCAGGTTTTTGGTTGGACAAGTTTGGTTGGATTTCACTTTACATCCTGATAGATTTGCTTTCAATATTGTGCTGAATCTTTACGAGGTTGTTGTCCCGCTCCTACAGGAGATTGACAGCAGTCCAGTCTTGTGTCTTGTGACTGTCCAAATCCCAAATGAAGCCAGTGATTGGCTGGTAGCGGGCACCCAGTCTGGCTCCTTAGTGGTCATGAGCACCCAGGACAAACCCACTTGGCACCACCTGCAGAGAGTCACAGATGCTGTCACCTCGCTGTACTTCCATGTGCACCCACGCCGCAAGTAAGTGTCTGTAAATCAAAACTTAAAGGAGACCTCTTACTTCAGGGTACAGTCATTTTCAGCCTGTAAGGTTTCAGGGGGGTCTGTCTTCACCTCCTTAGTGCTGTATTTGAAAATCCTCTGTGGATGGGGTTGTTAGAGGATCATGTAAATCCAAGGTCATCCTGTGGGGATTATGAATACCTGAGGAATCTGGCCAGAGATTTGGATAAGCCATCTGTCTTGACTGACGTTAGCATCTTATCATAGTTAAGCTGTCGGTATCACAAGTTAGTCATAATTCAGTCTGGAACATCGACGTCTGTTAAACAGAAAGCACCCTGTATCTGCATTTTCCTTGAAGAGAATATAATCTCTGCATTTTCCTTCAGATTAATCAGATTATTGATGGCTGTGGGTGTCTTCTTGTGAAGTAAAACCAAACATCTGTGTTTGTTTTTCATATTAGTGCGAAACAATGATAATGGACTGGCCCCTAACCTTTTATTTTTTAAATTTAATGCTTAAAGTTTGAAATGAGAAGTCCATGTAACTCACTTTTTTAACCAGTTTGATGTTTAGATTATTTAAACTGTCCGATGAAGCTCATTGCATATTAAATCCTACATGTGTGAAGATGTTGGGTACGCTACTCACTCACACCTCCCCCATGAATTTGTTTCTCCTTTACTTATTTGTAGAGATGCATAGAAAGTGAAAGTAAGATAAACTGACTTTCCAAAAATAACTGAGTCCAAATCCTTCCTCTGAGCTTGTGCTTCTTATCATGTAACTGAACATTTGTGCTTCCATATTGGATTTTAATCAGTGAGGAAACATACAATCGACTGAAAATGACACATCCTTCAAAATTAAAGCATGTTGTACAGCAAAGAGGTACTTAATGGGATATTCCGACGTAAATATGAGTTATGGTCAAACACACCGTAACACTGAGTCAGACACCCCCTAACTCAGGGGGGTTAGGGGTGTAGCTGAAGTTGGTATAACCAGAGAAGCAAGCGGTCGGCAACATTCATCTCTCGAGAGGGTTTCTAACTCTGTGTTATGGTGTGTTTGGCCATAACTTAAATTTACGCTGGAATATTCCTTTTAAATGCAAGATAGAAAATAAATTTCAAAATAAAAGCTCAGCAAACAATCGTCTGAGGAAAACTCTTCCTCTAAAAAGTCTCAGACACTGAGCTGGTAAGATGTAAATATACATTTATCATGATAATATTGTTATCAGAGTGTATTATGCCCATGACAATCATGAGGTAAAAATCTAATATCATGACAGCACCAGTTCAGATGCTGTTCAAACAGAGCTGTTCCTCAGGTTCTCATGAATTTGCGGCTCAGGCTTACATGGTTTGGATTCTTGGACCAATAAAGAAAAAATGTAAAAGGATCAGAGAGTGGAATCAGTTAATTAGTGTGCCAGAAAACAGGATTAATCAGATTGATTATGGAGACAGTTTCATAGTTTCTAAACAAGATCAACTTTGTCAAAACTTTTGATGTTTTCATTTCTTTCAGCCAAAGGAAGAATTACTTATTAGTCGGGACAGCTGATGGAGTTCTGACTGTTTACGAAGACTCTGTTCTCAAGGTAAATATAAAATATTGAACAAAAGTTCAAAATTTGGGCTCTTTAATTTGATCTTTTTTTACACTGTAAAAGTACAGTTTGGTATCCACAGTGTATTCTTCCCTTCTCTCAGCAGAAGAATGGACAGCCAGTTAAAACTTTGACCGTGGGAAACGTCAACACGCCCGTCATGTGTCTGGGCCAGTCGCTTCATTCATTAGACAGCAGGTGTGTGTGGGCCGGCTGTGGGACTAAGATCCTGTCCTTCACCGCCGATTATGACGTCTGCAGGACCATCGACACAAGACCGAACCTCATGTCTCAGTGAGTCTTAATCATGCAGGCAGACAAGGGAAAGTTCACTGCAAAACGACGAATGGGTACTATTTTCGTGTAGCTGGATGAAGGTATAACAGCACAGTTTTGTGTCTGTGTGTGTGCGTTTGTGTGTGTGCTCCTGCAGGCAGCAGTGGTCTTTGAGTAGCGAGTCATGTGTGTCTCGAATGGTTGTGGATAAAAACATTTACCTGAGCAAAGCCGGGGCAGCAACCGTGGAGGTTTGGGACAAGAGGAGCGAGAGGATGGTGGACTGTATCGACTGTGCTCAGATCATCAGGTAATAAAACGCACACAGAGACATGATGGTGTACAAATGAAGAAGTCAGTGTCGATCTGTGTGAATCTAATGATCATCTGTTTGTTAATTTAAGGATTATCCACAGTTAAGACAACAATTTTCATTGCACAACATGATTTATGAAGCTATATTTAATTTGTTTTGCATTCAAACATGAATCTGGTTTATAGCAGATTTATTTTGGTAACGCTGAGAACTTAATGCTCCAGTGTGGAGTTTTTTATGTTCGTGAAATAGGCTAAAACTCGCACTGGAGCTTTTTCATGATAACCAAAGCAGACAAGACCACCAGCGACAAGTTTCATTCAATTCAGCCGACTCCTCTCCCTGCAGACACCACTCCGGCTGCAAGAGCAAGCAAGGCAGCGAGGCGGAGCTGCCCACCGAGGCGTCTCCCTCCTGGGCCAGAGTGAAAGCCCTGCTGGTGCAGAGCGCTGCAACTTTCTGGATCGGCACTAGAGGGGGCCACCTGCTGCTGCTGGAGCTCTCCAAACACCAGACGCTGCAGGTCCTCGGCCCCAGCTGCAGCTCCATCCGCTGCATCACCTCTGCACTCATAGGTGGGTACAAAAATTTAAATAATCCCAGTTTGTTTTTTACTGTCATAAATAAACCGATAGTGAACAGTTTTGGTAGTGATTCCAGATGTTTCCCTCATGATCAGAAACACTAAACTGGAAGAATGTGGTCCTGGTTCTCGGCAGAAGACTCTCACAAGACAAGAACCAGTTTGGTAAGTTTGATGGTTTATTATTTGTCCCACATCTGGCTCTGTTTCGTTGGTCTCACATGCGGCTTTGTCTGTGGTCCCAGACGAGGAGCCGGAGTCGGTGCTGATGGTGTGGAACAGCACGCTGCCGATGGAGGTCAGGGACCTGAGAAAACACTGCGAGAAGAGAGAGCAGATCGCTGCCAAGATGAGGGAGCAGCTGCACCACGTCTGAGCCCACACATCTGACTGTACGTAAGAGTAAGAATGGGGAATACTTTTTTACACGTATGAACAGCCTGTACGTTTTTTAATGTGATGCATTTAACCATCAAAAGGCAGCTGGATTTGTTTTTTTTTTTGTCACCTCTTAAGGACAAGAGGAGCAAAGACTGTTTCATCCACAGGGGGGCACCAAACCAAAAGTTCCTCACAGGAGCTTAAACATTTCCCTCCCTGCTTTATTTGATATTTACATATGCAGCGTCAGTGTCTATCTTGTTTGATATTGATGGTAAACACCCCAAACCAAGAAGCTGTGTGGACTGCATAATGTGTACACCTGCGTATATGTTTATACTACATCATCCTGCAAACTGTGTGGCTGCATAATAACCATGACAACCACAGTTTCTGTAAGTAGAAGCATATTTGACTTCTTTTATCATTTGCACTTCTGCACATAATCTGAAGATAGGATAGAAGTCACGCTGTCTGCACTTTGCTGCTTTCTTTTGTTGTCCTGGTTTATTCACTTTTAACCCCTTAATCACCCCAAATACTTCTGTTTTAATACACTGCATATACTTGTATTTTTTCTCTGCATTTTTGCTTTTATTGTGAAGTGCAAGAAAGACAAAAACTGTAGGGAATAGAGAGCAGAGGAAGACGTGCAGGAAATGGTCAGTGGTCAAGGCTGCGACCCTGTGCTTCTGTATTAGTGGGACATACTTTCATCAGTGACTGCCCACCATTTTATTATACATCCAGTTCTTTTTTGTCATTTTTATTTTATAATTTTGTCATTTGGAGCACAAATACTTTTCTATAATATCTTGTTTTGATGCTGTTTTTGTAACTTTTTAATCAAACTTTTTTTTGGCAGACTGTTTGTGGAAAAGGGATCAACTCTCCAGCAGATGGATGCATCAGCAGCTCACACTGAAGGGGACGTTTTTACCTCATTTTCTGACAGCCATATGAACTTTCCTCTCTGCACCGACAACTCAACACATCAATCGAGATCCTCATCTCCTCTTTTTGTTTCAGAGGTGGACCTTTTTAAAGCAGTGTGCTGTGATACACATGATGAGGACAATCTTTGTGATTTATGAAGAGAGACGTTCCTCCAAAAGGGACACAGAGGTCCTGATTCATGCTATCAGGCCTGAGAGCGGTGCAGATGTTCAGAGACCTCTGACTCCTGGTGAACGGTTGTTTACCCGCCGTTTTAGAGAAAAAACAAACAGGAGAAACTGGAATGAAAGCCAAAGGATAAAAAAAAGCTGTTTAAATTGTATATTTTATTATTTATTCTTCTTATTTGTGTTTACTTGAGTGCAAATTCACTCCACAGCCAAATTTAGCACTTCTCAGATGCTGCCTGCTCTGTACACAGTTTTTGTGACTGGTATTTATCATGGTGAGTGAATATTATTTCACATTCTGCAATGTACGTTTATTTTGTTTTTAGAGAACCATTTTCAAAAAGAAAATGTGACCCGGGTGAAATGAAGTGTCATTTTTTTTTTAAGTAAAATGATTGAAATGAGAGTTTTAGTGATTTCATTCACATTTGGATACTTCTACTTACCAGTGTGGACTTACGTTTTGATGTTTGCACATCGTTTTGGCGTTCTCTGTCTTTTTGAAGGTATTTGTTTAAGTTAAAAACCTGCAATTTGGCCAAAATAAGGAAAAAAACACACCAACCAAACATGATTTTCAGGTTCTGGACCATGTTTGATCTTTAATCTTGACGGGAAAAAAAAGACATTGCATCTGAAGCCATTTTATGGAAAAAAAATATTTACAGGGAGGACTCAGTCCTCACAAACATTGACAGAGCACATTAGTAAAAAAACAAAGACACGAGAGTTAAGGGTTTGCAGTACCTCTGAACCTTAAAAACATGATGTTCTGATATCCAAACTATCAAGATAAATATATTTATAATATTTATATTATATTTACAGAATACCTTAAATATACAACGTCTGTCATGTATTCTATAAACAAATATAAACTACTTAGGCACACTTTTATCGCAGACAATCATGGGACTGGTTTTCAAAGGCCGTCCTCTCTCTGTTTGAACTCAGTTGACCTGAACTCTCTTGCATCTTTAGGCTATCCAGAGTGGCTACACTGCTAATAATCTTAGTACTTGTTGGCCAGCAGTTAGGTTAGTCATAATGTACACAAGATACAGTTTTTACACAGCAGGACTCAAGACTGGCATGATTGACACCATCCACAGACACAGTAACAGCACCAACTCCCGCCTCTGGACCCCCTTAAAGTCCCACTCCGATTTTTTTTTTTTTTCACGACTCAAAGTGTTCTCAGTGGTCAAATTGTGATTTTTACGTTTTTAGCCAAAGTCGCGTTACCTGTGTCATTTTTAAGGGCTCTTCTTCTGCAGAGCTCCAGTAGATCATTAGCAATTTGCTTCTGAGTCGTGGGGGGAGACAGCGCTGCTCTGCACACTCTTATTCACACTAGCTTGTAGCCTAACATTGCTGGTGAAGTAGAAGTGGCAGGTAACACAGAAGCTATTCAGCTCTCAGACACTAATGTCTTTGGGGACATGATGAAAACTAACATCATCATTAGCTTTCTAATGAGCATTGCAATCGGCTAACGCACACAGGTGTTCTGCGATCATCCTCTCTACTTCTCCAAGTCTGGCCTGCATAGCAGGGCTTTGGGGGCGGAGCTTGGAATTGTGACATAGGAAATCTCACTGTATCTGAACCTGCAGTTTGGGTCTGTGAGAGATTCACAGTGATTCCAACACAGAAACACTCAGAATTACAATTTCACACCTATTTTTCTCATGGTTTGTCATGTAGCATCAAAAAAATGCCATATGAACATGTAAAAAACAAGAAAAACATAATTCTCATCGGAGTGGGTCTTTAACCCTCTCTGGTTTGCTCCCCTCTCTGCAGATTTTTGTTCAAGTCGGCTCGGTGGTGCCCCCACCTTATTGCTTACACTTCTTCTCCAATCTGCAAAGAGGAGGGAGCAAAAGACGGAGGGAGAAGGAGGTAGAGGAGAGTTTGGGACACAGTCGGGCAAACGAGCAAGGGGTAAGACAAGGATGACGATAATTCCCACACTTTATTCTTTTTTTTACTGTAGACTGTCAGCTAAGGTTCAGAGATGACAAATAAGAGAGCAGCTACAATATCTACAAGGAATATACAGTACAAGTGAAATATACATTGATGTAACAGCCAACTAAACGCACGCAGAGGGGTGGAGGGGAGGGAAGGCCAGCCGGTATGGCCGGGCAGGGCTTACTTTTCAGTCAGTCTATAAGTCCGACTCGGGCATATCCGGCATGTCGGCCATCAGGTAACCGATGCCGTAACGACCGTTAGGAGCGGTGTCAGCATCAGGACCACCACCGTTGCTCTGCTTGCGGTAGATGCTGTTCCCTGGCATGGGTGAGGGCGCCTCGCTGGGGGACTTGCCTTGGATCAGGCTGGCGTCGTCGTCCTCCCCGGGCCGGGCGCTCTCCTTGATGATGCGGCCCTTCTTGTAGGAGACAGTGGAAAGGCCGCTAGTGTTTTCATCAATGATGTTAAAGTAGCGCAAGCCGAAGACCACGGGCACGGGCATGACGGCCATCACCACCAGGGAGATGCAGACCACGATGCCCCATGGAGGGAAACCCATACTCTGCTCTTTGGCCTGGATGACAAAAAACAGAGGCGGTCAGATAAGCTTTTTATTTTCTACTGATGGTTATCGTAAATTTGAATGTTAGGAATGCAGGCCCTGAAGTGTCTGCAGTACTGAGAGGGGTTAGTTAACCCTCAAGGTAGTGAGGCATCTCATCTTGTGACCAGTTTATACAGTCTGTGGTGCTCTAAACAAAAGCACGAGTCATGAAAGGTGAGGATGTTCCTTTAAATGACCTCCCTGTTTACTTCCAGACCAGCATTATACAGATTTTCTTTTTCCTGATTTAAGAACTGTTCTTGAGCTGTATTATAAGAAAAATAATGACCAATCACTTTTGGAAAATCCTTGTTACAGTACAGATTAGTCCAACTGTAGTTTAACCTAATTAGTAACCCTGAGGACTTTAGAAGTGTTAGCCTCCCTGTACAGATTCAGAAGTACGTTTTAGCACATTTCGTTCTGTTTGGCCTTGGCTCTTCCTATTGGAGCTTTTAAATGACCAGCTTCTCGTGATATTATGAAACAGGTGTTCAAATAGTCTCTACGGTAGACCCCACATCCTATTGTTTGCCCAAAGGATGCAGATCTAATCATTTGTCTGTGAAAATGTAGCCTTTCCCCCCATTTTTTTTGGACATTTCAACATCACTTTGAACCCTTTGAAGTTGCTTTGTACTTCTTCCAGATTTTGTAACAAATAGGAGAATTTCCACCCACATTGAACTCTGGTCCCCAAAGAGACGAGCCGTAGACGTTTACTCACCTCTTCCTGTATCCAGGCACTGTAACTCGGGGGAGTCATGATCAGCTGGACGAAGCTGGAGCCCAGGAGAAGCAGCAGCAGGATGGGCGTGATGTACTTCCACATGTAATAGTAGAAAAGGTACGGGGTAAAGCCCAGCATGTCCTTCAGGTCTTCAAAGAATCTGAGGGGAGTGGTGGTAAGGTGAGGGAGGGGGGTGAACACAGAGCGACACAGCAAGAGGTGAGATCAGATGTTTATGATGAAGTATTCACAATTGTTTCATAACTCCCCTATCTAACCTCAGTGGCCTTTGTGTGCTATTTATATGGCTTTTATTTAAAGTATCTCATTCAAACAAAATACTGAATCAATGGGTGCTACAATAGAAGCATTATGATATAGGGATCACAGTGTGTAGTAAATTAAGTATATAAATACGCCTCAAATGCAGACAGAGCAAGGTCATGCCAGGTAAACTCAGCTGAGGGATATGAGATATGTTTAAGTAAGTTTTTTTTGTGCAACATATAATGAAAAAAGACCAAATAGTGCATTTCCTATTGATCTCATAACCCAAAGCAATCGTCATGTGGGATATTTACAAGTTTTATTTTGTTTTAATCCTTCGAATGATGAGTAATTCTAAAAAAGTTTGTCTCTATGCAGATGATACTGTTGTGTACTTTACTATTAGTCCCATGCAACTGTCACCATCTAAGAGTTAGACCACCTGTGTTAAAGGTCTAATACACTTTGTTGAATTCCACCCCCCAAAAGTTCTCAGATACGCAGATGATACTAATGTTGCTCTGACATTGACGCCAAATGTTGAGTTATAGTCACTTTTACTCTGTTTTGTCACCTAAAAAATAACAGAAATTTACAAAAATTTCCATTGATATGCAGATGACAACATAGTGTTTTTATCAGTTGCATAAACCCAGACAATTGCCAGTACCAAGGTGGAAGTTAAACGATACCAGTTTAAGAACAATCTGTTAGATTTTATGCTTTAACTCATGAGAAATTATTTGAAAGTTTGTCTATATGCAGATGATACTGTGATAAAAATTGTATGAAACCAAATAATTTCCATCATTACAGCATTAGACTTCACACACCTGGGATGTGAGACAAATTTTTACTTTGTTTTGATGCTGAAAATAAGCAATCAAAAAATCCTAATCAATATGCAGACAATTCTGTGGTGTATTTATCCATTCAGGAAACTCAAGCAACTGCCGCAATAGATGAGTCAGACCATAATAGACTTAGACCTAAACAGAGTAATTCTTTACAAAGAACTGTCAATATGCTGATAATTCTGTGATGTACTCACTTATCAATCCCGTAGACCCAGGCCACTGCCACATTCTCCAGTACAACCACTATGAGCAGAGGCAAAGTAGCTGAGTAGTCATCAAACATGGCCACATAGTAGTTCCCTGAGCGCTGAACAAACAGGAGACCAATGGAGAAGGCCAACACGCAGCATCCCACTGCAGAGGAGGAGCAGGTTAGTTACTGTGCACGCTGGTAAATGTGGTATAATAAGAATGTCAACAAAGCACAGACGGGATACATTGCAGTGTTGTTTCTGTTTACAATTACCTAATTTAAATGCAGCAAGGACAGATGTCTAAGGATTATGCTCAGCAAAGCTAATCTCAAGGTTCACCATATGCAAAGCCTGCAGAGCACCTTTTTGCAATCAAGCATCCACCTGCTTTTGCAAGATATCTTACCAATACTTCCTTCAAGTATCTGCCCTGACAGAATTAGTCTGGACATTCATCATCCATATTTGCACTATCCTTATCGAGAACAACTTTAGATAACCAGCTCAGGAACAAAAGTGTTTATCTTGCTGAATACATTTACATAACAATCCAAACTGTGGTCATTCAACCTTTTCTATTAGGTTTAAGTCAATATTTATGACAGAAGTTTGGTGTTTTCTTTGTAATAATCTGAGGTTTCTCAAACCTGTAAGAAACTCCTTGCGGACTTTGAACGTGTCTATCAGCGGAGTGAGGATGCCCTCAATGGTGCCGAACATGCTACCCAGGCCGAGGTTAACCAGCATGAGAAAGAACATGACGGACCAGAAGGGCGAGGCTGGAAAGTGAGTCATGGCCTCAGTGAAGGCGATGAAAGCCAGACCTGTGCCTTGGACAGCCTGTTTGAGAGACAAAGAGAAAAAAGGTTCAGAATTATCTAACTACAGCAGATTAACAGCCTTAAAACTGAACAGCGCAGCAAGGAAAACGTGAACACTCAAATATTAAAATATTACAAGTATGTTTGCTTCAGACAACTGAATTGAAGATCGTTATTACTAAAAAGCCGATAAAACACAAGACTCTAGTTCTGGTACCTTATTGAGCTCCTCCTCAATGCTGCAGGGATCCAGTCCCAGCTTAGGAAAGTCGTCCTCCTTCACCATCTTGATGACCCTGAACATTTCAGCATAGTCCTCATTGCTGACCTGGCTGGGCTGAGTGAGGTTGATGTGGTGGGGGATCAGGCTTCCTTCAATGCCGTTCCCCAACAACGTCACAATCTTGTTTGTGTTTCTAAAAAAGCAACCAGGAGTTATTGATGGTTAGCAACTGCTGCAAACTGTGTCAGAGGTTCCAGCAACAGTGGAAGACTTGACTTGAGATTCATGATATTTTGGGATTGTACAAAACAGAAAGCTGTTGAACACAACCTATTTAACATTACTAAATATAGGATCCCAACATTGCTAACAATAGCAGAGCTTGCACCCCAAGAAAAACACGAATATACCGTAATGTTTCTAAAAGTCTACTCTCGCTATCTAACGAATACTGTACTACAGCATCCTTTTCCTGTCTAGAGGTAGACATAATCATCTTCTCATTGTGGGCGTCTGTCACACCTGAACTTCTCGACCTGCTCTGCGATGTCTACAGGAAACTCTATTAATACCGTCATGTGAGTGGAAGCTTATACTCACAGAGAGACACACTTGCTGATCATGATGTTGGCTTTGAAACCAAGAACAGCAAACACCACCAGGGTGGCCAGCACAGAGGTGAAGAAGTTGATGAACGACACCAAGACGGCGTCGAAGTGGCAGTTGTTGTCCCTCTTGTTGTAGCTGGAGAAGGCGATGACGCCGCCGAAGCCGAGGCCGAGGGCGAAGAAGACCTGTGTGGCAGCTTCTCGCCAAACCTTTGGCTCCAACATGATCCCCAACTGGAAGGATAACACATCATGAGTGATTATTCCCCAACTGTGTAAAAGACTTGATTCTTATTAGTCAAAACCCCAAAACAACGGTGATGGAGTCTCAACAACAAAAGAAACACCAGGGAGAAACTAATGATTCATGTCATATCAAATCAATCTACAGTGTGACAGTGTTACAGCTTCAGTTGCCTGTTGACACTGTGGTAAAAACACTGATCCTCTTTTCAGATTGGTCTTGAGAGTTGCGAAAGAACAATCTGTGGAGCTATGGGGCCCGATCCCTTATTCCTTCTTGCGTTCCCACTTAAGTTCCTTTTTTCTTACAGCGAAGACATTTTTCTGTTGCTGATATCTTTTTCACTTCTTAGCTGATTGTAACGTATCGTGGATTTGGACATAACAAATCACTGGAACTGCACTTTTTGTTAGATAGAAGAGCTTTTTAGCTGTTTTTCTACTTTTTTAAGGCTACACCAGCGCTACATGACGCGACCTGTGACGCAAGTAGGCTGATCAGAACCCATTGCCATGGAAGCATTAGTGATCTTTATACCAACATTGGCCAGGAAATAAGAGGAATGACGTCAAGTGATTAGGGGTAATGCAAATTAGACTGCCAAAGGGGTCTTGCTCACCCTTTCTGGATCCTAATTTCAGATTAGGATGGATTAAAAATTTCTGGATCAAATGGAATCTAATTAAATCATGCTGAATCGAATTAATTCATATCCATCAAGGACTGCAGATGGGATTCAACCCCTCCAGTTTCCACCACCACCTGTTTAATTTTTCCCTCTAATGCCAAACAGTCCATGAAATTGACTAAAAATCGAATATTCCACTGGAGGAAAAAGAAAACCCAGATTTCATTGCACCATCTCGCCAGATGACAGCTGGCGTCTTGACAGCCTCCTTTTGTTTTACAGCGATCTCAAACAGAGCAGAGCACATGCAGCGGGACTTTGAAGTCTTGCAGGTACAGAAGGAGAAGATGGAGGCACAGCGCGTCTTTTGAAGTCTTAAGATGTCAACCGTCAAGGCTGAGCAGACGCATGATCCAGACAGACGGTCAGACTCTGCTGTGACTGAACGTCTTCTCGGCTGGTTGGTTACATAAGGCCTCAGTAACTCCGGCAGTTTCCATGGTGACATGATTCCGCAGCCTGAGGTGTCATTGGCTAAGGAGCCGGCCAATCACGGAGCAGATTTAATTTTTGAGTTCAGAATCAGTTCACTTTTTTTTTTTTCAACAGTCTGAGGATTCAGTTTAACTGCAGCTGGATGGAAATGCACTGAGTCTGGATGTGAACTCTACATGTCTGAGAAAGAGCTTTAAAAAAAAGTAAAAGAGAAAACAAATGAGGTGCGAAACATATTTCCACTCTGGAATAATAAAACCCACTCTTGTCACTGGTTTTGTTCGACACCACACATTAATACCTCCAATTTCCTGCATTAACACTTGTGAGAAACAGCTGCTTGAGTTGAGAGCTGTGTTACCTTGGGTGTAAACATGTGCCGAATCCCATCCATGGAGCCCTCCAGGAGTAGAGACCGCACCAGGAAGCAAAACAGCACGACATACGGGAACAGGGAGCTGAAGTACATCACCTGCAAGAGAGTGAAATGTCCTGTTTACACGCAGCAAGCACCAGTAAAACAATCATGGCGTGTTTTCCTCAAAAGCTGCTCAAAAGGATGGGTCCCATATTTGAAATGATAATTCAAGCCAAAGCAAGGATGTGGACTTGTGCTGGGCCTTTAGCCGCTTTGCTAGCAGCTAATGTTTGTGGATTCCAAGTCAGCATCAAGTGGACACCCAAGTAGCTGCAGTTTTAGTGCATTCAGACTGCTACTTGCTTCAACCCAAGAACAATTAAGTCTTAATGACAGTCACCTCCCGGATGTTGCTTAATAGGGGAAGACAACCAGCAATAAGGAGCATCATCACCACCTACTGCCCTGGAGTATGAATAAACTACTCTTCAACTACGTGTGCACTCCACCCTACAAGGATTAATCTTTTAAAGTAAAGGTGCAGGAATAGTTTTTGCCACATTTTTTAAGAGATTCATTTGCAACATCTTGAATCAAACTCCTACAAGCTCCTCCTTGTTTTCTATCACTGCCTGTCCCTCGATCCAAAGACACCTTAAACCTAACATTTATTTGAAGTCCACTATGCGCTCTTTTCTGATTTCTTTTAATGCCCACTTGACAACCTGTGTTAATGCCTACGTGATGGCTCAGAGTACCCCAAAAAGGTTGTATAATTGGCATCAGCAGGGTCCCAGGCCTGATCTGGTAGAGCCACCGAGCCTGTGCGAGACCCTTTGTCCAATTATCTTGCTAATCAGACAGTGGGCCTCTCATTTTTTTCTCTCCCTCTCTGAGTAGACGAGGTAATTCTTTAAGGGGCGAGAGGCCTGACTCAGAAGGCTACACCATGACACAATGCTTTACAGAGCTGGCGGTGTGGTTTGGGTGCAGGCATTGAGAGATGGTTTGGGGTCGAGTCATAAGCTTGGTTAGTGTGATTCATAGACGTTGAGTCTCTTACATGGTGGTCCATATGTTGCCTTATAGAAGACTCTGTAATGTAGCTTTGTCCTTTTGTAATGTACAGGTTGTGAAAGCTGAACAGGTTCCTCAGAGCTCCACAGGGAAAATCCCCACTGTGGTTTACAAAGACATAAATGTTTGAAATGAACACCCATGGCAGCATTTTCAGCAGGGGTGGCCTGGGATGGATGGGCTCCACGCAACCTAATTGGTTCTCCAAGGTACCGCCCCAGAATCCTTCACGGTGATCGGCTATTTGATAAGTCAGCACACTGACTGTATAAACCATGGATGGAGCCTCAGTGATGTCACCCACTGGTTTCTGTAAAGGTGTTATAGAGCCAAGAGGTGGTGGTTGTCATAGCATCAATCAGCTGCAATCTGCCTGTCTTGTTTCACAAATTAGCCACACCCCTTGAAATGCCTAGGTATGTGAAACTCCCAGCTGTGATATCACCAAAACCAGAGTCATAAAAAAGGATTATATACAAATATACAGGTGAAGCCAGGCCCTAGTGGACACTTGGGGAACTGCAGCTTTTTACACTTTGGTTTCTTATTGCACCATTCAAGATTATTTCTTATATAATCATATCAACTTGTGATGAAACGTACTTTTGTGCCTTTGTTGCTTCAGGCTGCTTGTAAATTTTCACATTTCAAAAGAGCATTCTTTTATCTGGTCCTTTGAGCCCTGATGTCGGAGTTTGATCTTTATTTAGAGTCCTGATACAAAGTAACTCAGCAAGGAAGACGTGTATTTTACTGCTATTTACCTTTTAAAACGAGCTTAAACTTTTACCAGGGATAATAAAATATGAATTTAAAGGTTAAAATCTGGATTTTAAAGTCACTTGAAGTGCCAGAATTGGGGTTAGCCTCACTGTATCCCGGTTTCGCACCTCTAAAGTCTTTTAGGGTTTTATATATTTTTCAGTTTATATCTTATTTTTTGCTGTATTCATGTATCTTACTTTGACTCGTTTTAAATGTCCACTGCACAGCCCTGTTGGTGTGCCACCCTAGAGTCCCTGTCCTTGTTTAAATGGTGGATTATTTATCTTTATGCCCTACTTGATACCATTCTTGTATTTTTGACGCCAGCTGCAGATAACTGATGATAAACTTGAACTTGAAAAATTTGTAAATAAATCCTCAGATCTGTGCACGCAGACATACATTACTAATGTAAGTCGGCACCCAAGTTGGCCCCTTTTCCAGCACTGTGCCCTCTTTTAAGGACACCATCATGGCCTTGGTCAGCACAAAGCCAGACAGGCGGCTATCCTTTGTGATAAGCATTTATCTCCTCCTTTGTGAGCTCTGTCTTATTCTCTATCAAAGGAGAGAATAAAAGACTATGTGTGACGGCAGATAACATGTGCTGCCTGCAAAGGTCGCGCTCTGAGAGATGCTCTGTTATCTTTGAGCCTTGATAGAAGAAGTCAGTTTCTCGTGATGACAGTCAGACGTGTTATTGTTGACGATATATCTCAAAGTTACAGTTATTATTTGACTTGATACTAACAGCAGAGTATGAACTTGATAATTTCAATCCCATCCTCCACCTCTTCTTTTCTGACACACTCCTGAATGATCAGACCGGGTCAAACGAGGACATATAACCAGATTTTCAACCTAGCAGTGAACATAATGTCTAATTTGACATAATTTGATGCTTTAATTGGCACTTGGCAACTTTGCACTTGAATTTCATCATTTTGATCGCCCCTCTCCCTCCTCCTCTTCTTGACACACTCTTGACAATAAAGCCAAGCCAAAAGAGCGGGTATAACCATGGTAACCAAAATGGTCTGATCCCTTTCACGCCCACCCACGCACACACAAAACCGGGAGAGAAATGCAGATCGCTGTAGGGATATTCTTCAGGGGGGAAAAAAGCCTTTTGTGAACATGGATGGAGAGGGCATTAATATTCTTTTGTGCCGCACAGTGCCGACTAAACTTCAAAGACGCTTCGGGCTGGCCCCTTCCTCGAGAAGTTCGTGCCCATTTCTACTGTGGCCAACTCAAAAGGCCAACCAGACTCTCCAGGTAGTCAGAGGCAGACCATCTGGCAGAAACTGTACCGTTAACCAGCAGCTTGGGTGGCTCCTTTTTTCTTTAACGATTTCTTTGTTTTAGCGAGTACAGTATATCTATGGTTGGATTTGAACCTCCTCTCTGCTAACCCTCGAATTGTGGTAGTGGTTGTGACAGTGATTGTGGTTATCAGTGACATTTCTTGCCAGGCAGCAGCTTGCGGCTGGCAGGGGAAATGAGACTGTCTAGCGCTGCAAAGCTTTTGTGGCACAGGCCAAGATTAAAGCACCTCTGTTGTTCAAGGCGTCCATCTTGTTTTGTCTGCAGCTGTTGCATGAAAGACCGAGTCTGGACGGAGTCGAGCGAACAGCAGACAGCTGCTGGGATAAGACTCGAGCAAAGGAGTGCATCTGGAGAGGCGGGAAAACAGTTTTGGCTGGTGACCACCCTGTTCCTGCTTCAACAAGTGATGCAATCTCTTTGTTTCAAGTAAAGCTGACGCAGAAGTGAAGTAGACCTGCATTCTTTCAAATGACCAGTAGGTGACTACAGTGGCTGAAAAAAAGCAATTATACTTCTGAAGTTCACTCTAAATATTGTAAGTTTTAAGAGTTTCCATTACAGATTAAGGCTTGGGTTTTTGACCCGTATGAAATAGACTGAAACTCATATCGACAAACAAGACCATCAGCAGCAACAGTGAAGATTTCTAGACAGTAGTTTTAAAACCTAATACTAGTGTGAGGGGGTAGGTGTCAGCCGTACAGCAGAGGAATAGTGATTAGTGTCGTTTTAGAGACCCAACCCAACATAGCAGGTTTGGTCTTTCCAAAAGATTAGTCTTTAAAAGGGGGGTCGTTTTAAAGTCGCAGTCGTCTTATACTCGTGTCATTATAAAAACTTACATTTATATTTATTTATATTTATATTTAAGCTTTTTGTCTTTGCTAAATTCAGTAGAAATGGAGGAGAATCTTCTACAATACTGTAGTATTGAGAGAGTACTTTTATTTAGAGTAGTAGATACCATGATAAAGAAGTGACAAATCTACATGGTGACAACCGGCTGCAGGCTTCAGGAGGGGAAAAATAAAAATAAATGGTTTATGAAAAGTTTCAGTTTATTCTAAAAGGTTTTGGCTCAATTACCAAGACTTGTTTCATTTGGTTAGCTAAAAAAAAGTCTTCTAGAAGTTACTCAGTAGCAGAAAAATAAAATTCATCCATACTGTATTAATCTTGACCCCAAAGCGGCTGGGTTAATACCAAAATCAAATGACTCCCCCATCAAAGCTTGCTTTCTAGGAAGATTAAAAAGTTGAAACCATTTTTTCCAATTAGCGCAGGCTTGACTGTGACCTTAGAAGCACACTGAGGCTAATGCCTGTCATATGATATGGGAAAGTGTGAAATGATAGAGATCACCTGTAAAAAGAGAGGAGTGGGGTGAGTACGCAGGCAAACGGCAACCTTTTGGCAAATGGGCTAATCTCTTCCGGATGCTAGTCACGCTACTGTCAGCTTTACAGCTCTTAAAAAGACTAAATCCCACTCAAGATCACATGAGGTCTCAGGCTTGTATCTGAAGCTATATCATTAGAAAAAATTGTCAAGTCATATTACAGTGGTCACTTCACTGTGCCTTTAAACCAGGTACCACTCCAGCTGCACTCCATAAGCCCCTGCATTAAAAGTGAGCTAATTAGGTGTGAGAGGATTTCCATCTTGGCCAGAAATGGCCCCTTGTTCCTGTCACGGTTTCCTATTTTTCAGGGTATAGAAGTTGTGTTTGTGTAGTTAAATAGGCCAAGCTGCTAACATTTCCTCTCTGAAACATATTATCCCCCACAGACGTTTGATAAGATATTGATATGATAGCAGACTGTTGTCCTGACTCAAAGGACACAGTTATCGTATCACTCGCACCAAATACTGATTTTTCAAAGCTGAAGGTCCTAAGGAAAAAAAACATTTTCGTTGCCTGTTTATTCTGAATATATCTAAATCTTTCTGCGGGCTAGCATGTGGAAGCAGAAAAGCATCTGCGTCATGCCTCCTGTGACGGTGTAATGACAGGAGTGTCATACAAAACCACTCCCACTCTCACTCCTCAAGCATTCCTGCCTTCTTCTATGCTATTGCAGTTTTCTTCGGTGTTGCAGATCAAGATGTCAAAGGGTTGAATAAGACGACATGGAAGACATGCCATCTGTAAGCCACATTATTATTGTGAAATGTTTATATTGTTCTTCTGGAGAGCTCGCCAAGATTGGTTTGGTGTTTTTCCGTCTCTGCATCTGTCTGCACCAGGTTTCCCCTTACCCCTCAGACAACATTAAAGCAGCGGGCAAAAGCAGCTTGCGCAAAAATAAATTCTAACAGGAAATCATGTCATCCTTACCTTCCCGGATGACTGGATTCCCTTGATCATGGCCAAGCAAACCATAGACCAGGCAGCCAGCAGGCACACCGTCATCTTCCAGTTGAGTCCCCCACCCTCACTGATGCTGTCAGAGATGTTGAGTGCCTCACGATACCAGTAGTAAGTGGTGGCCGAGCTCTTCTCACATTCTGGCTCCACATCTTGAAACAAAATTGCAGAATTTACATTTTAGTCTTGTTTCGCACCTCTGTGGTTATTTTTGCTGATGAACTTTTACACGCTCAGAATCTTACATGTACTGGTCTTGTTCTTGACGAGAGGACACTCATGCCATGGCAGAGGCTGCTGGAAGGACTGGGAGAAATAAAACAGGCTCCAGCTGATGATGACATTGTAGTAGAGAGCCACAAAGAAGCACACCTATGGACAAGAGAGGCAAATTAACTTCAGACACACAAAGAAACAAGATAGACAGATCACAGCAAAGCACCAACATCGTATCAGTGTAACTAACAATGGTGGATGAGTCACTTTGTTTTCGTATTTTCTCAAATTTTAGAAATCGATTGTATTTTTTTGTCTGGCAGTTATATAAAACATAATGGTGTTAATCAAACAAGGTCAACACGCCTTCTTATGTGGAGTTCTTTTAAAGGAATCAGCTGTATGATCGTTTTGAAATGCGAAATCAAAATAAACACAATAGAAAATCTGCTCTCATGATGGCCTTTTCAAAAACTTTAAAAAGTATTAGCCATGAATGAACCCAAGAAAGAGAAATGACTGAGATGCAGAGGTGTCAAGTCATTTGGTTGTATAAACACACATTTTGTCCTACAGTGCAAACAGAGGACTCTCACTTTGCTTTTACTAAGTGGGGACCTATGTTTTGAGGTTGTTTTGTACCTTCAAAAATAAGGTAAAACATTTACTTTCTCTGTGTTTTACAAACTTTTTACAATAATTAGTTATAGGGGACCTTTAACACTGTGTTAACCTTTACTTTCCGTCTATCAGCAATGTTATTTTACTGTCCTTGATATCACTATGTTGTTGTGAAATCCCCTTACTTGTCCCTCTCTGTAGGTCATACGAGGGTTATATAAACCCCAAATGTCAAACTCACCACACAACTGGCGAAGCCGATGCCCCCCAGCCGAGGGCTGATGTAGTTCCACACCCCGATGCTGCCCCTGCGGATACGCTGTCCCACTGCAAGCTCCAAGAAGAACAGCGGGATGCCGATCAGTATCAGCAGGATGAGATAGGGCACCAGGTACGCTCCTACCAGTCAAAACAACACAGACAATAGAGCCAAATTACAGACATGTATAGAAGAGGCGTCATAACATCAGATAATTATAGAGCCGCACAGTTTCAGTTTCTAGATAAAAAACATTTCCTTGTTTTTAATCTCTTTATGAGCCACATGCTCTCACACACAAACACAACTAACCCTCGTAAACTTTAACCCTTTTACGACGGCTCTGTCGTCGGCGACAGAAAATGACATGCTGCACTTTTAGTACCGTAATTCTTGAACCATTTGCGCTATCAACATAATTCCAACGGATTCTGAAAGCTGAGACTCTAAGCTTTGCGCTGATATATGATACATTACGGTAGTGACAGCGGCCTTGTGCTGATTCGCGGATCAAAACACATGACGTGAGGGAGACTTTGGAGCAGAGAGAGTGCAGATCTGGGAGATTCATCGGAGTTTTAGCGGCGTTTTAGAGGTAATTTAGCTGTTTACCTTTGTATATATTATATTAATCTTTGTATATATTATATTTATTGTTGTTTATCATAGTGTTAGAGTTCATTTTATAAGTTTTGAGTGTCGTTTTGCCGTGTTTCGTGCCGTGTTCTTGCCTTAGTACGACCGTTTTTAGCTAGTTCCTTTAGTATTGATTGTAATAGTGGAGGCAGAAATGTTGAGGAGATCTGCAAGAAAGAGTATGCATACTCCCAAATCTAGTTCTAATATAATGATATCATTAACAAGGCGGGGACGAAGTCTGGTCTGTGGCCGACGCAGGCAGCACAGCAGCAGCAGTGGTGGTCCTGATGCTGCTGGTGATGCTCCTGCATGTCATTCACCACAACTGCAGAAGGCCTGGAAGACAGAGGCAGACCCTGACCCTCATCCAACAAGTACATGGGAGGGGTGAACACTTCTGACCAGATGTTGGGCACCAACTCTGTCCACAGGAAGACCAGAAGATGGCCCATGACTGTGTTTCAACACCTTGTGGATACAGCTGCAACAAACAGCTATATCCTCCACAAAGAAATCAGTGTGACACAGAAGAGGAAGCTCATGACACACCAGGCTTTCCAGGAGAAGCTGTGTGCCGAGCTGCTTGGTGTGCCACTCAATCCACCACCCAAGCCCCCCACACCCCCCACTCAAGGCTGCTTTCCTGCCCCACCAGCAGAGGGCAGTCAATGGAGAAAAGGCAGAGAGACAGCCAGGGGAGAAAACACTGCACTCCCTGGAAGTGTGAAGAGTGTAGAGTTGTACTCTGCCTTCAATTAGATAGGAATTGCTACAGGGAGTTTCATTCCTAAAAAACGCCTGGTTATTAGTAGACTTTTTCAAGCAGTAACAGGTGAAAAGAAGGTTCCAGGAAAACAAAACTGCTTGAGTTGTTGTATTATAGTTCAAAAAAAGTTTTTGTCATCTCAGAATCTTTGGACCTGTACATCTTCAGTGTTAACAAATACAAAACTTCCTAAAAAATCAGTTCCGTTTTTTATTTTTGTTGTTATTTCACACAGTTTAACTATATATAACATGTTAAAAATGTAAAATACTTGAGAGATTTTGAAAGTTTAACTTATCTTGAGAAAAGGGGCAAAAGATTTCACACAAAAGACACTTTTTGACACATTTACAGCTAAAAAAAGAGAATAATGACCAGGCGGACTGTTAATATTACAGGCTTAAAAGGGTTAACCATACTCCTACTTAATGTCTCCCTGATGGAGACACATTTTCATAAAAGCTCATAGAAGCCCACAGTGGCCCCTCTTTATATGTCTCATTAGTTACCAAACACACACACATATGCATACTATGGAGAGCTGCATCTGTGTGTCTCCACCTTTTACATCTGTGTGGTGCAATCAAATAATTCTAGAAACCAGGAGAGATGCTCAAGGCTAAAATTACCCAAATTACAGAGGGATTACTTTGAGGTGCATTACAAAGGCAGCGTTCCTCTCTCTGGCATTAAGGTTTCAGGGCGAATGACTAACATTAAGACAGGCTGTAATAGAGTGGTGTAATAAAATACAGAGGCCCATGTCTCTGGAGACAGACGAGGGTACCCGTGAGCAGAGAGACAACCAGGCACATGATGGCCGAAAGAGACAGAGGGAGACTTAAACCTTTAGTTTAGAGCGAACAGCCGAGGGGCTTTACATGTGTTCAGGAGCAGCAGTTTTCATACAATATCTTTCTTTTTTCCTGTTGCTACCGTGAGAGCTACAATGGGGAGGTTGTTTTTTTTCTTTAAGTGTAGGAAGGTTTGAGACTGTCGATCGACAAAGTCCGTCAGAAAACCATTGCATCATTTCAAACTTGACAGAAAACCCAGAGTGAATTTGTGAAAACTTTTTGAAGTTGACTCCACATTTCGACTCTGAAGACTGTCTCAAAAAAAAAGAAAACCCTTTGTGACCTTTCTCCTCCTTTTCACGGGCTGCAGCACAACATCAAAACCAACTGGAAGGTCTTACTGTAATGTTTAAATCACTGATGACGGCGTCAAAACATCCGCCACAGGTGTATTGTTTTGTCAAGATTAGTTTCATCACAGTTTGTTATTTCATCTGGCAGGACGCTCATTCAGATCCTTTCCTGAGTCCTGCTGTCCCTCCCAGGTTTGGCTCAGAAGGGAGTGGTCACAGACAGGACGTGTATGCCTGTTTCCTTAAGCACGTGTGTTTTTCTATGGACAGTAAACTGTGAGGTTTCTAATATTAAAACATCTTATTCTGGTTCACTGAGTACACAGTCCGTTCTGGGAAGAGGCTTTGACATCCACCAGCATCAAAACCCCCACTGGTTTCCATTGTCTTCAAATGCTTCAACAGCCTCCTTTGGACATTCGAACACTTTGATAGCACTTTGAGAAAGCAAACAGCCTGACAAGAGCCTATTTCATCTTTTCTTAAAATAGCAACATAGTCCCCTGCAATCGCAGAGCATTACTGTAAAAATTATCCAGCCTTTGCATTGCACAGATGTGAGACACAGCTTGGCACTTTCAACACAATGTTCAAAGACATGAATCATTTGCATACATGTAGCTTAAACTGCGAAGAATAATTAATTCTGTCAAGACAACCCAATTAAAGGAAGAAACAACAGCAGACTGGGCTTGACAGTGTTAACAGTAACGCCCAGATGCGAGCCAAAGTGCTGATAATAGGCCCGTGGAAATTATAATTGTATGCTCTGCCATCAGTTTGAACAAACATTTTTTTCATCGTGTAAATTAGAGCTTTATTTTTGTCACACAGGTTCCTGGAGTCTGATAAAAGATGAAGACAAAAGCACACACACACACACACACACACAAACACACACATACAAACAGCGACCTGTCCCATTTTAATCTAATTACAGTTGAACACAGCAGGGTGACCAGAGCTGATTAGAACAGACCTGAAAACATGAAAGAGTCAAGAAAGAGAGAGGAGAGCTGATCTGCACTGAACTCCCCCAGGTCACACACACGCACACTGTCCTACAGTACCAACACAGGACTATAACTCTACATGGACCAGAAGGGGACGCCTGTTTTGAAACTCAAAAATCATACAAAATGTGCCTGTTAGACTCAATTAAGACACAGTGGGGAGTTTTATCTGGTTTTGAAAGAGTACCACTTTTATACTGATGCATCTTCAGTACCTACATAGTAAAATCACCTTTTTAGTGATATTTTTTCTTTATTCTGAGATCTCAGATTTCTGTTCATAGAGTTTGGCAGTAAAAAGTAAGCTTGCAACCTAAAGGCGTTTTTTTATTTCTTTGGATGTTTCTTTTAAAATTATGTTTTGTACTCATGGCTGATACCGTAGCACGATTTGCAAAAATATGTATTTTTGTCAGGATACAGTTTTGTTACAGGATATATTTTGTAGAGGGAAACTTAACAACTAGGACTTTGCTGGATAACAGAGCTTAGTAGCTATGAGCAGGTTTTAATGTTAATTATGCATGAATGCTTTACTGCTTTTTGAGGACAAAGGAGTTGAACTGTGTCAAGTCGGTGTTCAGACATTAATTGGGACACCGGGGCTCAGCAGCATGTCACCACTGTGACAATTTAATTTAAACCACTACGTCAAGTCACGTTTTGTATGCTTACTAATGGTAATAGCTAAAAAAAAACCACTATGTTTGTAATTTCACATTGCTATAAATCAAAAATATTACCCCATCACTCAAAATTTTGCCTCAAACAGAGAAAAGCTCCCACAATAAACGCACACTTTGACCATAGCAACAACTTTACAACAGTGGGCGATAGCACTCGTGGGAAATGCGGTCTTCTTCCCAGGAAAACACTACCAGTTTAATCCAAAGGGGGCATCAGAATCAACACAACATGAAACACCTTAGTGTCCTCAACAATCAGGCTCCCTCTCTACGGGCCATGAGAAAGTCTTAAGACATAAGATTTACCCTCGTTAAGCTACACTCTTATTTGTATTGCATGGGTATAATATAGCCAAACTATAAACGTAGAAACATACGATAAAAAGCATCTCATATTAGTTTGACAAGGTATAACAAAGCAGGTGGTTAAGATACAAGGAGGAGTGTTTTCCTTATGTAATATTGTAGAGACTCAGACCTTAATGTGAAGGTTTGCGGTTGTGCCCCCCTTCTATGTCTTACAAATGGCAGTAGGCTATACAAATTAATCTGTCTTGAACTGTAGTTTATATCCTGCCTGGACAAACCTGTCTGAGACGGTTTCATTTAATCAGCTTTAGTAAGAGAGAGAGCTCTACATAATCTCCAGGTGGGATGAGCAACACCTTATCACCTTCACAGGACACATGAGAGTGTAAACACTGGAGTGAGTCTACATCATCCGACTCTGACAACACTCAATTCATAGCGCATCAGTTCAGCCGAGGACATTTTGGTGTATGTGGTTTGAATGCAGTGCTAGATGTTGTTATTATTAGACTGAAATGTTTGAAGCAGGAGCTGTGCACAGAACGTTTTCCTGAAAATGTACTGGGGATTTACGAGGTTATAGATCTGGTTTAGCTGCTGCTGCTGCTGTTGTAGAAATGTCACAGCCTGCAGAGACCCAGACAGTCACATGACTCTTATGTCCAATCTGAAGGTCAGTGAGCAGTTTGGACAGACTAAATAAGATAAATATTCGCCCTCTAGTTTCTTTTACACATTTAAATCTGCAAATGTCACTGACTCTTTAATCGTAGTCTATTCTGCTGCGGTAAAATATCATTTAAGTTCATTTGAATCAAGTTATTTACATTTTTTTAATTTGGAAAACTGTTTGCAGAGATCCGAAGCAGTTACCAGAGTTGACGTGCAAACTTCCTACTGAAACTTTGACCTACTCTTCTTGCCATAGAGGTTTACTTTTTTTTGACAACCACTGATCTGGTGTGCTGGCACGCTAATTTAAGGGTCACTCACCCCCTCCGTTCTTCTGACACAGGTAGGGGAACCTCCAGACGTTGCCCAGGCCTACAGAGAAGCCAACCTGGGCCAGGATGTACTGGAGCTTGTTGTTCCAGGCAGGGCGTTCCTCCTCCTCGCCATCCGAACCCCCTTCCTCCACGTCACACTCTTTCCCATCCCCTTCATGGTTGTTGACGATCAGCGATGTCTTCTTGAAGGAATCGTCGCAGGCGTCCTCGTTGGAAAGCAGGTCTTTGTGAGACTCTGTGACATCCTCGTCAAGCTCTCTCTTGACGGCCTTGCTGTTTTTGGGCATTTGATAAAGCAAACAAGTGCGAGGGGTGGAAAGTCTTTTTGGTTATCAGGCTGGAAGGGCAAGGCCAAGTGTGTGCGAAAAGTCACTTGGGGAACTTTGTGCAAAGCTGCAAGTTTTTTTTTAAAGAGTTTTGGCTCAGTTTGTTTTAGAACAGTTCTTAGAAGTTGAGAGATCAGGAAGTGGTTTTACTTCTTCATTATCACCAAATGTCTGTGGAGGAAAGAGAGAATATTAGAGTGAGCAAAAGCAAAACTTCTGAAGGAGGTTTGTGAGAGTCTGGTCAACAGTCTACTTTTACTTCTTCTCTTTACTCAGAGAGCCTCTAATTTCGCCCCATAACCTACTTGTTTTACTCCAGATGAACCCTGTATAACCTAAGGTCGTGTTCACACCTAAAGGTCAGTTTCCTGATTCGAATCCAAGGCAGGACGATACTTTTGTTTTGATTGTTTAACTGGTCCGGTTTGCATTCACAAAGGACAAACTCAATCGCTCCAGAAAACGGAACCGGAAGTCACGTGACCGCGAATATCGTTCGGTTATTGATCATTAGTTTATGCGGGAAAACAAACCCCGCTCTGCTGTCTTCGCCTGTCGTGGAGCATCATAGGCTGATTTTGCTTTTGCAACTCATCTGGAGTGCGTATCAAAAGATGCTAGTCGATTGCGCCTATGAACCGCTCGTTAGCCAGCAAGCGCGAACTGCGGCAAAGACGAGATGGCGACAGGCATTAATGAGATTACCACGATGCGTTTTCTCTCTGGTGTCAATCGGGACAAGTGAGATGAGCGGACAACATTTATTTCACAACCAGCATTACAAATAGCCTAGATGTGTGGTGCGTTTCCTGTGATTGGTATGGATGACGTTCACACCAGAAATGAACCGCACCAGAGTTCGAGGTCAGCGTTCACACCGACCCAAACGAACCGCACCAAGGGGGTAAACGCTCCAGGCTGAATGAGGGTGGTGTGAATGCGCCCTCAATCAGCTAGGTTTGACACCTTTAGATGATAAGGGGCTTTAAAGATCAAAAATGCAAAACAAACTTTAAACTGTACCCCAGACTCATGAAACCATTAACCCAACATTGTAAAGCACGGTACTGTATCATATGTTTGTTTTACGGATACTAATTTAAAAGTTCCCACTCTCCACTTATCCCAGGTAACCTTGTCTGACTTTAAAACTCCACAGAGAGAATTATTTCTTTATCCCGGGTGGGCAGAGTTATTTCTCACATGGAAATCACATGTCTGGCTTTGGCTGCAACATGGATGGGGATAACTTTTATTCTGACTCTTGATTCTGGGAACATTAGCCTGCTGCTGCTGCTGGTGGTGGTGGTGGACGGTGACATGGACAGTGACAGGTCGTGGTGTGGAGACTATATCGCGTTTCCAGCCTCCTGAATTATTGAAGGGAGGAGGCCATTTGCATATGAACCCAAACACTCCTTTTCTCCGCAGCAGCCTTGGATGGGAAAAGCCCCTATAGCCTGTGAGAAAGGATGTCAACTTCCAAAATAGAAGTGGGATAATGAGCAGACATGCGCCGCGCCGTATAGAGGAAACATACAAGATTTGGACGCTGCAAAAGACGCATTGGTGTCAAAATATGATTTTTATCAAGCATGCAAGGGTGTGGACACCATCTACAAAAATGCGTATTAAGGTGCGCAACATCCTTCCCTCCACACTTGAGCATCCTGTAAAGCTGCGTGTTGGTTTTCCATGTTTTTTTAACCTCACATGAACTATTTCTCTAAAGCGCAGAAGAAATGCACGGCCATATCGCAAAAATACACGCCTCCCGCCTTTCACCATCCCGAGGATTAAGTGATTAATAGATTTCATTTACCGCTTCCAGATTAGCCCCGTTTGTATGAGGCAAAGGCCGTCGTTTCATAATCCCGTGAACGCAACACAGCAGCCGAAAAGGAGCGCTGATGCTGAGTAACCTTCACTGTGCAACTCGTATGGAGGCTGTAATCGCAGTTATGGGATGAAATTAAAGGCTGAGAGGATGAGTGTGTCCACAAAGGCTGTGTGCACATGATTCAGGAGGGATGAGTAAAAAAAAAAACCGGGCGGACCATCCAATTCAGAAATGCGTAAAAAGCGAATAATTCCAAACCAATCTAACCACACCGGTGCCATGTGGCTCCTTGTTGTACTCAGGCACACATTGTTCCCTGAGGTATACCAAGAAATCAATTGTCCCCCCCCTCCCTACCGCCCAGCCGTCATGACATCCATGTGAGATGTTTCATCATTCAGCAGCCCGGCCACATCCTGCGCACTGGTACCTCAGTCAGCCTCACACATCCCCCTCACACATCATCATCATCATAAATGACCCCTAATGACTCCCAGTGAGGATGCTGTGGTTTGTACTCACCAGGGTTTGAATGTCAGTCGTCCTCCTCTGAAATGATGAGCCTCAAGGAATGAAATTGTGAGAGCACATGCACGGGGCAGACATTATGAATGTGCGTCTTTATGAACCAGTCCGGCCGCTGAGTGCTGCCTCAGACTCCGGCTCGCTGACTTTCTCTACATCTGAGCCGGATACACCAAACGATGTCAGGGGGGATCCGTCTCCAATGCCCCTGAATAATAACATTTTTTAAACTAATAAAAAATATTTTGTTATCCAATTAAGTAAAAAGTATCTTCAATTCATTACAAAGTAGAGATTCATTTAAATATTGTCAATTTTAAGCAAAATTAACATCTCAGCAATCTCCAACCCCCCCCCTGTCTCTTACTTGGTACGCTCCACTACGAGAAGGAAGTGGGCTGGCTCACTGGTACATGCAATGTGCCTCTGTTTATAGAATCTAATTTCTCCCTTTGATTAAAGTTTATTTACAGAAAGGCAGAGTTTATTTTCCTACAGTTTGATCATGTTGTAACATGGATCTTTTTAAAGGATTTTCACATGTAAAAACGTGAGAGGGTTTTTTTGTGTGTGGCCAAGGTCGGAATTTGCGCGTCATCCACCCGTGTAATCTTCGTGGGTATTGCAATAAATAAATAAATAAAAGGAAAAAGGAAATTTACATAAAGAGCAGACGAGGCAGGAAAAACTTTGATGAATACATTTTTAATTCAGGGTCAGTGGGTTTGGTTCAGGTCAAACATATTTGGATAAGGCAAACATATGGAAGCAACATTTTAAATAGCAAAGGCACTGAATAGGACAAAGCACTTTCAAAGGTCACCTGAGAAACTCTAATATAGGAAATGATTTTGCTGTATCGAGAGAGGCACACATCTCTTTTAAACATTTGATATTTAATTTTACAGCAGAGGTGGACGAAGAGGTCAAAGGAGGTGATCACATCATTTTGTGGAGGATGAACATTTATGTGCCATCATAATCTTTCTTTAATGGGAATAAAACTTAAAGATGTGACCCTGCTGGTGCCTTTCCAGTGAATAAAATTAACAAACATGATCCTGTAGGTGTGGTTAAATGTTACATGTCCCTTCTATTTACTTTTTAGTAAATAAAACAACATCGTGACCTTAAAGGTCCATTCAGAGTGAATAAAACGTTACGCGCTTGTCCTGTTAAAGTGGATACATTTTCACAATGTGAAAAATACAGTAACATGACCCTTTTGTGCCTTTCCATATGAAATTTTAAAATGTTACCCTGCAGAGGATTTTTCAGTGACTAGAATTTCAAAACCTGCCCTTCAGGTGCCTTTGCTGTGGATAAATGGTCATAATTTGCTCCTTCGGGCACCCCGCCAATGGATGAGATGTAGAAAAATAGCCCTTCAGATGCTGTTGCTTGAACAGTGTTAAATATTACAGCCTTTAAAGTTGACCGCCATGGGTCAAAGTTGATAAAATAAAAACAGATGTTGAAAGAGAATCCCTAAAGGGGTTGAAAGTACATCTCCTTTCTGTTTTAGTTATACAACTTTGACGTGTTAAACTTTGTGCAGAGCTGTCACGTTGAGGGTGTGACTTCACACTGCAGCAAGTTTAGTTAAAGCAGTCTTTGATAGAAGGTTCATGTCTCGCTCTTAAGGCGAGATGTGAAACTAGACATAGTGAGATGGTAACTGAAACTAGCTCATGGGGGAAGACAGCACAAGTGAACTAATCTGTGTAAAGATTACATCAGGTTTTAGCAAAGTAAAGTTTATATCAAGAACAGGTGTTGAAGTGCTTTACTATAACAAATTAAAAAACAAGACAGTTTGGCAGGGCATGTTCAGTAGCTGAAACAAGAACCTCAGTTTTATGAGAGTTCAGCTGGTGAAATTCATCTGCCATCCAATACTATATACAGTTCACACAATCAGTGAAGTATAATAGACAAATTGCACAGCTGATCGTCATCTGCATATAAATGACAAGAGGCTCCTTTAAAAGTTCTAATATGATCTCCCAGAGGATGCACATCATATAAAAAACAACAGGGGACCTAGGATAGAACCCTGAGGGACACCACAAGACAGCACCCTCACCAACAAAGCAGTGGCTGAAATTTTTCTACAAATAAAAAGGCAACCCAATCTATTGCTGTTCCTAAGAGACTTGCCCACAGTCTAAGCCAAGTCATCTGTTTATGTAGTGCCACATTCATGTAATCCATCTGCAAAGAAACTCTGGTACTGGTAATACTATGAATAATCATTTTTATTTCATCAAAATTTGTGAAATGTTATTTTTATAAGCAGTATTGCCCACTAAGCATTTGAAGAAACGATTCCATCTTCTGCATTTAAATGATAAGAGACACCCTTGACAATTCTTTCAAAATATACATACATAAAACAAGAGGACCCAGAACAGAACCCTGAGGGACTCCAGGAGACAGGGACCCCACTAACAAAACACATTTGCCAGCCATAACTAAAAATGTTATACAGTTATGAAGAAATGCTGTTAAAACCAATAAAAATTATTTTGATTTGATTTGAATAAAAGTAAAACCCTCCTAACTCTTAGGCAGTTTGCTATAACTTGAAACTACAAAATTCCCAAGAAACCAATCAGAGTTGATAAAAATGTAGCAGGAAAAAAAGTAATCTCATTACTTTATTGTCCTTGTGTGTGAAAGAGAAGAAGAATATTATTGAAGAAGTCCTACCTGGAGTTTTATAATTCACCAAAAAGATGGTGACAAGCTAGCTGGCATCTTAACAGCGTTAGATTAATTTCCAGAGAGCAGATAATCTGATCTGGTTTTTAATTTTGCTTGAAAGTTGTTTATTTTTCTGGATAGTTCCAAGTTCTACAAGTTTGCTGTTAAAAGGAGAAACAAAAACAAAACAAAACATAAGCTAAAACCTGATTTGCCCCAGTGCCCTGTGTGAGATAATATTCACCCCCAGTGCCTCAGGTGCATTAAGGACATCATTACATAAATCTCTTTTGCGTAGCCAGAATGTGTGTGTGAGAGTGTGTGTTTGATGCTCACACAAATCCCATTACTTCCAGTTCATAGCCGCGTGTTAAAGGATGAACAGTACTCTGAACACAGCTTCTCACTCTCATTGTACACCGAGTCAAAGATACTGCCTGAAAGAAGCAGTTTTCAGAGTCTGCAGGATTTCAGGGGGAGCAGCATCAGTACAAGACGTATTGATTACTGCTAATAGCCCTCACTCATCAGCAGGACAGCACAGAAATCCTTAGCTGAGGCAAAAAACCATCCCCCATACTATTAGAGAATGTAAAGTATTCTATGTTTCACTGATGACACTGTAGTTTACTTATAGATAATTATGGCTCTTGCGACCCAGCATTAAACAGAGAGAGGGAGATAACCATTCCTGTTTAGCATGTTGACATGGAAGCACTTGCTTGTTGGCGATGGCACAAGAACATTATATCAGCAAATTCAGCTAAATGCCAGCAATGATGGTGCAAACATTTTGGCTAATTGTGATCTTTTTTCCGCTAATGCAAATCAAAGGGCAGGTGGAGAGTAAGGTGAATTAGACTTACGTCAGAGATAATGACATGCTAACAATGCTAATGCTAGCAGGAATGGTGCACTATTTCAACGTTTAAGTCAACACTGATAAATAAGACAAGTTAACCGCCAGCTACTAACTCTGGGTTAAGGGAGGAGGGTAGCAAAGCTTAATGCTAACATGAAAATGCTAAAACACTCATGTATGAGGCTGGGATGCTAGCGCTAATCAATTCACTATGTTAGATCATTGACTGTGAGTAGGCTAGACAACCTACTGACTTTCTGCACCTTATTATTGTTCCTATTGAGATCAGGTCTTTCAAGGGAGACCTGGTTTTGAATGGTAGCAACACAAGATTTAATTAAAAAACAGCACAGTTGATGACCTATACTGCAGCCAGTCAGCAGGGGGAGCTCTGAACTTTTTAGGCTTCACTGTCAGTGATCACTAATGCTGTTGTTTTATTGATGCAGTCTATGTATGAAGTTAGAATTTTGAGAATCCCTCTATGCTTTCCGAGAAAAAGCTACATTTTACCATTAAACTGCACGATGGAAAAAATGATGATAAATTAATTTGATTTCCCATAGGAAAAAAAACAAAAACATAAATGAGGCAAGTTTTCGTACCAGAATTATCAGGTATTAACTGGACCGCCCTGCACTGCTGTCATGTTGCTAAAAATTAAGGATATTTTGCCCAAGTCTGATGTGCTGATATTCTTAACTCATTGACTTTCTCAAAATTGATAAATACCCACCTTTTTCAATTAAGTCCCTCCTCTACTCAAACACATTTTAAGCTATTATTTCCTGATTCCGATTCTGTGCTGATGATATGAATCTTGACCAAAAAATGGCTAAATTATCATTATAGGAAGATATAGCAATTCTATGTTAATCACAACATATTTGGGAGTTATCTTTCATAATGATTCATTAGAAAGTGAAAGACATCACAAACTTATCAGATCTTGCCTAATCTGACCCCATATTTTCATCCATTTTCACCCTTTAAAAGTGCACCACAGAGAGCCTAATCTGGTCATAAACAGTATCAGCTGGAGCCCAGTGTACCACAGACAGAGTAGTGTCACTGATATGAATGGTGGTAGTGTGCTGAACTCTGTGGTGTGATCAGTTAAAGCTGCAGATAAAGAAAAGAGTATTTAGTGCACTCACAACTCTTGTTTTACTACTTTGAGTGTGTTTAGCGTGGAGAAGTCTTAAAGTTTGTGGTTTTGAAGCAGAGAGAGGAGTGAAAATGTCTGAGCGGAAGTAACATTTGACTTAAACGACAGAGGATAAGAGCAGAAGACCATTAAGATTGATCATTTATGAGATTAAATCTGCATCCTGTCTGAAAAAATATAGGATCCTGATTCATTTTATGTTCTTTTTTTACATGAAAATGTCTCCTTCATTTTCAAATCAGTGACCTAAAAATGTCTTGTTTCACTTTTCCGACAGACTGCAGATCCGATAAGAGCCGTAACCACAAGTCCATAATTATATCAAGGATGGAGCTGATTGTGGATTTAATGACGTTTGTGTATCTTTGTGTTCATAGATGACAGCATATGAAGGAATCAGGTCGTCCTCGAGGAAGCGGTTATGTAATCATCTGGCTGGAAGAATACCTCCTTCTTTACATACTATCATGAGACACACTGTGTGGGGTGCTGCGTTTCAACCATGTGTTTAGTCTGGAGATATCACTTCATTCTTCAAACAGAGGAGGACAGCCAAAGCCTCCTGACCCCTTTTTTATTCCTCAGTGAAACAAAAGAGTGACATAAAACGACCAACACCCACAATGAAAGTCATAAAACTATTAAACATAGCGGAAAAACTTGATGCAGGTAGCTTTCTGGGCAGATTTGAACCCTTACTCTTCCTCTGACCCATCTTCAGAGTTGTTTTCTGCCTCTCCTTGTTTTCAATCAGAACCTGTATTTTGTATTTTTACAGCTGGTTAAATGATCAACACAGCTGACTCAGATGGGGCTTGTGGATCAGAAGGTCAACTTGTTGACAACTCAGTGGGTGAGTGTGTACTCTGACATTATAACCCAAAATATAGAGTTACACTGTAATAAAAAGAAAGGTTGGGGATGGGAAACAGGAATTAACGTTGTCTCACAGCTAGATTTATCTCTACAAATGAACTGATTTGTGTTTGATCCTTATTGTGAATTAGAATAAATGTATCGTCACAGATGGACGATTGAATAGCAGGTACTCGGTGTCCACTCTGTGCTGCTGTTTTGATTTTCTGATTGTAAACACAGAGTCAGTCACAGATGGCGGCGTACCTTCCCTACCTGTTGAATTCTTTATGATCCAACCCTGACTTTGGTAACAGGATCCCATCCGACCGTCATGAGTTTACCCCTCCCACACCTCTGATGGAAAGTTGAGGCAGATTGGTTTTCACCATGTCACAGAGACGCATGTTCTTAGCCAATGGGGATCACCCAGAGATGGTGAGAATGAACCAGTAACGGTTTAAAGTCCTCACATGATACCGTCAGAAAAAAACAAGACAATAGGCAAAACTCATGCTGTTCAAATGTGATTGTTGTAAACGCTGTCTGTACTACAGTGGAAACTACTCTGTGGCCAAATTATTAAAGCTACAGTGGGGAGTTTTTGGTGTTTATGAAATACACTGTAATTTAAAGGTTATAGATAATCAGGCAGAGTGTTTTATGACACTCGTATGTATATATATAACTGTACACTACTAGAGTAAAGTGTAAGAAGACAGGAAGTGCCATTCTAGTCCTGCAGTCACATGGTGGAGACAGTAAACCCCAAATTAGCCCTGAAGGCTCAGTCAGCAGTGTGTTAAATCCCATGAATGGGACTGGTTTGTAGTGGTTGTCCATTAAGGAGACAAATGATAGTCACAGAGCCATGAGACTGATGTCAGAGCTTTACAACTAACTAAACACACACTTCTACACTAATGAAAAAGACTAATACATTACAGAGTTCATAACATGACTAATAACTCTGTCAGGAGTGATATTTAACAGCATTACTCTTTACATTATAACAGAATTACAGTGAAGTAGAGCCAGCGGCGGTTTAAGATTCGATGTGCTGTCACTTAGGATGGGAAAAATGTGTTTTCATTGAGAAAAGATGGCTGAGATATTCGCCTTGTGAAAGATGATGTTCAGATAATGATATAATATGATGATGATGTGATGTTGAGTTTATCAAAAATTCCACAATCGGCCTGATTAATTGTCAGATCGATGAATCAGTCTATCTCCAGTTTAATGAGTTAAAATGGCTGCTCACTTTACATGTAGTCCATTTACTATTTGAACCCTGCTAACCAAGCTAGCTATGGCATTAACTTCAACCTGAACCTAATGGCTTTCCTGCATATTTGTTTTGTTTCTTCAATATTTCTCCTTAATTTTACCCTAAAAATGACTTTTTGATTTTACCCATTGTCTAATTTTACCTTTAAACCTGCAGAAGTATGAGTGTGACTGTGTTTGTTGCGACATCTGACACCTTGGGTCAGTAACGTTAATAAAAATGTAAGTACAGAATATTAAATGATCATTTATATTTGACAAAAGTACTGTGGGAGAGGTAACTACACTACTATTTCTACGAATAATGATTGCTAGATATTGAAATAGGTGAAAGTAAATTTGAGAGGGAAGTAGAGTTAAGTCAGACAAACTGAGCGAGATGAACTTAAAGAGGTCACATCATGCTACTGTTCTCTCATCCAGGATGTATTTATATTTAGAAAGACTATTTATAACTTCAAGTAACACACCAAACTCCTTCACTTTAAAAACTTGGAATATCTAAGTGTGTTGTGTCTGTTTGTGTGTGTTATTGTCTTGAAAAGCTTAGTTTCACCCAGGGGAAAACAAAGAGTATTTCATGTGCTGTCTGGGAGCAGCTTTGAAGCCTGTGTGTGCTGCTGCGATAGGCGAAGTGCAGCTCGAACCTGCTCTGATAAAACAAAAGAAAACAGTCAGCTGTGATGCAACTGTGACGTCCAGCCTCGCAGCCTTGATCTAGCTTTGTGTGTGTGTGTTGTTTTCTTCTGAGGACAGAAGTCAAAATGAGGCTGCGAGGCCATGTGAAGCGCCCGAGTTTGGACGGGTGAAATAAGAATGGAAACACGAGCTGATAATGATAAATGCTATCTGCTGCCACCATGTTGTGTCTCATCTGAGTCAGAGTGTTCTAGTTTCTCACTTTGGGTTAGTTCTGGGTGTGTTTTCCTCTCACAGGAGCGGTTTTATGGCCCTTTTTTGTTCTTGGTATCCCTTTTCTTTGGAGAACAGAGGATTTCAGAGCTGTTGGTCAAAGGTCAAGTTCTCGGCTCTCATCTTCTGTTACAGCTCTGCTGCCGGTGTCACTGTGTGATCTTATGTCAGCCTGTGAGCTGTGATGGCTTCAGACTTTCTATGGGAATTGGAAGTACAGCATTGGAGCGCATGAAACCTGTGTTTTGTTCTGAAGACTTTGTTAGTTTTAGTACAAATTTGATTTCTCTTGACTTGTTTCCTAAATAAGCAATATTCTGATTAACCATCAACTGCTTCCTACAGTTCTTATTCAAAACAAAACTATATTAATTTGCAAAACATACCCCCAATTAGCAGAAAATTAAATGTTTAAGAAGGTTTATGCTGAGAGAAAGGGATTCCCGGAGTGTAGAGTGCAGCCCTCTACTTGACTGTTGTGGTACTGCTGGGCAGTAAGATGACTTCCTCAATTAAAACATACAGTATTTAAAATCTTCTTTACAGTTTTCAGTTATTATGTAGCTCTGGGCTCCAAAATACATCAGGATGGAGTTTCATCTTTATGTCTTTTCTACAGCTTAGACACAACATATGGCTGACAATTTAAGCGTATTATTACAAAAGCAACGAGAGAGGGTGACTATGTTTGATCGTTTAATCAACATGCCTATTCTGTATATAAAAAAAGATATAAAACGGCAGTGTTTTTCTTCATTTCAAGTGTATATGAAGGACCTTTGTTAAAAGGCCAAGGTGGGGTTGCAATAGCCTAGCGGTCTATGCATTGTATACAAAGACTATAGTCCTGGTTGTAGCGGTTATGACACTTTGCTGCATGCCTTCCTGTTCTCTGATTCCCACGTTTCTCTCCTTAGCTGACCTTTCAAATCATTTTCTACAAGCTAAATCAAGCATCTCTGTGTTAAATCTTATGCAAACTAAGCTAGCTTTGGCGTTAGCTGCACGTCAGTATTAGCTAACCTATGGCTCCTTTTCTGAACTTTTTGGTCTTTTTTGGCTTCTGACAAATTAAATAATAAAACCAAAAACTCAAGACTTTAAAAGAAACCCCTGAATTACATCTTACAGGCAGTTTATGACCCAGATAGTCATTTTTAGTTGCTTCATTGTGCAGTTTGTTGTTCGTTTTCATTGCGTCATGACCATGTTACTCGTGCAGAATAGTTATTATCATTATTGTTACCTACTATCTGTATGATATGATCCAAATTCTGTGATCTTTGTTTGGTACAGCAGGTGTAAATGCTCACATTGCTTTCTTTTTGTGTCTGCATGATGATCCTGCAAGTGCACGGTTTCATTTCTCAGGCGAATGCATGCAAGTTGAGTTAATTTGAGACTCCAAACTGCCCACAGGTGGAATTAAACGCTCAAATTATTGTCTGGGGATGAGTGTTAGTCCTGTTATAAACACCGTCTTCATATCCTGTGTGGCCTGTTGTTTCCTCCAGTTCCCTTACAGTCCTACAAAACACAAACAGCAAAGACAATAACTGCATGCTAGAAATGTGAGCCACTATGTCTTCATATCAGTGGCGATTGCTCTAAGACTGCAAGGGAAGCTCGGCTTCCCTTAAAATGTCACCCCTCAAAAAAAAAGAAAAAGTGGTGAAATACGTACTGCTGTGTGTACATTTCATTAACTAAATACGCACTAGAAAGCCTTCATCTTTTGTTCAGACACTGTGATAAGAAGCTGATAATCACAGGTAACCGGCATAACTTCGTTCTCATTCATCCTCGCAGCGCCTCAGCGCTTTAAACAGCCGGACGCTGGGCTTCTGCTGACTTCAATGTGGAAGCTTAAAGTGGGTTGTTCCAGCAGCAAAACTAGACGCTCATTGGATAAATGCTGGGCTTTGTCCCGCCCATCGGAAGCCCAGCTTCACTGGAGTTCTATGGCGAGAGGGCGGTCCCGACTTTCTCCCGGACTCCAAGCTTCTGCATCCATGATTGGATGAGCTGTCTGAGGCGAAATCCTTTTTTGATTGACAGCTAAACAAGCGAATCAGCGATCTTGAAGAATAAAACATCTACCAGAGCATTTTCCAAGTTATTCATTCCGTTGTTCTTAACTGCTCCGGAGACCTTACCGATCCTCAGCGACTGTTATCTTTGTTAAAAATGACTGCCGTTGTGTTTGGCGACTCTGTTCTGTTACATACTAATAAACAAATACAATTATGATGTAGGCCAGAAAAATGAGCTTCCCCTCCTTGAAAGACCAGCAGCCGCCACTGCTTCATATGAAACCAACTTCAAACATGATAATATTACCGTTAATGCTGCACAGGAAAATGCACGTGACACTCAAACAGACACACGAAGCTCATTTAAACATCATTATGATGGCAGTGTTGTGGCTCAGGCTAACTTCTGGCGCTGGCTGGCTTGGAGGTAGAGATGCGTTTTCAAAGAGAGGATTAGCTGCTGTAAAGCCTCGTCTCCTCTCTCTCTCTCTCCATGAACTGTCCTGTGACACCAGGCCAAGAACAAGTCATGAGACCCAATAGAGAACATCACAGAGCTAACACCGACCTGAGCCAAGAGCTGGTTTATGGTTTATTCTATCCCTCTCGGGTGCCAAGTGGGAGGGAGTTCCTATGCATGATAAATGAATTTCCAGGAATCATTAGAAACCAGCATGTGACGGCAGTATAGGTGATTTTAATGTTTAAATGACCCCTGTGGTACTGCAGAGAGTAACATATACAGTCTGTGACCCCTGTAGCAAACATATATGGACAATATTAACACAGACAGAAGGTAAACATCTCCTCTGTTGCTCTGTTTAGTTTATTTTTCAGGATTTATTGCATACTCCTCGTTGCAAATACTAAAGTTTAACCCTGCTTAATTCAAACCCAGTATTAGAAATTACATTGTTTTGAACTGGGATAGACTATTATATCCCACATCATAAAAAAGGCTGCACAATAAAAAAGGTGATTGTAGATATGGGTTTGCAATAACGTAGGGGTTGTGAAGCTATGAAAAGAATTTGATAGTTTGCAAATAATTTAGAAACTATATTAACAAAAAAAAAAAAGAATACAAAGGCAACATATTTATTTGTTGAAACTGCCTTATTTGATGAATTTCTGAGAAATAAATACTCTTTTTAAGGAGCGTGTTTGCCACTGTGACACATCCCCTCTTATTTTAGCAACACTCTGCAAACGTCTGTGAGCCGCGGTGACCAGTTGATTTTATGATGTGCCAAATTTTTCCAAAAGGTGACAAGTCAGGACTCCTGGACTCTTCTACTAAGGAGTCTTACTGTTTTAATATGCGCTTGCTCAAATGTTCAAGGTCTTCCCTCAGAAAAGACCGCATATGTAGATCCAAAGCCTGTATTTGCAAGTTGAATGGACCCTCTCATCTTTCCGTCTTTTCAGTTTTAACATTTGTTAAGTTTCATTGGCACTATTATTAATTAAATTTATGTTTTTAATTGTTTGCAAACCATCAGAATTTGCTGAAAACAATATTTTACACAGTGTTTCTTATAAAGTTGGGGTTGCACATGCCAGTGAAAAGTGCGTGTGAGGGAAGGACTTGTTACTGTAAGCCAGGAGCAGAATTGGCCCAGCCTGCAGATTGTTAGGGGGAGTTCTGTCTCCATTAATCCCACAGTCATTTGAAGCAGGTTTAGAAGTACTGAAATCACACTGACAGGGTAATGATAACTCTAAAAGACAGTCCAAATCTGTGTCCTCTATTTTGCCCTCCAATGAAAGGGGACATAATCTCGGTTAGGAGGGTGCTCACGATGAACTGGTTGAACTTCACCAATTTACTCCACTGTTGAGCCCTGGAAATTTGTGGAGAATCAACTTAAGATATTGTTTGCTCATGCAGGCAAGAATTTGATAAGATAAGAGTGATTAGGATTATAATGGGGCTCGTGCAGGATTAACTCAAATATGTTTGCCCCCTCACGTGCATCTTACATGTTTTAACCACCATCAGGTCTACATACAAGCCGCCTTACTCTCAGAAGCCTTTAATCTGGATCAGTGCATTGAGAAGAATCATCCATTTTCCAGGATCGGGGTTTGAAATGTCAGCTGGAGTTCATGCATGAGAAGTATTTTATTTCTGTTTAGGTTGGATGGATTCAGCAAAGTGTCCAGGTTAGGAAATGATTGTTTAAGACAGCCAATAAGTGCAATGTAGTGGTTCATTTAGTGCATAAATATGTCATCAATTTGTAAGTTGCAACCTGTGCATTCAAATTAAAGGAGGGTAGAAGGTAGTTTGGGGGTGGTTGTAATTTTTCCCTCCAATCCCCTCTTTCGTCAAAGCCCCCAGATGGAAATGATAGGCTTGATAGGCCCAGTGGCTGCCAAGATAATGGCTACAGACGAGTAACAGAAAACCCTTGACAGTGTAAACACACGGCTGCTATCCAAACTTCTGCTGCGTTTGGGCCGGAGCCGCCATTGACTGGCGTAATCTGCTGTATAAATCTGCAGCTTGGCTCTGTCTGGCTGCTGTCTGGGTTCCGTGCACTTGGACAAAAGCGACGGACACCTTGCCCACTGACAAAGGGCCCGGCCCTAATCGGAGTGGACAAGGCTTGCTGATGGAGCCTTTTTGAGCAATTGAACTTGGTCAATGATTCTTAGAGGACCTAATGAAACATAAGGGACAGGCAGTTTGAGTCCAACAACGGGGACAGCACCAAAGTGTCCTGTTTCTGTCTGTCAGACAAGGACTGAAGTCATGCCCTGACCCGTAATGACCTGTATGAAAGCACCTCTGTGCCTGACATGTGAAGATTTTGATCGCGGTGACCTTGTAGGCCACACAAGTGATGTACATGTGCTGCCTTTCATTGTCATTGTGGAATTTACTTTTGGCCTTTGAAGGAAAAATTGCACCTATATGGCGCCATTGTGTTGTTTTGTTTTGATCCTGGGATGTCACGAGACAGGAGAACAGGCCGTGGTGTGTCTCCTGAGCATGGAAGACCTGCTGTTCTTCTTTGAAACTTTGAGGAAGGAGACTGGGTTCCTTTTAGAAAGCCTTCGGGAATGTGTATGGGAAAACCTGTGTGGGCTACTGGAATCTCCTCAAAGAGAAGGAGTACAGCACGAGTGCAGAGCTTCACCACGGGAGAGAGGAACCGCTCTTTGTGATGAGAAATGTGGTGGAAATAGTGTGCATTGTTCACAGCCAAACACTTTTTTGTTGTTCTGGTCTTGTGACTCACCTACAAGGTCTCAGGCTTCTTGACCCCTTCCAGCAGCCCAGAATGCCCCCACTCAGGTTCATGACATTGCATTTTATGTTCATGAAGCAAAGAAGAGCTCTGCAATTCTCAGCACTAAACCGTGACCCTGTTTGGCCACATAATAGTGATGGGAACTGTAGTTCTTTTAGATGTACTGAATTACTAGAATGAGTTCACTAAAAAGATTCGTTCAACAAATCACCAAATCATTTAGTGGGAGAAGCCTGTAACTCCAACCTCCTGAACTGATCCACAGCTGAACGGTTCAGGATTCAGTTCAATTCATAGTTTCTGGGACCGGGAGATGAGATTGTTTGGCTGTGTTGCTTTAGCAAACAGGTTTGTAAAATAAACTTGTTTGTAAGTCATGATGTTTTAAGTGTACTGTCCTATCGTATGCTATTTATCTCGGTAAGTTGGGGTCAGTGAGTGATTCCTTCACTGAACGTTTAGAAGAATTCACACTGAACATGCAACGTTCCCTCACAAACCGCTGCAATGATAGGATGCTGCGGGTTTAATGCACTACTTGTTACATGCTGTGTCCTATTGTATGCAAGTTGTTGTGGTGGCAATTTAGCAGTGAAAAAAGGTAGTTTTGTCTGACAAGAATAATTCCAGAAAGTGTGGTTCAATGTGTGATTCATTTACCAAGTGATTCAGGTGTCGGTGCATGTAGTCCCTCGTTCGCCGGCTGCTGGCCTGGCAATGCTGTTTCTCACTTCAGCTCAACTGAAGTGAGAAATGAACAAATCACTCAAGGGAGTGATTTGGTTCAGTACGTTCACTTAAAAGATTCGGCTCTTTTGAACGAATCGTTCGCGAACGACACAACACTACCACGTAAGTGCAATGACATACCTATTAAAAAACAACATACATGTGCAAACAGATCATGTTTTTCTGCTGAGCTGTGAGCTGATTCACCTGTGAACTGTGCACATGTATATCTTAGAGTATCTGTACTTAAAAATGTCTTCACACTACAGTTGACACAAATAACATACAGTTTGCACATTTTATAATTTAGTCAATTTATTTTTTTATTTTGTTGAAATTGAGGTTCCTGGCAAAGTCAAAAAGCTAATTTAAGTGGCTCTTTTAAGCATTTAACGGGTCGGTGCATACCCTAACACAGGAGGGGGGTTAGTAACACATTCTAAGGAGGCTTGAATTTTACTATTGCGTTTCGCACGGTTTGTCCCTCACCAGACTACACACCACAGCGTCGTTGCCGTGGAGACAGTATCACCAAGACGCAAAGGGAGCCTCTCTGGTTAGAATAACTGTTTCCAGCCTTGCTGTTGTTAACCTAGCTGTTCTCATCGGCACGACAGTCAGATAGACAACAGTTAACGATATTTTAAACGGTAAATTGCGGTAATTTGATGTTTGGTGAACCTTTAGTGCCGAGGAGCAGCTGACGTTCAAACCATGACGCACGCAAATTATGACGTTTATGAGACAGTGATGCGGGAGCTAAAAAACGTCGTCATCTGCGATACTGATGAAACTAAAGAAAGGGAGGAAGATTTTTCATTTCAAGAAGCGACGGTAAGTTTAACTTAGGTTTGAGAGGATTATTACAGGTGTTTCATTGATGTAAGATAGCTAACTTTAGCTAGTTTCAGCTGTTTTTAGCATATCATCACCCTTTTAAAACAATGGCCTAAGTCATTTTAGGACGAAAATGAGTTTTTGGCCTAAATCATCTCTTGATAATGCTGACCATCTCTGGTAAAATCCCCTAAATCCTTAGTTGACAGGATCATGGCATGATCAGTTTTAACTCGCATGCTGTTAATGCATTAAAAATATACTTCTCTCCTAAAGGATATCCATAAAAGCCATATTTCAGTTCTCTTTTCACCACCATGTTGTTGTGATGCAATGTAAAATAACGCAGGGGAGAGTGGGACAAGTTGAGCCACTCCCTGTTTCTTGGAAATGGTCCAAGAAATTGACCGTGTGATCAAATATTTAGGAAATGGGCATCAATTCATGGAGTCTGTGAAGGTTAGAAGCACATGGGTGAAGGGGTTAGACATTTATTTACAACAAAGAAAATTTTTCACTCTTGAAAGTGTATTTAATCTGTTAAAAGTTTTATTATAATTGTGTTCAGATCAAAAAAGATCATTTTAAATTTGTTTTATACATCAATTGTGGTATCGATGAGCTACAACATGAGGTCAAAAACCTAGCATAGAAGTCCACCATTTTAGTTTAGAGGACTAATAGAGTCATCATAGTAGTTCTAGGGTAACTGAGAAAGTAAAGGAGTCTGTAAAGGAGTAAAGGAGTACCCCGCTCCTATGGTCAACTTACCACATACATGGGGTAAGTTGACCATAGGAGACCACTTATTTTTTGCATGCTATATTATCAAGACAGTTATGTTTACACTCATTCTGCTGGTTTGCAGGGCTGAACAACATCTTGAATATATGCAGATACACTAGTTAGAGACAAAACTATGATTGCCTCGATGTAGTGATCCGAAATATGAAAAATGGCTCATCTTACCTTTACTCTCCCCTACTCTTTTCACCCTTATGTTGTTGTGATGAAAGGTAAAATTGTAATTTATCTTTATGACTACAGGATGTAGATGAAATTCCAGCATCTCTGCTCAGCTACTTCCAGAGCTCAAAAAGCCGAGCGGCAGTGTGTGAAAAGCTCATCCTGGAGGAGCCTGAAGGTAAGCTGGTCTTTTAAACAACATCTTCATCATGCAACATTAAACCTGTTGAAGGACTTCTGCTCCATGGGATACAAGGACAGCATTAATAGCTCATGAATCGCCTTATCTTACTCTGCACTTTTATGAATTACTAAGTTGAAGTCCACCTCATGACGCTTTATTTGAGTTGCTGATCTATGATTAAGTTTCATTCTTCTAATATCTTTGTGTTTACTCTCAGATTTCTTTGCACCCCATCAAACAGAGGACATGACAGAGTTTCCTACTGAACTTGATGAGGACATGAATAAACTGAAGAAGCGGGTAAACTTGTCTTTTCACAGCGTATAGTCTGTTGTTTTTTCACTGCATGGCTTATTCAAAACACAACTGATCCTCCAGTTATGGCAAATGACTCAGAATCACTGTTATCTTTGCTTGAAACAGGTGGTTTGTGACCTAGAAACTGATGAGAGCAGCACTCCTACTGACAGCAGCTCTCCTCGTGCTCCTCAAGAGATAGAGAAGCTTCTCACACACAATGAAGGTACAGAACATGTTGGAAAGAAGGCGGAGTATGGTTGAGTTGTAAGTTTTTAACCACTAGTAAGTCTCCTTATTAAGGTTTGTGATGATGATGAAGCCTTTTCAGCCTATTTTCATGTTAACAGATCCTTAATCTGACTGCAGTTGTTTCGAGCATTTGCGAACTCACTTGTGAATAAAAATCACAAATTATCAATCAAGGTAGAATTCAGTCTGGCCTTAAATAATCAAAGTGGAAAAATACAGCATATCCGGCAAAAGAAATGTTTATATTTATGCTGGAGTTTGAGTTGTTTCCTTTTCTACCAAAGCTTGATGAAATCTCCAGAGTTGTAAAGCTTTTGTCCACAAGAGGTCACTGTAGTCTTGTTTTTTTGTTGCCCTGCCCTCAAGATAATCGATGAAAAAATGGAAGACAGTCTCAGGATTAAATTTTACAAGTGCAAATTAAATTAAATGATATATCTCCATGCTTTATTTCAGGTTATTTGTGTCAACTGTAGTGTGAAATTTGTGGTTACAGGGAAGACCAGAGATGACATGTTACAACAGAGACACATTTTAATGCCCAAAGGCACAGCTACTGCAGCTCTGCTGTGTTTTTCTGCTGCCTCTCTCCAGTCGTGATTTTTTTGCTTGCTACAGGTGAAGCAGAAACAGACAAGTATGAGGAGAGTGAGAAGCACTCAGCGTTTGGAGTGAGAACTCTTGAGATCCCTCTTGATGAGTATGAGAGCCTGAGACTCAGTGAATACGAGGCAGAGCGTGAGAAACGGCGTTGTGAGAAGGTGAAGGAGGAAGAACGCAGGAGACAAGTAGAAGGTGACTTCCAAAAGGAGCTGAAGAAGATTGTAGAGGCAGAGAAGGTGAGTTACTCCAGACTCCCCCACGGTAACTCAGCATGGTTACTTGCGGTATATTCCAGTGAACGAAAACATGAAATCCAGGAGCTCTCTCTTCATGTCGACTCTTGTTCTGTGTTTGCAGATCAATCAGAGAGATCTGGAGATGATGTGGAGGAGAGCTCAGGAAGAACTTGACCAGGAGTTGCTGCTCCAGCAGGTTGGTGTGAATCCTCTTTGAGAGTTGAACAAAAACATTCACTGACATACGTCATATAGACTACATAAAGGACGCTATTCTATTAAAAAGGCAGTGTACAGATTAGGGAATATTTAGTGGTATCTAGAGGTCAGATTTTAGATTAAAGCGCTCAACCGTCTTCATGGTGAAACTCCAGGTGACGACAGTGAAAATCCAATCCTCCATTTGTCAAGATTTTACTTTTAAAAATCAGCACAAATTCTTTTGCACTCCACTCTCTTCTTTTTGTCTTTCAGCTGTTGCATTTCTGTCACAGGCTTACTGACTCTCTGCTGCTGCAGAAACATGGTGGTGCAGGACACTGGCCTTTGTGGAAAGGGAATCCAGCATCTTCCACCACCATGCCTCTTGTTTGTGGATATAAAAGACTCATATAGAACAAACAAAAAATATCTTATTTCCAGATGATTAAACACCAATTTAAAGATGCTTAAAGCTCCTGTGGGACATTTTTAATTTGCTCTGCCTCTTTATGACCAACAAAAGCAAAAATGATCATAACTAAAGAGACTGAGAAGATTCACAAGGGGGTAGGTGTCAGAAGTGGAAACCTTAAACAAAGTAAAGAAAAACTTTTTTTTTTTGTTTTCTTTAGAGAAACTTTTCATAATGGATGACTGTCCTAAAAGGCAGGATGTCAGGTTTTTTTCCCCAGAAAAAAACCTCCCCTGTCCCGGAGCGAATCAACCAAGATGTTTATTTATTTTTATGTGAAATTATTGCGCTTTTTTTCTGTTTAGGAGGTGATCAGCAACAAGCAGAAACGAGTGGAAGAGGAGAGAAAAAGAGTGGAGGAGGAGCAGAGAAGACTGAGGGATGAGGAGGAGCAGAGGAGAAAAAAAGAGGAAGAGGAGCAAAGGAGACTGAGGGATGAGGAGGAGCTGAGAAGACTGAGGGATGAAGAGGAGCAGAGAAAACTAAGGGAAGAAGAGGAGCAAAGGAGAAAAAAAGAAGAAGAGGAGCAGAGAAAACTAAGGGAGGAGGAGGAGCAAAGGAAACTACGGGATGAAGAGGAGAAAAGGAGACTGAGAGATCAAGAGGAGCAAAGAAGACTGAGGGATGAGGAGGAGCTGAGGAAACTAAGGGATGAAGAGGAGCAGAGGAGAAAAAAAGAAGAAGAGGAGAAAAGGAGACTGAGAGATGAAGAGGAGCAGAAGAGAAAAAGAGATGAAGAGGAGCAGAGAAGAAAAAGAGATGAAGAGGAGCAGAGGAGAAAAAGAGATGAAGAGGAGCAGAGGAGAAAAAGAGATGAAGAGGAGCAGAAGAGAAAAAGAGATGAAGAGGAGCAGAAGAGAAAAAGAGATGAAGAGGAGCAGAGGAAAAAAAGAGATGAAGAGGAGCAGAAGAGAAAAAGAGATGAAGAGGAGCAGAGGGGACGTAGGGTTGAAGAGGACAAGAGGGAAAGGGAAGCGGAGAGAGAGAAGATAGAAGCAGAGACGGGAAAGGAAGAGGAGGATAGAATGAAGGAGAAAGAAGAGACCAAAATGAAGGAGGTAAAACTTGTAAAGGAGGAGGAGTGGAAAAAAGCTGAAGAGGAGAGAAGGAGAAAGGAGAGGGAGAAAACGAGAGAAGAAGAGAGAGTGTTTAATTTGGAAAAGGAAAAACTTAGAAAAATGATGGATGTGAAAGAAGAGAGGAACAAAAAAGAGGAGGAGGAGGAGGAGAAAGAGTGGAAGAGGAATGAAGAGAGGAAAAAGATAGAAGAGGCCAGAAAGGTGGAGAGAGAGAAAAGAGAAAAGGAGCAAGAAAAAGTTCAGGAAGAGGAAGAGAGAAACAAAAAGGAGGAGGAAAATTTAAGGTTAAAGGAGGAAAGGATAAAAACAGAAGAGTATCATAAAGATCAAACAAAGATTAGCAGCTCTGTCTGGATTTCACCAAGACCTGCTCCATCACACATCAAGTCTGCAGTAAACCTCATCAGTACTGAAACAACACCACAACATAACACCACCCAGAGCTCCACCTGTGAAACCGTGGGGTGTGAAAATCCAGCAGAAAGTCCCTCCTCTGGGTCTGATTTTGTGTTCCTGCCAGAGCACACAGAGCTGAAGAGGCTGACCTGGATGAAGGAGTGCATCCCCTGGACCAAACTCTCGCTCCAGAACAGAAGGAAGCAGAGAGCATCCTTTTCTGGTGGCAGAGGGACGAGGAGGACCAGCAGTCTGCCCCCTCTCTGCCCAGACCTTCTGCTTCGATCTACAAGCTGGAAATCCCTGAAAGAGGTAACTTCAGTGTCATCATGCAACAGTTATTCACAAGCACAAGTGAATAGAAACCAAGGTTGTTGCACTCTTAGTATGCTCAGACCTGCCTCTAATACAAACCTGGTTCATAAAAAGGCCTGGAACCCTCTACAGTAACAGCAAAAAAAAAATGCCTGCTCTATATTAGAGGATTTACGGTAATTCCAAACGTCATTTCTGCCCCTCAAACCTGAAGCGTTTTCCTCTTTCACTCAGGTGACCACAGTGACCCTGGAGGACCTGCCCAGCTGCAGCTTGTCCACTCTGTCTCAGTGTACCCAGCTTCAGTGTCTCACCCTCAGACGCTGCGGCCTTAAATCTCTGGAGGGCATCAAACAGTTACCACATCTTTGCTACATCGATGTACAGGTGAGTTTCACACCAGTGCACAATGAGTTTATCTGCTTGATCTCATTTTCTTTCAACTTTTAATAAAAGAATTAATATGTTTGGATGATAAGACTGTCCTTTAAGTTTTAAATTTTTTTTTCTTTTGCAGGAAAACGAAATCTCATCAATAGACTGTGAAAATATGGCAAACTTACGAGTTCTTAATCTGTGCCACAACAAACTAACATCCATCCACGGTTTAACCGGTGCTGAAAATTTGGATGTACTAGAGCTCACAGACAACTCCATCACCCGCATCGGTGAGTGCTGGAAACTTTTTTAAAATCTGTGAATACTTTGTGTCTGTGCGAAACAACAAATTGTGATCGGGCCACATCTCAAGTTTCAACATGATTTGATTTTTTACTTAGACTGTGTGCAGAGTGCCTACTAATGTATATTTTCTACCTGTGAAACTCAGTAATGAACTCCTGCTTTGTCCACTAGTATCCACTAGAGGGCAGCACCCCTCTTCTTTTCAGCTGTGAGCTCTATTCGTTTAAATGCACTAAACTTTGAAGGTGATTTATGGACTGGAATCAGCCCTCAGGCTAAAGCCATAAAAAGATATTAGTGAGGCGAGAGGTTAAACTCATTGACATGTATGTTAAGTTGTTGGAACAGTTTGTGTGACCCACCCCCCCAATCCTGAAAAAAACTGAAGTTTCTCATTTCAAATTCAGATCTAAACTCTTTATTTTTGACATGCTTTATTTTCTTTATGTATTATTCGTAGCTGGTCTGGAGTCGATGAAGAGACTGCAGAGGTTGTCTCTGGATCACAACCAGCTGATCAGCACCAAGGGACTGAAGGACGTGTTCACTCTGCTCCACCTGAACTGCTCATACAACCACCTGGTCAAGGTGGAGGGTGTGGAGAACAGCGCTCTGCTCAACACTCTGGACCTGAGAGCCAACAGCCTGACTGAGGTAAAACAGATGATGACTAAAAGTGCTACGTCTGCATGAGACCTTTACAGCTCTAGTCTGGACTGTACAACTACAACCTGAACCTGAGACTGAGACCTCAGCTCGTCACACAAAATATTAAACATGACTTATTTTCATGGATATCACTGATAAACACAGGATATAACACAAGCACGAGAAAGAGGTTCAGGAATATGTGCTAAACAATAATAATGGAGTAGTATTAAGTGTAAGAGGGTAAACTCATAGGAGTAATAGGATAGAGGAATAAACTGATATTTCAGAGATGCAAATAAAAATGAGGAATCTGGGAGTTCAGCAGAGACACACAAATATCGACCCAATTACAGTCTGTAAGACAAGAAATTGATCACATTTATGAAGAAGGAAACAAGGAGAGTGAAGGTTTGATCTTTACTCTTAAAAACTAAGGCTAACACTCTTGATTTATCTTGATGAATTTAAGTGATTTATTTGTTTCAATGTTGACAAACCCTGTTGGAAATATGGAAAAAAAACATATTTTTTTTAGATAAAGGGAAAAACAAAAATGTTTCACAACATATTTATTTTTTATAATATCTTCGGTAAGATGCAGAAACAAATGTGTTGCATGTCATTTCTTTTTTCTCACACGATCACAAACCCAACATTTCTGTTTTTTTTGTTATGAGTGTTTAGCAATAGAATAAATCTGATAAAAACGTACAGATCAATGTGAGCTACTTCATGAAATTGAACATCTTAAATCATCACCTTGGACGCCTTCACACCTAACAGATCATACGTTATAGAAACAGACTCTTTTTGTCAACACAGTGTGTAAAAAACAAACCTCAGTGTGACAGTAATTTAACTTTTAAATAGATGGAACAAATAAAGCAACACTACATCTCACATTTTCTGTTAGTTAAAAGAAGATTACACATTTTGACCAGTATATTTTCAGGTGTAACACACGCTCTTGCACAGCCATAAATTACACTAAAACACAGTTTTATTCGAGGTTCGTGTAAATTTGCAGGTCAAACAAACTTTTACTTGAACCTGCAAGTCTTAGAAACATTGAATTAAATGCATGAGATGCATTCTTGCATGATTTGAAATGGAGGAGAGTACAAGAAAGTGTCCATGAACAAAAGAAGAGGCAATTGAACTCATATAAATTTTAATTAGATTAATTAATTCCTGTTTTAAATGACTTTTCATTCACAGCAGTCAATGTGTCTTTCATGAGAATTCTGTCGTTGTTGGAAATTATTATGAACTACCGAAAATCTTCTTTTCTGTTTTGATTCCTGACAAGGTTAAATTATTAAGTATTCATGCACGAAAAGGGTTAAATACGAACAAAAACAATTAGTTCAGTAGTAGCAGCGGAGTACAACTTGCGTCTGACACTGACGACTCCAAACACAGCAGGACTTAAACAGCTGACAGTGATGGATGAGGTCAGTTTGGTGATACTGGACCAGCAGCAGAGTGAAGTTAGTCTAACCCCACATTGTGACCAGTTTCACTTGTTATCTTTACCCTGTCCGTCCATCAGCCCCCCAGTCTGAACAACCAGGTCCTCCTCAGAGAGCTGCACCTCGATGACAACAGCATCTGCTCCCTGCAGAGTCTCGCTGACTGCTGGCTTCCCCTCTTGCAGCATCTCTCTGTGGCCCAGAACAGGTACGGATCCTTCAATCAGAGTAACAGCCCCGATTTAAGATGTGGACCAGCTGAAAATGAGTCTCTGTGTTTGCAGGATTACTCAGCTGCCCTCCATGTCTGACGCCGTGTCCCTCGCAAACATTGATCTTCGATTCAACTGCTTGTCAGGTACCAGATTGTCCTGATTTTACAAGCTGTGAAATCAATTTTTTTCTCATTATAAAAGCACATGAACTGCTCTTGTGGCAGTAAAAGTATGATCTTTACAGCTTAGATAACGGGACACTCTCACCTCGTCAATTTAGCCAATTTTCTCTCATTTAAACTAAAAGCTCACAGACTTTCTCGCTATCCCTGAGTCTCTCTGCTTTGCTCCTCTAAGTCACAGATTTGGTTTAATAAAAAAGGTACAACAGCAATAAAAGTACATGCAGAAACATGTCTGATTTTATCTTTTCTACATGAACCCTCTAAGTGCATGTTGGCTCAATGGCAGCTGTCCAACTACAGCAAATGACACCGCAGAAAAAAAGATGAATTAAGGGACTTGGAGCGTGTTTCTGTTTATTTCCTACAGTTAATTTGTAAAATGAGGAATAGACTTAAAAAAAGAAACAAACGTTGACAAGGTTGAGTTTTTCTTCTTCAGAGCTCCAGAGTGTGAGTGAAAGTTTGAAGAAGTGTCAGTTCCTTCATGAGCTCCACCTCACAGGGAATCCTCTTCAGCAGGAGAGCGGATGGAGGTAAGGTATCAGTTTTCTCTGCTTGTACAACTGCAATTCAAAGATGTGTGCGGCTTCAAAACTTGTATATATAGTTCAGAATTAGCGGTGCATTCTCAGGTGTGTAAGCCACCCTCGCCGTCCTCTTACCTTCACGTATGTTGTCACTGAATTATAAGCTGATAACAAGAAAACCAGAGGACGAGTGTCACGTTTTAGATCACAGGGTGGGTATCTACACCTCTGTATCATGATTCTCTCTTTGCACGGTGCAGGTTTAACCCTGCATGATTATTGCAGGTCATTATTGGAGGTCATTTTTAGCCCATGCAGTGATTTTCACCACAGAGTCATTGCTGCCTGAGGGCCTGAGGATCATGGCGGTCCAGTCTTGGTTTTTAGCTTTCTCTGTTTTTTTGTTTTTCCTCAGATTTTTGATCTTTCACTTTTATTTATCATTTATTATGAGAATGGAACAAATCTTTTGCAATTTCATGCTAAAAAAAGTTAAAATTATTAAACATATCTGAAATTGTCCCTCCTGAGTGATCCAGTCCCTCTTGAATATCCTATTTTTACCAGCCATGATGTATATTAACCTGCTGCAGATCAGCTTTATCAATGCAAGTTGTTTCATTTAGTGTTATTAAGTATTTTTTGTGTTTCTTCCCTAAATTTTTGTTGCAGAGATTATTTTTGAAAAGAGCAAATATTTTTTAAAAATGCCATCTCCAACATTTGATGTGTTTTCTTTTCACTATTTTCAAGTATATTTAAGTTTAAAATAATCCATAACTCATGAAAATCTGTTTTTATCAGCATTTCCCACAGTGCCCCTCCTTTCTTGGGATTGTAGTTGTAAATTGGTTTGAGTTGCTGTAAGTTTATCGAGTGCTTTCCTTCGACTTCAGCACTCGCTCCTCTGCTTTACCGAACTTCCATCAAGATAGCGTAATCAGAAATTTCCGTTGTTCTTGCTGGAAATTCTTTGGACAAAAGTTAAAGTTTCAGCTTCCTTCGCTGTGAAATATCAGTCCCTCGGTGTGACGGATGTTCAAAGGAGCATACCAGAGAAAAGCCTCCGCTTCTCTATCACAAACTCGGTCTGTTGGCTGAGGCAGTCTAAACATTCCTGCAGAACTCAGGGCCTTCCTGTCCACTTCCCAGGATTAGCACTGTGATCCGCGTCCGCTATTAGATTACCGCGACGTGCCACCGACACCCGTGTGTACGCACTTTGCACTAAGTGCTCGTAATTCCCCCAAATATTGGTGCAACAGAGAAATCAATTATCCTTTCAGCTCAATTTGCTCTTTCACTTATCGTGCTCGGATTTTTGACCGATGTTAGAACAGTTGAAGTGAGTTTATATGAAAAATATGCAATGACCACTTACAATTTTCATGCCTCTGTTGGCCTGTCATGAGCAATGATGTCAGCTGTTACCCGTTTGCTAAATTATTTGGCTCCTCAGGGCGACGCACACCCACTAAGTCATGGCAAAACATGAAAAACTATACCTCGCTCGCCCATCCAAAAATTCAGTACGAGTTGAGCTTGAATCAAAGCTTTTATGAGTTGTTTAGATAACCCCGTCTTTTCTTTTGTGTGGGAGGGTTTCTTTTTTCAAATTTTGGACACTTTGCAAAGGTTTCTACCATCAAAATATTCACTCAGAAGAGCTGAACGCCATGTAGAGGCACGGAGCAGTTTTGTTTTATGTGCTGCAGGCTGTTTGGTTCAACAACAGCTGCAGTTTTGTCCAATTTTTTTGAGTAGTTTCTCTCTTTATTGGGTAATTCTCAGCCCTTAAAAACATGGCTTACTCATATCCCCGTCTCAAGCCTTAGCTGAAACATTACCTTTATATTTCACTGAACTTTACTTAACCTCCTAGTGCCAACAGTGGAATTAACCCTCTGTGTTTCCACCCTCATGCCCCAGCCCTTTCATCCTGAGCCAGTGATAACACCGGCTAAATTAAAGCACCAAAAGGCAAGCGCTAAGAATTAAACTCCCCGTAGGCAGCCCCCTGATCCAAAGAGCGAAAACTCCAGCCCTGATTAATCAGAGCCACTTTAAGAGCATGTGTTTTGGAGGAAGTCTTCACTAAATGAAATACGGACTTGTGTTCGTTCGGGCCGGAGGAGGAGGATAGAGGAATGTGGGGCCAGAAGTGTGTTTCCCTCAGAAAGGAGGAGAGACATTTATATCAATTTAGGAAAGGTTCAGGTTCAAGTCCAAGTGTAGTCAGCGTAGTAATGGTTGCAGGGAGAGACAGAGATTAATCGCACCTAAGCTGTGGTTCTCTCTCTGAGAAATTATAATTCAGATATATAGAGAAAGTTCACCAATCTTTAGCTCATGGAAAAATGGTTGATGCTTAAAAAACTGAATAAAATCTGTTAAAATCAACGCGGTGGTTGTGACAACAAAACCGGCAAAACTTAGCGTCTCCAGTCCTTTAATGAAATTCATCAACTGCGAACATCCACGACTGATGGCATCTAATTATTAAGCACATGCAGCCCAGTGCTCTTTCCCCCAGTGTGTCAAAGTGGCGTCTAATCCTCAATTGAATTACGCTCCCCACCTCAATGAGCTCATGTAACGATGGAAAAGTCCTATTTGGGTTTGGAGCTTCATTTGAAGGCAGCCAGTCAGCCAGACAACGCGCCCGAAGGGTTGGAATCTAATCCCGATCCGTGTCGAAGAGACCAAGTGGGCCACATCAAAAACCCTCTGAGAATTCACAGACCCCTGTCCTTTGCGGTCATGTCTTTGTCTCAGGGTAGCAGGATGGTCTGGAGAGCTCTGCATGGCGTAGGAATGCTGTACCAACAGTTTGCACGGGTTTCAGGCCCCTGCAAGGGTCAAAAAAGAGGTCATAATCTGTACCTGAATTAGGGCTGAACGATTGATCGATTTTAAATCATAATAGGATTATATCACGATGTTAAAAATCTGTTGTTTCGTGCCTCCAGGCCACCGTAGGCGCCAACTTCCTGCAAGAGCACTCCCCAGTCCCCGCACACACCAGTGTAAACAAATGTAGCGTTTGCAAAAGACGGCGAAAATTTTGTGGCTAAACAGGGCAAAAGCAAACCACTCCTCGCTGCAAAGTCTGTCTGATGGCGGTGTCAATCCGTTCACACGTCCCTGAAACAAATTGAGGAGTAAATGCAAAAGTTTTTTGTCATATTGGCGTTTCGGTGACTGTAAACAATGCTTTTTGAAAACGGGTCAGAGTTTACATAAACCCGTAAACAGCCACCATTTCATCTTGGTGTGGATGCCTATCTGCATCTCTCGGAACAATTATGTGACACACAACGTAACTCTTTTATGGCGCCTGCGTGTGTCCGGCTAAAACAACCTCTAAACGCATGCTCTGTACTCTTCTTCTGTCTTTTGTACATTTCCTGTGCAGTGTTACAGCGCCACCTACTGGCTTGGCATATGCACATCATCGTTTCCAGCGGTTTTGTTTTGAGAGATGATAGAAAAACTTTAAAAGCGAAGTTGTCACTGAATAAAAAATCGAAATCAATATACAAAATCGAGTTTTCAGGAAAAAAAAATCAAGATTTTATTTTTTGCCAAAATGATGCAGCCCTAACCTGAATTGACCAGATGATGCTTTTGTTTCTCTGGATTTAAGACTTAAGAGAAAAAGTATGTAAAACCAGTTTGTTACGAGCTGGCGAAATCCCCTTTAACACGTTTTATCCCCCTTTGGTGACTCAGCAGACAACATTTAAGAGCCCGTGGTGCTCTGAGAGTCAATTTAGAAAAGAAACACAGTGTTTTAAATATAATGTTTTAAATATATAACTTCATCGCCTGAAGGCTTGTATTTTTACGGGTTTTATTGTTGCCGTTCCCCAGTGTCCTATTGAGTTTCCAGCTCCACATTTTCCCACTGAAGACAGACCACATTTGGCCTCTGCTGGTGGACGCTCTGAGTCTGTTTCTCTGGCAGATTCCTCTGCTTGGACATCCTTAGCCTCGGGCAGTTACCTCTCCCCCAGACTCACAGTCATGTAGAAATCTCATTCTGCATGAAGCTGATTCACCATTTGTAGAGTTTTGAGTGGCTTTGTAACTATTCTTGTGAAAAAACATATAAAGTTAATGATAAACTACCTCCATATGTATTCTGACTATTTTATTTCCTACGTCTGAGAGAGCATTTCCATTGGGGGCGTGCGATCTGATGATCTTAGATCGTGAAGGATTAAAAAGTCTTGATCTGCTAAAGCACGAAGATTGTAGAACCGTCTGTAGTGCGCATTGTATCCATAACGTGTGTCTAAATAATTTTCTTGCCCTCTCAAATCAAAATTTCAGAAGTTAAGAGAGCACATTTAAATTTACCCACAGAATTAATGTGTTACACGTCAATAAAAGTAACTGCAGTAGTGGAAAAATCCGCCAAAAAAAAAAAGACAAGATACAGAATCCACTCTGCTGCCCAGGGAAAGAGGATTTTTATTATTTTAATTTGATTTTTATTATTTAAAGACTATAAAACTACCTGACATTTTTGTAAATGTTGACTTTTGTGTGTGAAGTTTTATTTTAGGTTCAAATTTATTTGAGAATGAGACCATCCAGTCAGACCCGTCACCCCCCCCCCCCCAAAAAAAAAAAAAAAAAAAAAAAAGAATTGTAATATGACATCTTTTCGATATCGCCCACCCCTAATTCCCATCGAATTCTCATAAATAGATCAATATTGTCAGTCCAGAACCTTAAACTGACTTGTTCCTGTTGCTTTAACAACATCCTGCATTTCTCACTCGATCCAGAAGACAGTTTACACTCAGGTTTATCATGAAAAGTTCATTTATTCCTGTAAACTTACTTTAAACTGTGGCGTTAATGGCTGCTGATCCGTGATCTGAGTTTCTCTCCATTTCAGGTCCTCTCTACAGAAAGCGTTACCTGGTCTGAGAGCCATTGATGACCAGCAGACAGACTCCTTTTCGTCGCCCCCTGCTGTTTCAGTTCAACAGGTCAGCTCGACCTCAGGCAGCTTCCTCACCTTCTGTCAGGCCCAGCTTCAGCAGACTCAGGATTTGGAGCAGGAGCACAGTGAGGAGCTCAGGTAAGACAAATGACTGACTGCTTATGTAGATGTGCTGTTGGTGTGCGACAGCTGAAAACTTAAAATGTACCTTTTCTAGAGCTGTAAACCATCAAGAGGGAAAAAGTACCATCAAGGTTTCCAGATAGAGTTGTTTTCATCATGATAGTTTGCTCTGATGCTGACAGCAGAGATCAACTATTTGTACTGCCAATTTTCCGCTCGGTTAGAAAACACACTTACATCATTTGTGTCGGTAACATTAGAGGCTGGATTTCTCAAGCACTTTGGAAGCAGCTAATGGGAAGGAAAGAGGGGATTTGTTCTTTAGGATTTATTTTCTGGATGTCTTTAGAGGAAAAAAAACTGACATATTTCAGATGTCATTTATTCTCTACATTTTTTATCTTCTTCAGTGTTTGTCCACCGTTTAAACTCCATATTTAACTCAAACTACTGCAAATACGGCTTATCCAGTTTTGACACTGAAAACATATTGGTTTATTGGAATGATATGCTCATTTTTAATCTGAAAAACACCGGAAAAGAAAAAAGTTACAATAAAGTATAGATAATATTTCAATATATGATAGATTTTTAATATAAAGTGCCACTTATTTTTGTCTTTTAATTCATCTTTTGTCCCTCATCCTCGAAAAGTTCCTTTATCTCACTTAAAACTCCTCCCAACTCTCTGTTAAAAAAAATTAAAGTTTAACACCAAAGAAAAGAAACACTCCTCCACTTATCAGACTTGTTTGCAAACGGTTTGTAAAAAAATGCATTACAGTGAGACCCAGTCTCTTAGAAGTGAAGATGGGATGAGGTTAACCACTGTGTAAGTCGCTGCTTTAGGAAATCTGTTCATCAGTTTCTAATGAATGTTCCTCGGTATAAAATTGCAAAGAATTTGAAGATTTATCTAAAGATTTTGGAGAAACCTCTGTAAAAAAAAGGGGCAAGGATGAAATCAGGACTGAGTGGCTGTGATCTTTGGGCCCTCAGGAGGCGCTATATTGACAATTAAGTGGAAATCTTTAAAAATTATTGTTAGTATATAGTTAGTCGCTGCATCTGCAAAGAGAAAACCAGATACAAACATGATCCAGAGAGGCCGGCGACTTCTCTGGTTCTGAACCGAGTTGAGGTGGAACACCGTCCTGTGGTCTGTTTAATCAAAATAAAACATTTCTTCTCGTCCCACCTTCTTTTGAACCAAAATAATCCAAATACTCTCTTTTGTAAAGGGGGAAGAACTTTTCAAGTCAGCCAAACATTTTTCTCAACAATCACAGTTTGGTTAAAACTTCTGATAACAAAAAAGTGATGAAAAAGTGCTGACATGCACATGAGTTAGGGGCCCATAAAGGATAATTACACACTTTAAAGGAAAGGAATAAAACAGATAACTTGGCCTAAATAGAGGACACTGAAAAAGGTTGTAAACTTCGATATAAGAGGTTTCTTCACACCTTTTATCTTCTGCCTGTGAAGGAGACAGACCCACGGTCAGGAATGTTAGCTATCCTCTTGTTATGTCTGATACATAGGGTGAGGTGAGCCTAAAGACAACGTCCACCTATTTTCACTACTCCTTCGATGTCACCGGCCTCAGCGCACTACACTGACACTCCTGTGCACGTCGGACCACCAACACTTAAAACGGTGGTCAACTTTCTGCTTATCTTCATGACCCCTCCAAATTACACAGCACAAAGGATGAAACGTGGCCTGGGCTACCCGTGCGGGTCACTCTGAGGACTCCTATGGCTTTGGGGTAGCCTGGCGCTCCCTTTGCCTCACCCCTCGCTGAGAGCCCTCCATCCCCCCTTGGCCTCTGGACAATGAGCTATTCTGGCGGCTTTGCGAGGGGCCGACACAGCCGTTTAACCCCTGGCCCGACCTCGTGTCTGACTGGGGTTTAGAGGAGGTGAGAAGAGTGCCACACGTCAGTCTAATGCTGACTGTAAGGTGGGGAACTGTGGGCTTTTTCAGTATCTGTCTCGAACTAAACGCCTCAATTTTATATGACGCATATATTTTCTTTAATTAACTCAACTTGATAACTGAGGAGTCCTTCTCATTTGACAAACTTTCTCGCAGCTTCAACCGTGGAAAACATTTTTCGTCTTGCTCACTCCTGCGTTCTTGTATCAGTGGTTTACACACTGATAGTGACCCTGCAGTGAACCAGCAGGTACCAGGGACTCGGGTCAGAAAGGTCACAATCCTTTCGGACCTCCCGACTCCTCTCCCCGTCGTCCCGCTGAGACTGAAGAGCTGGGTCTTTGTAGAGAAGAGGCTGCACTACCCAAGGCTAGTCGCCCTCCAGACTGACAGGGTACTGAAGAGTCTCTGCCCCCCCAGGGGAGTGGAGCATTGCTAATAGATCCATTAAGTTTCTATTGAGGTGTCTTTGTAGTCAGTTTATCCCCTCAATGAAAGAGACATTATGTGGTTTTTAAGGCACACACACGCTAACACATTCGGCTCTTCTTTATCACCTCAGATGAACCGGTAGAACCCATTAATCTGGTATTACACGCCTCCACCTCTGTTGCAGTGGAGTGGATTGAATTTCTCCATTAAATATCAAGAAACCTAATTACTCTTCACCTCATGTGATCGTTGTTAGAGTTGCAGCTGCTTCCACTTTGTTTGTTTGAATCCTTTTATTGCATAACACTACTAATTCACTAAGAATAATGAGATTTGTCTTGGTGTGGTTTCTCGATTATCACTCAGATTTTCTTTGAATATCTAAAAAGTTGAATTCTGTGATTTTTTGCTTTTTGAATTATAGGTTTTCTGACTTAATCTTGTCTGGGCAGAATCAGGTGGTGACTGGTCCATTTTTAAAGTTAAAATGACCCACGGTTCTGTGGTGATTGACTTGTGTTTGTAAAAGTGTTATTATTAGTCAGAAAACCATGGAAGTCAATTAGATTAGAGTTTGCCCATCAGGTCTGCATGTGTCTTGTAGACCTAGAGTCTCCTCGGGGTCTTGTGGAAGGTACTACAAGTCATCTGATCCCTGTATGATAGGGTGACCATATATTCTCTTTTACCCAGCCATGTCCTCTTTTTTTGGGGGCTGTCAAGCCTGTCTGGGGGAGTTTATAAAGTCCTTCAAATGTCCGGGTTGTTGTATGAAAGTTTTGAGTTTGTGTAGCCTGGACTAGCTAAGTTAGAAGCGCATAAAAAACACTCAACCCGACCCCAAAAAAAACCCTATAAGTTTTGCGCGTGACTCCGCCCCGCAGTAGAGTCCTATTATGGGGGATTCAGAATATGGTCACCCTACTGTATGACCAAAGTGACAGGTATGTACGCACACTTGGCACAAAGTCAGACAAGTGTTGGTATCTGCTGACCTTCCCAAGGGTTGCCTGTTGTCACTGATCCCATTTGTGATTCCCATGGACCGGATCCTCTGGGAGGAGGAGGGTCTGCAGTTTGGGAGCCTCAGAATTCCACCTCTACTTTTTGCAGATGATGTGGTTCGGTTGACCTCTAGCAATCATTTGGGTCAGTTTGTGACTGGGTGCAAAGTAGTGGGGATGAGATTCAGCATCTCCAAATCCAAGGTGGACTTCTCTCTCTGGATGGGGAGGGGAGTCTTTGCTCCGAGTGAGGGAGCTCAGATATCTTGGGGTCTTATTCTCTAGTGAGGGCAAAAAGGATTAAAAGGATTAAAAACAAAAGTGGTCCAAGGATGGAACCCTGAGGTACCCCATGTTTTGTTTTCTTTCTAGCTATCAAGTTCTCTATCCAATTCATGACGTGTTTCTTTGTGTGTATGTTCACAGTAAGGCCTCATCCCCCCTGGATGCAGCAAAGATCTCCTGCAGACACTTCACTGAGACCCTTCAGTTGGCCGTGGAGCAGAGATTCGCCCATGAATACGGGGACACCTCTGTGGGTGACAAACACAAGGCTGCAGCACCAACAACTGACCAGGGAACTCTCACCGTGGACCAGACCAAATCTGAGGAACATCCTCAGAGCATGAAAACAGAGATTACTGGGAATGTTTCACCAGTTCTCCCAAACAGTGACAATATCAGCAGCCGCTTGGCTTCACAGATTGCAGAAGGAGACAGTGGGCACAAGACAGTTGATTCTGCTACTTGTAGTCTCAGGATGAGACAGGCAGGCAGTGTTATTACCTCAGCAACAACAGATCAAACATCTTCCATCAATCCTGAAGTAACACCAGTGTCCGACCATCAAATCCTGGCCCTCCAAAAGTGAGTCACAAAATAATCTGAGTTATTTCATCCAGCTCTGCTCGGTCAGCCTTAAATCAGTAAAATCAGCTGGTGTACTGTTTGTATAGAAAGCTCCAAATTCTTTCACAGGACAGAAGTGGACACCTCAGACTTAAAGCCTTTTTGATTTTATTGCTTTTTTTTTTTCTATAGCAGTCAGCATTTTATTAGTTTCTGTTGCAGAACATTTGTCATCATTGGAACCTCCTTTATGTGATTTACAGCAGAAAATGTTGAACATCTTATTCATTTTAACACACAGCTTCATCATTAACACCGCACTATCTTTGGGAGGATGATGGATCTCTCATTTGAAGGGTGGCTCTGGCAGGCTTTTACTCCCCAGAGTCCTGCTCTCCAGATGTCGGCTCAGAAATAAATTTGTGTTTTTGAAAGACAAAGGTGCTATGACATCATGTAAATCCCTTACCCCGTGTGTGTGTGTGTGTGTGTGTGTGTGTGTGTGTGTGTGTGTGTGTGTGTGTGTGTGTGTTCATTGGATCAGCAAAGCGGCATTTGTGATTCAGCAGCAGTGGTGGAAATACAAGCAAGAAGTCCTGAACATGGGGTGTCCTGTCGTGAGGGAAGGAGGAGATATAGGAGGACCCGAGTCAAGACCTGCTTTTAATAACAGAAGTGTCGTTGACCAAGAGCGTGCAGCAACTGTCATCCAGGTAAAACTGGGAATTAGTCTGATCTCTCTCCTCTCTTTTTTAAGACCAAAAACAGGTAAATCAGGAGCAACGGTATCTTCCTCCAAACCTGCCCTCTCTTGCTCTATTTTTTATGGAAACCATGAGATCACCCATAGAGAAGAAATTAACAACTTTTATGTTTGAAGCAGGCAGCTACCTACAAAAACATCTGTCCTAACCATGTAGAGTTTGCATTAAGAACATTCAGTTAAAGCAGGATTGGATATTTAGTCTTACACATGTACAGGAAAAGATCAGTAAATTCAAAAGTGAAATCACAAGCCAGCTCAGTGCTCAGGTTACACCAACCCGAATGATCTAGTTTGCATTGGTAGTCCATTTTTTAAATTCTGACCTATATTCATGGTCCAATAATTAAATTAGCTCATAAATGGGTTATCATGTTGAATCATTGGCAGATATTTAGTTTACAAGTAAATTAGACTAAAGTTTCTGATTTTAATTCAAGCCCACAGGGAAAATCTGCTTCATAATTTGGTGAGATGGTTTTCATATCCTTAGAAACAAAAAAAATCCACATCTCGATGAAATCAAACTGTTTTTTTTCCCTGATTGTTCATGAAACTGCTTCAAATGTCCAAAAAAGCTGGTTTCAGAGCTTGGAATGACGTTACACCCGAGTTGATGGTGTCGTCAAGTTGGGGTTGGTGAGGATCATCCGACTTTTGGAGACGGAAATCCGTCTTCAGGGGGGCGTTTCAGATGACTTTCCAACTGGGAACTCTGAAAATCGAACTTCCATGTGCAAATGGAACGCAGCATTAAATCCGACTTATAACACACAATTCTCTGTAGCTCTTGGCGTCTCTCAAGACGTCTTGGGTCCTCGTAAAACACAAGGGGTCATTCATTGTCTCCAGAGTGATCTATGCTCTCAAAGAGCCTCAAAATCGATCCCGACAGTTATCAGTTTTGATTTTGAGCTTTATTTTGAGACATACATTAAAATTTTTACATTGATTTATCTGGAATAAACCAACATTCAGCAAAGATAGATACCAAGTAAAAATATGACTTTCAGTTTTTATCAGCCCTGTTCAGTATGGACAAGACTCTGTCTGGTAAACTGTCAATGTGCAATGAAGACCTTAATGCCGCAGCTTGAACTCTACAGTATTGTGGGTGAAGGCTGGAGTCCCTTTCACATATTGAATATCTGCTCAGGTCCACTCTCACAGCTGAACATCCATCTTCAGGCCTCATACGTGCTGTGGAGGCTTATTGGTCTAATCCTCAACATACACTGTAGGTGTAGGCTGCTGTTCTGAAAAACATGCTACTCACCACTTCTCCCAAATCTCTTTTCAACACAGAAAGTGTTTGATGATCCTCTGGGGCTCTCTTAGGTGGGAGGCGGGGGGCTCCGGTGAAGTGGGACAGTGTGTGTGTGTGTGTGTATTTGTGTGTGTTGGGGGGATACATAGTGATTAATCAGATTCCAAAGAAATGCGGTAGTAAGAGTTGTAGGATTCCTTCTAAAAGTGAAGTGTGCCCCCCCGCCCGCCCTCGGCCCATTGGGAATTGGGGGATTTAGAGGCGCACTGGAGCTCCATTTGTCTTCGAGCAGCCCGGAGTCACACAGAGTTCAGACAGCAGAACACTCAGCAATTAAAAGAGAGGTTAACATGTTTTATCTCCCTAATGGGATAACACACAATATTTACGTTTGCCCCGTGATTCATGCAAGGTTTTCTACCATTTCTCCTCTGTTTACCTCCAGGCGTTCTGGAGGGGCTGCGCTCTGAGGAAGAGGCTCATCTGTGCTCTGGCCGCCGTCAGATACTTCGACACCGGAGAGGACGACACCTTGGAGGAGGTGGACGTGGATGGATTTGTCTTTGATGAGGTATGCGCACAAGTTCATGTGTTCCTCACGCTCGCATTCATGGTTCAGTAACTCCTCACCCCCGCAAACCCGCACAACGGCCGACAGATGAAGCTCCATAGATACAAACGCACACAGTCCAAACTTGTGCAGACACAGAATTATGAACAAACTTGGAGAAGAGTCAAAGCATGTGCATTTACAGTAAGAACACTGGTGTGATGAACCTGCAGGCATCAATATTTGAACATTTGCTCAATAGCAATCACAGAAACAAAGTGCAGCACATCACACATACAGTGATGAAAGATGAATTTATATTCGCAGGTTAAATTCTACATTGAATTGCTCCTGTACTCAACCCACCTGTTAGTAAATTATGAAAGAAGAAGCGTCAGTGATTCATGAAATTATACTATAAAAAGCATCTATCAATACAATAACTCTCTGAGTCTTTCTCTTAAAGCTGCCGTTCACAAAATATCTAAAAAAAAAACAAGACTTCTGCTCTCATGAATGCCAGAAGAGAAGGTGTTTATCTTCAAATTTAACTTACCCTCGATCATCTAAACATCAGCAACATAAAGTGGTGTTCGAACAGATGGAGTACATTTAGAGCCTGCCACACTTATAAATTCTGATCCGTCCTCCCTAGAGTGTCTCATAACAACAACTTCTGGTCATTTTTTATTGTTTGTTTGCAGATAAAAGTAAGAGAAAGGATTTTTCTTCTCATGTGTTCGCTGGCGTTATTGTGCTTTGTCTCTTCTCAAAGGACACACACAGAAACTAACCTGTTTGAGCAACCATTCAGGATAAAACACAGCTCTGCATGTGTTATTAAACTATTAATTTAACTCCCTCTTGACACTGAAGAACTCCCCACACTTATAGATTTCATACTATCCACTATAAGGCTCGGTGTATACGTCTGTATATTAAAAACTGTATTTTATTTGCTGCCACACACACGTTTTTCACTTATTGCTCTTCAAAAGGCAGCACTGGAGGAACATTGGACACCGCTTTGTGAAGACCCACTCTCCAGAAAATATACTGTTTCACAGCAGCAGCAGCAGGTAAAGCAAATGTCCCACGATGATATCAAATTCTATTACACATGCTTCTACATTTTATGGTTATAACCAGACGCTGTGCGATATGAGTAGAAGAGTTATTTTCTTCCTCTCATCCTGGTTCTCGCCCCCCTCAGGATCCTTCTCACTCTCCCTGATTGATCTTTAAATTTATCCCCTTTAAAAACAAGATGATATCCTGGTGGGCTGGAGGTTGCTCTGCACTAGCAGATGTCATTTTTCATGCAGGCAGACTGTCGTCGTGTGTTTTTTCCTCCATTTACCTCTCGTTGGATCTTTTCTTTGGAGCGTTCTCAGCGCTGTACATCATGGTAGTCGGTTTGGACCAGCTGATGAAGCGCAGCTGCTGTTGCAAACAGCCTCAATGTGTTAAAACGGAGGTACACATCAGAGGCGGGAATGTGCAGTTTAGCACTTCTGCAATGAGAGGATGAGATCTTAAGAGTAACAAAGCTGTTAGCTGGACTTGAATATGAGCTTTCCTCGAGGGAATCTTACTACAGCTCAAAGTGTCCGCCTCAAACTTACACAAACATAAAGTTGAATCAGATGTGACTTTATTGTCTACAACACTGTTTTGTTTTTCCTCTGAGACACACTCTTAAGCATCATGACCTTTTGAAAACATCTGAAACTTAGATGAACAGGTTTCTGACTTCATATTTTTCAACATGTCTGAAATAGAAGCTCTTAAAAATCTTCTTCGGTACAGTGGTCAGTGCTGTAAATTTTCTCTGACAAAGATTTATGTCTGTTTTATCCCCTCAGCACACAGTCCCTCCACCACTCGCATGGAGGTCAAAGCATGCCTGGGTGGATGAAGACCAGGAGGACTCGGGTGGTCAGAGAGTTTCCCCGGTCAGCTCTGTCAGGTAGGACGACCCACCAATACATTTATTTACAAAAACTGGCTGTAAAAAGACAGCATGAAGAGTTTTAATGTGGAAATCTTGACCCCCAATGATTTAGTTTTGTCTTTATTAAATTAGGCATAGAGTTAGTCCAGGAAGGCCATTAAGTCAGCTGATTGCCCGGCCAATCACCTTCTCGCATCCAGTCAGCAAATTTCATAAAAGAGAATTAGTGCTCTAAAACTGTCTTAGCCTCTGCACACATGCTCTCTTCGTTAACTGCTTTGCAACATCCCTCCTCTTTATAACGTGTCCTGTCTGTCTTTGCTGCTGCTCTCCCTGCCTTGGCTTTACATGTATGCACATGAAACAGAGGAGGGTTAAGATTTGGTATTCTAGGTACACACAAGGAAGTGCAGGGAGCCCTCAGAGTGGAATCTCATCTCAATATAACAAATATGTCATAAGTTAGCTGAATTATATTGCAGACTTGGCCTAATATGCAGGAAACTGTAGCCGAGCTTTCGTACCGATTTCCTCACTAAAGCTGCGCTGACTGGCATTAATTGTGGCTGATTCAGTTAATATTGACGTACTCACACTATACTGAACTTAATCTTTAAGTACAATGTCACAGTAAAAGCCATAGACTGTATATAGAATGAACGCCGTCTGCCACCATGAGCAGAGCGTCATCACTCTTGGTGACTCTCCTGCTGAATGCGTACGATGCTACAGTGCAAGTGGTGGTTCCAGGAAGTGGAGAAAATCCCGGAAATACTGAGAACAATTCGACCTCAAATCTGTATACTGGTGGAAGGCGGGGCCAAGTTGTCCATTGTATATACAGTCTATGGTAAAAACAGACAAACAGAGGGCTATTGTAAGGCACACAACAGCATATAAAGTGTATGAGAGTGTTGTGATCTCTTATATCATGAAAAACCTGTTGAGTTTTTGTCATATGATTTCAGAGGCAAACATCCCGCCTCAACACCCAGGCCCAGCAGTCTCGCTGAAAGACCAGGAAAGATTCTTGATGAATGGTAAAACTTTATTGAAAGTTTCTTTTATCATCTTAGTGTATTGTTGCTGTAATGAGAGATTCTCGATCTTTGTTGTCACTAGGGGCTTCACTCAGAGCCGCACAGCTGAAATGATGCTAAAGAGGGCTCAGAAGATGAAGTCAAAGAAGAAACAGCAAAAGAAAAGACTTGGTGAGTATTTGGTGAAAATGAGTGACCAGCTCAAGCACAATATCAGCATTACAGAAGACTTATTTTATTGCATTTTGGCAGAAAAAACATTAGGTTCTCACTGAAAAGTGGCCATTTTGATGAATCATTTTGATCCACGTGTTTTCTGATGTATAGAGATTAAAAAGGCAGATCATGTTCAGAGACTTTCATGGTTTCCTTCTTAAACATTCCCGACAACACAAGAGGAACAGTGTTGACATAAATGCATTTCTACTGAGGTAAAACTCGGCTGTAATTACTGCTTCTCCTCTTTGTTCCTCGTCCATACCTCAACAGCAGCAAACCTTTCCACCCCGTGTACTTTAACGAGCCGTAACAGACAGCAGAAGCAGAGCCTGTCCAGTCTTATTGGACCTTCTTTGAGATCCAGCGAAGGAAATAACGATTGCCAAGAAACCTCTCGACAAGTCATCCCGTGATGATTTTCATTACCAGTCATTGTAGTGGTTGAGTGCTGCCGCAGAGGAAGGTGACCTCACCTCTGCTCTGCTCCAAGACACAGTAGTCCTGCCACGGTTATCATGCCTCAGTCATATAGAGGCAGGCTGCTCTTTGATCAGAAGTGCACATGCACGATTCCAACAGCAGGGCTCTTGTCATCTTGCTCCACATGCGAACAGGTCTATGTCTGCTCTAACTCCTAATGGCATCTGCCTCAGAGGAACCAGAGCGCTGGTTTAATATTTTCCGAATGCTAGGATCTGGTTTTGTAACTCTGGTTTTAGGTCTGGCTTGTCCTCCTTTGACCCGCTTTCTCTATCTCACTCTCTTAGACCCCCTCTCCTGCCAGTCGATATTCGGAACCTGCAGTTACCAGATAGATCCAGTAGGGGCACAGAGCAGGCGAGCAAAGCACCAAAGAAATTATGTTAAAGGTAAGACTGGTTACACACTTAGCAACCCTGCAGTGTCTTTCTCTAGTTCCCCAAAATACACTGATGTTACAACTACGCGTGTCAAAAAGTAGGTTTATAAATGCTGTGAAGTGTTGAGATAATTGGACTTAAAAGGAGTAAAATAAATTAAGTTTATTAAATCTGTGAGAGCAGATGTTTGAAAGCTGGTTTTGGACCATATCTCTGTCTTTAAACTTAGATAAATGTTGTTAAAACGCCTTCATTAAGGACTGATGTTATCAGGGTGTCTTGGGTGTGATTTTAATTTCTTTCCTGCTTTTATTAAAATTGCAAAACAGCAGCAAACTGGCTCCACGCAACAGCCAAAACAGCACCTCTGAGTGTGAGCGAAGAGAAAGAGGAAACCATGTACAGAGTCTTTAGGTTCTCCTGGATATTCAGCTGTTTTAATTATTACATGAGAAGACTTCCCTTAGATTTGTTTTATACTTAATATCAGTTCTATTTGGACATTCATATACAGTACATCCTCCTAAAAGTGTTTTTTGGCTGCATGGTGGCCCTAAAGATCAATTGCGTAAACATTTCAAAAAACACAATTTTTCAATTAAATCCAAAAAAAAATCATCAGGGCCAAAACATTTCACAGACTGCAAAATATCTTTTGTGAAAAAAAATCTAATTTAAACCTAAAAAACAAAATGCAAAAACATTTCTCAGAAAAAAGTACGCACAAATAAATCACAACACAGAGAAATGTGAGACACAAAAAATATTATTGGAGTACGAAAATATTTCATGAAATTAAAAAATATTTTACAAAATCCTAAAATATTTTACATTTTCTGAATTTTTCTTGTGAAATGTCAAAGTTTAATGAAACATTTGTGTGTTTTGTTATAAGAAACATTTTTCAGTCTTTTTTTTTTATTGTGAGATATTTGTATGTGATGTTTCTGTTGCATTTTTTTCATGTCCTTAAAATATTTTTGCATTTTACACTTTTTTTTGTATTTTCTGAAACCTCAAATTTTTAAAATAGTATCTTTCTGCATTTTGTAAAGTTTTTTTTTATGTTATGGAAATATTGGAGCAGTTGACCATCAAACCAGAACCCAGAGAGGACTGATGAACTCTATTTAGGGATTTTAATGGCAGTCATTGCTGCTGCAGGGTCTCAGGAAAAGTGATTGATGGTTCCCCAAGGCAAAGACTCTCAATTTTTAATATATCAAAGTGTAAAATGAGATATTTACAGGAGGTTAAAATATGCTTCAGAGCACCAACATTTAAAACTGCTTCACAGGACCCCAACATAGCAGAACTATTCACATAGACAGGAGCATCGGGAACTTTCTGTCTTCTGTTACATTTCATTCCTTGTGAATTTTTAAACCTTCTTCCAAAGAGTTTATATGCTTTAAAGGAGTAATCTGAAAAGGAGCAAATGTCTCCCTCCATCTTCCTTCTGCTGTGGCCTCTTGCTCTGCCCTGAGGTGGAGAGATGATTTGACATTGTGACATCCACAGACAGACTTAAAAGGGAGGGAAGAGCTGGAGGGAGGGCAGGACGGCGGATGGGGGAAGTCGGCTTTTATCATGAGGAGTCTGTCTCCGTCTTACCTCCCCACCTCCACCCAGCGGGGTCAAGGCCTCACATGCAGAGAGCATGACGCTCCTGGTCATCCAGCAGTCAGAGGGACGCTCTAACAGCTGGCTCCCTCTGGTCCAAGTCCAATGCTGCCATCAGCATATCTGTTAGTTAACTACGGAGAAATGCAGTAAAACTCACTTTCTCACCTCCTTCCCAACATGGATTGAGATGAAGGGAAGCATCGCCCGATATTGATTATTTCAGTTAATCCCTCTCTCTGCCTCTCGTTCTGAGGAGCTTTTCTGACAGTATTCAGATGGCGATGGGCAAACCTATCTGTAGCGATAAATGAGTGGAAAGATCATTGTGATTCCAGGCTTTCATTTTGAATCGCAGCTGTTTTATGTCAACTTTTTATCGCTCTGATTTCTGTCAGTGAAATCGTGTCTGTGCACAATATTGAGGAGATATGTGCTCAGCCAGCTGGCGGTAAGACTAGTTCCATCCAAGGACCTTTTTACCGATTACAGCGATGTTTCCAGATCTGTTTCTTTCCAGTCTGTTTATCTGTCCGCCAAGCTTGTCTTGATAATTCATCAAGTGCGATTGGCGTCATTGTGCGGTGAAGTGAGCAGCAATATCGACCGATAAAGAGAGACGGGTCAGTATCTTCAGATTTCTCCTACAACACTGACGAACCAGTTTACACTGTGACCAAGAGACAGTGGAGATGAGGACGTTAATTGTTGTGTCTGCGCTCACTCATGGTGCCGGGATCCCGTTCTCTATCAATGGTCCCACACCAGCCTCCCCTTTTGCTCCCCTGGTCCTGACCTGTGGAAGGCACCCCCTCCTCCGGATCCATCTCCAGTGCCCGAGGCCTAGCCTGCCCAGCCCAGCCCAGCCAGCGCTCCCCGACAGGGGCTAACGTTTCAGGCTTTGAGTCAAGCCCCTTCTGGAGGTGATTAGCCCCAAACCCATGACAGATTCTTTCCAAGATATCCGACGCGGCGTGTTTATTTTATCCGGGCTCTTTGTGTGGATGTGCTGGACATGAGTAACCCACTTGAAATGGGTATCGGCTTACATACCCAGAGAGGGAGATACAGAGGGAGAGAATGGAGCAGAGCCACGAGACATTTTCTTCTAAAGGCACAAAAAATATAGCTCTGTACTTTGCTCATATTTTTTTTCACATGGTTTGTATCGTCGAGTTTCTGGTGTCTGCAGATGTTGAAGATGTTTCATGCCTCCAAGCCTTTCTCCTTTCTCTTCTCTTACTTTCCACCAACTCCTTTCACACACACCCCCACATCCCCACCTCCCACCCTTTTGGCTTACACACTCTCCCAGCCTTCTTGTTCCATCCAAACTGGGATCCAGCCTCACCAAACATCCGTCCTCATGTCAGAGGGACACAAGGGTATATATTTTTATTTCAGCCTGGAACCCCTGCCTCCAGAGCACTTAACTCGATTTCACACTTCAAGTCATCTACAAAGTCCGGCTGAAACACAATCATCTTGTTTATCATCCATCATCCAAAATAACTTAATGTCAGAGTATTTACCACCGTTCATGTGCGTTCAATTTCTCCCCCCGCAACCCCAGAGCTTCTATTTATGTCAGGCAGCAGAGCCTCTCTTCATGGTGTATGTTTGAGATGTGCTGGCACAGTCAAGGAGAAACATGTAGATCCAGTGGGCTGTCAGGGTCGCTCACCAAGAAACGCAGAGTTAGGACCTTTACATTTCAGACGCACTCAGATGTTTCTGTCATCCTGCAAATGTCACAAAAATAGGGAGTCAAAAACTGTTTCAAAAGCAGCCAAAATAAGTAAAGAGTAAGCTGGAGCTTTTCAGAGGATAAGGGGTTGGTCAGAGTTGGTCCAGAGCTTCACAGTGGAGGAAAGGTCAGAATTCAACAGCAAATCAAGATGGAAGTCTCAAATATGTCTCTATATGATACAGAAAACGCTTTTTAGTGTCTTTCTGCGACATTTAGATGAAGATGGGTTTTTAATATGGGTGTCTATGTGGCTTCTGAGGCTTTTCGGAGCTAGCCTCTAGTGGACAATCAAGGAACTGCAGCGTCTAGCACTTTGAGTTTGGCATAATTGCTCAAGATCGGCGGTTACAGCTTGGTTGGAGTGTATGTAGACTGATAAATCAAAAACTTTACCCTGAACCTCAGCCCCCTCTTTACCATGACAGACAGGCTTTCACTGCTGTTACTGCTGACGCAGCAGCGGTACTCCTGCCAATCACATGATCCACTTTCCCTTCACTTGACAACTCCAGCATTTAATGACAAGAACCATGACTGTGGACTTTAAGGTGCTCACTCTTATCCCAGCCACTCCACACACTTTTACTGGAGGTCTCAGCCTGAAGAAGCAAACACAACCACATCATCTGCATAAGAGCAGTTTTTAAATTTTAAGGCCTTCAACTCCTTTTTGGACACTTTTTCACTGGTCCCAATCCACTGCTGACTGTATGTATTTACCTCCTTGCAAAGGTGAAAGTGAAGGAAGCTCTGAGGTTTGATCTCCATGTCTGGTTTCTGGAAAACTCTGGTTTCCAGCAGGCCAAGAGCCTTCACTCCCCTCCCTCCTCCTTAAGTCTCTGATATAAAGTCAGAGTTCTCTCCTCCTCAGAGAAGACGAGATTGCTTAATGTGCTGAAGAGCCTCTCTTAACAGGCGTGACTCCTACAGGCCCCCCTCCTGATGTCCTGGAGGAGTACTGGAAGGGGATTTAGGGGGTTTAAAGGGGTCAGGAGGGGGCTTTGTTGAAGGTTTCAGAGGGGAAGAGGGAGAGGAAAGTGTCTCTTAAAGTGCAGCTCAGATGGAAGCTTTATCCATGGTGCTCATCACGTATCGATGTGTCTCCTGTATTTCTCATTTATTTCAGGTCTTTCACGTCCATGATAATCCACACATTAAAGATCGTCCTTGTCTTTATTGGGTTTATCTGGTTTACCCGTGCCCTGCCTCTCTGTGTATCCTAGGAAGTGAGAGTAGCCGTTTCCTGGCCTTTGCTGCCCCGAGGGGAGAATCTATCACTTGACATTTTTAGAGGGGCTTTGCAATTAACCCGTGAAAACTGTAAAGCTGTTTTTCTCCTTTTTACGGCTCAGCAAAAGCAAGTCAATGGCTTAAATAAATGCATCATTAGTTCCAGCAGTGGACTGTCAAAATTCATTATCAGTTTACACCCGGCCGCATTACTGTCAGCACAACATAAATGTTTACTTTGAATTACTGCCCTATTATGGGACGTCAGTACAACCCATAAATCAGCGGTCTTTCAGATTTCTTTTGTAACAAACTGTTGCTTTAATTACATTCTCAAAAATACTCAAATCCCGGTCCAGTTATGTACAAAAAAAACAAATAATTTCCTCTTGTATTTTTTTTTAGCAACTTCAAATGTGTTGCAGTAATGCCCCCGACTCCTCCAACAGATCCAGATACTTAAGCCCAAACATAAACACTGGGAGCCGATGACTGCTGAGCTCTCCTCGGGCAGGGAACCCCAGCCAGCTTTGATTACAGTGAAACACAGAGCGTTTTCAGGAGCAGTTTATTTGTGAGGCTTGTACCTCAGAGAGCATCTGTTTACACAGCTCCTTTTGTTTGGGTATCTTGTCACTTTGAAACATGACACCTCTGATTAGCTAGCCCTCTTCTTCTCTTCGTTGTCATCAGGAAGAGAATTGAGGAGAATAACTGTCTGTTACGTTTATTCTGTGTTTTTTTTGTCCCGTGCAGCTGGTGGGGTCGAGCTGGGCCTTCAGGTGGCAGAGAAGACGGAGCGAGCGAAGCAGGAACGAACTCAGCAGTGGCTGCACGCTCAGGCTGTTCACTCCGACAGAGACTCCGAGAGGTGAGGCACGAGGGTGGTGCATCTTTTGTACTGTGCAGCTTGGAGGGTTGCCTTGCCAGCTTGCAGGAAAATTAGTTATGTGTAAAAGTAAACCATTCACATAGAGAGGTTTCTATCTATGAAGAGTTTTTATTGTGATTTCAAAGCAAGAGGCATAAATCTTATGACAACAGAGGTATATCTGTTTGCATGCCGTGTCGATGTATCTCTATCTGATTTATTCCTGGACATCATTTCTCAAAAGATGATCTCTTAACATGTTACGAGATCTATCTGCTTTAAGTAGTAATTGCTTTCTTATTATGACTTGGGATCTATTACCCCTTTAAAAACTCTAAGGGCCTATGCCCACTTTCAGCATTTTTAGTGTTGCAGCACCCACATACTGATTGGTAGAGAGATTCTCACATGTGCTTACTGTTGCTGGGTTACGAAAGTTCTCCTGCAGCACTCCTGCTTCCCGTTCTAGTGACCGCTAAGTGCTCTGTGTAATTTATGTTATATTCGCTTTAATTCACTGGAATCTTAGAAAGAGTAGCAGCAGCCCCAGATGAGAGAAGAATGTGAGTGTGGTTAGTGTTTGCCTCAAAAAACTTTTCCATTGTTGTTGATTTTAGAAGCCAGCACCCTGCTGACTAAAACATCTGATCCTAAAGGATCTGTAGTTTTGAGTTTCGAACAGTATTGGTGCTGTATGCTCATAAGCATTGCTAGTGCAGAAATTCTGTTGGCCCTTAAAAATTACGAGTTGTTGTTTTCATTTTTGCATGATGAGTTTGCAGGGTACTTCATCAAACGTGTGTCAGTCGTGTTTTGGACCGCCATTGGCTTATTTTATTGTGATGTCATGAAATTATGATTTAAGGTCCTTTCACACCAGGACGGACACAAATATATGACGCGAAATTACAAAATATTCAGAGGCGAATTTTGATGCACCTGACTATACACATCAAGCCTGATGCGATTTTGCTACTTTCCGGGGGGAAAAAAGACACGTCTCGGGTGGAAGCGAGAAGACTGACACAGCAGCAGACTGACTGTTTTTCAGTTCTGATTAGACACTAGTGTTGAGATGGCTGTCTGTCATGATAGCATGTACTGAGTCAGGGCCAGTACCAGATAAGAACATTAAACTATAATCCATAAACGTAAGGTAACAACCAAGACCTAATGGTGCTGTGACAGCAACGCTGTGATTGAGTTTGAGACAGTGAAAATACATATGTTATGTTAAATCTGAAGAGGTTAGCTTATGAGCTAAAGTTACTTAGCACAGATTTTTTATCAAAGTTATGAGTTTGCATGGTACTTCATCAAACTTGTGTCAGTTGTGATTTGGACCACCATTGGCTTATTTAATTGTGATGTCAAGAAATTATGCCTTTAAAAAACGCACAAAATGAGATTTAAGGTTAAAGTTGAGAAAAGAAAAATGTCTGTCTTCATCATAAACTTAAAAGGAAGCATTTTAATCTCCTTTTTTTATTTAAAAATATCTTTATTTAATTAATTATACCACAATTTATTAAAAGTGAACAGGTTTTGATGCTTGAATTTCCCAGTATAGTATTCTCTTTAAATGGTTATTTACGCCTTTTGGACGATGTGTGCGGTATACTTTTTTTTTTTTTCAGAGGCTTGACAGCTTTATGCGTACAGCACATTCCATACACTGAGACAATTCAACATGCCGTAGAGCAATAAAACATAATAAAAGACGCAGATTTATAACATAGAGCGAGGTAGAGCCTTTACAGAATGCCAAAGATAAAGAGCTGGTTATGGTGAGCCTCTCTTTCATCTACCTCACTAAGAGACATTAGGATTATCATTTGAGGCATCTTAGTTTGCGTTATGATACGTCAGAGATCATTGCAGAAATAAACGGTTGAATTGATAGAAATATGCAGAGCGCTAACAGCCCAAATGCTTCTGCCTTTTTTTCTGTTTTCTTGTCCTCAGTCTTCATTTCTTACCGGAGATCAGCGCAGACATCCTGAACGGAGGCAGAGTGCAGCTTGTGGTGAGTCCACTCCCCCCACAGTCCACCCACTTCATAAAATGACAGTGAATCCTGATTTGAATCTTTTCTGGTAGAGGGGGGGAGGCTGTCACATGTATGTGGAGGTATGCAGTATTTACATTCAGCAGTCAGAGTCACATCCTGGTCTTTTTGTTCCCTCCCCTGGAGCCTGTCTCATCAGCTTCCATTTAAAGCAGTCAAAGGGGGGGAGGAATGGGTGAGGCTCAGCTCTGCGGTGACACTTTCAATTGGATCAACTGGCTGCAATTTCTCCATTTTACTTGCAGAAATCCCAGTGTCACTTTGGAGCAGTTTGCCTGCGCTCCAGAACGATGCTGATGCTGGTGAGGTCTTTGAAGTGGGAAACTGCAGGTCTCCCTGCGCAGTTATAGAGCAGTTTGAGTTATAATCAGCCGCACGACAAGCCCTCCCTCCCCCCGTTTCTTCGATATGTTCAGACTGCGGAGCCTCTGTCTCTGCAGTGTTTTTCAAAACCTTGAACTGCTTGCGTGAGACGTGTCATGTTAACCCTCCTTTATGTGTGTCTCTTTGTGGTGCGTGCAGGCGGATCCTGGATACACAGAGCATCAACATCACGCCAGCGGATTGTGGGCCAACAGTAGTTCAGCTGCTCGGCCCTGCAAGGAGGACAGTTATCCTCGCAGCAACTCACTGGGTCACGCAAGTGAGTCTTGTGAACTTCATCGTCTTAAATCTGAAATCGCACAATCACATGGTGTCAGAGCCGACCTTTGAACACAAAATAAATACTACACAACTCTCCCCGATAGTACCTTATTGGTGTCACTAACTTAAAGTTGAGTTTTTCTGGTGTAATGGCAATTCAACAATAATGTAGAGAATTTGAGGATTTCATCAACTATAAATCTCAATTTCAACCAAAGACTCAGAGGATGTGGAGAAATGACTGATGATCATGATCTTTAGGCCCTTGAGCAACATTGTAGTAAAATCAGACATGACTCTGTAGTGGAATTCACAGCATGGGCTGAATATCAAACCATTACTTGTAATCACAGTTAGTTGCTGCATTCACACAAGCAGGTAAAAACTAGTCCCTTAAAAATATCTTCATCTGAGGAATAAAGATTTGACAGACTTTTTGGAAATCATGGATTCAGCACTTTAAAAAGGAGAGGAATTGATCAGTACACGGGGTTTTAAATGTTTAGCATGTTATCAAAATTAAAGCAGAATAGTATTAATCAACCAATTTATCACTGAATTCATACTCAGAACTCGACAGTGTGACCATTTCACTCACATTTACAACTAAATATAGATGTGTGCGAATTGTAAAATGTATTTAGGGACACGTGTGCATTTAAAAAAAATCCGCTGGGAAATCAAATGTTTTTTCGTGTAAATACCGCAGTTTTAGGTTAGTTTTAGGTTGGATATTCGACGGACATTTATTGTGGATCCGTTGGTGTCTTCTCACTCCCCATAACTGGGAATAGAAACAGCAGCGTGGTTAAATCTACTCAGCACCCTCGCTGTCAATGTCAGGGTCTTGAATAAGGGACCGTCAATAAATTACTGGTTGATGTTCTCAAAAATGGCTGGTTTCCTTCAATAGCTTCCATGTCACGTTACCAATTGACCTAAAATTGATTTCAAATAGTAATACTTATGTCGACCAATAAGACACGTTATTTGATCAGTTTTCATTGTGCCCCTAAAGTTCTTTGTGTGTTCCTAACTTTTCCAACTTAGAAGCACATGTGCTCCTCGTGAAAAAAGTTAGTGACAGCCCTGATACTGCATATCTTCATAGGTGAACCTCATGTGTACTCATACCTGTGCACTCAGCTTATGTCTATACAGATGATTCGATATTTGCACACTTGCACCTATAAGTGTGGGGCCACACAGACCCTGAGGTTGTAGATCCAGGGGTAAATACTGCTGCTTATTCAGCCCAGACTGAGGCCACCGGTTGACTGATTCAGGAGGGGAGGGGGGCAAAAAGGTCGGTCCGGGGACAGAGTGCCGTGAATTTCTCCTCTGACAGGAAACCAGCAGAAAGAAAAAGAAAACCTCTCAGTCCTTTCAGAGAAGAATAAGTGGCCCTTCTGTCAGGAGACGTGGGGCTCAGGGGTCTGAGTGACAAAGATGCTACTGACGGTCTGAAGGCAGATGACCACATTAAACAAGCCCAGGAATCCGAGTGAAGGAGAGCCCTGTCCACGTTAACGAAGCCTAATTCGATTCTGATGATGATTTCAAAATGATATCCACGAGGTGCAGCAGCAGCAGCAGGAGTGAGCGAGTGTTGTCCTGTTGTTCTCCTCCTGAGTACTGCTCCTAAAAAGAAGGCCTCTTTGTCTGCATAAAACACCACTTTATTGAAATTATACAAGGCAAATTGAAATATGAATGTATGTGTGAGGAAATAACATTCATCAAAAGACCAATTAGATATTTCATAAGCTTTGAAAAAGCGTCTTTATGATAGTCTTTGTGCTGCATCACGAAAACAAACAGAATATCGGAGGAAAAAAGGGAGTGCACTTTGCTCAGAGGTCGAATCTATAATGTTTTAGCTATATTTATTTAATTTATTTGCTTATTTACATAACAAAATACCTCTATTTTTTATTTCTTCAAACGTATTGAAAGAGTGTAAAGGTTGTATGTGTCCAGATGCAAAAATACAGAGTAAGACCAAGACTCTTGACATAGCACAGTGTACTTTCTCATTCATATTTTACTTTTTCCAGGAATCTGAGAGTTCGTAAAACCATTTTTGACTCGTGTAATTGCAATATGAAAGCGTCAAAAACAAGAATAAAAAATACAGGAAGAAAATAGAGTGAAAGCAGTCTCTGTGATGAAAGTCTTTTTATTGTCACTTCACTGAAGTAGGTAGAAGAGTGAGAATAAAAAGAAACCGTACCCATGAAAAAAAGGAGAATATTTTATCCCTCTGAAGTGGCACACATACATCAAAGTGAAGGTTTAAAGTGGGAAGGTTCACTTAGCTTGCCATAGCAGTAAAGACTACATAAATAGTCTATAACCTACTCTATAACCTGTTGCAATGCGATACACACCACATGCTGGGATGGTGCCATAAAACGCGGCGAATATTTTCTCTACATGTGCAGAGGAAACCACTTAAGTTGCATATCTGCTCCTTCAATTTTGTTCGCTGTTCAGCTCTAATAGAAGCAAAACGAGGGCAAACAATTAGTTTGGTCACAGCGGTTGGGTCAAATGTGCTGCCATTTGTTTATCTCTCTGTTTTTTATGGTGCAAAATTGGCAACATGTGCACCGGGTTCTGTTTTCCATTTCGGACAGATAATTGGACAAAAGTCTTTAATAAACTAAACTGAACCAACAAACCTGGCCTAACATTTCTGAAAATAAACACAAGACAGTGGTGGTTTTATCTGGAAACGACATCGCAGCCAGAAGGAGAGAAAAAGCACAGAGATACCCTCAAACATGAGCTAAATCAAAAACTACAAAGGTGTGATTAGGTATGACGTGTGAGTCCTCAGATATTCTATCCAGTGTGCAAGCTGTGCAGATATTCAGAGCCGGGTCAGTACCTGCAGTACCTCCCAGGCCCCCCGCCTCCTCCAGAGCCCTCCCCGCTGTTATGCTTCTTGTGTGGGGCGGCCGTGGAGACTGCAGGCCCTCGCTCTACACGTGGAATGCATCATGCCTGAGAGGAGCTCTGCCTTTGTTCTGTGTGTTTGAAAAGCTTTGTACTGATCCCCAGGTGAAAAGGACAGGCCTCTGATAGAGCGCAAAGAATACCTGCTCACACTCCAGTGTTCACGGAGAGGTTTAACTCACTGTGCTGTAGGAGTGGGAGAAAAAATCGATTCACATAAGTATCGCGATTTTTTGTTTTACGAATATTAAACCGATTTTTATGTTAAAAAATCGTTTTTATTTTAATTTAAGAATAAATCTTAAAAACTGGCTTACATGTGATGAGTATTCTTTGGGGAAATACGGTTCCTGGGATATTCAGTAGATAATCATAATCATTCAACTATTTCACTGGTGTTAAAAATGCAGACTAAAAATTGAGAAAATTGACAATATCATAGAATCGCAATTTAAAACAAATCGGCATCCAAAAATTGTAGAGGAATCGAATCGGGAGAAAAGCATATCGTCCTAGCCCTACTATGCTGTTTGTTGTCAGTCTCCAGAGGCTTGTTGCTTCGTAGAACAAAAGATTTCAAAAGTTTCAACAGGTATGAAATGCAATGCCAGTCTTCTTTTTAAAGATTTGAAATAATGGTAATTTAGCTGCAGATGGATGCAGAGGAAGGAAAACACTGAAAAATAAATACGGCGAGTGCTCCAGAAGAACACCCACCAGTACCTACCTAATCACGCTGCAATTCTCAAAGGTTTGCAGCCACTCAGAGACAGCCAGTGTATTAAAGTTCAAAGTTATCCTCACTGTCTTGATTTTTGCGTGGAACAACTCTGCAGCAAAAAAGCCAAGAAAGCAAAACAGTCAGAGGAGTGGGAGTGGTTTTGCATAGATGCCCATCACTCCTGTCGTTACATCATCACAGGGACCATCTGACACTACTGTCTAGGTGCTAAGTTTTTTCTTTACTACAGAAACTTTAAATCGTCTTTTCCACTTTCTCAATCTTGCGCAGGGCTTTTAAAGTCCAAGCAAAATTAGCCTTTTTTATTGGTTTATTTTCATATTTACCATTTGACAGATTTTATTGATAAGCATCAAATAAGTTAACCCATTATGAAATCAAACTGAACAGTTAACACTTTGAGAAACAACAGTGTGAATTTAGGGAATCAGGAAATATGACTTATTGTATTTATGACGAAACCAAACTTGAATTATTCATGTTATATCCTGTGATCTGTATATATGGTCAAAAGTTGAAAATGTATAATTCCTTGAACACAAATCCACATTTTGATCGATTTCTTACGTAAAATTCCTCAATTTTTCAGTTTTTTGGGGGAGTTTTTTTTTTTTTAACATTAACGCCTGCAGCATTAACCATTTATATTTGAAGGGATTTATGATCTCTTCTTATTTTTATCATACGATACTGATTAGTGGTAACTCATGTGATCAAGGTATGCAGAAATCAGCAAAGATGTTTTGTTATTAATTGGAATCATAATAGAGAGATTTGGTTGTGAGGTATTGACACAGTTTTCTTCTGTGTCTCCAGGAAAAGAGGTCACATCTCCGAAGCAAGTGTCCTCTGCCCCGTCAAAAAAGGAGCGCATCTCCTTCAGAGACAACCCTGTCCAGATGAGCGGCGGCTGGGGAGGAGGGAAGAAGAGGGACCGAGTGCACAAGTAAAACACAAACTCTTCCATGACTTTTATGTCGATCTCCTCCAACTACGTCAGACACATCTTACATTTTCACAGTCTATAAACTTTCTCTGTGAAGACGTCTTTCTTTTGTTTATAATATGATTTAAACGGCCCTGCAGCTGTTCATTTAAACTCGACATATTACTCGAGAATCCTCCTCTGCAAATAAATGAAGCCCTATAGGACCTGCAGCAGCCCAAATATCTTCAGGCACTTCCAAAGCTCAAGTGTCACTGCCTGGATGTGATGGCTGCCGACCAGCACCAAAACACATGGAGCAAAATCGTAAACTTACAGCTAAAGGCGCGCGCTTAATGTGCAAATAACGGCAGGAAATACAAACCAGGACCTTCAGTATCTGTGGATTCATGCCTCTTATAATGCTGACTCGCTGCCTCTGCACTGTTTTACCCCGTTAACAAAATAAATACACTAAATAGAGTTTGTGGGCGTGTGAAGAGACTGGGTTTTACAGCTTCTCTTGCCCTGTCTTAACCGTCAAGTTTAATAGAGCCCAGAGGTTCATGAGCAATTTCAGACCATTCTGCGTCTATATTTAGCTTCAGCTCCTGCCTGAAATGACTGCGTCTATGAGCCGAGTGCAAACATTGGTGTTAGAATTAGACTGATGTTTTCTTTATTTCGATCCTGGATTACAATGGCCTTGTCTGTCTATTTGAATTTGGAGAGCTAAGCCGTCCGTTCACAAATACGGCCCTACCAGAGGCGGTGAACCTCAGGCTTGGTGGTTCCTCGCTGCTGCGCCGCCTGGAAACGATAACTTAATGAATGTCAAAACAAATAAGGAGAGCTGCAGAGTGGCGGCCTGGCAGGAAATGCACGTCGCTCGTCTATTTATTTTCCTTCTATCTTTCACTTAACGCATGTCTGGAGGGTGTGTTTTGACTGTACGCGAGCTGGTGGGGGATTTTTGTCTTTTTGAGAGTGGCGTATGCCAGAGATGTGGAGGTCTTGTTGTGAAACCAGAGAGTACTGTCCTCCTGTGGGGTGAGACTCACTCTGCAGGCTCTCTGGGGGACATCAGGAGGGCGTCTCTCTGTCCTTACACAGCTGTGTTAAGGGGGAACATCAGTTTTTTTAATCAAAGATACAACACAACAACAGGTTTGAATCTTACACCATGTATCTGTTTGCTTCAAGCGTCACACTCTCTATTTGCTCAGTTATAAAAACCATTGTGCACCAGCCTTTATCAGGTTTGTTTACTTTCAGGCTGTGGGTAAATTAAATGTAACCTTAGACATCCCAAAACCTCTGGCCTGGTGACACGAGTGCTCCGCTGCACATTCAGATAAGATGAAGAATGTCCCCGTCAGCCCGCACGCCCTGCCAGCCTGACCTCAAGTCAGCAAATGCCGTCACATGGAGTCTGGCAGACAAGTTTCTGTGTCTGACTCTGTCCATATCCTTCTGTAAATGCATCCCAGAACAACACTGTGCCTGCAACTCGAGCTATAAATTATATATAATGTACATTTTTGCTGACGATGTGATAGACAGTGTTAGGTAGCTTCTGCAAAACAGCTCCATGCAGCCGATGATTTCTGTGTCTTTTCTTTATCTATGCAGACGATCGTGCTCAAACTGTGATTTAATCACACTAAAAATTTGGTCTATTTTTTTTATTTTTTTTATAGTAATGCACTTTATGTCAAACAAGGAAGTTAAACAGCATCTACCCAAACTAAAAGGCTGTTTTATATTTCCAGCCAGTTGCTGCCTTCAGAGAGACTACGATATCTAAAATAGAATAATGTGTTTTCCTGAAAGATAAGCTAAGATTGAAGAGTTTGGAAAATGGACCATGTAAACAATCATGTTTTGAGGCTCTTTACAGAAAAGACAGCCGCTGTTTATGAAGAAGCTTTATCATTGATTTGCACTAAACGCACAAAAGTCAACCACAAATAAACAAAACAAAAACAAATACAAAATGATTATAGCACTTTTCTGCGAAGCACTGAGAACCTTGCTGGTTGCACATTAACAAGATGTCCAGATATCCATCAGAACATGGCTTAAAACGGGGAGTGGGGGGGCTCCTGTGATTAAAGCTACTATAAGGAGTTTTTTTTATATGGGTATATGTATCTTTAAAGCTACTATATGAAGTTTTTCAATTTTCTTGCAAACAAGTGAAATTAATAAATCCACTCCTTTATGACCCACAGAAGCAAATGAGATCCTAATCAATGATTTTGAAATTTTACATGGGGGGTAGGTGTGAATCGCTCACTGCTGAAAAAGTCTCTGTGTGTGTTTTTCACTGAAAGAATTCTTGATTTTGGGGGCACCAACTAACAAAATTTTAGGGGTGCCTTTAGGGGATTTGAGGGTCAAAACATTCGTTTCCAATATCACACTAGTGTCTTTAAAAATCTTTATCTTCGCCTCTTTCTGAAACGTTTCATTTCAGTTCATGTCTTGCACTGTCCTAACACTCTAGAAGCCTCTTCCACTGTTTTTATACTGCAATGTTGTCATTATGAGTTGATTGTTAATTTTCTGATTAAAAACATCGTATTTTAGACCCCGAAGGTTTGGAAATAGACTTAATAAATCCTCTGCAACAAGCGAGCAGGATGTTTCTGTTTGAGGAAATCTGGTGCCCCTCTCGTGAAATTGTCATGTGACTTTTTAAACAAAAACTTCTCACAAATACTCTAATAAATGTTACCCTACAGTGTGAAACTTTGCCCACGTTCAGTGCTGACATCCAACATTTTTACTCATTTGTTTTTAAAAAATGAGAAAACATTTAACTACTAAGAATATCATTCAACATAATGATAAAATTATTCCTCATATGAGCAGTAGTAAAAGCTTAAAAATTACGCTTCATTGTTTAAACCAACTGAACAAAATCCTCGCAGTTTGTCTGATAATCGAGTGTTTCTGTGTTTTTTTTCAACAATAAGAAAACTGAACAAATAAGTGCATATATACTTCTGCATGAATCATCATGCATGAATCGTTTTGCTTTGTGTGATAATGTGCCTTGTTATTATTAAATCTAACCGTATTAATTCACTATATATATTTTTTTTGTAACTGATGATTGGAGATAGGATTGATGTCGGCTTAGATTTAAGCAAGAGAACTTCCTGGTGTGTCCAGATTGTGTTGAAAAGATTTCCTCTGTCTAAAAAAGTTTATACTTGAGGCACGTAAAGCATTTTTATCAGTACTCAATGCATGTGTGCAACAAAAGAGTTTTAATTGTGTTTTAAGTTGAATATTAAAAAAATTACTGGAGCTCTAATGATGCAGTGTCGAGCTGATTTTTTCAATCCACAATCAGTTTTGCATTCGAAAATAAAAAAACTGAGAAGAGTGTTTTATTTTGGTGATTTTCACCTGTGACTGTGTGTCTGCTCACCTCCTCTCTGTCTTATTTCTCTGATGGTATAAAGCGTTCACCGAGTCTTCCTTTACGTCGTTAAAATTGTTATATTGTGTATCGCGGCATCTGGATTCATTCGGAGCTCGCTAGCGGCTCAGTTCTGCTTTCACTCATAGGTGACTTGTTTAACATATCTCCATGAACCCAGATGACTTTGTCAAGTGACAGAGAGCTGAGGTCTGTCAGCGCTCAGGAATGCCTGACTCCCTGAAAAAAAAGGAAAAAACAAAAAGACAAACAAACAAAATCAAAACAAACTCTTAAAGCACGAATGCACTGCTTTCACTTTTTGATACGCAGCTTTACGAGCCAAACGTTCTGCAGGCTCAGATGACATTCATAAGCTCCATAAAAATTTGGGCTTTGGGGAAAATAAACTCTGGTCGTCTTCGTGTTTAGTGGCTCGCCAGAGTTTGAAGACGTCGTGATAGATTGAATTAGACCCCGGGGTGGCTTGGAGCACCATGATGTCATGTTTGTGCCTTCTGAAGTGGCACGTTTTGGCCTCTCCGGCTCTGCTTTTGTTTCATTGGACAGTGATCAAACACGTTAAGACTCAGATGCACGATAATTAGCTCAGTTCAGTCATCTTCAGCCCGTGTTCAGGCTGCATGATGTTATAACAATCTGCCAATATAAGTTTTGATTTAAAATGACATGTTGGTCTTTTGCTTGACATATTGGCTGTACAACTTACGGGATTAGTCTGACAAATCAGCCTGAGGGTGACCAAACCCTGCAAACTTCACAGACCCGTACAGCATCTATCGTGGCAGGAATTTGCAGCTCAGGTCCCACCAAACCTCAGTGAACTTTTCACATTTTCTCCTCAGCATGAGCCAGTGTGCAAGGTCACCTTAGAAGCCCAATAAGACACCCCCCCCCCGCTACCCTATTTATTTTTATTCTTTCTCCTGTGGCACCGAGGAGCTCCAGATAACTGCCACTGACCCCAGAGCGAACCAAAGCTGCACGCATGGTGAGCATGGCAGGTGGTGTGGCTGCGAGTGGAGGCGTGGAGGTGGAGGAAAATAGGCTTTGGTTAGTGGTAACATAATTCCTCTGTAAGAAGAAATAGAGGAACCGCTTTTTTCTGACCTTATTCTGAAAAACACCCGTTGTGTGTGTGTGTGTGTGTGTGTGTGTGTGTGTGTGTGTGTCTGCTGCTTGGTTCAGTGAAATCTTTGCTTTAACTGTGACAGAAATGATCAATCCACCACATAGAGGACTTTTGAATGTCATATATTCATCCTTATTTGATGTATTTTGTATGTTATATTGAGTGAAAGTTACCTCTTGCACGGTTGGTGGAAAGACTGTTAAAGAGGAACGAATTTACCCTTTGTTGCCATAATGCAGCAAACATTTAAAAGCAAATATTGACTTTCAAAAATGAACAATAATGTTCAAAAGTGAAAGTATAGTCTGTCAGCTGATAGAGGTTTGGTGGTCCTACCTGAAGCTGCAGGACAGCATAGCATCCCAGGTATGGGACAGCAAGTGGATCCCCTGTTCCCAGTTTACTATCACCAGGGCTTGCCTGATGATCTCCCTGCCTGTCTTACCCAGCATTGGTATCTGTTGCTCTGTGAGTTGATGATCTTGGCTCTTTACTGTTAAATGCACTTGTGCGTGCTACAGGGAACAACAAAGTTTGGAAAGAGCAGTGATACTCAAAAAGTGAACTGCAACTCTCAAAAAGTGACCAGTGACATTCAGAAGTGAACAACGGTGTTCAAAAGTCAATGGTGACATTCAAAAAGTAACAGGAACATTGTAAGGTCAATAACATGTAAAAGTGAACAAAAGTGTTCAAAAGTCAACAGTGATGTAAAAGTGAACAAATGTTCAAAAGTCAACAATAATATGTAAAAGTGAACAAAAGTATTCTAAAGTCAACAATAACATGTAAAAGTGAACAAAAGTGTTCAAAAGTCAACAATGATGTAAAAGTGAAAAAAGTATTCTGAAGTCAACAATGACACGTAAAAGTGAACAAAAGTGTTCAAAAGTCGACAATGACATTTAAAAGTGAACTAAAGCATTCAAAAGTCAACAATGACATGTAAAAGTGAACAAAAGTATTCAAAAGTCAACAATTACTTAAAAGTAAACAAAGTGTTCGAAAGTAAACAACGACGTACAAGTAAACAAAAGTATTCCAAAGTCAACAATGACATGTAAAAGTAAACAAAAGGATTCAAAAGTCAACAATGATGTTAAAATAAACAAGTGTTCAAAAGTCAACAATGACATTAAAGTGAACAAAAGTGTTACAAAGGCAACAATGACATGTCAAAGTGATCAAAGTGTTCAAAAGTTTACAATGACATCTAAAAGTGAACAAGTGTTCAAAAGTCAACAATGATGTTAAAGTGAACAAAAGTGTTAAAAAGTCAACAATGACGTAAAAGTGAACTAAAGTATTCAAAGTTTAACGACAATGCTTAAATGTAAACAATGACATTCAAAAGTAAACAGCATTTTTTTTTATTAAGTCAACTATGGCATTTAAAAGTAAACAAAAGTGTTCAAAAGTGAACAATGCCGTTCAAAAGCAAACGGTCCAATTCCAAAGTGAGCAGTTCTAAACAGGGGCACGTTTACGTTTAGTCATAAAAGTGAAATCGAGTAACTTTTTTTCACACTGATCTCTTTTAGGTTCCTTTTTTTCTTTTTGCAGTATTTCTCTGAGCTACAAATTAAAAACTGCTGAAAACATACAATCATTCATTCATGCTGATATTGTAGGCCATTTTTTTCTTCAAAGCTTCCCAAAATAAGTATTTTCCTTCGAGGAATAATAAAAGAAAATTTTGCTTGCATTGGCAGCCATTTTTACTCATTACAATCAACTAAGTTCTTATTTTTGGCTCTGAATATGAAGCCTCTCTGTGCAGCTAGCCAGGACTTAAGTGTGCAGGGACCGTATAACAAGTGCAATACCGACAAAAGATACTGACAAAAGTATTTAAAACCACCCTGGAAAAATCAGAATCAAAATCACCACACACGTTAATGCTGGTGATTAAATTAACACAGTCACTGTAGTTTAGTAAAATGTGCTTTTTCAATTTCAGGGCAGTTTCTTGAAAAGATAACCACAGTTGAGTAAGTGCTCAGTGCTTTGAACAAGGATGAAAATACTAGTTCTGAATTATTTTTATGAAAAAGTAAAAATAAAATAACTTTAAAGACACTTTCATTACAAGAAATACAACTACTTATCCGTTGTCTTCTCAGACAACAGTAAAAAGCATTTCATTTGAAATGAATGTTGAGTGCTGAGTAGTCACTTTTACCTTATATAAACACAGGAGAGTAAGATATGAATTGTGTAAAATTACATTTTCCCCCAAAAAACTATTTTAATTTACTAGTATTAATATGAGTAATAATTTTGACTGTGCACTTGTCTAGAGTGAAATCTTTGAGTATCCAGTGTGTTTTGTCATTATTGTGCTTTGTAGACGGTCCCTGTACTCTTCAGTCCTTGCTGACCCTGCAGAGAAGCTCATAATGAGCCAAGAATAAGAACTTCATTGATCGTAATGACAGAAAATAGCTGCTAAAACAAAAAGCAACATTTTCTTTATCACTTTCTTAAACACGAGGTAACATTTATTTGAAGAAATTTATCAGGATAACATTTAACTTTAAATCTCTTGAATTAAGGTTCATTTTTGGACTGGTGAGGTCAATAAAGGTCATGATGAATATAATGTCAAATGCACTTGCTAAAATTTGAGTTTTTATCCAGTCAGCTGTCTGTTGTGCAGTAGATAGAAAGTTTGTGTTTTTTTTCCTCTAACTGATTTAGTGTAAAATGTAGCTTGGTGAAATTCCTTTAACAGAAAATGCTTGAAAAAAATTAAAATGACTGGTTTTAAATTCTTCTCTAAAGAATGTAAGTACAAAAAAATCTGCTAAATTAATTATGGCCACATATGTGAATATAATTCGTTACTTTTCACTCCAAATTTCAAGTATATTTCAGACAGTAAAAGTATCCCAGTTCGAAAAATGAAGACTGGTAGTTTTACTTCATTGTTGGTAAAATGTCATTCAAGTAGATGGACTTTGACCTGGGTGTGATATTTTTCCAGCTCTGATCCATAGACTCGGATATGAGGGAGAGCAGTTTGTGCGCACACATGCGTAAAACCATCCACCATCGCCACTGGGGTCACACTCATAGTTGGACGTTTTTAAAAACTGGTGCTGTCTTAAAACTTCACACGGAGAAAATTAAAGGTGCTAGAAAATGAATGAAAAATCGCTCAGCTGTGTGTGGAAATGTCCGAGACAGTCACTCCATCGTTATTCACTCTTTTTCGTAATTTTTGAAAAAGCCTGTTGTGTAATATTAACTCTGGGGAATTCGGTTGCGTATATGCAAGCGATCATAATTATTAAATCTAATAAATAAATATGACAAAAATCATCGTTATAGAGCCTAAAAACAGCGATTGCGCAAAACAAAACGTATTTATTGAAGTAAAAAAATAATGACAAAAATATCCATTTTTTTCTTATATCTGTAGTTTTGATTTCTGTATTTTTTAATAGTGTTATAAAGAAAAAATAGTGAACTAATTATTTGGAAATTTCCCTTTTGGCGACGTGTCCGATCAGGCACACAGGCCTAGAAACACTAAACTCATTTTCATGGTCGAGTTAATAGAAAACATGGCCCGGGCATCAGCTGACTTTAAGGTTGAAAATTATTGTTAAAATATATATTTTTAAAAACTTAATAATTTGAATTTCCACAGTTTGAAGTAGGCTGAATTTGAAAGTCTACAGCTGTTTACTTTTCCTGCTGAAAGAGTGAGTGAGCAGCAGAGATCAGCCTCCTCAAGTCTCCACATCAGCCTCAGATGAAACCCTGTCCGCAGTCCCGGTTCGCAGCAGCAGATAAATAAATCACAGTCTCATTGTGGATGTGTAAACAGGCTGTAAATTAAAGTTACTTCTGATTGTTTTCTCTCTGACTCCTCGTGGGTCCAGATTCTCCTCAGACTGCTGCTGCTCGGTTTGGGCTCCGCTCGTGGGAGGAGTTGGTGCTGCTTCATATTCAGAGAGGAGGGGTGGGGGGGCTCTTTAAGGCTCTCATTCTCTTTGGGGCTATAAAGACGTAGTACCTTCAAGACGGAGCAAATTAACTCCATTGGCGAATTATTGCATTAGGAGGCATCGCTGCGCTCGTCTCTGCGCGCAGAGGAGATTAGTTTGGTTTTTTTTTTTATGGTGACATTTTGGTTAAAGCGAGCGGATCAGGGTGATGGAATACATGGAGGAGAAGTTTGCGCTGAAAAGCCAGGCGATGAAGGCCAGCGATTACTACATGGATCAAGTCATGGAGAGCTTGGACGGCGCGCAGTACTTCACCAAGTCCTCCCCGAAATGTGTGCAGGCCTTCGGGCTGCAGAGCGCGGAACACCGCTCCTCGCCCTGCGGAGACCAGAACGGTGCGTAAAAGCCACTTTTTGTAACTTTTGAGGTTTTGCGCGCTCTTGAGTTAAGTTGTACAAGAGTTCAACTTTATCTGCATGTTGAAGAGAATATTTTTAGCTCTGTATTTTGTTTTCCTCATGAAATTTTCCCTTGTAATCTCTTAAGAATTTAACATTTTTGATCCATAAACCTTGACGTTTTTTTGGAAAAATTCAATTACGAAAAATTCATTTCTATTTCCAAACATGGGGCGCAGTTTTGTCCATATTTCATCATTATTTTCACGCCTTTATGCGTAGTTCCCAGGACCAGTAAAAAGCGATATTGTACATTTATCATTTGTTGCTTCTAGGGAGTTACGGTGTGCCAAAAACAGACGACGACACTTTGCACTCGGATCTCGGGAGATCGATGGACAGTTGTTGCACTCTGCGGGCCTCTCCGGTGACCTCCGGCCAGGAGAAAACGGAACTGGACGACATGGGAGACAAATGTGACAGTAACGTGTCCAGCAGCAAGAAGAGGAGACACCGGACAACCTTCACCAGCGCGCAGCTGGAGGAGCTGGAGAAAGTGTTCCAGAAAACGCACTATCCAGATGTTTACGTGAGGGAGCAGCTGGCCATGAGGACGGAGCTGACAGAGGCCAGAGTGCAGGTACGGCCCGTCAGAGGAATTTTATTTTGTTACGAGAAAGAAAAGAGAGCATCAAACACAAAACAGAGAGAAATTAAAGAGAGGAAGGAAAGCGTGAGCGACGTGCGTAAAAATCGATTTTCAGAAATAAAGCTAAAGTGAGCGTGGGGATTCAAAAGTCACATCATTCTAATAATTTCTATTAATTTGTCTTTCTTTTACAAACATTCCCAGCAGACTCGTTGAAAAAAAATCCCACCATATCCTCGGATCGTTTATAAATTTACTTTTTGTGTCTTTGTCTTTTTGTCCAATCAGGTTTGGTTTCAGAACAGAAGAGCAAAATGGAGGAAAAGGGAGCGCTACGGTCAGATCCAACAAGCCAAAACTCACTTTGCAGCCACCTACGATCTGTCAGTGTTACCGAGGACTGACAGCTACACACAGGCAAGTTTTCCTCTGACACACTCGGTTTATATGTTTCATTAAAATAACCCTGTGATGGGATTTCTCTCCATCTACGTAGGCGTTGGTGCGTAATGCGTAATTCTTTATCTCTCCAAGTCTTCTCTCTCTCCACATAAAAAAAACTCCCACAACTAATGAAAGCTTTAATCTGCATAAATCAGCGCCTGTCATCGCTGCTCTATTCATCATTTAATATGAAAGCCATCTTCAGATAAGAGGCTGGACTCTGATTAGAGCCTGTGTGAGGTGTCACGGCTGAATTAATGGTCTTATATCGGATTTCATTGGCTGCACATTCATCTTACCGTTTGGAACAAAGGTCAGGTACAAGATGAGGTGAGAGGAGATGCGCAGTGTCAGTTTGTTCCTTTTGGAGGGTGTTTCCCATCACAAACTCAGATTAGGCCTCAGAGTGTTGGAGATGGACACACAGGAGCTTCTCTGATGAGTGTGTTGAAATTTAAAGCTCACAGAAAGCAGCTTGTGTGTTTGATTTAAAGAACTGCAAAGATGTCTGAAATAGTCCAAGTCTACTTCAGCATTTTCTCCACACATGTTTCTGATGGAGACCTCTGGATACCCGCCATGCCCCGGTCTCACAGCTGATCCAGATTTCTGTCATTAAATGGACCGTCCCCTGTGTAACCGTGCTGGCACAGGGTGGGGTTTTGTCTCCTTAAACTCAGTGGACATGGGCTGCATTCCTGTGGTTTGTTTAGTCTTGTTGACAGGGAGGTTTTTGGTCATTTTTGATGCTTTTTGGGCTCCAAGTCCTGCCTGTGGATGGCACAGAGTCAGGAACATGTTGGCAACACTGTTTCTCAAACTATGACCATGTTTCCATGATATAAGCCGTACGAGGGGGACGCTTATTCTCACCAAACCGCTGTTGGTTCGTGGTTTCTGAAAGTAAATTTAATTTCATGTAAAGCCATTCTGCGGCAGAAAGTTTCATGCTGTTCTGAGAAATCGCCATAAGATACTTTCTCAGTTTATTTCACTATTTTCTTGTTTGTGTTAATCCAAAACGAAATGACCACTTTTGATGCACTGATTTAAAGTTAAAGCTAACTATGGTGACAGATTTCAGTGTTTTTTTCCTGTGGAGTTTTCATGCTGTTCTCACATACGCTGACACGACCTCTCAGCTTGATTGAAATCTTGGCCAATCAGAGCAAATGATCCGCTTCAGAGTGAATAATCCAGCTGAGATTGATGGAGCTGTCGGCTCAGTTTGTATCCCTACATGCTATAGAAACACACACTCTTATAGGCTTCAGTTTTCTATTCGCTGACCTGATGAGATTTACTTTTGGTCGCTCTGTCCTCCTCTTAATGCCCCTGAAATAAAAACATTTACCATAAAACACGTAGTTCAGCCCCTTTAGAATAACATTTTCTCGTATACTTGATAGTTTTGGATTATTAATCAATTTTTTTAAGTTTATACAAGGAGGAAAGTGCACATTAATCAACAGTTTAGCAGTGTGCATCACTTTAAATACGTCACAATCTGCAAAAAACAGAAACAGAAAACAAGTTACAAAACCTCTGGACATAACAAAGATTTCTTTGTCATGTCGAGGGATTTTCAGTGAATTTTCTTGCCGCTCTCAGTGTTGGAAGCAAAATTGGATTTAAAAAAAATGGCAATATCTCTGTCCATGAATATAGTATGTGTTAAACAGGATGGCTGTCTGCAGTTTTACAGGGTGCAAAGATTGCTGGATTTTCACAGTGTTGGGTCGCGTTTAGTCATCCAGGGGGGCTCTGAAACCTTCCTGTGCACAGTGCTGGTTTAAGAACCTGCTTGTAGATCAGCTGTGCAGCATGAGAGCAAATTTAACGGTAAAAAGAGTCACGATGACAGTAAAAGTGTTTTCCTCCTGTCTTTAATTCTGCTTCAGCATTTATGATAGTGTGGCAAGAAACTAAAATACCAGGGGCACATTATGAGGAACTTAATACACAAGCTAACACACTAGTGTGCAGATTTCTGACATGCACACATGACTCTAAATCTGGACTTTTTCCTCCACTTGTGATGCAGTTATAAGAAAGCTACAAAGAGAAGCAGCAGGTTTTATAAAGAGCTGCATAAAAAAAGTCTCTCTGAAACAGCAAAATCCACCAATGCAAGTTTGTACTGTCTCAACTTTCCTGGCTGCATTAATTAGGTTTAAACATAAGTTTATATGTGGATTAATTAACTCAAAATGTGAAATCTTAAAGGTGCTCGCTTTGTGACAAAAGTTAAAGTTTGTTTTCTAGCGCTGTGAACTTGTGAAGAAGTGATTTTTTCATTTTGTTGTATCTATATTTTAATTTCTCTTTTGTTCTTATGTTGACATCTGAGTCTGAAACGAGGAATCAAACAGTGCACCTTATTATAACTCTTAATATAAATGTTAAGTTCAAATGCATGTACGATTTAAAGATAGATTTGTCTTATTATGAGAAACGTTTGCACACTCTTCCTTCACCTCTGTTTTATATTTGTCGTCCACTCCCTTGAGATTTCAGCCTAAATTGTTACAAGATCATCCTGATTGAGAAATAATTGTTTTTTTGTTGCTTTAATACTTTCAAATTTACAACAGCCGACTTCCTCAGTGATCTGCTGTCGTGCTTTTATTGAATCACTTCTATCCTTGTCTTTGGTGCCATGGTTCAGTCGTCTATCAAAAGGAGGAGAGGGTCTCTTAAAGTAAATAATAACAGAGTCTAATCAGCTGATTGGTGAGCCCCAGTTTTACCAAGCACAAGTCCACCTCGATTTACATAATGACTTCCACCCTCTGCACAATGAGTTAGTTCTTTTTCTATATGGAGGTTTTTAGTCCAAAGATGGAGAACAGAGCGGTGCAAAAACTATTCAGCTTTGTTTAACTTGTTGTATTTACTGCAGAGGAATTGTTTATTTTTGTGTTAAAACTCATTCTGCCTTAGTTTTGTTCATTTATCTCATGTTTGAGATTTCTTTATCTCCTTCTCTTGTTTTTCCCCGGTACTTTTTGGATGTTTTAATATATATTTCTAACTCTGGATCTTTTTATGTTGTTTCTTGATAATGGCAGTTTTATAATTTTAATAATCGGCAAACTGGATGGTATCTTCCTGCAAAACTGATGAACTATTGCCCAATTAGTGTCCCAATTTTAAGGTATACAGTATTGGTATACTTTGGTAACATATTAAAGAATAAACTGCTATAATGTTGTTTTAATAATACGTAGATTAAAGGCCCACTTAGTCACAGAACAGGTGTGGAAGATGTCGCTCAATCCTTCGATATTTTAGCGAGGGACATGAACATGACAGCATGAGCGTGATAGCATCTATTTTATCTATATCTACATGTTTCAGACAGCCATTCTGAAATTTAAACACAAATCCTGTTATAAGCAGACACACACTAACTTTGATTTATTTATTTAAAGGTTTAGAAAACAGTCAAAAATATACAGACAGTATTATCTGACTGACTTTGGCTGATACGGATATAAACACACATAGTTAAGAACAGAAAATGTTCCCATCAGCTGATACCTAAAATTATCCTTTTAATCTCCACCGGTGTAATGCCAATAATATTTGGTGCGTCTTTTTAAGCTTAAAACTGCTCAGATTCAGCTTGTCCTCTGTGTTAAAGATCTAAATGAGTATGTGCAGAACGAGTCGTATCTTTTTATTCAAGCTTTATGTGAGAAAGAGGATAATAACGCGGACAGTCCTTTTTGTCTGCATGAATACGAGAATCCGATTCTTTGTATATTCCCTTGTCCCCTCAGTTTAACAGATCCCCCTCCTCTCCTTATCTCCCCACCAGATCCCCAACAACCTGTGGCCGAGCTCCTCCCCCGCCGGTCCTGTGGTCTCCTCCTGCATGCTCCCTCGAGGCTCCCCTCCCTGCGTCACCTCCTACCCTCACTCCCCTCGATCAGCCGCCGGCGCCGCCGACCACGGCTACGTGAGCTTCCCCAACCAGCAGAACCAATTCGGCCACGTCTCCCTCAACAACTTCTTCAGCGCGGACTCCCTCCTCACGCCAACCGCCAACGGTCACCACCCGTTCGAGGCCAAGCCGGAGTTTGAGAGGCGCTCATCCAGCATCGCTGTGCTGCGCATGAAGGCAAAGGAGCACACGGCCAACATCTCATGGGCCATGTGATCAGGGTTTCTATGCAAGTCTGGAGAATCTGGATGATGTACGGAAAGAAAATGATTAGACTTTCCAGTTTCTTTAAACTCAAGACTCTGAAATCAAATCCAGAACAGGGTTTGTGTCGCAGCATTTTCTGCCATCACAGAGTAGCTTAAACTTATATTTTGATGCAAGTGATAATCAAATACACCCTGATACTTCAGAAGAAAAAGTGACAGGATATCTGCTCCCTCTGAAAGCGGCGAGTCAATCTCGTGAAGAAGTCAGCAAGTTAAAAAGCCGTGGTGTTGTGTGACAATCAGCTGTGCTTCATGGACTTGAACTGTTATCAAGCAAACTTTCTCTATACTCTCATTTCTGACATTTGAAAGCTCTGCCATCAGGTCGGTGTCAGACAAAACAGACCATAAGTGCCTTTTTTTTTTTTACAGTTTTCATAGAAAAGTTCAAACACATTTAAAAGTTTAAGCTAAACAGAATGAGATTTTTCATGTCAGGAAATATGACCGACGCTCACGCAGATACACAGGATGTTCTCAGTCGTCCTCAGTTGTTGCTAAAATCCACTCAAATCAAACGTTCCTTACAGTAGCTTTAATGATAGCGATACGATTTGTTCATTCAGGCTTTCAGAGTAACATCCTGCGCTCTTTTTGGTCGAACCAGACGAACCGCCGTAATCTGCCCGCTTCTTTATTTTTGTTCCTAATGAGGAGCAGGAAGTCCTGACAAAAAGACATGAAAAGGAGCTGCCAGCTGGACTACAAACCCCCCGAACAGAGTGGATCCAGAGGAGGGGGGCGTCCCCGAACCACTTAAGCATCTCTCTAAGCACTGTGAATAAGCTTTTTATCTTCCTCCATTGTTTCAGCTCAGGACCGAAGATGAGCAGAGTTAAAGTGACTCCATGTACTGATGTGTGTGTTTGTGTGTGTGTGTGTGTGTGTGTGTGTGTGTGTGTGTGTGTGTGTGTGTGTATGTGTGTGTGCAGCAAAGCTCTGTAACCTCTGTAGTCTGCCTCTGCTTCTGTCACCCAGGCAAAGGAGAGGCAGCTTTTATACGTGTTTGTGTTGTAAATTTATCTGGTGTAAGCAGAAATAAATGAATGTTACTTGATTTCAGCATGAATTCATATTTTTACGGTAAACTTGTCAGATAAACTCGACAAAAAGTCACCCAAACATACCAAAGGGCGGCTGAAAAGCTTGTCGAGAGAGTTATACGAAGAAATGTTTTTTCAACATCCAATTAGAGATGGCCCAATGAGATTGAGTTGCGAAATCAAAAGTGGCATCTGTAAGTTGCTTCTTGATTCTTCCTACAATAAAAGCCTCAATTTAGGCTCAATTTACTGTTTTAGACAACATAAAAAAACAGCAAGTTACACTCGACACCAAACCAGCAAAAACGGGGATATTGTCCGGGCTTTATGGTACGTTCCAGTTGTATTCGGAAGCCGGGATTTTAGAGCTCCAAGCCGGAAAGTCGGACGATCCACACAACCCTTGAGCTGACATTTAAAGATGGCGCCGCCGGTCACAAACAGTACGTTGAAGCTCCTGTAATAGGAAACAATAGGCTACCTTATCCGCCTTTGTGTTTCCTCTTCATCCACCGTTATTGCAGGCTGCAGAATATTTGTCTGCATATTTGTCCAGAAGTTGTTTATATTCGGACAAATATGGGCGAGAATAACTTTCATAGATGTAGCCATCTTGTTTCTGCTTCCGTTTTTGGTCATTGGCTACTTTTATTCCGACTTTGTGACTGAAACACTGATAACTCAGGTGTGACGTCATTCCCAGCGCTGACTTCTTACTTCAAGGTAAATGGAACGTACCATTATATTTAGCAACCCCTTGCAAAGACAGATACATTTAGACTTTCACTCTTTCTGTGATGTTCTGGACTATTTTAACTTGTTATGATTGACGAGGTAAAACTTTGAAAAATGGGCCTCAAATCTTTCATCTTATTTCTTCATAAGGACGCCTCAACTGTTGGCTGCTCAAGTCCTCATGATGTGGATTTATCCCCATGTTTGTTCTGATGACAGAGTATGTCATCTAGAGCGTATTTGCAGTCTCATTAATATGCTTTTAATACCTTTGGGGGAAAAAATCACGGCCTTATTAACCCAGGTGTAGGGGGGATTATTCACTGGTCAACATGGTCTCAACAGAGGTTCGGTTGACAACAAGGAAAATTTAGAGAGTAAACCAACGTTACCCTTTAAACTCCATCCACAATCAGGCCTCACCTTTGTAGTCTGGAAAGAGCCGTGTCAGCTCATTAAACACAGTTAATCTCTTCATTCGTCAATAGTAGCCGAGTCTTTTCCATGAGGCCCCAACGCTCCACGTTCCTCCTCAAACATGCAGGACCTGAATCCATCACAATGTCACGTAATTGGGAGCATGTCTTCTTCTCTTTCCTCTGACATCATCCCTTTGTTTAGCTCTGAGATCACAGTCGGCGGTGGATGGTATCTGAAGGAAAACCCTGTCTATAGGAACGGTAGGCTTGATTCAATTAGGACTCTAACTTGTGTCAGATGTTCGAGTTAAGAAACAAGTTTGTTTCCTCCGTGTACATCCTGGTTACTGACATTTAAGAGCACAAACACAAGTATTTTATCTGCACACATCAAAACATGGAGGCTTTCATCCTGGAGTAACCATGGAAACAGTGTTGACTGTTTTCTAACGGTGAGGTGAGGTAACACTTTTGTGCCCAATGCATCGTAAACAGTAACTCATTTTGTGATGTAAAATTCAATGATTGTTTTCATGTCATTATTAACGCAGTAGTTCAGGATTTAAAAAATGTGAAGAGGCTTCACATTTAAGTTGAAATCTTCTCTATTCATTGATCCAAGTTCCCTTTAAAAGAAGGATTTTTGCTCAACTACTGATATTTTACAGATTTTGCGCTTTATTTCAAACCCAAAGAGTGGCTGCATGATACACAAAAACTGCAAACTCTAGGCCTGATAAATACAGCCAGTGTCCCAGTAGAGTGGCAAAAAATGCAGTTCCTCCTGTGGCCACTTGAGGCTGTCTTCAACTATGACTCAGTCTGCATAAGGCCCCATATTAAAAAGGGAAACTTTAAAGAAGATTTTAACATGTATGATCTGGAGGTTTTTGCAACTTTCACTGCCAACATACCGCAGAGGCCACCGCAGTGATTATATAGATGGACAGCGTGTCTCCACATCCGCTAATTGTACAAAAGTGCAGCAAAAATATCTGTCAGGAATTGAGGACTGGCTCCAGATAGTGACCAGTTCCTGTTCATTCCATGTACCTTGTGAAATAATGAAATAACGTACTGTGAAGAGCAGTCAAGGCAACCACAACACAGGCAAACCATCATGGACAGAGATATAGTTACGTTTAATGATATTAGCTCTAAAATATCATGCTATAATGTACCTGCTTACAGTAAAATCTACTTGCCTCGTGAGAGTGGTAGCTTTCTAATTTATCTGCAACATTCAGTTGCTTTACAATCCCACAGACAAGATGAGTCTATTTATTTGGACTATCCTGATACAATCCCTCAAAATCAGAATTATAATTATTGTAATAGTTTTAGCTTTTTATCATAAATATTGTCAGCTGACCGTACTTCATGAAAGCTGCCAAAGCTGTCAGTATTTTCTGGAGTAGTAGTTCTATTTAATCCAATAATTAAAATTAACAAGAAAATAATGGCTATGTTTAAATAAGCTTGACAAGAACTATGAGGGAAAAAAACAGTTCAAGAAAAATTGATTTGGATGTGCAGCTTTGCTTCAATAACAAGGTTGGGGATTCATGGAAAATAAGAAATAAATGGATTTTGTCACCTGAGTTTGTCTTTGCACCAGTTTGCCAATCAAAACCCTGGCTTTGCAGCTCCACCCAAGACGGCTTTTTCTCATCCTCCGACATGATTTCTTCCCCCTCACCTCTGAAAAATATGTCTGTATCTAAACATGCTCTCTTTTCCCACCATCTTTGACACCGCACTCGCTCCTCTTATCTCCTGCATCATCGTCATCTCTGCTGCAGAGCTGACCGGACAGCCAGAGACTGATCACCAAGCAACCAAGCCTGCACATGTGTTTGAATGTGTGTATGTGTGTGTGTGATATGGTGAGAGTTTGGGAGAGAAAGCTCCTGCAGACCAGATCCATCAACAGCTCCAATGGGTTTGACCCCCTCAGGTTAACCGCAGCCATTAATACATGAGCTTCCCTCCCCATGCCTCCCTGCTTCCAGCACTACCTCACGTGGGGGAGGACTGGTTTGAGTGTGTATGTGAAAACACACCCACACGCACACATACACACACACATGCACAAACACGCACTCTGCTGTGGACATAAAGAAATAGAGATCAAACACTGAGGCGGCTGAGAAATGGAGTCGGCGGTCACGTATGTTCCACAGCAGAGATGTACACTCGCTGTCTGCTCACTGTTGTTTTTTGCATCACTCAACGCTGATGCTCAACTTCTTCTTCTTCTCTGGAATAGATGGACCAGCTCACCACCCATTCTTCTTTTTTTCTATCGGACATCAATTAATCAAAAGCCTGGCTCAGACTCAGTGCTACACGCTCGGTCTGAATTTTGGATGCCATTAAAAATAAAACCTTCTTGTCACACTGTGGCTGAAACATAACTTTGCTCCTTCATAGGGGAGTAACCAAGAACACATACTTTCTAACTGAGTATTTATTTTCATGACAAATCAAACCTAAACCCCCAATTTTGACTTAAGGGTTTTTTTTTTCCTTTGTGTATAAGACTGGACTCCTTATTCAAGCTTTAATGAGTTAGCAGGAATTATTCGTTATTATTTGCACCATTTCATACCACTTTAGGCTCAAGCTGAAAAAAAAAAGACATAAAGACAGTTATTTGTCTGTGTACCTATATAGGCTAACATCATGCACAATAGACATAGAGAGAATAAGTTGGGAAATATTTTCCTTCTTTCTTGAAATTCCACTTTAAATATGCTTTAGCTGGTATTTTTTGCAAATCAACTGTGATTTAGATGGTGAACCAGTACTTGGGTATGCTTTCCTTTTCCGTGTCCATGATATACAGTTCATGGGATTGTATTGTTTAAGTGTTTTATTAATTTACATAATCAAATATGCTAGAAATCGAGAAGAAGTCAGAGGAGACAGAATAATGTGGATTTCATGTTGTTTATGTTTCTTTCATACTTTAACTGACAACAGGGACACCTTGGAGTCTTGCAACACTTAGCAAAATATATCAACAATCTTTCTACAATGGCAACACACTGAATACATCTCCAACAAAAATGTGAATGCAAAAGTTCCTGATTTTGCACATTTTTGATTAGGAGAGAAAAGGACAAGATCTCTTGTCTAAAAGGGAAAGAACTCAAAATGAGACCTTTTCATGACCAAACTGAAAGTCTAGAGATCTGTCCAGTCTGCCCTTTACTGCCCTCTAGTGGTTTGCTTATGTGTGTTACTTAATAACGCCAGTCCACAAGCAAAGGCCATCAAACTGTGGGCAAGGGCCTCAGCACTGATGAAGATTTGAATATGGTTTATCACGTTATGATGACTCTATCAATGATAAAATCTGATACATAATGCAGCATAACACATATCAATCTCCTTCTCTAGCTGAAATCTCCAAACCATTCTGTGCATGTTAATGTGTTGTATTTAAACTGGTTCTTAAAAGTTTTATTTGAGTGCACATTTTTGACTAATGTTGTACATTTTTTGAACTAATTTTGAAAATTCAATCATTATTTGTATTCTTTGTATTCTCTACGATTAATGTGATTATGTATTGAAACTGTATGTGCTGCCATTCTTGGCCTGGTCTCTCTTGCAAAAGAGATCTTGGATCTCAATGGGACAAACCTGGTTAAATAAAGGTTATGATAATAATAATAATAATAATCTGGATTTAAAGGTCCAAACTACACACAACTCCAGGTTTTTGTTTCCCTTTAGAAGGTACAACAGTATACTAAAATACTACTAAAATAATGCTCTACTTAAGATGTCTTAAAAAAGGCTAAAAAGCTTATATCTATGAATTTGCCTGTCTACAAAAAGCTTCCTCT